CAAAAAATCCAACCAAAATGATCATCTCCAACGTCAACATTTCAACACAAGGTAGAATGAGCTACGCCCAAAGGAGATACGACAGAGGTGGTCGTGATAATTACTACAACAACTACAACAATAACAACAACTACGGCAACTACGGCAACAGTTTTAACGGTCAAGGCAACCGAAGCAATTTCAATCGTCGCAACGGCCATGACCAATCGAGAGGATACAGTAACAACAATAACAACGACAATGACTCCATCATTACTTGTGAATTTTACAACAAGATAGGTGCTTGTAGACATGGTGAGAAATGTTCCAAGAAACACATAAAACCAACATCATCCAAGACTCTACTATTGGCCAACTTGTACCAAAACCCGAAACACAACAAGAATGAAACTGAAGAGTTCACCGAAAAGCAAATCCAAGAACAATTTGATTTGTTCTTCCAGGATATATTCATACATATATCCAAGATGAGTCAAGTTCACGATCTAGTAGTTTGTGAAAACGAAAACAACCACTTGAATGGAAATGTCTATGTCCAATTCGCATCGGTACAAGATGCATCAAGTGTAAATACAAGTTTGAATCAAGAATGGTTCAATGGTCGACCTGTGCATTGTGATTTATCCCCAGTGAGTGAGTTCCTGGATGCTTGTTGTCGTGCTTACGATATGCAGAGTTGTGAGAGAGGTGAAATGTGTAATTATATGCATATTAGATACCCTTCGCCTGAATTGAGGCTGTTGTTGTTTAGGGCACAGGATAAGATGTATAGTTCTGTGCAGTTGGAGAGGTTGAAGAAGCAGTTGGATGAGGTCAAGATTTTGGGAGATGCCAATTTGGGTACACTGGGTGCTGGTGACGATGAAGATAATGACGACGATGAGGATGGTGACGATTATGGAGAGGGTAGCATGAATAAGCCAAATGCCAGTCAGTTGCTCAGTCTGCTTCATTGATGTTAGATTGTACGCTGTTCAGAGAGAGATGTTGGTGTCGATGTAATCGTCGCCATGGTGATATAACTGTTGAAGCAGCTATCTTGTTGTCTACTTAATTCTGTTCATAGGATATGTCTATACTTGTAAATTCTAATGATGATGATGAATCTAGAACAGCAGGAAAATAAAATTTTGGTCCTGACAAATGACTTACTAATTCTGCTTTTTTCTCTCTCTATATCTGTAGATACCCGCGAAGGAAAAATAAATTATTAACAGTCATATTATAATCTGTCAAAGGCTTCTTTATCATATACAAACAGACACATGTGTAACCTATTCATGAAGTTGTACTCACACCGCTTATAGATTGGATAACTCACCACGCAACCATTTATAAACTACATTCCACACTCCCATGTCATATAAGTGATTAACACCCATTTTTCATTTTCCCAATTTTTCAATTTTTCACTTTTTCACTTGTTCTCTTTATTTTATTCCCCCGAATTTCGGATTCGATACGAAAAAAAACAAAAAAAAAACACAACAACGAAAAATTCAAATTTGTTGAACCAAGATGATGATAACCAACCAGTTATCATTGGCTACGAAGACACCCAAGTTGTATAGATATCTACTATCTACATCTCAGAGGAACAACAAAAGTCTATCGCAACGTTTGCACTTTAAAATTGGTGTATCTTTTGCTTCTATTTCGGCAAGATTTTCCCAACGCTACAATAATCAACACAAACCATTTATAATATCTCACCAATCATTTTCTACATTGACTATGCTCACCCAGAAAATGACTTCTGGACCACAATCGCCTTCCTCGGACAAGGATAAGCAACAGCAACAGCAACAGCAACAGCCATACCATGACAAAGATGGTGCATCACACTCAACTCTGCAAACTCAACCCCATGCGAATGCGGAAGCACATGATGAGCATTCACACTCGCATTCGCACCATGACTCGGACTCCCACGGCCACGAACACGGCCACTCACACTCACACGGTGGTGCAAGCAGTCTATTACACCACCACCACCACTCTGCTCACGAGCCTAATGAGTTCTTAGCTGCTGGTGCTGCATCAATAAAGTCAAATGCCGCAGTACGAATCACTTGGATTGGACTTGTGGTTAACGTTGCATTGGCCATATCCAAGGGAATCGGAGGAGTTGTGTTTCACTCACAAGCATTGGTTGCCGATGCCATTCACTCAGTGAGTGACATGCTTGCTGATTTTTTAACCTTGGCTACTGTCAATGTCGCCGCTAAAGTGGGTACACCAACTAAATTCCCCTTTGGTTATGGTAAAATCGAAACTATTGGCTCATTTACTGTTAGTGCCATTTTGTTGTTTGCCGGTATTTCCGTTGGTTGGTCTTCACTATTGCAAATTTTCGAATTTGTACTTCCTACTCAATTGTATGAAATTGCCGCCAGCATACATATTGGACATAGTCACAACCACACTGATATTGTTGGCAGTGGTGGCGGCGCTGCAACAGCCAATACACCCTCGCATGGTCATGGACACACCACTCATACTGCCACTGGAACTGAATTGGCCACCCCCACCCATAGAGAAATCCCCAATATTAATGCTGCTTGGCTAGCAGCTGGTTCTATTGTCGCCAAGGAAATCTTGTACAAAAAGACTATGCAAATAGCTACTGAAACAAACTCAAAAGTCCTTGTTGCAAACGCATGGCATCACCGAGTTGATTCGTTGACTGCGATAGTTGCATTGCTCACGGTTGCAGGTGGAGTCTTGTTCAACATTGCCTGGTTAGATTCGATTGGAGGAATGGGGGTTTCTGCGTTGATCATTAAGGCAGGGTGGGATACTTTGAAAGAGGCATGGTATGAATTGATTGATCGTGGTGAACAACCAGGCTCTGCATTGTATGATAAAGTTGAAAGTATTGTAACTCATGAGTTGCAAAGCAGAGCGGAATTGCACCAGTTTAAATTGAAGCAATTGTCGGTGTTGTCTTCTGGTGCGAATACCAACATCAATTTTGTCTTGTTGACTGAGAATAAGCTGATTGATTTGCTGACATTGAATCGGTATGAGCGGACGCTTACTGACTTGATCAAACAAGATGATCGATTTGTTCGTAACATTTCAATCAAGTTTGAAGTTGCTGATGGGGAAGAAGCACACAAGGATGACGCAAAGGAGAATTTACACGGCAGAGAAGATAAATAGGATAAACATGTACATACACATTAAATCAAATGATAGTTTGTGATTAAAAAGGAAACTGTCTATTTACAATTTGTTCTCCTATGTACATAAAATGTCTCTCATTCTCACTTTTTGCTCTTCTTCGATGAAGCCTTCTTACGGCCCTCAATGAAATTCAAAATTTCATCAACTGATTGATTGGCAATTGAAGGGTCCGGTTGGGGTGGAGTTTGCCCCTTTTTCGAATGTCCATTACTCTTTCCATTAACATGCTTACCATTAACGCCAGCTGGACCACCACCAACAGAGGGGAACTTGACTTTAGATTGCTGTTGCAAAGATTTCTTAGAGTGGGTTGAATTGGTAGCCGTCGATTTCTTTTCCCTTGCAGCTTGAGCTTTGGTGTATTCCACATACAACGCAATGTTGGACTGGTACTTGCCGCATTGTTTCGTCATGGAATCATTTGGACCAAGCAAGTTTGCGAAAATCTTGTATGCTGCATCAAAGTATTCCTTGGACTGACTGATCTTGTTGGCTGATACTAAAACATTACCTATACGGAAGTAAAGCAATGCTGTAATCTCTGACTCCTCGCCATTCAACTCTTGACTATATTTCAAAGCTTGCAACAACAACTTCTTTGCCGATTCAAATTGTTTTATTTTTGACAATACATCAGCAGAGTTGATGAATGTGTTGACTATGGCCGGATGATCAGCTCCATAAACCAATGACCAAGTGTCAATAGTTTGCTTGTACAATTTCAACGAGTTTATTGCCAAGTCATTGCCACCTTCATAAAACGCTTGGTTCATGTACGCAGTAATGGTGTCATGACTGTCGAATCCACATGACCTTTCACACAAGACAACTGCTCTTCGACCAATCAATGCGGCATCGTAATACATACCCAATTCTTGATAAACTTGTGCCAACAAGGTGTAGAATCTTGCAGTTTCAGGATTCACTTTGCCGTAAATGGACTCGTGGATTGCTGCGAGTTCGGTAAACATTGACATTCCAACTTCTTTGTCACCGGAAACTAATTGGGCACGAGCACTAGCGAAAATTTCATCAATGATGGATGACTTGTAAGATGAATCTTTGACAACTGGCGTGAATGAAATGATGTCATCTGCAATAAATGTCGTCTCACGCTTCACTGATTTGGTAACGGGTTGTGAATGTGGAGAATTCTTTTTTTTCGATTTTTTCGATGATGATGAAGAAGAAGAAGAAGATGATGCAAATGATGAAGTTTGTCTCTTTTCTACAGCTTCCACCTGTATCTGATCATAAGCAGCATCAAACTCTTCCTTGCCAAAGGCATAATTGTGAGATTTCCATTGGATACCAAATTGGAAAGCAATCTCTCTCAACAACTGTGGTTTACGCACCAAAGTGTTAATCCAGTCGCCAGACAACTGATATCTAAATCTAGTGTACACTTCAACGGCAACCAAATCAACAACTTCCCTATGACCCAATTTAGTAAATGATAACTCATCAGGGGAATAAAATGCAGCATATGATTCATCCAAGTCAACTTTTGGCTGTTCAGTTACGGCACCACCAAGTAAGCAATTGTGGAAATGAGCCACTGCTGATGGAACAAGATATGTTGGGATGGACTTGATCAACTTTCTCAATATGTGCTTTGATGCTCTTGCAACCATTTCATGTATAGCTATGGTGTAGACAGTATTGTAATTAGCGATGGCTAATTCATAAGTTGCTTTTGAAGCAGGTTCTTCTTCATCGTCGTTGTCTTTCTCGTCCTTGATAGTTTTATCCTGATCCTCTTCTTCCTCTTTCTTTTGCTCCTCCTCTTTCCTCTTTTGCTCCTCCTCCTCTTTAGCCTTTTTCGTCAACTCGATATTTTCAGCAACGATTTTCTCAATCTCTTGCTGATACGCTTCCCTCTTGGCAATCAATTGTTCAGCAATGTATCCCAAATATCTCATATTGATACCGTATCTATGCAACTGTTCAGTTAATTGTTTCCCATCAAATGGGGGCAACAGTTGCCTAACTCCCTCCAAGAACTCAGTGATCAATTTCTCTTTGACGAATTTGGAGATTTGCCTTACCTCATCACGGTCTTCATCCAGTTCAAATGACGACGAAAATGCATCAGGGTTGAACACAACTTGATCAGTAGGTAATCCAATTTGTGGTTTTGCATCTTTATCGCCACCTTCTTTTGATTCAAGTTTACCTTCTTTTTCCAATTTTTCAGTCTCGGCTTTGAAAAGAACAGACACTTTACGTCTCCACCACTCACTTACTGCTTCATGTCTAACTAAAGCTTCTCCATGTGGATATGACGATTTCGAGTCTTGCGGGTTGAAATTCGATTCAATAAATTCAATATCACGTGGAGCAGTACGATATAATTCAATAACGTATTTTCTTCCATCGGTACCTGTTAATCCCTTGGTATCTTTTGACACAACCAACTCCTTTTGTGATAGGACTTCATTGGAGATTTTGACATTGTGTGGTTTCAAATGGAAAAGTTCACCAACTTGTTTCAAAGGTTCAACGAAAGACTCGTCTTCAAGAATCTTGGTCCCATCAGATGAAGCTCCATACTTGACTTTTTCTTGAATTTCTCCCTCAATTTCGCCAACTGTGGCATCCAAAATGCCAGGAACTGGTGCTTGACAAACGACTCTTTTGCCCATATAGTCCACTACACAAGTGAGTAAAGTAGACAAACCCTTAATATCATGTCTATTCATGATTTTGACCCCGGCAAGGTCTTTCGATGCAACGTACCTTGAAGCTTCTTCAGCACCAGTGTTTTCAAATCCATCAACAGTAGATGCACCAGTTGAGTAAAAAACACCATTCTTCAAATAAATGTACTTGTCTTCTTCTTCAGTTGGGTTCATTGGAGCAATATCACCCTTGATGATATGAACTGCTGTATCGGTGGCTGTCTTCGTGAAATCAAACAAGGTCTTTTGAAGGAGCTTATCACGAACAATGCGTTCTTGGAAAGTTGAAGTTGGAAGCTCCTTAATACTTTGAAATTCATTGTTCCACTCCTTGATGTATTCAGATCCATCTACACCATTGTTGATCAATGGTAATTGAGATCTAGACACATCGGGAGTGGGTTTCAACACTCCTTCGTCAACGACCCAAGGATGAGCAAGGAATGAATTGGATGGTGCAAGATAAGACTCGGGGTACTCGGTCGCTTGTGCCAATTTGACTTCGTTTTCTGCAATGGTCGAAGTGAATAATGGTGACAATGACGAGACCAAGTCAAACAATACGTAATTTTTGAAAAATTTCCCCTTTTCATTAATTTTGATACTGGGATTGAAGTTGATTGTTGATGATTTGTTGACAAAGAACCCGGAAAAGTGGCATGTAATATTGAAAGTTTCATTTTCCAATGTTTGCAAAGTTAAATACAAAAGATCACCTTTGGCTGCTTGGAATGCTGGTACTGGTGACCATTGAGAAACACTAAGGGATCTAATTGGTAACTTGACCACTTCGCCTACCTTGTCAAATTTTGCTTGACTAGTGATTTCACCGCCTGCCGCCTTTTCAACAGAAAACGAGTCAACAACAGTACCCAATTTTTCTTCGTCTTCTTTGGATAATGGTGTTGGCTCTTTACTTTCCAAAGTCTCTGTATTTTTATCTTGCGACTGCTCTTTAACCTTTAATTCCTCCAAATCGATGCCATTGAATCGGGAAACACCTCCTTGACAACCAATGTCACCAGAGATTCGGTCAATGAATCCAAGACCAATAGTGTCTCTAAATTTGGAAACCTGCTCATACACAGAGGCCAAGTTGTAAGCCTTGGCTTTGACTTGCAATTGCAATTGCTCCACATCTCCCAAATCCAACGCGCTGACAATCTCAGCAAACGACACAATCTCACCAAGACTTTCCACATCTACACCATGCACAAGGATAGAATAATTGGTCAAGTTTCGAGTTTGAGGTAAAAGTGCCAACGATTGTCTTAAATCGGCAATGTTTTCTTCATAGTGGGATGGAATTGATAACTCTCTGTCGTCAGTTTTCATAACCAGAGGTAACTCCAATTTCAATAAAAGCTCTTTTGGAGGTTGAACTTGAGCTTCTTGAAGCTCTGGAGCCTTTTCCTCGTCAGACATCGTTAACTTGTCCCAGGTTGATTATATACAACTCCGTAAAGTAGCCTTCCAGTTGAAAAAAAAAAAAATAAAAATTTTTTTTCAATTTTTTCTTTTTCTGTTTCCGCACTGAACATTGATTACTGCCGACTAATATATGCGGGAAAGAAGAAAAACAGGCTAACATACTCACTAAAGGTGCCAAATGGCTACTGAAAAATGGATCTGATTTAGGAGTCTTGTCTGTGGGGTGAAGTTGCACGTGTGGCTTGAGAAGCTTGTCTTGAACAGGTACCGAATCTTAATCGAAGCGCCAGCAGGAGTTTTGCCTTGACCAGGTGTCCTGTACTGTATTTCCGCCGCCAGATACGAGGACCCAAGGTTCGGCCCATTCAGGTCATTCAGGTTCCAGTAGATCAAATTCGGCAAGCAATTAATGGGAATCTCACAATCTTTCCAACCATTTGTATTTAAAAGCTGCAAACCTCTTTTTTGTGTTGCGATTTCAAGTGTTCTTTTTTTTTGTTTTGTTTTGTTCTTCTTCTTGTCTCCCACGCGGGTGCCATAAAAAAGCAGTTCAAGAATAAATGGCAAAAACACAACTTCTACTTCCCCTTCTTCTTCTTCTTTCTTTTTAGGAAGGTTACATTAGAAAACAAGTTGTCGTTATAGGGACGTATAACGGCAATGAGTCAGCCAGAAACCATCAGTGACTCTTTGGGAAACACAACCACCTCCTCACAACCATTAACCGACAATCATCAACAGATATTTGTCAATGACTTGCCAGATGAGATTTTAATTCATTCCTTCTCGCAGCTCGACCCTTCTTCATTGAATAGTCTACGACTCGTTTGCAAGAAATGGAACCATGTAATCAGTGACAAGGAAACCTGGACCAAACTGTTTCGTAGACGGTTTGGAATACAAACTTCAGTATCATCGTTCCCCAGTGTTACACATGGATCAAATTGGATGCAAGAGTATTTTGCTAGGCTAAGGATCATACGTAATTGGAAAAAGGGTATATCTACACATCAAACGTACCAGATGGTCAATAGTGAACATCGTATGGGTGGATTGACGTTGTGTGATTTCAAAATGAATAAACTTGCCGTATTTGATAAAGTACTGGGCAATATTAGTGTGGGCAATCTTGATAGTGGGAAAAATCAAAGTTTCATTCCAGGAATGATGAATATGGACATTTTGAGTTATGACATGAACTTTAATTACTTGGTGATGGGAAAAAAGGATGGAGGGATTGTGGTCAAGAACTTGATCATAAGCACTTCAATAAGTCAGCGGGGTAGTGTGACAAATTTTGAAGTTGTTGATGAGGAAAGGAGTTCGGTTACCAGTGTGACTATTAACACGAAAGTTGACAAGAATGGATTGTCAGTTGACGTCATTAGTGGACTGGCTGATGGCAGTTTACGGAGTTGGAGCCTACATGGGAAACTCAAGAATAAGGTCGCGTTGGACGGGATTGTTTTGAACATTAAGTCTGATTTCAGCAAGTACATAATTGCAAACACCACTGCATCGGTCTATGTTTTGAGATTTGAAAATTTGGAGATTTTGGGACATGCGCATTTGGATAGTCCCATGTGCGACGAAGAAGCAATGCATATTGAGCAACTCGTTCACCTGAAAAACTCCTTAGATGTTGATTTTGGTCGACAAAGCATCATTATATGTCGTGACAGGAGTGTTCGGGTTTATGACTTCTACTGCACTGGAGTACGAAGACTAGATCTTGAAGATGCAGTTGTTGTTCTGACGCAACTTCAAACGGCAGATAAACGGAGTTTGCTGAATGTGAACTCGAATGCAGTCGTTGGTGGTGATGGGTTACTTTGTGGGAATCTACTAAGTGACGGAAGCATTATTGTTTGGAATGTCCGTGAGGTGTCATCGCAAAAGATTGAACCACAGCTACGACTTTCCCCCGAATTGAATCATAAGAAGATTCTGGGTCGAATACACAATGCAGTATTGAATGGCCACTTACTTGGTGTTTCAACTTTTGCATTGAATGCGTCTGTTGTTGCAGTGGCGGGATACAACGGATTGACATGCATTTATGATGTCTTTACTGGAAAGTTTTTGAGGGAAGTTTCAATCAAGTTTCCCAAGCGATTCGACCACATGCAGCATTACCCCAAACTGGTGGAATTGGTACAACTCAACTTTGACCAAGAAGATACCAATGGTGTAATAGTGTGTGGAGATGTGATTCAATATTTCGAAGTTGGAAAGATAAATAGTAAACGACCTGGTGTTGGTTCGAGGAAAGCAAAGCACGTTAATATGGGATCTCATGGCAAGCACGAGTCCAAGAAGAAGATAAGAGATGGCATGGACGAGTACCATCGACAGGTATACGTACAAAACAAAACTGAGGAGTTGTTTGATCGATACAATGGGACCGAATTTGATGACGAGGAAGAGGAAATGAGAGTTGCTTTGGCCATGAGCGAAAACATGTATAGCAATAACTCAAGTCAAACAGATATGGAGGTGCATATCAATGGAAGCAGTCGTCCAGATAATGACTTGGCGTTGGCCTTGGAACTTTCGGCAGGAAAAACTGGTGATGACAATGGCTGCTTTCAATCACAAGACAGAGTGATACATCAAACGCAAGACGATGATGAGGTTGATGAAGAGTTGAGACGTGCTTTGGAATTATCATTGATAGAGCACTGAACGCGTGTTGGTTCTATTGTAAATTGCACGGTTACATAAGGACTCTTTTACATAGAAGAATGAATTTGTCATGTTTCTGTTTTGGGTAGTTAGGCCGAGTAGTGCGGATTCTAAACTCCGTATATGTCCCTTCGGCTGCGAATCGCAGTTGATTGAACCAATCACACGGCGAGAATTTTAAACGGAGAGTAGGGTACATTATATTTTTTTTTATTTTTTAATTTTTCTCAAATTGCAGTACTTTTGAGCTCAAGACTGCGGATGTAGATAAGGAGTCAATAATGAGGTGTTTCTAAGGTTAAGTAGCTTTACTTCTCTGCTTCAATTGGTTCCTGCTCCAATGGTTAGTGGGCTATTGATTGAATCCACGATTTCCTCCTAACTCCGTATTTTGTAAAGCACGCACTGTATGCAGGAAGAAGAATATGAAAAAAAAAAAAAAAGAAAATTTTTTTTCGTTATTTTTTTATTTTTTTTATTTTTTTTATTTTTTCTAAATTTTGTTTTTTGTATTAAATTGTTTTTACGTCTCTCTGTTTCTCTTTATTTCTGCAATAGAAAGTAATCATTCCATTTTTAGCCAATCAGTCATATCTATAGATTTATAGACAACACATATATACTTATTTCAAGAAAGGGAGAGTCTTTTCCACAACAACCATCCGTTCCACTGTCTGTTATATTTCGCTGCATTTACAAAGTCAACCACTAGATACCACACATATTCTTATTTGACCTGCTACTGCTGCTGTTCGTTGTTGCAAAAATAGAAATCCTTATGATCTTCAACCACCAACCAAAATAACAACAAACTGCATTAGGACTTCTTACAGACATATTATCCATTTTGCCTCAATTTAGATTGCTGGACCTTAGATATATTTAAAGCACAATGGTACTTCCTTCGTTTATACGGCTAGCTAGGCTATCGACCAGACTTCGCCAAGCACGAGTACACCATTCAAACCGTCGTTATCGCCAACCATTTTTCCAGGCATCTTTCCCTTATTTGAACACCAGTTATTACTACCAGGGGCTTCTGAAACGTCATGAATTTTTTGAGAGAGCCCGATGGTGGTCAAAAGCAGAGACTGGATCCACCAGTCAATCAACACCTTTTCTTGGTATAGCCGATGGCCATTATGGTTTGTATTACTCCATGTACAATCATGAATGTGAGAGAAAAGATCGTCAAGAGGCATATGAAGAGTATACCAGACGATATATGACCAATCAATGGGAACAAGGTGATAGAACTAAATACAAACGATGTATGTTTATGAGTGCATGCAAGCACCATAACGGTTATCATTATCACCATCACCAAAATTACCGTTGGTCAAGTGGCTGCAAGGGACGTAGGTGGAACCACCACCGATCACACAAACACTTCAGAAGGTTGTTTCATGTCAAACTTTTGCTTTTAGGGATTGCAGCTAAATTCATAATTTCCAAAGCTATTGTGGATACACAAGTTGGTTTGGACAACTTGAAAACAGCTACATACCGATTGGCTACATCGTGCTATGTCAAGCCAACTGGCTATTTCCTAAACTCGGGGTCAAATTTCCACTCCACGGGGGTTTCTTCTTCTCTGAGATTGGCCACATCTCCCATAAATGGTGATGTGTTTTCGATAGGAATTTCAAAAAGGTCATTCACCACTATTTCTGGCTCCCAATATCAACAACTAACCAAATCTTTTCAAACGACACCCGTTACTAAGCATGATCAAGCGGAAGAACCTTTTGAGAGCAGCTTCCTACAAACGCAAGTTGCCAACATAACCGAAGCATTTGAGAGCCGCACGGATGAAACAAAACTAAACGTGATATACCCATTATACCAAGCTATCAAACGCAATGAATTGACATTACCAACGGTGGAGCTTTACAATATCGTTTTGAAATCGATTATTGACAGGCCTGTCGACAATGAAGCTGACATCGGTGCAATAGAGAGAAAATTGACCAATTTACTCACTGTGTATCAGGACATTTTGTACGCAAACTTGAAACCTAATCAAGAAACGTACAAATTGGTTGTGAATGCAATGTTGGATAGTACGATAAAGTGTTCATCTGTTTCTTGTTCAAATTACATTGAATTCAAGGAGACTTCAACAAAAGCTAAGGAGTTTGCTCAAGTTGCATTTGAATTGGTTGAATCGTCACCTAAACATGTCCAGTTTAGCAGTGTTTTTGATAAGATTGTCACATTGTCTAAATTGTATCCAGACCTTGTGAGTGAACTGATTATTACATCATTCAAGCAATTGTTATCCACACTATACTCTACTGACTCAAAGTACTACCTCAATGTGTTGGAGTTTTCTGCATTCTTGCCGCAATCTAAATCGTATAATGAGCAAGAGGCGTATGAAACTATTTCACAAACGTACAGCAAGATTAGAGACTTGAATGAGGTTGATGAATTTGCAGTTTATGAGTCCATGATGACTGCGTTAGTTAGCAACAACCAACTTGGCAATGCGAGTCAATTGTTGGACAATATTCTAATCGACTATAAAGAGTCGTTGCAATTTAGTACCAAACCGTCCAAAAAGCAAGTGAGCGACTTAATTGCTGCATTCTTGAAAGTGTACGCCAATAAGGTGGGTGTGGTTGAATGTTATCAATTGTTGCAAAAGTTTCAACAAGTGGCATACTTGCCTGAATTGCCCGTATCATTTTACAATTACATGATTGTCAAATTGCAGGAAGATCCTGAAGGATATGACGATATGTGGCTGTTGTATAACCGCGTGGCTTTGAGAAAAGACTTTCAACAAACCTCGACTATAGACATGATGAAAGTCGTAAATGGATTGTCGTGCCGTGATGCTCTTTTAAAGCTTGCTATTTGCAAAGGTGACCATGAGAGAGTTTTTCAACTACTTAAGGAGATTATTTTGAAGGAGCACTTGATTGGAGATCATCAGGTGTTCCGTATGGTTTTGGACTATTTGAACAATGGAGTGACTAATAGCAAATCGCAAGGAGAATTTTTCAATCAGTACTATTTGGGGTTGCTTTATCAAGTGATATCAGCTCAAGCAAAACATTATCATTCGTCGAAGCACCTCAATGATTTTGTGTCTGAGTTTGTCAAATATTTGACCATTTCGACTCCATTTGAATTGGCAAACAATGAAATGGCAGTGTCTAGCATTGCCAACTACAATGTGCAACTACTCATGAGCTCGCCATTGGCATTCAAATGTGTTGAGAATTTTGATCTTCAATCGGATAATCTTTATGGTCTTAATATCATTGCTCGTCATTTGTTATTGTATTCAGGTACTGAGGAACAAACTTTGGTCAAAGTTGCAGACCTTGAAGCACACTTGATCAATCAGTTTGAGGATGCAGGCAACCATTATATCCAGTTGACTGAAGATGTCATGGTGTTGAGCGCCGAATTGAAGGCACATTTTGCTGAAATTGTTGGAACCTTGAGCACCACAACGACTGCCATTGAAATAGCTTGTGGTTTCTTGAATATTCCTCGAGTGGAAGCGACTGAGGTTGCAAGGCCTTCTTTTGATCAAGATTTGAGCTATTTGTTGAACGTGAATTACACCAAAGGAGCCACCACATTTATTGATCTGTTCGAGAAGGGTTTCACATTTGACTTCAAAACTTGGAACGCCCTCATTAACCAAAATTTCATCAATGAGTACATTTCCAGGATTGATGTCGCTTCTATGTTGGATAGGATTTGGATGACGGATTGTGAAGAGGAGTTAAAATTATCTTTGTTAGGGAGGTTGGTTGCGTATAATGATGCATTGGTCAACCAGGAGATCTTGGAGTTTTACTGTCGCGAAAACGTATTCAATAGCTGCTCGTTGAGCAACTTGTTCCAATCTAGCACTCACATCGATACAGTACAGTTTGATTTTGAATTGGCGTACCTGAAAAACCCAGATGTCAACTGGGTACTTTCTTACTTCAACTACTTGAGTCAACAAGGACGTTTTGATGTGTTGTGGAAGTGTTGTACACTCGTTGATGCCAAGTCTGAAGAGATTCGATTGTTTGCACTTGAAGCTGCCTACGAGACCGACATGCACGATTTTGCTAAACTTTTAGAAGAATGTGCTGTTTCGCGTAACAACCCCAAGTTTATTGAATTGCAAATCAAGCATGCCATAAGGTCTGGTATCGTTGCCAGTGATATTTTGGCCAATGAATACAAGTCTAGTTCTCCAAATATCATCGAGAGGCTATCCTATGTCAAGTTTTTGAACTCTTTACAACAGAGCAAATTTGATTACACAAATTCTAAATTTGTATCCCTCAATCACATGGCTAGTGCAATACTCGCATGCGGCAATTTTCAACAAATGAAGAACATGGTTGATACAAATCCAATTGAATCTAAATCTCAGCTTGTTTCAATCATATTGCAAATGATGATTGATGCAGTGCCTCATGCACCGGCCAAATCAATCCTCAATAGATTTATGCTTTTCATCAAATTTTATAAAGTCTTGGGCTTAGGTTGTGTTTTACCCGTGCAACAGTTTTTACAAGTTATTACATTGTTGAAGTTGACCAAATCGGATTTGTTGTCAATTTTAACTAATAGAGTTTTGGGCAACGCTGATGGTGGTGCCATTTCTGACATTGTCAATTTTTATTTCTTGGAAGTTCAGTTGTTTGATAGAGAATCGAAACAACTAGTTTATAATTATTTAGAGACGAATTAATGAGAGGTTTTAATGTTTAATTGGGAAAACATTGTGTGCTGTTTTGCATTATGTATTTTCTAAAAAGCTCTAAATACTCTAATTGCGATGTGATCGCTTAATTTGTCTTCTATCAACTCTTTCATAGTACAAAATGTAAACGGACGTTTCTTCAGCCAAGACAGAGCGAGTGGAAACTTCACTGACCTGACCATCACTGATTCTCCAGTATGGATTTGAAATCAACGAACTAATCTTTTTCATCTTCACCTTCTTTTGCGGCGACTCGGCAGTTGTGGGTTTCGATGCGGATGCATTCAAGTTGCCTACTTCATCACCATTGACTTCCTGAGATAAGGGGTGGTGGCGATTAGACGATGAAGCTCCTTTATTGTGTGGCAATGCTCTACCCTGCACCTGCTGTTGCTGTTGCTGTTGCTGTTGCTGTTGCTGTTGCTGTTGCTGTTGCTGTTGCTGTTGCTGTTTCTGTTGCTGCTCCTCCTTGAGATTATGTTGCGCAAATGCATCTTCAAAGTTGTTACTATTGAGAGCGTTGCTCTTCATTGGGTCATCAACCAAGATCTCCGCTGGTGTGTGCAACCCAGTTTGCAAAATTTCCTCAACGTTCTTAGGGTTGGCTTGGATGACGGATGGTCGTCTACCCATAAGATTTGAAAATTTCGATCGTAATCCATCATCGTCTTTATCCGATCCACCACTGACTGACCGGCTCAGTTTCCGTAATGATACTTTTCGACCAAGTGAAAATGATGATGGGGACGATGTTGACGCATCATTGCTGGAAGCGAGGTCATTGACATCTTCTTGTGGTACAGAATCAACGGGAGTCGCTTCACAGTGAATGTTTCCTGACAAATCCATGATTTCGGGTGACAATTTGAAAATGTTTCCTTCCTTGTTCTTGACGTAGAGAGGTTTGTGTTTGAAACATTCATAATGTCCTTGGGTATGGGACCCCAAGTGCTTAATCACTGCTCGTAAGCGGTACTTGTAGATATCATTATCGTTGAATTTGAACTTTCTGAAATGTTGGCTCAATTTTTCCGTTTGTTGTTCTGACATGGGTGCCGAATTGATGGATTGGTGAACAGGGACAGGTGTTTCACCAGTTCTCAATGTGGTCGCAGTTGTCATGGTTTCAGCGGCGGAATCTGCACTTGTGACTGAATTTTCGTCCGCTTCATCGTCATCGTCATCGTCGTCGTCATCGTCGTCGTCATCGTCATCTTCCGTGGTGCCGTTATCAGTAGTTTTCCCATCATCAGTCAAAACTTCTTCCTCATCTTCATCAGCAGGACCTTTTTCTTCAAAATCACCGCGTTGAACATCTTCATCCTCCATATCATTTTCATCAGTGGTTAAGACCGAGGACGTGAGCTTATTCAACAATTTCTCTTCATCATCTTGAACAATTGACTGGAAATATTTCAATCGCTCGACATACTCTTTCCCAATTGACAATGTCAATGTATCTTTAAACTCAACACGACACGAATTTCTCGTAACCGACTGTCCATCAAATGCTGATCTCGACAAGTGGAAACCAAAGATCTTGGGTGGTTTTAGAATTTGTGACTTTTTCGCAACAGTTGAAGTGACTTTAGAAATGTCAATTCCATTGACGTTATAGGACTTGATGAAATCCCCCAATGGTTCTGGCAAATCCTCATTGATACACAATTGTGGATTCTTATCCAAGTCATTGATCTGTTGCAAAAACTGTCCTTCTTGAGGCGAAGAAACGGGTCTTGCTTCTCCATTATGAGATTCAGCATATGCATGCTCGTTGGCTACAATTTTGTCCAATCTGCATTTAACACATTGGTATCCTTCAATAGTTTCGCTCTCATTCTCTTCCAATAAAGTTTCCAATTTTACCAGTGGCTGTGAAGGTAAATGCAATGTCAACATGACGAATGGAGTAAAGATTGGTTTCGAAACACCATGGCATGTCAAACATCTCATTTGGCTCAAGATTAATCCATCAAACGGGAATTCAGGAACGGATATTTGTTCCAAGACAGTGTAGTCCTGAGGCGATGGCTGGCCACCCTTGGGAACGACTTGGTGTAAATGCAAAGTAATAAACTTGTGGAAACTTTTCAATTTCAAATTCTCATTCTCCAAAGTTTCATTAATCAATTGAGTCAACTCTTGAGCATCATGTTGACTTCTTGATATTTTGGCATTGAATATCTTTTCCAATTCATGTAGAAAAGTCCAAACTGAAATCGTCTTTGATGTCATTTGAGTTTCTTGCAATTTCTTAACCATTGAAGCCAATGCTATATGTAAGGGGATATCGAATTTTTGATTTGATGCTTTGAATTTGCCGCTTTGCAATGACTTGTGATGTTCTGTTCTCAACTTGATCAATTCATCGATATTGATGTTGTGAGACTTGATGAATTCAAATAGTTGGTTGAAACTAGTGATAAATCTGTTGAGATACTCTGTCAATGAAGGTAATGCAGAGTATGCTTGTAAAGAAGAGTTGGCAAAACAGTCATTTCTCAAGTTGATCAATCCGGTTGTGTGTTTGTCTGGGCGTTTGGTAAACATTTTCGAGTTGCTATTGCTGCTGAATATTGGGAGTGATGGTGCAGCAATGTATAATATAAGAGTGGTTGTAAGGAGTATTTTCAATAGAAGTGAGCTCCTCTGTTGTGGGGTCTTGTTAAACCAGTAGTTGGTTAATGGCTGGGGTATGTACCTGAAGATAGGGTTGTGGAGGACAATGGATGGGGTAAGTTGCTGCTGCTGCTGCGATTGAAGATTTGTGGAGGTTGAACTGATGAATTCTTGATTAGTAATGAGTTGTTTTAGTTGCAATACAAGATTATCCATTCAATGGGGGGAGGGGGAGGGGGTAGTGAATAGATGACTCTCCCTATATAATCTCTTTTTAGAGTGCCAACAAAAAGGAATTAGTAAAAGCTAAAATTTAAACGCCAGAAAACAAGACCAGAAAAAGAAGAGAAAAAAAGAAATTTGTGACATGTGTTGCGTGCGAGAATTTGTTCGCTCGGAACTAAAGCCGAAACATTTTTTTAGTCAGATCTCGGAGATTAGATGAGACCCCTCTTTCCTATCCTTCTTCCCTTTGTGCGTACAAACGGGTACACTGGGTAAGCGCTCACCTTTGGCTTCCTTCTGTATTGTCAAAACGGTTTGCGATGCCTAGGGATTGAAGAATTTGAGGAACAAGGACATCACTCACATTTAAAAATACAATGATGTCATTTAGTGAGGTAATTTTTTTCTCAGTCAAAAAGTGTGTCGCAAATTCAGTGTCACATTCACGAATAAGGTGCATCCTCATACACAAAGCAGCTAGATGCACCCCTGAGAATATCAATAACTACGGTTTGGCAAATGCTGGCAAACGCTAACAAGTCTTTTATGCATTATCTTCGTAGTACTAAACACTACACAGCTTACTATATATGCCGCTATGTGACTCTCCCTCTCCCGCTCCCCCTGTTCAAAAGTTTATAATCTTCATCGTGGCGTACCCGATCGTAACGATTATCCCGTATGCAATCAATGAACTGGGCACACCCCTGGTTATAAATGTACTGACTGTCAAATATGGCTTACCAAATTCATCAGTCATACAAATAGCAGTAACATTGGGGAACCCAGAGGTAGGTAAACCCATAGCTGCAGAACACAACAATGCACTGGCCATAATCAACAATCTCGGGTGGGGCTCCGGCATATTATTTCCAATTTCTTGCACCAATGGAATAATGATCAATGCTGCTACTGTGTGAGACACAAAAGTTGCCATAATCAAAATCAATAATCCAAATGTGAGGGTGACACCAAACAACGAGAAGCCTTCGACTTGTCTTTGTATTTCGATTGCGATGGTATTCAATAACCCAGATGATGCTACTGCTTTACCCAAAGCAGTACCACCCATGGCCAACACAACAATGTTCCATGGATAATTGTTGAAATCTTCAGTGGTCAATAAGCCAGAACCGAAAAACAAGATCATTGGAATCAATGAGATTATACCCATTTCTCCAAAAATCCCAGTCAATTTCGATGCAAAACACCACAACAAGATAGTTCCCACGGATACTACTGAGATATACCACTGGATACCTGAGAACTTATCATCAATCATCCTAATTGGTACTAAATGTGTGTTTTTGGAATTGCAATTGAATGTGATCAACAAAAACATCCAAATCAACAACAATGTCAATACACAAACGGGAATCGAGATGACAAACCACTGGCCCCACGATGGTTGTGGTTCAATGGCGCCAATAGCAATGATGTTTTGTGGTGAAGCTATGGGTGAGGCCATTCCTCCTACATTGGAAGCCAATGCAATGCCCAAGATCAAAGCGTTGATGAATTGAGATCCCTTGGGCAAGGTACGGGTGAGTGGTGTAATCAAACTCAAACACATGACAGGCGCCGCAACGTTCGACAAGAAAGCTGACGCGATTAATGCAACTCCCATAATGGTTAACAATACAACTGATGGATTAGTTCCAGCTTTAGACAAGATCCAGGTGGATATCAATTTGGCAATATGGTACTTTGACAATGCCGCTGCTAAAGTAAATCCACCCAACAACAACAATATGACTGAATTCCACATTGTGCTCAAGATATACTTGGATGCATCGATCGAATCCATGATGGATCCGTCATCATTCTTAATCACATTGAGAAACACAATCAACAACGGAATCAACAAGGACGTAACAAACAATGGAATAGCTTCAGTAGCCCATAGTAAAGACGCACAAACCAACATGGCAAAACAATTCTTTTGCGCAACATCATCAAATGGCGACACATTGAGCAAGATGAGAGTAACTGACACAATGACAAACAATTTCACAAGTACGGGGTTCCGTATTGATATATTGAATGAGCTCAATCTTCCACCACTTGCTTTTAACTCGGTTTCTTTATCACTCAAGGCACCTTCTACTCTATCCACCAACTTTGAATTGGCTGCATAGGTCTTTCTTTCCAATCCAATCATATCTCTCCAAACGGTGTTTCTTTCCCAAACAACATGTTCTCGTAAATGAATTGATAATTCTTGTCTAGCAGTTTCAAAATCGTCGCCATGGTTACAAATCAATGCATACAATTTGATTAACGATTCCAATCTTTCATTGACCTTTTGTATAGTTGCCCTTTTGAATATGTAGGAATTTTCGGGCAATGATTCCAAGTATGATTCCTTGATATTGGTGTTCAAAGACTTGTCAAATTTCTTTAAAGCCTTTTTGAATCCAGTTTGATTCAATTCAATGTACGACTTCAACTCTGATAATGTAGTGTATAACCCGATTGTTCTTTTTCTAAGTATAATACGACTTTCGGTAAGTAGGAGCAATTGCGGTGGTAATCGGTTTTCAGTAGATGTGACATTTGTCAATTCGTTCCACAAGTTTTGTGATTTGGGTGACTGTAAGTAGTCATCAATTGACTTTGTACGGTGTAGGTCATGGCCGTTTGATCCACCTCGTGGAATAATAGGTGTGGACCCCATACGTTTAACTTGTCTTCCTCTTGCTTGAGGGCCAAGAATACGATCTCTCTCCAACTCTTCGATATAATTCTCTTCTTGAGCGTCGACTCCATCCTCGTCGTCATCGTCGTCTTCACCTTCACCTTGAGTAAACTCCGTATCAGGGTCGGTGGTGTTGGTTATATAATTATCTTGAGAAGTAGCTGAGAACCGTCTTGCTTGGTCGAATCTCGATTTGAACTTTTTATTCCCCTTGTCTTGCAAATTTTCTGCAATTTCTTGTTCAAATACTTCAATGTCATACACCAAGTCATCAATGCTCCTAAACAAGAATTGCTCTTGCTGCTTGTAGAATGTGTCAATTTTTTTCAATTCAGCATTTAATGCTGCTTCAAATACTCTGGCAGGATTACTATCATCATCATCATCATCATCTAAATGTGCTGTACTTGAATAATGCTCACCCACTAAATGCGCGTTCTCCTCTAAATCTGCAGTATCATCAAAGTTGGCGTAGTTTCTTCTCAAACTGTCTCTTTGCAAAGAATATATCAACTTTTTCAAAGTCGTGTATGCGATGTACTTTGATGACCACTCAGGGACAGCATTAAATTGTATCGAGTGTGAGAACTTCATCCCAGTGGTTGAAGGAGGGAGTTTCTACTCTGAAGTTGGAAATGTACGAAAATACAATGTAAATGCCCAGGTTACCGTAGAAGGTGCAAATTGACTCTATCAGTAGTATAGGATGGACTTGTACTGTGCCGTGTACCAACGCGGTGGACGAATCTAGAGAAGATAAAAAGAATTGCGACAAAACATAGTTGGACAAAATACACGACCTTTTTCATTTACCTTGTATTTCGAACAACAGATGGTGAATGCCACCATACACACAACTGCTTATTTAGGAATGTAGGAAATTGAGTGGTATGTTTGTCTATCCTGTAACAGGTTTACCTTCCATTTACGCAGATGAAGCTTATTCTGAGTTCGAAGTTAGTTAAGTAATTTGCTTGGAAATGATTGCAAAATGTACCAAGTGTAAAATTCTACCAAGTACAAAATCCATTCGTAGAGATATACTGACGCTAGCCTTGATTATAGAAATAACTTGACTCCATATTATTGCAGCAGCGTTACTGCGAATTCGAGAAGTTCGATACCTAGTACAAAGCACTCCCTCATAGTGGGTGAAGCATGACACAGATACGCTACCAAGTACATAGTTAAATGGCAATCCTACAAAACGAGTTTAATTTGAGTAGTTTCAGATACTCCTTTTAAAAGTCAAACTCCATTCTATGTCAAGGTATAGTCATTAGCGTCAGCGGTTGAGTCTATGAGTATTAACTTGAAGCTAGCATAGCGAGTGGTGAAGATATCTGTTACTAAAATCCCATTTAAGCAGCAAAAAGCAATCGTAACACCTAAAATAAAAATAAAAATAAAAATTAAAATAAAAATAAAAATACGCCATAAGAATTTGAAAGACGTCATAGAAAATGAGAGAGACATTTTGTACCACTTGAACAAAAAAAACTAAAGAAAGTGGCTGAAGTGGTATTTTGTTTTGGGACCTTGGAAATTTCATAATTATTTTGGTACACCAGCAAGGATAGACACACTATCATTCCAGTACTTGATACTATTACACAACTTAATATCCCACACACAAGCACAGTCAGTTTCCAACAGCGTACTATACACAGTGGTGATAAACCGATTTCCTCATCATACTATCTCACAACTACGTCTCGTGCTTTCACAACTTTAGAATAGCAAATATTATTCCTTTGAGTCCTGCATTGCCTCAATATATAAGATAAGCTATCAAAGATGGACTTTTGCTTCTTCCTTATTGGGTGTATGTGTCAAGTCTCTTAACAAAGATGAGTTTCGAGTTGGATTCTAGAGTTGCTAGATTTGGCTGGATATGTGATTAAGGTGGAATATCGCTATTGCATGCAGAGGAGCCGTTAGTCTCGACTCACAACGTGTCCTTTCCAGCCCACAAGATCAGCCATTTCCGTTTCAAATTAGAACCATCACAAGCTTCAAGATGTCTGTACTAACAACAATCATTTAGTCAAGGAATTCAACAAACAATTGCCAGATGTAGGCAATGTTTCATGCTATTGTGGTCGTTGCCATAACCAAAGTGCACATGCCATTCGTACAATCAACACGGTCACGCTTTTCTTTATCCCCGTCCTCCCATTCTATTACTCCAAGAGGTTAAAATGCGGTATTTGTGGAAATTCTGGAGATTTGGACAAAACAGCACTCGAGCATTTGAAAAAGGGGGAGCCTGTAGCGATAAGTGGGTAGTAGAGAGTTGATTCTTGGCGATACGTATTGCCAGTTGATGCTTGGTGAGTTTTTTGTTTTACTATGGGTTGGGAGGATTTATTGTTTTGTATTTTTGCTATATATTTGCTAGCTGTGGCCTATAATTGCCTACTGAGACTGATCTTTAATGTAGGTTGTTGAAGCTGCAGCTTGTTTCAGATGTAACTTTATATTCAAGTAATTCATATTGTAGCACCTTTGGTTGTTACCTAATCATGCTGCTTATCGCAAAAATGCACCCGTCTTTAGCTACTCCTATAATAGACCAATGGAGCACTCGACCTCTCAATAACTGAACCCCCAATATTGACCAATTACTCAACGAAAAATCACCACTTCAATACGACCAACGGCGGAATCAATATTTCATTGTGACTTCTGCCTCAGTGAATCGTATAATTAACCCGTTACAGTTGTACCAAATGACAATTATCCCGAGATTAGGGAAAAACGTTTGTCCGTAGTCAAATCACCACAAACGCACAACGAAACACAGTGGTGTGAGTGGGGGAGACCGGGATCAAAGACCGAAAATCTACAACACAATTAAGCAAATTTCAAGTCCAGTGTGACAAGAACAACCTTATGTTGGGAATATATCGAACCATTTTTGCCAAACTCTTGCTGGAAGGTAGCCAACCCCACGATTGCCCAAAGTTTTTTTTTTTTTTCAGATGTAGTTGTCGAGCAACGACGATTGTCGAAAACTTCCTCCAAAAAAAAAAACAAAAAAAAAAGAATTTTAGATTTCAGTATTGGTTAAAAACGGGTGTTATCCCAGCATTGATAGTGCCGTAGTGTTGAAAAGGATAGTAGTGGGAAAACAAAGTTACTCTACTCACACAAAACCTTAAACACGCTCGGGGTTATGTTGAGGATCTTTCGTTTTGTGAGGCGGTTGTATTTTCTCCGACCAAAAAAAAAAAAAAAAACAAAAAAAAGAAAATGTTCCAGTGGGGAAATCATTGGATCACCACGAGTATGGGAATTGAATACACCAAATTTTGTCCACACTCGTATCTTCATGACATGCACAAGGACATAGCTTGACTATACCGACACAATAGACTTGCCGCAGACTTGGTCCAACATAGTTTTTATAAATCCGCTAGACCTTCAAAGGAGGTGAGTTTGCTGTTTTTGTTACCTAATCTTGCTTAAGCCTTTTTCTTTTCTTATTTTCTTTTTTTTTTTTTTTGGGGGGGGGGGGGGGGGGGGACGTGTATGTGTGTGAATGTTTTTCATCAATATCAGTGGGAATAGTGGTTTCTTTATAAACGTGGCTGTATTTAGGGTCTTGTGGGAGGAGTGTACCCGTAATCGGCGATGAAAGAGTTCAATATGAAAATTTGTGGCATTTGATTACTTTAGCGTCGGTGACAAACCCGTGCGAGGGGTTGAGACAAGAAAACCCCGCACTGCTTGAACAATACAAACTTTGAAGCGCGGGACCGACTCCGAGAAATTGTATCCTCACTATTCGCAATTTTTTGTAGAATTGAGCAGAAGAGTGGGAAACTAACATGGGCCAATGAAGCTGCCTAATGAATGTGATCGATTCTTTGATAACTTTCGGCCCTTTACCCTTCTCCTCCAAACTACCTCGGACACACATCCCACAACCTAACAGCGCATAGTTGTGCGGATTTAAAACAAACCGAGAAAGAGAAAGAGAAAAAGAAATAAATTCAAAGAGAAAGAGCGAAATGTGCGTCATCTGAAAAATTGCAAAAAAATCAGACCTCTGAAAATTTTCAACCTCAATCTGATCTGATTCAGCATACTACCTGAAAGTTTTCCGCCGTACCCCCCCTTCCCTTTCCTCCCTTCACATTTGCTTCTCTTTTTGTCCATGACATCTAGCAAAATTCAAATACTCAGGACTGTGCAGCAGGTAAGACAATGGAGAGCCCAGTTCTTTTTGAATAATCAGTCGGTTGGCTTTGTTCCCACGATGGGTGCTCTACATGCAGGTCACTGTTCATTAGTGTCCCAGTCGTTACAAGAAAACGACAAGACCATAGTTTCCATATTTGTTAACCCTTCTCAATTTGGTCCCACTGAAGATTTAGACAGATACCCCAGAAGTTTGGATCGTGATTTGGAGATATTGGAAGAGCAATTCCAGAGCAAATCCGTCGATGCTGTTTTTGTGCCCAAAGTTACCGAGATGTACCCTAGTGGTATCACACTTGACGTTGAAAACCAGCGTGGTACATTTGTGACTGTGCATGGATCGAGTGAACAACTTGAAGGGGTCACGAGACCACAATTTTTCAGAGGAGTTGCTACAGTTGTAACCAAATTGTTGAACATTGTTCAACCGACTAGAGTCTATTTTGGTCAAAAGGATGCCCAGCAATGTGTGGTTATCAAAAACTTGGTGAAGGACTTGCACATTCCTACTCAAGTGCGAGTTATGCCCACCTCCCGTGAAGCTAATGGTTTGGCAATGTCGTCAAGAAACGAATACTTATCAAAAGAAATGAAAGATCGCAGTTCTATCATTTACAAAGCATTGAAAAGTGGTGAGGCATTTTACAATGAGAAAAGACAAAAGATGAAAGAGGTTAAGGCAAACGACATAGTTGCAGAGATCAAGAAGGGTCTTGTAAGTGATCCCGATTTCGATATTGAATATGTGGCAGTCAGTCATCCTGACCTATTGACTGACCTTGATACCGTCGAGCCTGGAATGGGAGCTATAGTTTCCTGTGCTGTCAAAGTACCAAAAGAAAATAGCGATGAAAAGGCTAGATTGATTGACAATATTGTTTTGCAATAAAACACAAAAGGTTACGAGTTTTAATGATAATGAATTGGGGAGGTAATATAGAAAAGTACATCTGCATCAAATGGTAATAAAAAAAAAAAAAAAGTTTACAATCTCTTACGTTTCCGAAAGAGTAAGCTTTTTCTGCTTGTAGTTGAAGATCCTCTAGTCTCTGTGCTGTGTAATTTGGCATTCTTTTCCTCATACAATCTTCGATCTTGTTCAAGTTGCCGTTCAAACACTTCCCTTGCATTTGTTCCAACACCATCCACCAATTTATCTCGAGATGTTTGTGGAACGCTGTAGAAAACAAAACCATATTCTAGTAGCCACATGGGATCAACACAAGTCACATAATTCATGTACTCCTTCGACGTCAATATCAAATCATGATAGATGACAAAATTCAGACTCAAGTTGCTATTCACCAAGCTACTCGTGGGATGGAGATACATTTTCATATAATTGTGACGTAAGTTGACAAACTCGGGAGTCCCATTGACCCCCATTTTGACTAGTTTAGCCAGTTGATGATAAAATGCAGCACACAAGCATCTTCTAATATCGTCATCGTTTGTGGCTCTATAAAACGGAAGTTTCCTCTTTTGCATTATCAATGCCAATTGCCTTCGTATCTCTCTTGCTCGATACAAAGATTTATACTGGAGAAAGTTGCGATCACACCACTCATTGATTCTATTCCAACTATTTCCAAACTTATTCATATTCGTCTCCCATTGTGTGTAAACATTGAGTAATGTCAAATGGTCTGACTCTGCAACAAGAAACCTCTCTCTCGCCAGATCTGCTTCTTTTGCCCTCTCTTTTGACCTTTGGAAAATGTTTGAAACACTCAACATCGCCACAATGGTGAGTATATCTTCTGAACAACGAAATTGAACAGACAACAAGATCAACTTGGACAATGTCGGCTCAATGGGGAACTGTATCATATCACGTCCAAGGTTGGTCAATTCACCGAAATTGTCCAAAGCCCCCATGGCCCATAAGTCGTACAACGAACAATTGAGCAAATCCTTGGGAGGACCATCCAAAAATGGAAACTTGTTGATGTCTTGCACATTTAATGACTTCAAAAGTAACATGGTGTTGCTCAAGTTGGTCCTCTGGATCTCTGGGATGGGCTGTTGATACATACTGTGCGGATCAGTAGCTCGTTCAGTGTATAATCGGTAAGCAACTCCAGCACCAGTTCTTCCAGCTCTACCACTCCTTTGCTCGGCATTCGCAAACGATATAGGAACTACTTGTAACGTATCCATACCCAATTTGGGGTTGTAAACTTTCACCTTGACCAACCCGCAGTCAATAACATACTTGATTCCATCAACAGTCAATGAAGTCTCAGCAATATTTGTTGCAACAACCACCTTCCTCTTTGATTTGCTTGACTTGTTGAATATCCGCTTTTGTAACTCCTGTGGCATAGTGGAGTAAATGGGCAAGATCTCCAAAGGTGGGGGGTTTTCCAACATTTCAAGCTTTTCGCGTAATAGTTCGCACGTTATTTCTATATCCTCTTGGCCAGTCATAAACACAAGAATATCTCCATCATTAACAAATGTGCCTCCATCATTACTTCCCTTACTCAAATGGATTGACAATATTTGTTTGACTGCTGTTTCCACGTAGTCCATGGTGGCATTCTTGTTGAAGTAAATATCAACGGGAAAAGTTCTTCCAGGAATGGTGAATTGTGGAGCTGCGCCAAAGAATCTAGTGAATCGATCTGCATTCATTGTTGCTGAAGTTACAATTAACTTCAAATCCCTCCTCTTGGCTAGCAACCCTTTAAACAACCCGAGCAAGATATCGGTGTTGAGAGACCGTTCATGAGCCTCATCAATAATGATGCAACTATACTCGCTCAATGTACTATCGGCCAAAATCTCCCTCAATAAAATACCCTCAGTCATGTACTTGACAACTGTCTTTTCCTGACTGGTCTTGTCATCAAACCTAACTGAATAACCAACCTCTTCTCCCAACTTGACTTGCATTTCTTCGCTTACTCGTTTCGCCACAGACATGGCTGCAACTCGTCTTGGTTGCGTGCACCCAATAATCTTCCGCTCACCACCTTTAGTAGAGGCCAATCCTTGTTCATAAAGGAATTGAGCTAGTTGTGTTGTTTTCCCAGACCCCGTTTCACCAATGATAATTGTGACCTGGTTGTCGCGAATAGTTGATACTACGTCGTCCTTTACTGCATATGCCGGTAAGCTTTTACGTTGCTTTTGAATTGCGGCAAAATCAGTACCCTGCTCTGATTCTTCTTGCTCCTCTTCGATGTCATTTCCTTTTGCCGTTGTAGCTATTCCGGTTTTCTCCTTGGCTTGCTTTGCCCGCTCTTGCTTTGCTTTCTTCGATTGCACCACCAAAGACCCCTGTTTTGCCATAGACGCCAACTCGGAAGTAGAGTCCTTCACAGGATCTACCGTGGGGCCAGCTCCCCGTATACTAGTTCCAGATATTTGCAAAGTTAAATGCTCCTTCACACTATCAAGAAATGGTGGGATCAATACTTGGCTGATTATTGGAATGCGATTGAAGTCGTTTCCCGGTGCATGATCGAAATCAACGTACTCTCCTGAAGAGTTGAAGTATCCTCCAGTACCTTCGTTTGAGGATTTCGGGACGGTTTGATTTGGTATACTGGTTTTCCAAGATGATTGCAGTTTTACCTCACTTCGATGAAGCGAGGTTTGTTGATTGTTAATATTTGATGGCCCATTCAATTCTGATTCTAATTCGCTGGCAGGGGGTGTTTCTTTGAGCCTGTCAGTATCCTCCTTCTTCAATCTCTTGAATTTAGTTTGCGGTGTGTTACTCTTGGATCGTACTTTGATATTCGGATTAACGAACCCATCAAAGTCATCTTCTTCCCCAGGGGATAAGCTCAACGTAGGTTTCTTGGAGCTTATAGCAACTCTTTTCGGTTCAGATACCCCTTCATCGTCTTTGGAATCCTGTATAATGTCATAAATATCTCTAGCATGGTTATCATTCTTCAAGCCGATAATTTGTGTGAACTTTGTAAAATCATCAAAACTCTTGCTTCTCACCTGTGCAATCACCGTCTGAGCCAAAGAATCATTCTCTGGTTTGTTCAAGTAAACTGATAGTTTATGTTTTATTGTCAGTGTTATACCAGCACCACTCATGCCTCATCGATTGATAACAGATATGAGAGTTGAAACAAAATCGCGGAAAAAAAAAAAAAACAAAAAAAAACATTCAAAATCCCATCCATCATTTCAATTACACGCACTGCTTTATGAACAAAATTCCCAAACGATTCGAACAATACTTCAAGTATGCAGTCGGCTTTAGATGCAAAGTAGTCCCACCTCCCAAGACCACGTCTGAGCTGCAATTCATTGTTCAAAATTTGCGAAAGCTCGCCTCGGTTGACTTTTTAAAGTCTACAAATTTGAACCTGGAGGACATTATTGAAAATGGCTATCAACTCGATATCCTATTTAACCCGGTACATACAAAGAGCTTGTTTCTGCCTGTATCAGTGAGCGACGAACCTGATCAGATAAACACACTGCATTCGCGAAATATTGCTGCTCGAGATAAACTTGTCAAACAATTGGAGAATTTGATTGCAATACCAAGGTACTTGTATGTGCAGAACGACGAAAAGTTTCTCAATAACGAACGTCAGATCCAATTTACACACAAGTTGCATGAAAGAAACCTAGATCTCGCCGGGAAGTACGATTTGTCGTTGGCTTCATTGGATAACCCATTGATATCCATAACCCAATGCGACGACAAGGTGAAAGGTTTCAGCCTACGAGCGGCAATCAGAAGTGATGTACAGCATTTCCACAAATTTCAAAACATAGAGATTCACAAAAACCATCGATACATTTTAAATCAACTTGAATCAAATTCATTCTGAACTTTTACTTTCTACTTGCTTCCAACTTTTCCACCTTTTCTTCATCCTTCCTCAATACCTCATTCAAATAGTTTAATCCCATTTGTTGCTTCACTAAAATCTGCGAAATCTTTTCAATAACATCCTTTGCACTACTTGCCTCGTCTTTGGACTTGCCCTTAATGGCGACCACCCCACCATCGAACGATTCATTCAATGCATGTATCGACTTGTCGAATTGAACATTCATATCCTCTGCTCTCTCTTTGAGTATGGCCATTTTGGCAAATATGTCGCCCACTTTCCCAATGGGGCTATTTGGGTCATTCAATTTCGTACTTAAAATGTCAAACTGCTTAGCTATCTCCTCCTCTTCTGGAAGTAGAGGATACCCTTTCAACTTGAGCATTGCCAATACTGTAGCCAAACGTAAAACTCTTCGAGATAATTGCGTATGTCTTGTCTTGGCCTTGAGAATTCTTGTTGTGTTTTCCAAATCATGCTTTGCTGATAAGGTATTTAGCCTCTCGTTTATCTGGTTCAATACAACTTTTTCTTTAGCGGCATAGTCCAATTGAGTTTCAATTCTTTGAGCAACTTCATCATAAGACGTAATCTTTATGGGGTAAAAATTCTGACCCGGTCTTTCAGTCATAGCCTTGTCCCAATCTTCTGGCGTTTCATTGGATGGTCGCGGCTGCGACATCAAAACATTCATCTCTTGATCGCTGAATTTGTTATAGAGATGCGTCTTTAAAGCACACTTTGGCGAATTTGGATCCCATTGTTCGTAGACTTTGGCCAATTGATCATTTACGGCTGGGGTATATGCTGCGGGATTAGGATTCTGCGGTTGGTTTGCATTCTGGCCAAATCCTCCAAGTGTAGTAATGTTGTTGACAGCAGGTTGTACTTGTTGTGGCTGGCTCCAGCTAAAGGATGGTTGCTGGTTGTTCGTGGTGTTGGAGAAGAGTGTTGATTGTTGTTGGGGCTGACCCCCAAACAAGCCACCACTGACTGTATTACTGCCTCCAAGAAGGCCACCTCCCTGTGTACTGTTTGTATTGCCTGCGCCGAAAAGACCGCCAGATTGTTGAGTATTGTTGGATCCAAATAATCCACCGCTTGTTGATGTATTTGGCTTGTTTCCAAAAAGTCCACCCGAGGTTGACGATTGCTGGTTTCCTCCAAGCATGCCACCACCTGTGTTGTTTTGCTGTGTGCTCCCAAACAACCCACCGCCACCACCTGTGTTTTGCTGTGTGCTCCCAAACAACCCACCGCCACCACCTGTGTTTTGCTGTGTGCTCCCAAACAACCCACCGCCACCACCTGTGTTTTGCTGTGTGCTCCCAAACAACCCACCGCCACCACCTGTGTTTTGCTGTGTGCTCCCAAACAACCCACCGCCACCACCTGTGTTTTGCTGTGTGCTCCCAAACAACCCACCGCTAGTGCCTGTGTTTTGCTGCTTGTTTCCAAATAATCCACCAGAAGTACCCGTGTTAGCACTTTGTTGGTTATTGCCGAATAAACCTCCTCCTGACGCTGAAGTATTCTGTGATTGTTGATTGCCACCAAAGAGGCCGCCCGTGTTGGTTCCCAGTTGCTGATTTCCACCAAATAACCCTCCCCCGCTTGTCAGTGATCCCGCAGGCTTTCCAAATGTTGAACCGCTATTGTTTGCGCCAAATCCACCAATGGTTGCTGAATTATTCGATTGAGCAAATAATCCTCCCCCCAGAGCCGGTTTCTGTTGACTCGATCCAAACAATCCTCCTCCTGACGATGCATTGGGGGGGTTGTTTTGTGATTGACCAAACATGCCTCCTGTTGAGTTTGGTTGGCCGGTGGTGTTTGATTGTCCAAATCCAAACCCAGTGTTGGTCGAGGCAGCCGGTTTACTTCCAAATAATCCGCCACTTGAGGCACTGTTATTAGTATTCGATGCTCCGAATAACCCCCCACCTGTATTACTGCTTGCGCCAAACATAGAATTGATTTGATTGTTAAACTCTTTTGCGATGATTTTTTGCTGAATGGATTGTTTATTTTTTTTTTTACTGGGAGTAAAATATGAAGGAATATTTGGTGAGAGTTTCAATTGCAAGCAATTACAGACCAGCGGAGAGAGAGCGCAGGTTGTGCAGGTTTTGCAGTTTGTGCAGTTCGAGGAAAGATCATAGAAGCTTAAACGTCGAAAACGAAGTCAATAACCCTCGAATAGGTTGTTCTTGATGGGCGACGATGCAAGCCTCCATTTTTAATCTACAAAGAGAAAAGGTTTTGCAACATCAGTTTGAAATCATTATCCAAGTCTATATGTCGTGCACTCTCAATGCCATACCTTCCAGTGATGACTGACTACGTGAACCATTAATTCGTTTCTGCTTGATGTATGTCTCGAATATGTATTTTTTCCCTTTTTTTTTTTTGGATCTAACTGCTACTTGTAGCAGGAGCAGCTACTGGAGCAGCAGCAGCAGTAGCTTCATTCTTCTTTAAGAACTCTTTTGTTTGTCTAACATCTTTCGAGTCAGGTCCATATATAGGACTCTTTTTGTCTTGTATTTGTTCTTCAACACCAGGAATCTTCTTTGTCAACTTCAAATTATCAAACACACACTTGCTTAAAACTCCTTCACTAGCACGACAGCGGCTGAAGTATTGGTTGTTTTGTTCCAAGCATTCATAGTGCAATTTGAATTCATCAAAACAGTACTTGTTCAAATCTTTCAAAACCGATATAGCACATCTGGTCACACGTCTTCCCTCTTTCAAACAGTCTATAGTCCCTCCGTTGTGTTCATCTTTACATAACATAAAGTCATCATTGTATGGCTTGCACCTGTCTCCAATGTAATATGATGCTGATAATAACGGTGCTGATGTTGCCCCTACTTCGTCCACTTCCGGTATGGTGTTTGGTAGTGGAGTTTCTTCCTTGTTTTCCCATTTGTGTCTACCTATTAAGAACTCACCCAACATGTTGTGTGTGTATTGTTTGTATGTGTAGTGATTGGATTGTTTTGAAAAGTGTATAGTCTCAACTCAATAGAAGTTCAATATCTAGAGTCTGCTTATGGTTTTTTTTTTTTTTTTTTTTTTCATTAAACATTTTTGAAATTTCAAATTCGCAAAATTTGGTTGGTTGGTTGGTTGGTGGAATGCGCGGCAGTGGGAGAGAGGTAAATACAAAGGACGACCCCCAAGATCAATGTATTCTCAATTTGCTCATCCTACCGGGCCAGAATTAGTAGAGGCACACTAAAAACTGCAATCAAAGCTGCATACCTATATAATAATGCGATGAAAACCGAGCTCTTAGCTTCATTAGAGCCGATTTTGGTAGCTACAAAAAATTCTAAGGATCTTTTCCCCTTGAAATTTTTGGCTGACCTTGTGAATAAAGTCGTATGATTTATGCAGATCTTTGGCTGGAGTCAATCCAGGACAGCTTGCAAGTGTATTTCTTGGCCTCGCATCTACTAGCGGGTTGCTAGTGGGAAACAGAAGTGCGCCATGTGCGAGTGAGTCGAAATTTTTGAGGTCTAGATTTTTTTCACTTACGCTTTGCAGCTACATACTTCAAGATCTCTTTGCAATGTAAACGCGATCAGCAAGGTTATGAAAGGTTATGCTTGCTACGGTTGGCCTTACTGTTTCTGCAAAAGTTGGCTGCTGTTGAATTCACCACAACCTTGTTCCTTTTTTGTGTTTCCTTGGTCGTCTCCTCCGCAAAACTCCGCAAGAATTTACATACACTGCATGTACGAAGTTTCGTGACGACCAGATGGCGTGATGATGCATTTCCACTTCACTGCAACAATTGAGCATTTGTACAAAGTGGGATTCTAAGGGATAGAGTATAAAACAATTCATGTATCATCAAACGGATTTTCAGACGAATTTTTCACTAATAGGAGAGGCAATTACAATTCGGTATAAAATTCCATTCTGAATTCTATAAAGGGTCAGATTTCAGTTTAAAGGATAAGAAAGTTTAGGCATATGCATATATATACATGACCATATAAATGTTCAAACCTGGTTCAATATTGAAGTCAATTAAACCAACTACAAGAATTTCCCATAGTTTATCAATTCCATTGATTCGCAACATGTCAATCCCATCTACTCAATACGGGTTTGTATACACTAAACAAAATGGACTCACGTTGAAGAATGATTTGCCAGTGCGCAAGCCCAAATCTGGCCAGTTGTTGTTGAAGATTGGTGCTGTTGGATTGTGTCACTCTGATTTGCACGTTATTTATGAAGGATTGGACTGTGGTGACAATTACGTAATGGGCCATGAGATTGCAGGAACTGTTGCTGCTGTTGGGGAAGATGTGACTGGATACAAGGTTGGTGATCGTGTTGCTTGTGTGGGGCCAAATGGATGTGGCGAATGCAAGTATTGTCGTGGGTCTACTGATAATGTATGCAAACAAGCTTTTGGTGATTGGTTTGGATTGGGTAATGATGGTGGATACCAACAGTACTTGTTGGTGCAAAGACCTCGCAACTTGGTTCGTGTGCCGGGTAATGTGTCGTTTGATGTCGCTGCTGCGTCAACGGATGCAGTATTGACGCCATACCACGCCATCAAAATGGCTAAAGTTTCACCAACATCTAATGTGTTGATGGTTGGTGCTGGTGGATTGGGTGGGAACGCAATCCAAATCGCCAAGGCATTTGGTGCAAAAGTTACCGTTTTGGAGAAGAAGAAGGAGGCTCGTGATCAGGCCAAAAAATTGGGAGCTGATGAAGTTTACGAGTCTTTGCCTGGATCAATAACTCCGGGGTCATTTTCATCATGTTTTGACTTTGTTTCCGTGCAAGCCACCTTTGATTTGTGTCAGAAGTTTGTTGAGCCAAAGGGCATCATTGTGCCTGTGGGGCTTGGTGCACCCAAATTGAGTTTTGATTTGAGTGATTTGGCATTGCGGGAGGTGCAGATTTTGGGTACTTTTTGGGGGACGACGAATGATTTGGATGATGTTATGCAGTTGGTTAGCGAGGGAAAGGTTAAGCCGGTTGTACAAAGTGCTAATTTGAAGGAGTTGCCGGAATATATTGATAAATTGAGAAACAATGCATACGAGGGAAGAGTTGTATTCAATCCATGAAACAACGAGAAGGCAGGCCGAAGATGGAGTTATAGGGAGGGGAGGTGATGAGAGGAGAGAGGAGAGGAGGGGGAGGAGGGGGAGGAGGAGTGTTGAGAATGAAAAAGTGTTTTGATTTAAAACAATTGATTTTAATGTATGACAGTTTCAAGAATATTACTCTCTAATAGCACCCTCTTATTTCAAGTCGAGATTGTATTTATCAACAACAGGTTCAATTAAACCCAAATGAAACTGATTTGCATCTTCAATAAAGTCAATCAAGTTTCCATCGTTGTTCTCATTCTCCACATATTTGTGAAAGTGTGCCAAATGGTTCAACTGACAATTAATGCAAAGGTTATAAAGTAATGAATCGATCAAATCATCGGTTTTCTCCCCCTGTGGTAACCCCAAATATTCAAGTAATAGACTCACTGTTAGTCCACCACTTTTATCAACAGAGTGTTGTTTCTGCTCTTGTAATTGGTATAGTTTACCAAACCAAGCAAGTATTAAATCACGTCGTATAATCTTGTTTGTCCTTTTCAACTTTACTGTCAGTTCTTTGGTGATGAATCGATAAAGCCAGAAATGTATCAACTTCATCGATGTCATGGGAATGACTAAATCGGGGTACATTTTTGCCAATAACAAATTTTCCAAAGTATGGTTAGTCATGATTGTGGGCAATGTTTTGGCATTGTTGTTTGATCGCGTACGTTGGATCTCCATGATTTTGACATTGGATGATTCTGGCGTCAAGCGGTCGGTGATCAAGTTGTTGGTTATGTGGTTCAAGTACCGTTTTGTATCTAGTACTGTGTCTTGATGAAGTAATGGTTTGTAAGATGAGCCATACTGCGTGTCTAGGTTTATTTTCTCCCAATGCGTAACTAGTAGTGGCCAATTGGAAATGTTTAGCTGTTCAGATTCAGTTGCTTTTGTCGATGTTTTGCAGTAGGAAAAGTTTTTAACGCCAATGTCTATTGAGAGTGTATTGCGACGGGTCAAGCTGTGCCATTGCGTCAAGTATAATTGATACTGAGAAAGGATGCCTTCGATTCGTGTTGCTTTTGTAGTTCCCAAGATTGGACTTCCACAATGGAGTGCTATGTCATTAAGTGTAGATACCTTGTAACCCTGAAGTGATCTGGAAAGATTGCCAACTAGTTGTTTGCTCATGGGGAAACCATCTCTTGTAAAAAACCTGTTGATATTAGGATTCCAAGTAAGATTTGGCGTTTTTGCGACACGCGACTTTTCTCCATACTCCTCTGATGGTGCCAGTCACACGAGCAAGCTTGGACTTATCTCTAATTAGCCAAAGGCATGCGGTGTAATACGTTGGTCATAGAACGCGTCGATTCAAAGTTTTTTTCAAGGGAAAAGTCTTGTGAATGGAATAGTTCATAGTTATAGTTAGATAAGAATTAGAGTTGGCCACCTAAATGCAAAAACGCCTGCTTGAGAGAGAAATAAGGGGTGATAGGGGGCAAACCTTGATGTGTGTAAACAAAAGGGTGGATCGGTTTATCAGGCAATGCTAATTGTCTCTGGTGTAGCTTGGTCTGTTAGAGCTCAAGATCAACTGTGTCACTATGACTCTCCGGCTGGATACTGAAACCAATCCCAATCGCGTACACCAATACCCATTTCAAAGCATAGCAAAGAGAAATAATCAACTTTTGAGATACACCACTATGAAAAAAAAGAAAAAAGAAAAAAGAAGAAAGAAAAAAAGGAGGCGGTGTCAAGCAAGAGGTGGAAGTAACAGGTATTATTTGACTCTGGTAAACCCACGTTTTTTTGGTTCCATACAAAGAAAATAAAATAAAGTAAAATAGGGGCGGGGGGCATATACACAGACTTAGTTACAGGCAGTAAATGCAAAGGACTGCTTTGAGAGTACGGTAATGTTTCAGTTTGGAGGGGGGTGGGGTGGGGAAGCAGACTGAAACGAAGCGAATGGCAGTTACTTGTAGGATGCAAAAAGGAACGAGTAATCAATGGTGTATACTTGTGAATATGAGGTTCATTTCCGGACCAAAAGCACCAGAGACTGTGCGCTTGTGTTAGTATTTACTATTTCGCTTTTTGTGCCGAAAGTTTCAAATACCAAGAATAATTTGCAACTCTGTCTGTACCGAGCTTTGTAGAACATTCTAGATTTCAGCACGTGCACCTTGACTTGTAGCGATTTAACTGGGGCTTCCCCTAGTCGCTGATGCACTAAAGGTGCTTTGGTAATAGCCGAGGAGAGATCAAAGAGGTTGCCCTTTGCTCTGTCTGCGTGTAGTTGCTTTTCTCCACAAAATTTCCGGATGAGCGCATTCCGGCGTGCGTATAGTAAGTAGACCTGTTCCCGGTTCAGTTTGGCAACGTGGGCACTAATTACAATTTTTCACTTTTGCTATGCGTTTTCTACATTTCTTACATTACATAAGTGCTTTGAAACAAGAAAATTATGCTGTTTGAGAAGTATATGGTGAATATTTTCTTGGTGTCAATTAACAAACTCTTTTGAACATGGATTTTGTTTAGACGCGTTTTATGTGAAAAAAAAAAAAAAAAAAAAAAAAGGAATCGATTTCGTATAAACGCTTGAAGAGAGGCACAGCTAGGAGGTGCTCGGTGGCAATTGTCTCCAATGGAAACTCTAATTAGCCAAAGTAGTGGTTTTGTCTTGTACATATTGCAAAAGAGCTCATACGACCATCATGATTATTTGTGTAATGAACTTCTGACTACGAACGAATTGACGAAAAAGAAAAAAGAAAAAAGAAATTCAACTTTTAACGCACACACACTACACAGAATGCACATTACACAAATATGTAACACGTGTAGTACTACTACTAATTTATAAATAGTATTGTTGGTTGAAATTTGTGTAATAACTTTACGATGGTTATCTTTCTCTCTCTAGATTACTATTGAAGTCTTTTCCTTTTTATCTTCAAAGAGGGGAATGAATATGTTGAGAAATTCATCCTACACCACCCCCTTCCTCTCGTGTACCTACTTATCTCTGTGCCCCAGCCACGATGTGAGAACCACTCTACACACGCACCACCCCAAGCCTCATCTCTATACATGGGTAATAAAAATAAACATCCATCCTATTAGAAACTATAATAAGCGCAGTAATAATAATTGATTAACTTTTGTCTGGCCATTGCCTATTTGGGGTTAAATACAACAGAAATAGCGTTTCTAGGGAGTTTTGGTTATTTTTTTTATTTTTTCTTTTTGGGTAGGGAAACCCCCCAGGTGGCTCTTTAAATCTTGTGCATGTAATTATCTTTATTTGAATTCGGTATAAATACCGACATCCTTTTCCAAAGGTTTCAAAATGTTTTCCACAATCTTTCTCTCTTTTATTTGGTATCTAGCCCATAGCTTTTATATCATCAGAACCATCATTTACATCTAGATATAGCACAATGCAGTACTCAACTATATTAATCACCTTGGCTACTTTTGCCACTACTTTCGTCATGGCTGAAAACGATACTGCTATTGCCAACGGTACTGCTGCTACAAATGGTACAGGTGCAACTAACGGTACTTCCTCCTCCTCCTTAGCTGGTGTTGCTGGTGCCTTACAATTGGGCACTGCTGGTACTATTGGTGCTTTAGCTGCTGGTGCCGTTGCTTTGATTATCTAGGACAAACCGAAAAAAGAAAACAGAATAGTGGAGGATCTACTACAACTATAGAAAAGCATGGTTCAAAGTTGTTTAAGGAGTGTTGGAATGTGGAATGAGCATAGGGCTAAATTATTTAGCTTGGTTGCTATTTCTGGATTTTCTGATGATGAGAGAAGAGGGAGGGGAGGGAGAAGTAAAGGGGTTACTTTTATATTTGTGCTTGTGTTTTGTATAACTTTTATAACTAATTTAATTCATGTTTGTTTTTGGAAGAAGAAAAAAGAGCCCTTGCACTGGTGAGGAGTGATGATGGTCAATGAGATGCTGTATTAATCCCGGTTTCTCTTCATCACAGAGAGCTACTCTTACATCATACAAGTTACTTTGAAAAATTTAATTGCAACATCAATGAATTTTCAAGGGGGGGAGGGGGAGAAATAGGTGGCGCGGCATCTCGTATTTCGTTGATAGTAACCATTAATATTTGGTTTGATGACGTCACCAACTTCATCACACCCCCCTTGGCTACCAAATTCCCCGGTTCATTAACATTATGTAACTACCTCAGTTTCAACAATACTACAAGATTTGTGACGACGATTCCTCTTGGCCGGTGTTGACAATTTCTTTTCATTGTGGTTGCAAAAATGGAATAGGGAGAAGAGAGATTGTTCCCCTTCTTGCCATTAAAGTGCTGTTGCTCAAGGGAAGATTCCAAACTGTGCACTTCAGCAAGTCTCTCCAAGAAGCCGTAGGTTTAATCAACTCAAAAGGACATCACTTTACCGATTCCTACAACAGTGAGGCCAAATCTTTTGTCAAAAGCCGTCAACATCAGGATCATACTAGTAACTAGGTGTATGGGTTTTGTTGCTATGGTAACACTTTAGCTTCTTTTTGGTTAATCTATCTGTGTGAGGTGTCATTAGAGTATCGACATCTCTACAAGTACGAAAGTGCTGTTTTTTTTTTGTTTCTCATTTGAAGAATTTATTGCAAGCAAAACTACTCAAGATGTGTTGGTCGTGCCATTATACAAACCTTAAAACTAATTTACATTTATTGATGGAACTTGCATAAGTACGTTTAAATGGCTGTACTGAACGTGTGTTGTGGACAGATTACATCACAAGTGTGTGTCTACATACTCAATAGGATCACATAGCTAAGTCCTTGTTGGGCACATTGAATGTCCATGAACCAAAGCACCCACTTGTAAGCTTGATTTCCCTCCCCATCCTGTGGTGTCCTCTTCTACGTCGACAGAACATCCTCGTGACTTTGTGTATTCAAAGTCAATTGGTTGGTCTTGCTTGTTTCAAAAAAAAAATTCACCTCAGATTTTTGTGCTGCAAAAGTGTTGCCAGAATAACCTTCATAATCACCACTTAGAATACCATTCTTAGCCAATGTCTATAACAAACAGTCAGTATGGGTTTGTCAACACAGTTCGTGCTTCAACACGATACAACACATCAAAGGCTGACAATAGACGAGATGTGGTGATGGCTATAAACAAGCTGAAATCAGATCAAATGGATGTGGGAATTGCCGTGCTCGATTTTGAAACATTTGAGTTTACAATGATTGATTTCTGCGATACCCTGTTGTTTGTAAGGACTGTTAATCAAATTGATGTTCATCAGCCCACAATTGTTATAGCCCCCCATGGACCTAGTATGCAGTTTGAGAAATTAAAATATATTCTTGCTTCAAATCTTGACGAAACTGTGGAGCAAAAGTTGGCAAAACCGAAATTGTTTGATTCTGTCAGTGGTTTGGATCTTCTCAAAGCCCATCTGCATTTGCAGGACTCTGAGTTACAGCTCCTGGTGAGTGATTGTGCGTTGTCAATTGGTGCTGCCAGTGCTCTATTCACATCCTGCTTAGAGTCAAAATTACTCAAGCCTAACAACAGAGTCAGAATCTCTATTGCTGAAAATGACAAGTTCATGTTGATCGATTCGTGTGCGATTAAAGACTTGGAACTCATTTCAAGTCTCACTGGTAAAGGAACAACCTTGTTTTCATTCTTGAACAGATGCACCACCAAAATGGGGCAAAGACTATTACGAAGCTCAATAATTCAACCCTTGTTGAATGTTGATAGTATCAAATTGAGATTGGAGTCGGTAACCGAGTTGCTTTCACAGGAAAATATTTTGCAGGCGACTAAGAATATTTTAAAGAACTCTCCTGACTTGGATAGGCTCTTTGGAAGTTTTCTAAATCCAGAGTCAAGCATAAGTCAGGAACAAATGATAAACAATATACTTGCACTAAAAACGGCCCTTTTGTTGTGTGGGGAACTACTCAATTGCTTGGAGCACACCGAGTCGCCATTGTTAGCACAGGTGAAGGAAATTTTGAAGCACGAAAATATCAACTCGTCCCTTCAATTGATTGACAAGTTTATACACGAGGACTGCCGACTGGCTAAGACATCCATTGAAGTAGCCCATCAGAGAGCTAATGCGGTCAAGTCTGGTGTCAATGGTTTGCTCGATGTTTCTCGCAGTATTCGAGAATCAATTTTAGAGCAAGTTGGTGAATATGTTCAAAAGTTATCTGCCGAAAATAGTGCCATAGTTGAGTACAGACACGATAAGTCAAGGGGCTTTTTTTTGAAAATAAAGGGAACACCTTTTGATAACCCTGAGTTTATCAATATCATTCAAAAAAAGAATGGGTTTGAGTGTACCACCATTGACCTATTAAAGCAAAGTTCAAGATTCAGTGAAATAATGGCAGAGATCAACAATATAAGCAGCATTATCATTCAAGAATTGTACGACCAAAGTTGTGATAATACACCAATTTTCTTTATGATTTCAGAAGCCGTTGCTACGGTCGACTTGTTTTGCAGCTTTGCCAGCTTTATTGACTCGCAGACAAAGTCATACATATGCCCTGAGTTTGGCAATTATATCCATGTTAAACAATCACGACACCCCATACTTGAAACTTCCATCAAGGATTTCGTCCCCAATGACTACTCTTGTGTGCCTGAAATATCGAGGTTTCAAATAATCACTGGCGCCAACATGAGTGGGAAATCAGTGTACTTGAAACAAATTGCATATATTTTGATCATGGCACAAATGGGGCTTTATGTTCCTGCTGATTATGCTAAAATCAAGATCCACAAAAGCTTACTCTCAAGACTATCCTCTGATTCCATGGATTTGAATGCATCTTCATTTTCAAATGAAATGACTGAAATGTGTCGAATTTTGAAAAACTCAGAACAAGCAAGTTTCATCATCATTGATGAATTGGGGAGAGGTTCTAGTTTGAGAGATGGATTTTCCATGTGTCTCGCTATTCTTGAGCATTTAACTACAACGGGGGCAACTGTGTTTACTACGACCCATTTCAAAGAAATTGCTGAGATCTTGGGCAGCAAGTCCTGTGTCTTGGCCTCCCATATGGAATCAATTGAAGTCAATGGAAAATTGGAATCCAAGTTCAAGTTGGAGCTGGGGAAATTGGAAGTTGAGTGCTACGGAATAAAGTACGCCGAGTCATCACAAATGTTACCAAAAGAGCTATTAGATGGGGCAAAAGCAATTGCTGAATTGTTGAAGCAACAGGTGAAGAAGTGCAACGATTCACATGCGAAATTGGTGACCAAGCGTAAGAAGTTGGTGTTGGAGCTTTACTTTGCTTTGAACCAAATGCGCACCTTGGATTGCACCGTTTCTTATAAGCTTGATTTGTTGAGAACTTTGCAGGCAAAGTTTGTAGAAGAAATCAATGATGTCTCCACTTGAGCTTTATTTCTTTCTGTATAATCTATAAAAGAATCTCATGTTTTCGAGTTTTAGTGGGTATGACACTTCCCTCTCGTTCACCCGATACCAAATGCTCTCACTCTCGGAAACAATTTCCCAGGGTCCATTTAGCTCACCTTGTTTGCCCACTAAGATAGTGTCGATCAAAAACTGTACGGGAAACTGTTTGTTTCCAATAGTGATGTGGGAGAAGGAGCCTGCACTTTCAGCGATCAATAGTAAAGTGCCGCTCTTGCAACCGTTGCTCAATGTGTGCAAGAATTTGATTGTCTCCTTTCTCTTTTCAGCAAACAACTCATTAGTCGTGAAAAGCAACGTGATCAAGTCAAGCGAGGCCAAGTCTTCAATTTTTGCAGATAAAATGTCCTCGTGTATAAACAGCGTATTCAAGCTGCTCTCCCTATGCACCCAATTCTGCTGCATATAGTTGGAAAGGTGACTCACAACCATGGACCAATCAGCAATATCCACCACCGTGATATCCAACTGCGAAGAAGAGTTGGGATTGTACTCCTTGAGTCTGCAAAATACCGCTCCCAATCCCACAATCTCTGATCCAGCACCACCACCAACACACAACACTCGCTTCACTAGCTCAGGCTCCTGTAGCATATCAGTAATTGGTTGCAAGTTGGAGAATAACGATGCGTAAGCCAATGCACGCGACGGGCTCCATCTTGATGCGTAGCCGAATCTCTTGTTGTCGTCATTGAAAGCGGCGATATAATCCCGATTGTACAAATCACTCTTGACTTTTTGGATGAAGGAGTCCAACTCTGGAGAATCAAGGATATGTTTGAAACAGACGGTGAAGGCATCTAGAATTTGGTATGGCTCTAATGTGTTGTCATTCTTGAAGGGTAAATTGGAGCTGGATTCTTGGTCTACCTCATGAGCCTTAGACCTGCCGCCAGCCATAGTTGTAGTTGCATATTCAGATTGGGATGTTGGAATATTGAATATTTCAATTTTGTGCTGACTTTGGCTCATCATGTGCGCGATGGCTGTTTTTTAAGAGAAATTTTCTCATACAACAATTTATTTTTTTTTTTTCACTCCCTCCTTTCCCTTTTTCTTCTTCTTCTTCTTTTTCTTCTTTTTCTTCTTTAACTAATTATCCATCAATCTGTGCCAAGGTGGGCTCTCAGTTGAAGAAGGAAGTGCTTCGTGCTCTTCTGGACTCTCTGTAGATGTTTTCCTTGGCAGATCGGCGCTCGAGAAGCAAGCTTGATGTTCATTGTATTGAAATTCAGTCACGGCGCAGTTTTGTCTTGCAAAAGACAGTGCAGGTCCTACTGCTTGACGTTTGTTTTTTTTCCTATGCTCCTTGCACTCCGGTCCCCTTTGGTTTATTCGAAGGGTTTGAGCAGAGTGCTTGTGGGTTGGAGACTTACTAGGTGGGATTCTTTGCATATGCGTTTTATGGAAAGTATATGTTTTGGCGAAACCCCTCAATTCATTTTGCAGGGGCCTTAAGCAGGGTAGTTCCGTCGACAGATTGTATAATAACGGGTCGGTCTTGAGCTCGTTCAGAATCTTTTCTGATTTCGGTTAGAGTTTTTTGTTTTTTGAATTTGCAGCTCGGCCAGCATGACTCGATGCAACATATTCCTGGACTCTGCGCAGATCATATTTGGTCTTTGACGATTAGAGTAAAACCATGTTGCAAACATTTCCCAGTTTCTCTTTTGTCTACATTAACTGTAGTTCGAGGTAGAGGTATATTACTCTGATTTAAAAATTTCACTGCATTTTGGATCAATTTCGGTGCCAAAGAAAATAGCGACGGCTTTTCTATGTAAATGTCCTCAAGCTAATGTCTAATGGAACAAGGACGGCATTGCCGATGAAATTAAGAAAATCTCAATTGCTATTACTGAAGAAGCTGGCCATTCCTCATAACCCTCGTGTTTTAACTAGTTTCATCCAAATCTCTTCAACCTCAGTCCACGTTCCTCTATAGGTATGGTTGTATTTCAAATCAACTAACACCATTCCAGTCCGGAACAATAGAGTGTATGTTTTGGATTTCGCCTAATTTTGAAACATGAGTTCCCATTTTGGTATACGAAAGGGTACACAAGCTCGGATTAATTAAACGCAAAACACAAAAAAAAAAAATAAATAAAAAACCATCAAGATTGGAGCACGTGGATCCAACTGTGTACAACGAACGGCATTTGTGGTTATGGAGACCAAATTATAAATAGCCACTGAATTGCTCTCTATCAACTTACCTGATTCTCAAGCCTATCATCAACAAATGGTTGCCGTTTCAAATTTACTCAACAGTGGGTTGTTGTTGGTTAGTCAAAACATCTACCAAGATGTTGCTACACCTCAGGAAATGAAGGTTGATGGGTACAACATCTTGAACTTCCTTGGAGGACTGGGTCCTTACATCAGCAGGGAATCGTATGGTATTGACCCTTCTATCCCAGATGGGTGTACCATTCAACAAGTACAATTATTATCAAGACACGGTGAGAGATTTCCTTCAAAGAATGTGGGGAAAACTTTGGAAAAGATTTACAAGAAATTTCAAGACTACAATGGCACATTCACTGGGGACTTGTCATTTTTGAATGACTATGAGTACTTTGTCCCTGATACCACTCAATACGAAAAGGAGACATCTCCAAAGAACTCTGAAGGAACATTTGCTGGTACTTCCGATGCTTTAAGACACGGGGCTACTTTTAGAGCCAAATACGGATCATTGTATAACGTCAACTCCACTTTGCCAGTCTTTTCGTCCAACTCAGGTCGTTGTTATGAGACCTCGAGATACTTTGCGAGAGGTTTCCTTGGTGATGACTTCCAAGAGGGCAAGACTGTCAAGTTCAACATTATTGATGAAGCAGCAACTTCTGGAGTCAACAGTTTGACTCCAAGAAACTCATGCCCCAACTACAACGATTCATCCAATGATGCCACCGTTGCCAAATACAACACCAGCTACTTGCAACCTATTGCTGACAGATTGAACAAGCCAAACCCGGGGTTGAACTTGACTGCAAAGGATGTCAGCTCGTTTGTCAGCTGGTGTGCTTTTGAAATCAATGTTCGTGGTAGCTCACCATTCTGTGACTTGTTCACAAATGAAGAGTACATCAAAGCTTCATATGCCAACGACTTGTCAAACTACTACTCCAATGGCCCAGGCAACAATTTCACAAAGACTATCGGATCTACATTGTTGAACGCATCTTTGTCTTTGTTGAAAGATGACTCAGCCAACAACAAGATTTGGTTGTCGTTTACTCACGACACTGATTTGGAAATTTACCACAGTGCTTTGGGAATATTGGAACCTTCTGAGGATCTCCCAACCGATTATATTCCATTTCCGAATCCATATATTCACTCATCAATTGTTCCTCAAGGTGCAAGAATCTACACTGAAAAGTACCAATGTGGTGGTGATTCATATGTTAGATACCTTGTCAATGATGCTGTTGTTCCTATTGAAAAGTGTGCCACAGGACCTGGTTTCTCGTGTAAACTCGATGACTTTGAAAATTATCTCAATGAAAGGATCGGTGGTGTCAATTTTGTTCAAGAATGTGGTATCAATTCATCAGTTCCTCAAAAAGTCACCTTTTATGAAGATTACAAAAACACGCTCTACAATGCCACTATTGGCGACTTTTAAAATAAAAAAAATTTTCAGTTTTCTCGTCGATTATAATATAGAAGTAAAGTTTAGATTTACCTAGAGAGTAGAATGCTTTGATATGTTGTGCACGCGGCCTCTCTCTCTCTCTCTCTCTCTGTCATGTATTTGCAGATCTAGAACTAAAATGTTAATGCTCAGAAAAAAAAATTAGATCAAGGACCATGCGGAGTTGATCTGTTGAGCCTAACGTACGTGTGGATTCAAGGCAGAGTGGAGCGGAGTAGTCTGGCAGGAATGTATGAAGTGGTTGAAGTGTCGCGGCGATTGTTGAGCAAAATTTATTAGCGGATATTTGGCCCCTGGTTACCCATTTTGATTTGTTTATCCTGTACGGCATCAATTTTTTATATCCGCCCTTGACATTTTGTATTGTTCTTTTGCAGCACACAAAGGTTTATCAAAACGCACAAAATTAGAAACGGTAGTCATGATTGATCATGTCTTTCCAACGTGGTGCTACTTATTTGTTTGACATTGTGGCTGGAATCAAAGTCTTGTCTTTTGTTGCTGTGCATAGTCGGTTAACAATCGGAAAGTCAAATTGAAATGAGTCTCTTCAAACAATAAAATTAATTAGGGCGTTTTAAACCGGAAGATAAGGTCTCTCTTATCGATACTAAAAATGTCGGATAAGTCAGTTTGCAATGTTGTATTGCCGTTCCATGGCATTAAAAATCGTCTCCTTAGTGTTCTATATAATAGGAGTGCATCCAATCTCTTTGGGTAATCACTGAGAAAGATACACCCCCTCTCACCCAATCTGAGTCATGTCAACCTCCTCCATTGATCATACAGACCACGAAAAGGCAGCTCAAGTGAATGTAGCTGTCACTTACGAGAGATCCACAGTCGAAGATGAGGAATACGACTACGATGATCCCAAAAACTACAGTACCAACTACGTTGATGAGTACAATCCAAGAGGGTTGAGAGTTCCAACCAAATCGGAAGAGGAAACTTTGAGAAGAGTCATTGGTAAGATCAACTACGCCATCTTCCTCATTTGTGTTGTTGAGTTTGCAGAAAGAGCCTCATACTATTCCGTTACTGGTATCTTGGCAAATTTTATCCAGAGACCATTGCCAGAGAACTCGCCACATGGATGGGGTGCTCCGCAATCTGACGATGGAAGTGAAAGTGCTGGTGCTTTGAACAGAGGATTGCAAGCGGCTAATGCGTTGACAAATTTAATTTCGCTTTTAGTAAGTGTTGTGCCTCTACTTGGTGGCTATTTGGCAGATACAAAGTGGGGTAGATGGAAAACCATTCAGTGGGGTGTTGTGTTTGGTGGTATTGCCCACATCTTATTCATCATTTCTGCAGCTCCAAGTGTTATTGCTAATGGAAAAGCTGGTTTGGCGCTTTGTATTCTTGCCATCTTTACTTTGGCTTTTGGTTCCGGATTCATCTCACCCAATCTTTTACCATTACTTTTGGACCAGTACCCGGAGTCTGGAAACAGGGTCAAGGTCTTGAAAAGCGGGGAAAAAGTGATTGTTGATAGGGAAAAGACATTGGAAAGTGTCACTATGATATTCTACTGGGCAATCAACATCGGAGCATTTTTTCAGCTAGCAACATCCTACTGTGAAAGACGAATTGGGTTCTGGTTTGCATTTTTCATCCCATTGATACTTTATCTTGTTATGCCACTTGCATTTTGGTTTGTTAAGCCAAAATTGGTTTTTGAAAAACCAAGTGGATCAGTCATTGGAAAGGTTCTCAAGATCCTTGTTGTAACCTTCTCGGGTAACTTTGTCAAGCGTGTTTTTGATGGTACATTTTGGGAATATGCAAAGCCATCAGCCATGAGAGCAAGAGGCCGCGAATACTTCAACACCAAGAAACAAACTCCTATCAACTGGACTGATCAACATGTTCTTGACGTCAAGCAAACTTTTGATGCTTGTAAGTTGTTCTTTTACTACATCTTTTTCAATTTGGCCGATAATGGATTAGGTTCAGTGGAAACGTCATTGGCAGGAGCAATGAATTTGAATGGTGTTCCAAATGATTTGTTCAACAACTTTAACCCACTTGCCATCATTGTTGTCATTCCAGTTTTGGACTTTCTCATTTACCCGCTTTTGAGAAGGTTGCGTGTCAATTTTAGGCCCATTTACAGGGTTTTCACTGGTTTCGTTATTGTATCCTTATCGCAAGTCGTTGGTGCTGTTTTGCAACACCGTGTCTACCAAACTTCTCCATGTGGAAATCACTCAACCAACTGTTCAAAGACATCTCCAATTAGTGCTTGGAGTGCTTCGGCAGTGTACATTTTGACTGGTACTTCTGAGTGTTTTGCCATGACCACCATCTACACTTTGACATACAACAGAGCAGCTCCAGCAATGAAGGGGTTCACTTACGCTTTGAACTCGTTTACCGGTGCAATCAGTTCGGCAATCAGCTTGGCAGTCACCCCCGCTTTGACAGACCCATATTTGGTACTTGTGTTTGCTGTTATTGCTGGAGTTTCGTTCTTGGCTGGTGCTATTGTGTTGGTGCAGTTTTTCAATTTGCACAAGACCATGGCAGAAGAAGAAAAGGAGAGAATGGCATTGGGTGGATCCGTAGTGTCTGAGAAAAGTGACGAAAATAATGAATTAGAGGCCGTGGTTAGCGCACCCATTCGCTTTCCCTTGGCGGCTATAACTTCGGGCAATTCGATAAATGCAGAAAGGAAATGATACGATTATATTGGAATAGTGTGTAGATCAAGAGCGAGTTACGAATTTTTCCTGTTGCACCTTTTCTTTCGCGCGTTATCCGCAAATAACAACCACTAACACTGCAATATCTCTCTTCTACAACAGTGTCTCTGTATTGATGGATTAGCACTCCCCCATGTCTAAGAATCCTTCAAACGATAACATATTTCAGAGGCCAGGCTTAAGCTCCAGAGAGCTGCTATCCTCGAGTGTCATTCATGACGGATTGCGATCACATTCAAGGAAGGGAGCAAGTCATCTTCCGAGTCTTCCTAATTCGCCTAGTGTTCAATCAGACAAGGATTTCTTCGACAAAGACGCAAATCTTTCCAACCAGGATGATGCTGAGGGGAACAGCTATGTTGAATTTGATTTGAGCTCGATGAATACGAGAAATAGAACTAGCGAGTCGCTTTCAAAAGTATCTGAAAAGGTATATACTCCTTCCAACCCTAACACGCCACAGATTGAAGAGCATCCTGAAAACCCTTTCAACACCACCCGACCTAAACTACATCCAGAATCACAAGAGGACGATTTTTTTAGTGAATCCAACTGGAAAGAGATGAAGACGATTTCTGACATGGACTTTTACAATGACAAGGGGGAACTACAGTACAAATCCGAATCGGGGCATGATTTCATCCACAATAACAACGTTCATTTCGGATATACAAAAATAGACACAGAAGAGCAGGTCAACAAGTACGCAGCTCTAGATAAAAAGACGGATTTCCTATTCAAAAATGCAACCCACAAACCACGTACTTATGGAGAGAAAAATGTACTTTTCGACGCAGAGGATGATGAGGAGTTTGACAACGATGACGAAGTTGATCCAAATGAGGCATTGACTGATACAAAAGACATGCTTTCTGATTCCCAGCGATTGGCGTACGTGGGAATGGCTAAATTGATAACGGTAGATATGGCAACCAAATTGGTTATGGTGCAGTTTGGCACGAGCAGCAAATTAGCAAAGCAAATGAGTGAGTCCCAGAAACATTTTTCCAATTGGTCTTCGAGTACTTCGCTCAAATTATACGATCATTTGGGTTTGATCAAGGAAGAGAAGGAGATGATTGAAAATCTTAGTAAGCACGGAGTAGAGGTGAATGATTTGGTGAAAAGCATAACGTCTTTGGAGCTTAACAAACCGGAGGCACTTCGAGATAGCTTTGATTTGAGATGGGTTTTAGTGTGTGATTTGTTTTTACTTCTTCTCAGTGATGGCTATTATGACGCACGCTCGAGGTCCCTCTTGATGACATTTGCAGATATAATGGGAATATCCAGCTTGGAGATTTTGCAGTTTGAACGAAGATTAATGGAATGTCTTGATATGGAGACGAAGGAGAAATCGATTGAAAACAAAGACGAATTACTAAACGATCAGCTGTTTGTCAAGCAACAAATCAAAAAGAACAAGAATAAACGGTTGGTCATGATTGGGTTGGCAACTTTGGGGGGAAGTTTGGCCATTGGATTATCTGCGGGGCTATTGGCTCCAGTTATTGGGGCAGGTATTGCTGCAGGTTTGACAACAGTGGGAATTACGGGGACAAGTGGGTTCTTGGCCGGAGTTGGAGGCAGTGTTTTGATTACTACCAGTGGAGTTGCCATTGGTGCCCAAGTTGGGAACAAAGCCGGCTCCAGAAGAGTGGGTGATGTGCAAACATTTGAGCTCAAACCGTTACACAATAATAAAAGGCCAAATCTAATAGTAACTGTTAGTGGTTGGATGAATGGTGCAATGGATGATGTCAGACTTCCCTTTTCAACTGTTGATCCTGTAATGGGGGATATGTTTTCATTGCTTTGGGAACCAGAGATGTTGCAATCTATGGGTCAAACAATTGGAATATTAGCCAGTGAGGCATTGAGTACATCTATACAACAAATACTTGGTGCCACTATACTAAGTGCTTTGATGTCAGCAATCCAACTACCAATGGCCTTATCCAAGCTATCCTATTTGTTGGACAATCCATGGAATGTGTCGTTGGACCGTGCATGGAAGGCGGGAAAGATTTTGGCAGAAACAATCTTATCTGGAAACTTGGGTGTGAGGCCTATAACGTTGGTTGGATTTTCATTAGGTGCCAGGTTGATTTATTCTTGCTTGATTGAAATGGCGCAGAGAGGGGGCTATGGGCTAATAGAAAATGTGATTCTCTTGGGTGCACCAATTGCTATTGACGTGGACCATCTCGCCCAGGCGAGGTCCGTTGTCAGTGGTAAATTCATCAATGGGTATTCAAAGAAGGACTGGATATTGGGATATTTATTCAGAGCAACTGGTGGTGGAATTCTGACGGTTGCTGGGTTATCAGCATTGGAAACTGTTAGCGGGATTGAGAATATTGATTGTACTGAATTTGTGGAAGGGCACATGTCTTACAGAAAAGCAATTCCAAAGATTTTAAAGTCCATAAATTGGGAAGTTTTGAGCGATGATTTTGCAGAGATTGAAGAGCCTGATCCGGAGCAAGGGGAGAGACAAAGACAGTTGATTAGCGAGTTTGATGAAGCTAGAGCAAAAATGGAGGAACAGAAATCTACACAGACAGAGCCTAGGGGATGGAAAAAGTGGTTCAAGCCAAAGAAGAAGGATTGGTGGGATATTTATGGTCAGCCTGGTGCTGACAAAGACAAAAAGGATAGAACAAGTGAAGAATACAATGTTGAGGAGCCACCTGTCTTTGACATAGAGGCCTTGGCTCATGAAGTTAGTGATATTGAAGCAGCAGCAGCAGTAGCGACTGAGGCAGAAGGGGCAAAGAGTAAGTAAAGTAAATGATAAGGTTGATTTAGTTTGTTGTTGATATTCTCTTGCAAGTTTTTTTCTTTTTTTTTTTTTTTTTTTATTTTTTTCTCTTTTTTGACTCAAAAAATTTTCAGCACCGTTTTTCAATTCAATCAGTCACACACACACACACACTGCAAACATGCCTACTATACCAGTTGATAAAGAGGATCTCTTCAAGTTGTTAGGTAGGTCCTACACTACTGAAGAGTTTGATGAGTTGTGTTTCCAATTTGGTATTGAACTTGACGAGGACACCACTGAAGAGTGTCAAGGTGATGAGAGACCCCAGTTAAAAATTGAAGTCCCTGCAAACAGATACGACATGTTGTGTATCGAGGGTATCGCTCAAGCCTTGAATGAATTTTTGGGAAATAAGGAACTGCCAAAATACACTTTGAAGCCAGAAACACCCGAGATCACACTTACCATTAAGGAATCGACTTTTCCCATTCGTCAATATGCTGCCTCAGCCATTTTGAGAAATGTCACTTTTGATCAAAGGTCGTATGATTCTTTTATTGCTTTACAAGACAAGTTGCACACTAACTTGTGCAGAAACAGAACTTTGGTAGCTATCGGAACCCATGATTTGGACACTTTGACTCCTCCATTCACATACGAGGCATTGCCACCAAAAGAGATCAAATTCAAGCCATTGAACCAGTCAAAAGTCATGAACGGAGAGGAGTTGATGGAGTTTTATGAAAAGGATAAGAACATTGGTAAATACTTGCACATTATCAGGGACTCGCCTGTTTACCCAGTGATGTTGGATGCAAACAGAACTGTTGCTTCATTGCCACCGATTATCAACTCTGACCATTCAAAGATAACTTTGGATACAAAGAACGTTTGGATCGATGTGACAGGGACTGATAGAACCAAGACTGAAATTGTTATTGAAACTTTGGTTGCAATGTTTTCGAGGTACAGCAAGACACCTTTCGAAATTGAACCCCTCAAGATCATTTCCGAACACAATGGTGAGACACGTGTGACCCCCAACGTAACTCCAAGAGAAGCTAAAGCTGAAGTGTCGTATATCAACTCATGTTTGGGTTTGAAATACTCTGGAGAGGAGATTGCCAAGTTATTGAAGAAGATGTCGTTACAAGCCGCCCCATCGAAAGACGACAAGGATATCCTTGACGTCAAGATTCCTATTACGAGATCGGACGTTTTACATCAATGTGATATTATGGAGGATGCCGCTATTGGATACGGATATGACAATTTGAAAAAGACCAAGCCAAGCAGTGAAAGTATGGTTGCGTCCGCGTTGCCTGTAAATAAAGTCGCTGACATTTTGAGATTGGCCAGTTCACAAGCCGGGTACCTGGAAGTCATGCCATTGACTTTGTGCTCCCATGATGAAAATTTCGGCTGGTTGAGGAAGAAGGATGATGGAACTACTGCTGTGAAGTTGGAGAACCCCAAAACAATCGAGTATCAAGTTGTTAGAACCACATTGTTGCCAGGTATCCTAAAAACAATCAAGGAGAACAGAAAGCATTCATTACCAATTAAAGTGTTTGAGTGTGGGGATATTGTCTTGAAGGACCCTAGTTTGGAAAGAGGTGCATTCAACCAACGTAATTGGGCTGCTGTATATGCCGGTAAAACATCCGGTTTCGAATATGTCCAAGGGTTGTTGGGAAAGATTATGCAAACTATGAGAACTCCATGGTTGGAAAACCCAACAAAGGATGAGAGAAGGGGATACTGGATTGAAGAAGATAAGACAAACTCAACATTCTTTGATGGTAGAGGAGCCAAGGTTTTCTTCAGAAGTCAACCTAATGGCGAAGCTAAAGAAGTCGGAAGCATCGGAGTTTTACACCCCGAAGTTATGAACAATTTCGATATTCCATATGCTGCTTCATCCGTTGAATTGAATGCCGAAGTGTTTTTGTGAGGTATATAGAGATACATATAGATGAGTTTAAAGAGTTTATAATTCAGATACCACTGTTGCTGTATAGCTGTGGGTACGATTTATATTTTGAACAATCTGCACTACTATTGCCTGCTCTCTATTTTATTTTTTTGTTTTCCTCCCACCAAAAAACATAAAAGGTCGCTGTTGTAGAGTAGAGCATTCCGATAGAGAACACAATCACTGTTTCTTGTGGACCTTCTTTGCCTTGACAGTCTTTGATAGTTCAAACAAGCGTTACACACAAACCGTTCAGACGACCAAAGGCCAACTGCTTCCCACCTTTATTTCTAGATTTTGTTAACACTACCAAAGACAATTCAAAAATGAGCGGTAAGGGAGCTTCTTCAAAAGCTTATGACCTGATAATGAAGCTATTGTTAGTGGGTGATTCCGGAGTTGGAAAATCGTGTTTGTTGTTGAGATTTGTTGAAGACAAGTTCAACCCATCCTTCATCACTACCATCGGTATCGATTTCAAGATCAGGACAATTGAAAGTAAAGGCAAAAAGATCAAATTGCAAGTATGGGATACTGCCGGTCAAGAAAGGTTCAGAACTATTACTACAGCCTACTATAGAGGTGCCATGGGTATAGTTATCATCTACGATGTCACTGATTCAAGAAGTTTCGAGAATGTCGAAAACTGGTTCCAAACTGTGTCACAGCACGCGAATGAGGATGCACAGATCTTTTTGGTTGGCAATAAATGCGACGATGATGTCAACAGACAGGTAAGCAAGGAGCAAGGTGAAGATTTGGCATCCAAATTGCATGTACCATTTTTGGAAGCATCAGCCAAGAGTAACGAGAATGTTGATGCTATTTTCTACGAGTTGGCAGGTATCATCCAGGAAAAGCATGTTAATGATGATGCTGGAGCTGCCACCGGTGGAGGTGCTGGTGGCATTGATGTTTCGCAAGGTAATTCAGGTGTCAAGAACAACTGTTGTTGATGTGAGAGAGAGAGAGAGAGTGAGAGAGGATGTGATAGTTTTAGAAACGCTGTTTTGTTTTTTTTTTTTTGTGGTTTCAAGAGGCAGCAAAGGGGGTGCCGTTCGAATAGGTGTGTATCTACATGTGTTTTTTATTCACAATTTTTGTGAATTTCCTTTGGATTAAATCTTTATAAGTTCTTCAACAATGCCTTTCTAGTTATTAGATTTTCTTACCAAAGTAGACCCATTGGTCATCCAATGGCTTTTCCTCCAACTCTTCCCAACATTTCAAAGCAGACATTTCATGACTCAAGTTTAATTCCTCTGCAGCTTGGATGATGAGTTCTTCAATCAATCCATTACCAATCTTGTTTTCAATATTCTCGGTGATTTCCTCTTGTTCCACAACTTTCAATCTGTTTTTAGTCAACTGCTCTACTGATTGTCTGTACACTGAGTCCTTTGGAAACTTGTCGTTTAGCACCTTCAACTGTTCGTTGTATAAAGTGACAAGAGCGGGTCTTGGGTTGGGGTGTTTGTAGATACCCGTTATACCAGTTGGCAAACCTTCACCAGCTCTTACTACAACCTCCGATAATTTTAGCTTGGGTATTTGTCTTAAAACAGAAGTGAATCTCATTGTTTCCAACGTGTGAAGTGATGTGTGAAGTGTGATGTAGCAAGAGATATGTGTCTTGGATAAACTTGGCTCGCCAAAGAAGCTTTGATAGTATCAATTTCTCATGAATTGGTTGGTTGAAAAAAAAAAAAAAAGAAAAAGAAAAAGGCGAAAAAAAAAAAAAAAATAAAAAAATAATATGAGGTGGTCCAGATAGACGAATCAAAGACCATCTCTACATGCAATTCTATTGCAATTCATAATCGGTGGAAAGTGCATTTAATCATAACGAACTTGTATCTAAACTATATACTCTCAACAAGGAGAGTTTCCATTTGAGGCTGTAACAGCTAAACTAAAAATCGCCTCCACCGAAATCTCCTCCACCGAAATCTCCTCCACCGTAATCACCACCTCCACCATAGTCACCATTATCGTAACCATCTTGATAACCGTCTTGGTACCCTTCCATCCTCTCGTGGTCCTCCCAACCATTGATGGCATTTCCAAGTAGCATACCTCCTAGTAAACCACCACCAACACCTAACGCCATGTTACCTGCTCCTCCACCAAATCTGCTTCTCTGAGGTTGTTGCTGTTGCTGTGGCGGATAGCCTCCGTATCCTTGTGGCGGATAACCCCCGTATCCTTGGGGTGGGTATCCACCGTATCCTTGAGGAGGATAACCTCCATATCCTTGCTGTGGTGGGTATCCGCCATAACCTGGTTGTGCAGGGTATGGACGAGGAGCACTTCCATTACCATATCCCGCTTGTTGTTTGTGATGACTAAATAAGCCTTTGCTTTCTTCTTGTCTTGGAGGAACGCTTTGTTTTGGAGGGTTTGGAGATGCGGTATTTGCTTTGGACGCAGTTGGACTGTAGGCTGGAGGTGGCACATCATCATCCTTGTCGAAAACAGTTCCTTTTGGTGCCTCCCATTGTGACTTCTTGGTTGCTAAATCTACGTAGAACCATGTTTTGTATTTCTCGTCAAACTTTGCGAGCCATCCATCTGGAACAGTTGGGGGCCTTGTTGGATCGTCTTTTGCCATAGTTTGCTTGTATTGTTCAGTTGGCAGATACTTCTAGTGTACTAGAGTTGAGTTGGGTTGACTAGTAGTTCGTAAGTGAGGCTATTCGTTGTTTGATAAATATGAAACTGCTGTGAATATTGATGGTGTCAAAAATGATTGCTATCAGTTGGGGAGATACATAGATTTGGTCGATTACGTAAACTCAACAATGCACGCGCACTCACTCACTCACTCACTCACTCACTCACTCACTCACTCACATTTTAGATCAATCAATTGGTAGCACACGATCATTAGCGCAATGACGAGGCTTAGCGAAGAGAAGTCACTCACAACAAGAAGGACTCCCTCTTTTTTTTGACAACTCAAATTCTAAATACAAAAAATATCACACAGGGGTGAGTAACAGGTGATATATAGTGGAGTGAGGTCTCTCTCATCACAGCCTCTGTTTCCAATGGTGTTTGGGAGGGATCACACTAATGGCATGAAAGCTCATCCCCACTGTGAGTGAAGTTGCAAGACGTCATTCTTTTTCGACAACTTGATATGAATGCTATTTTGGTTATCACGGGAATTGGTGATACTGTCAATGATTTTGCTGATGATGCGTGTCTCATTTTTTTCCACACCAGTGTCATCAGCAACGGCAATAGTCTTTTTGACTACTTCTTCAAATCTTGATATGTTCATTCTGCTGCTATAAGTTAGCGCATCAAGTTTCGTTGCCGCCTCATGTGCATCTAATACGAACTTCGTGGTCCTCTCCATCCTCCACCAATTCTTTCTTGCATCAGCATCCCATTGCAATTCATATCTGTAATCTAGAGCAGTGGTTGTCAACACACTGAATATAGAAATGTTCAACTCCAATTCAAACTTTTTGACAGCTGCCTCTCCAGCTTCTTTAATGTTGTAAGGCTTCCAAATAAACCTGGTAACTTGAACCAACTCTCTTCTGCTGAATAGAAGTGCAAGGTTTGTGGAGTATGCCTCTTTGTATTGAGCTCAACTCTGTTGTTTGTTCAGTTGGTTAGAGAAACACAACCAAGTGAGCCAAATTGTAAATGACATATTCCGAAAATTTCTATATATATTGTATTGAAATATATATGAAGTTTAGGCCATATTTATACTGATTAACATTAGTCAACCTTTCGTAGTTGAGGCGACTAGTCCGTTTCGAAGCATATCAATTGATTCCACAACACCTCCTCTCCATCTTTGTTGCAAAACTTCTGTGTCGCGAACCCAAATGTATCAAAAAAAAAAAATAAAAAAAGAAAAGACAAGACCAGAAAGAAAAAAAGAGAATGAAAAATGGCATTTAGCTTCAAGTATGTTGATCCACCCTCAGATCCAATCATGTCGTCTTGGGAGCAATTGAAAACCGAAGATGGACAGGTATACTACTACAACAAAGAGACAGAGGAAACAAGTTGGACTCTACCGGAGGGCGAAGAAGCTAGTGTATCTAGCAGTGGCTGGCAAGAGTACACGACCGATGACGGGAAGACGTATTACTACAATGAGTCAACAGGTGAAACAACATGGGATAAACCCGACGGCTTTGTTGAAGGCACTCTTCTGAGCGAAAACGAACAACACAAAGAAGATAAACCAGAAGAAAAAGTAGAAGAAGAAGATGCAATTGACGCGGCGCTCAAACAAGAACGTGTTGAATTACCTTCCAATATGACGACGCTGAGTGATACCGCGCAAGAGGTAGAAGAAGATGAGCAGGCATTTGTTCAATTATTGAAAGACAACAATGTCGATTCGACGTGGTCCTTCCAAACGGTTATGCGAAAATTGGTCAGTAAGCCAGGATACTGGGCCGTCAATAGTCCCATCAAGAGAAAGTCCTTGTACGAGAAGTATCTTGTTCAAAGATTTGAAGATGAAATCAGAAACAAAACTGATGTAATTGAACAATTCAAGGAGAACTTTATTAACGAGTTGGGGAAATTGAAAAAGGATGGGAAACTCGGTCATTACACTAGATGGATAAGCCTACGAAGAAGATTTGTTGAGGAGGAGAACCCCATTTTCAAACATGCCATGTTGCCAGACTTGGATATGGCGAGGATGTTTTACAAGTACATGACCGAGATGCAAAAAGAGCACGATGGTGAAGTTCAACAACAAAAACAACAAGCTACTGATGAGCTATATCGTTATCTCCATCTGGTCAACAATTCTTTGGTCCAGAAGGCTTTCGATTTCCAGAATCTTTATGATAGTTTGATGGAGGATCCACGGTTTAAGCAAAATAAGCATTTCTCTATTTTGGACAAGTTGGATATACTCAATTTGTACGAGTCGAAATTGTACCCGGAATTAATCGAAAGTTTAAAGAAGCAAATTGAAACTCAAGACAAGGTCAATTATCGAAACGACCGAAAAGCGCGCCAAAAGTATCGCTCGTTGATTGAAACTCTTCCCTTGGATGCCAAAAGCAAGTTCAGTGAGATTTTCGAACACTTGGAAAATGAAGATGCATTTATTGACTTGTGTGGCAGGAATGGGTCGAGTCCATTGGAGTTGTTTTGGGATGTTATTGATGAAAAGAAGCAGTTGAGGAAAGTTCGTAAAGATTTGGTTGAAGCTGTGATTAATGACTTGAAAAAGAAAGGCGAAGTTGGCCAAGGAATATGGGCGTCCAAGAGCTCATTCTTAGAGAAACTCAAGCTGGTGGAGGACGATAGACTACTGCAATTTAATTTTGAGGAGAATGAATCCATTGATGAGATTTATGAAATTTACGAAACATTGAAGGATGAACATGAGACGAAGCAACGGATAATTAGGAAAAGAGGGGTTTCACAAGTTGATTTGGGTGGCTCTGGTGGTATGCCACCCCCAGCAAAGAAACCAACAACTAAGCAGGTGAAGAAAATGAACTATTAGTTTATAGTGGTCGTGCATATGGTGTAGATTTCTGATTTTCTCGGGGGAATTAAATAAAAAAAAAAAAAAGAAAATCAAGAAATAAAACTTGTATTGTGCTTCCATTCGGTCAACAAGTTCGCAATTGAACTAGCTTACCCGCAGTGCACTTCATCACTTACAAAGCTTCCACTCAATTCCACCACCAATGGTACGTCCAAAGCATACATATAAACCTCTATTCCAATTACCCAGTACTAACTTCTTTCTACCATAGTCTCAATCTTTGAAACCGTACTTGACAGCCGTCAGATCCTCGCTCACTGCCGCTGTATGCTTACAAGACTTTTCATCTCAATTAGTAGAACGTCATAACCGGCCCGAAGTTGAAGTGACAAACGTACACGATGCTGAGCTCATTCTCAACCCAATGCACATCTCACGTAACGAAAATGAACAGATTTTAATTGAGCCTAGTATAAATTCCGTTCGAGTATCGATCAAGATCAAACAGGCTGATGAAATTGAACAGATTCTCGTGCACAAGTTCACGAGGTTTTTGACTTCGAGAGCGGAGAGTTTTTTCATCTTGAGACGGGTTCCTATCAAAGGGTACGACATTAGTTTCTTAATTACTAATTTCCATACTGAGCAGATGCTAAAGGATAAATTGGTTGATTTTATAATTGAGTTTATGGAGGATGTTGATAAGGAGATTAGTGAGATGAAGTTATTTTTAAATGCGAGAGCCAGAGTTGTAGCCGAATCATTCTTGATACCCTTTGATTAAAGAAAGGGAAAGGCGAGGAGAGAAGGTTAAGTTTGTACGGAAATTTATATAATATAAGGTAGAAAGTTTGTGCAGGAGAAAAGTAATTCCTATAAATGTTACAGTGATATACGTCTAGTAGTTTCTTACCTTGTAGTTGACTCGGGTGACTTTGTGAGGTGAGACGACTGAGGAGACTGGTCAGGATAAGTTGGTGCTTTGTTGGAATACACTTTAGGTGACACTGCTCGCGACGTGTTTCCTTGGGATTGAGATGCATGGGGTGAGTTCATTGCCTTACTATGTGGAGAAGGAACAAATGGTGGCGTGTAGAAGCTCTGTGGCGAATTGTACGGTGACTCTCGCAAATTAGAAGGCATTCGCATCTTTTGCTGATTAGTGGTAGTTTTGCCGTCGTATGAAGTGTGGGGGCGTGGCTGAGGATGGGACACTCCCGGTTGTGCTTGCTGTTGTGGTGGTTGCAGTTGTGGTTGCAGTTGTTGATAACCTTGATTAGGTTGTGGCATCATTTGTTGGTTTTGAACATTGGGCAACACCATCGGCATATCGACATGGTCATTGAGTAAGCCCGGTATATTTCCCAAAACCAAATCCAATTGTGATAATGCCTCAGCCACTTGATCAAACCCTTTTGAGGATATTTTTAAAATCCATCGATAATTGAAGATTTGATCGCGATAAAAATCTGCCTCTTCTTGTGTAGGCGACGAGATGAACAAAATAGCAGCAAAAGTCCCTATCAATGTGAAATTGGAGGATGAAGACGAGTGCCAAAATGAATGTATGTGCTCCGGCTTCAAGTCCCTCACAAATTCAATTGATGCCAATAAACGAGTTTTGGCGGCAGAACGACATACGTTGACCAATTCCGGAGGTGGTGCGTTTCCTGCATGAGTTTGTTGATATATGATGGTGGTTATTTTTCTATGCAACGTCAATTCGGTAGCAAAGTAAGCTAAATGTAGGTATCCATTGGAGCATAACTTTCTTGGTTGTACCAAGTTCATTTGCAAATCGCTAGGCAAAGAATAAAACCAATTCCGAAGCTGTAGTTGCAATGGTTTGGCCAATTTCAACACTTCGCCAATATTGGTGATTTCTCTCATTGCCTTCATCGAGTAGAACTGATCCAAAATGTCAGACAAGATCTTGGACAAAGCAATTAAGTTTGTGAAAACCTTTTTCCCAGTATCCAAATCGGACGACCCTTCCTTCAAGTCACCATCACCATGTTTGTCGGGGAAATCCTGCTCGTGCAACGGTAAAACAATCCAGTTGTTTTCATTAATATGTGAAGGCCGAGAGTCTTTCAACGAGAGCCATTTGTCTTCCATGTACACCGCCCAAGCTAATCGTTTCCTCAAGCCCCGTTCCCATTTGGGTAATTTCCAATTGTTACAATCCAACCCGAGCCCCAACTCCTCAGCTAACGATACAACCTGGGAACAAAGAACCCATTCGGAGTAGTCTGCATCTCCGCTATTTTGAACTTGGTTGTTTGCAGCCTTGCAGCTAATAATGTGTTTACATTGCAACAACAACAACCCCGCCTGTACTGCACTCAATTTAGGACGCTTGAGAATCTCCTGAAGATAGTTTTTAAGCCCTATTTTCAAAATGAGCTCGACATTGGGTTTAGGGAATCGATTCAATTGAGGATCGTAATCCCACCATTGGATGGCTAGTACATACACAGCTGCAATCAATGGGGCAGTGAACTCTCGATGTGTGCGCGCATATTTTTCCAAAAACACCTTTTTATGAACAATGGGATAAGATGGATGGATGATTCTAAAGTACAAATCAATCAAGATTTGCCCGTGGGGTGAGATGAGTTTTTCAATGGTATCAACGTCATTTGACATTGTTTGGTACGATTGCGGCGACTGGTCGTCTTTCAACACAAAATGCACTTCTTCACAAACTTTCCTCAACGATATGGAATTACTCAAACTTGCTTGTTCAACTTTTGCCGAGCCGCTTTGACCCTGACCTGTACTATCGCCAGTACGCGAGTTGATTATTTTATTCAACAAATTCACGTCATACAAGTAATTTGTTGGCCCTACGTAGAAACTTGAGCGAGGGAACTGCAAAGATAATGTCTTTTTGAGAAGCGAGTGGTTCATCGCTGAGTAGTCTTGCACTGGTGCAACCTCTCGTATCGGCACGTCGGGAATTTGATTATTTTCATTATCAGCTCCCGAGTTGTTTGGTCGTCCTCTTTTTTGCGGATCCAGTCCCATGTCAGAAGCCTTTCTTTTCGTTGCAGGAGTGGTGTAGGTACAATTCAATTGTTTTGCTTCACATTGCACACAGTTGTTTGTATTTGGAACAATAACACACTTGGTTTTCCTTCTTCGACATTGGTCACAGGGACGACGTTGCTTTGTTGACTTTGTGTACACACCTTGCAATGATGGATTTGGGGTGGTATCGATGAGTTGCTGGGTAATTGATGCTTGCGGCAGTTGGCTCTGACTCAATGTCTCCTCTTTGTGGGGTAGTTGGAGTTGGGGGTGAAGTTGTAGCTGTAGTTGTGATTGCTGTTGCGAATGGTTTAGATTGTCAAATTTTTCATGTAATGGTACGGTGTCCACTTCTGGGTGTACATTATTCTGATATTGGATATGGTGCATAATGCCTCCATTGGAATCACTTACTCCAGTATTGTTTCCTGGTTGAGGTATATGTGTGAGTAACTCAATGTTGTACAAGTAGTCCGCCGAGCTAGCATCAAACATCATATGACCCCACTGTGGGTCAAGATAGCCAGAGTTAGGCTGGGTTGAAGCCGGTCGAGAATCCTGGGGTCCAAAAGTACCTTGGCTATTTGCGTTGAAGGGGTGTGGTTTATTCAGTGTATTTTCCGGGGTATAATGATTCTGGTAATTTGGCTGGGCCGCATCCTGTGCATGTGGAATTTCGTTGAATGAGGTAGATTCATTGAGTGAGTCGTTTAAACTGTCCTTGTCTGCGTTTGAATTTGCTGAACCCTCATGATGGGAAGTGGGACGAGGGTGATGTTGATGGTCCTGTGAGTTTATAAATTCTTCATTTTGGTTTCCGTCCTCAATCGTATTTGACGTCACTAATGTGGAAGTGGTTTGTTTCACCTCCATTTGGTCTATGTCTGAAACACTATAATTGAGACTGTGTACGGCTAACTAAGACGTAAGGCAGGAAAACTGGTCCGACGATGTCTCTCTCTATTGATTATTATTATGGTGGTTAATGTGTTGTGTTGTGTTGTTTGATTGTTTGATTGTTTGATTGTTGGTCGTTGTGGGAAAAAAAAAAAAAAAAAAAAATTAAAAATTAAAAAATTAAAAAATAAAAATTACGATATCTCTCTCTCTTTCTCTCTCTCTCTTTATTAACTCTTTCGCTATTGCAGTATAGATTACTAATTACTGTTTATAGATTTCATCTAAGTTACTACAACTTGTTTCTGCTGTATATCCACTTTCTATGAAGTGATTATATATTAGACAAGAACAAGGTGCTACAAGATCTTCACTTACTCCTTGTTTGTGCGTATGTATCACAAAAGACTTTTACAAGGGTAACTGTCCCCCCATTTCCCACATCCGTCGCTACACTAGTACTCTATTTTTGAAATTATTCCAAAAACCTTGATCGTAGTCATTCACCAAATCGTCAACTACTGACTCAACTGGTGTGAGAATATACTTGTCTTCTATTGCATCTTCTTCCAGTATCAATATTGACTCATCTTTTAAGCTTATGTAAACAATAGCCCCCGATGAATCTTTTGCTTTCTCAACAAAAGTCTCGTTGTCTATGCTTGGTGAGACTTTGTACAACAGCCCTAGCTCAACAAGATACTCAATTTCACCCCACTTGTCCAACTCGTTGGTGGTCACTCCTAGGTAAATATACCGTAAGTGCAACCCAGTGAAGATGGCAACAATTGGCGTGAAAATGGTGCAAAGGATGAAAAAGACTCCCGTGACTTTATTTGCATCTGTTGTTGTCGTGATCAAACTCCACATTTGAGATAAACGTGTCAATTGCGGCGATAGCGCCTCATAGCATAAAACACCCCCATAACAAAGCATGTTGATATTGGCAATAAGAAACAAGAAAAACCATTTGTAATTCTTCCACCCAATGCAGTTGTTTACCCATACGCAATGGTGATCGTACAACAAGTAACAATGGCCGCATACCGAGCAGTGTTTTGATCGTGCTGGCTTCACCATTTGACACGTGTTGCACTTGTTATCTCGAAAAAATATGAGCTGATTTGGCTGGTATGGGTATGCTCTTATTGATTGAGGATTGACAACTCCAGGATTACTCAATACACAAAGGAATGTGGCAGTGTAAACAAGGACCATTGAAGCCACGATATAACCCATCTTCGTCAGTTCAGCATGAATCATTGGCCTTGTTTTGACAAAGAACTGTTGGAAACATACTGTCAAGACAATGCAATAGCCAATCGGTACCAACCATCCAAGATATTGAATGAGTTTGCCATTTGTCCAGTCATCAAGGAAATTGTAAAACTTGTTCAATTTACCAAACGCATTGAGTAAACTTTTCCTTGCATTCTGAATTGGGGTGTTTCTGAAGCTCGGCGAGTCTCCAAATAGTAGAAGGATGGTTAATAAAAATGAAGTTATACTTATACCAAGTACAAGCTTGAATAGCATATTGTCCAAGCTCCCATCATCTTCTCAATGGGGGGGGAACGCGTGCAGTTAATTAATTGTCCCAATTGAGAAAGAGCAACAGACGGTGGAGAGAGCAGAGAAAGGAAAAAAAAAAAAAAAAAAAAAAGAAATGTCGTGTCTTGCTCAAACACTTCTGAAATTCTTTATTGAGGATGGGGGGAAGGGAAGGGAAAGGGAAGGTGGAACGACAAACTCAGGCAGCATCTGGAGTTCATAATACAACACATACCAAATGACAAGCACGCTGTATTCTTCGCTTCTCGATGAGGAGATTGCCTATGTGCGAGAACTACTAGACTCAATCCCGTTCAGCTCAGATAAAACGTCCCACTTTCTCAATGTGTACAGAATATACCATCAAGAGCTAATCAAACTAAACGATCAGCCGCTAAAGTTCCCCATCGAGGCTAGTAAATTATTGAAGCTAAACATATCCTTAGGCAACCTACTTAAAGTTTTGCAAACTGATGAAGAGATCTATAAACAGCAGAACTTGCAACAAAAGCGATACATGAGTAAATTGAGCAGTATTCAGGAACGGAGAACAACAACACCAACGGGGCAAAAAGAGGATGGACCCAGACTGCAAGTTTTGGACCAATCAATAAAACACGTGATTAACTCGGGTCAGATAGCCACCCCATCCCCGCAGCCACCATACCAAGTACGATTTGTCAAGAATATGGTGAACATTTTAAAGAATTTTGACATCAATGTACCGGTACACCAAGAAGCTTCGCCCCATCGTAACAGTACGACTTCATCATTTGGATCTGCTCCGCATACTCCCAAGCGTACAGTGTCCAACGGCAGTAGTAGTGGAGGAGCATATACCACAAACACTTCGCCTATCAAGTTGAACTCGAAGCAATTGCTTATTGAGAAGCTAGAGATCAATATCAAATTAGATAACTTGTTCATCTATAAAATCACATTCAAATTGATTTTGGAGATTTACCAACGGCTACAACAAAGTTTACAAAACGATGGCAGTAGTATAAACTCACCATCTCCGGTAAAGATCAAGAACGATGACGAGTCCTCAATCTTTTCTGGTGTTTCATCTAATTCCCAGGATTCTAATATGGCGAATGAAGAGTACTTGAGATATGTCAACAATTTGCTACGTCGGATTAGCTCGGGGATAGTTCAGCCGTTTGTTGCATTAATCTTTCGTGAATATGTGGAGCAACAAATCAGCCTCGATTTCTCTCAATTGATAAATACCCTATAGGAAATAATCAAATGGCGACACATCTCCCCACATTAGTTGTAATATATTTTTAAGTCTATTGTTTTTATGAGGTGCTCTCCTCCCCGTCCCCATCCCATCTTTCTATTCTTTCGTTCTCTCTTTGTAACATCATACCCACCACCAATCAGCAAATCGCCTCCAAATAAGTTTGCTAAACCGCCTGCCCAACAATTTCCCCACTAACGGGAACAAAACGAGTCCCAACACCATTTGAATCTGGTTCATACTTTCCTCCCACTGCGCTTGAGCTGAGAGTGCGTCATAGTCCAGAAGCAGTGATTCGTCGCCGGAAGTTGCATATTCGGAGTCGTAATCTAGATATGCATCGTCGTCTGTTAAGTTGTATGGTTCAGCAGACATGTGGCGTAGGGTGGTGAAGTGTTTGTGGCGTGGTGTTGAAAGAGATCTTGGGGCGAAAAATCACCGGTCACATACTTTTTTTTTTTTCTCGTCCTTCACCCTCGATTTGATCAACCACAAGATTATCATCCGTCAATTGGTTCATGGCATAGGATCTAAGCCATGACCCATATTGCCGTGCTGCCGTGCTCGCTACGTGATAGACTACCAAAAGCTCTGGCACGTGCACCAGAACATATCCGTTTGTTTTGTCAAATACTCAATTACGACCCAAGCACATTTACTCTCACAGTGGGCAAGATCCCCATGCTCCCTGGTATCGGTAATGACTCGATGAACATTAACGTCAGAGAGTTACTATCAACACTGGACTCGAATGTGAATTTGAGTTTTGAGCTTGGTCAGGTCATAGAGATTGACGGGCAATTCGATGGGAAAGGAGTTGATCCGATATCAGTCTGTGAATTGCAGTGGCTGGATGTTACATTTGAGAAATTACACGTCTTAGAGTACATGAGTACGATGCAAGAGATTTAGTGTGATGAATGGAATTGTTGTGGCACGGCGAGTAATAACACACGTTGCACAACTAGTGTGTTTTTTTTTTTTTATTATTTTCTATTTTTATTTTTTTTTTTCATTCCAACAGTGCATCAGATCATCTCATGTACAGACGGCTACATTCACTACTCAGAAATCTAGTCATGTCAACGTCAAATACAGAAGCGGTAAAGAGCGCACAGCCCGTACCAGCACAACCAATCCCAACTTCTGCGGATACTAGCTCATTCAACTATACCACCGAAGGAAAAGCAACTATTTTGACCCCGAAAAAAGATAAAGTTTTTTACAATCCAATTCAACAATTCAATAGAGATATATCTACGTTGTCCATTATCGCATATGACCACATCCGAGCCGAACAGAATGAGTTGAAGAATAAGAACAAGAACAAGAAGCGGAAACTCCTTGGATTAACCATTTTGGAAGCGTTGTCGGCATCGGGATTGAGATCGTGTAGATATGGATTGGAAATACCTAACGTCTACAAAATCGTGGCTAATGACTTGTCACCTGATGCCGTGACATCTATCAATAGGAACATTGAACATAACCAACTCACTGGGAAAGTGGTTGCTAACCAAGGTGATGCTATCAAGTACATGGCGTCAGCACCGAGTAAATTCAATGTAGTTGATCTTGATCCATATGGAACTGCCTCTCCATTTATTGATGCCGCAATTCAATGTGTTGAAGAAGATGGAATGTTGTTGGTTACGTGTACTGATGCCGCGGTGTTGGCAGGAAGCGGGTATCCTGAAAAATGCTTTGCCTTGTATGGAGGAAACAATTTTGGCAATTCATATATCAATAGCGAAACTAATCATGAAGTTGGGATTCGATTGATGTTGCAGTCGATTGCAGCCACTGCGGCTAGATACAAGAAGTCTATCGAACCAATGTTGAGCTTGAGTATTGATTACTATTTTAGAGTGTGGGTGAAGGTGAAAACTAGTCCGATAAAAGTAAAGAATTTGGCTAGTGAGACAATGCTAACTTACGGTTGTAATGGCTGTGGACAAAAGGTTGTACAGCCATTGGGAATCAGAAATGATAACAAGTATGTGTATCCAAAGCTAGTAGGACAAGCTAAAAGTCATTGTGAATTCTGCGGTAGCACTTATAATGTTGCTGGACCAATGTATGCTGGCCCATTACACAATCAAGAATTCATCAAGACACTTCTTACTGTTCTTGCAAAATCTGAAAATAAGGTATACAAGACGTCAGAACGTATAAAGGGGATGTTGACATTGGCACAATCTGAACTAGATACTGTGCCATTTTTCTACAACTTGAACCATCTCAGCTCAATTTTCAAATCGCCGCCTATCTCAATTGATGAGTATAGTAAAGCAGTAGGGAACATGGGCTACAAGTTGAGCTTAACTCATGCGAAAAAGAATTGTATCAAGAGCGATATTCCGTGGGAAAAGAATCTTGAGATTATTCGTGAATGGACTATAAAGCAAAACAAGTTGTATATTGAAGAGATGAAGACAAAGTTGGAACTGGAGGGTTCATTGAATGAGAAGATCACTGAGAAATTGGCCAAATTGGATGAGGATATAACTTATAGTCCTAATTTGAATGAAAAATCTGTGGGGGCGCAAATACTCAAATATTTCAAACAAAAGCGTGCGGGGACGTATGAAGTTGTTGTTGATTTCGATACTTCTAATGCTGAAAGTGAAAAAATTCTGAAGTTGCGCAAGGTGAAAATGGTTAGGTATCAAGAGAATCCAACAAAGAACTGGGGTCCAATGGCAAGACCAAAGTAAAGTAGAACGAAAACGAGAAAAGCCAACGTCAATCAAGTTTCTAGGAATGTTGATTACGAGATAGTTGTGAGAGTCTTTTTTTTGTAAGCCACTAGTACAATTCAACAAAGACCAAATCTACCTTGCATACAAAACGTAGCAACCTTATATCTTCAACTTGTCAATCATCTTCTCCAAATCTTCATCATCTTTTGCATAATTTGCATCCTTACCTTTGTCAGATTTATCCACACCAGCCTCTTCCTTTAACTTCCGATCAATCGTTTCCAATTCATCTTCAACAGGTTTCTGGCTCGCTCCGTACTTTCTTTGACCTTCCTTGTAGTACTTGTCAAGTTCATCTTTCCAGCCTAGCAAAGAAGCCAAAGTTTCTGCAAACTCGTCACAATCCAGAAGCACAACAGTGTCCTTCTTCCTTCGACCCAAGTCGCCAACTTTCTCCCTATTCACCAATACTCGAAGGCAACTCTTGTCGACACTGGAAGGGAGTGAAGCAAAGGGGTACACAGTTAATGAAGTGCCTGATATTATGGCAACGTCTACATCATCGCAATCCTTGTCCCAAGTTTCAAAAAACTTTGACGGCAATCCTTCTCCATAGAATGTGATGTCGGGTTTGATGTATCCTTTGCAATGGTGGCAGGTGGGTACTTTCTCCTTCATTAGCACTTTCAACTTTTCAATCGGCACCTCCTTTTTACAATCAATGCAACGACTAGTTGCAAATGAGCCATGAGCCTCAATTATGAGATCATCTCGAACACCGGCGAGTCGATCCAAAATATCGATATTTTGAGTATAGACCCGTTTCAAGAGACTTTTCTCCTGGAGTAATCGGACTAGGTAATGAAACTTTGTTGGTGCGTATTTACCAGGAAATAGCTCCTCGGCCAATGTGTAGAATGGTTTAGGGTTCTCCTTAAAGAAATCGATATCGAACACAGCTTCTGCATAGGGGAGATTGAGTTTTGCCAAGTTGGAGTATAGTCCTGTGTCAGGACTTCTGAAATCGGGGATTCCGGCTGCTGTTGAGACACCAGCTCCTGTAAAGAGACACACTTTTTTCTTGGCTTTCAATGCATCTACTAGCGGTGTTAGTTTGGTTTCCATTGCTTTAGAAGGTGGGGTTTGTGTGTGCGTGTGTGTGTGTGTGTGTGTGTGTGTGTTGCTGAAGAACAGGAAGAAAAGTGGCAGCACTTAAACTCACACAAAGAAAAAGAAATCTTCGCAATCGTTTTTCTTCTTCACTGAAAAAATTACATTCAAAAAACAACTTTTAAATTTGCCATTTTACCGTTTTGATTACTTTATCATGGCACCACTGAAATCACCACCACCACCAAAGTCTACTGATGCTGTAGAAAAGCAAATATTGGAATTGAGTATTGATGAAAACGCACCAAATGTCATTCATCAAAAGAATCTCGCTGCTGAAAGATTAAACAAAGCTAAAACGAAGCGTGATCAAGAGATTCAATCTTTGAAAGATGAGCAGGCTGTGAATGCAAGGAAAGGTGAATTGATCCAGCTACATTCGAGTCTAGTTGATGAATGTAGACAATATGTTCAACAATTTGTGGATCAGCAAATGGATTGGACAAATATGGAGTTGGCAATCAAACTTGAAAAGAAGAAGCCGGGATCCATTGCTAGGTATATTGAGTTACCTTTACGTTTGAAGGAGAATCGTTTTGTTGTAAGGTTGGAGGATCCTGATAGTCGTGGCGAAGTCAACGGGAAGTCCTTGGATGGCAGTGATGAAAATAGTGAGTCGGACAGCAACACTGACTCTGATTCTGATTCTGATTCTGACTCTGCCTCTGACAGCGACGATACCGATAGTAATAAAGAGTATACGTCTAGCCCTGCAAAAGAGAAATCTCCAGCACCTGATAGCTCCCTTACAGAAAAGTACACCAATAAGGGAACACCTGTCAGTATTGATTACACGTTGAGTTCCTATGCTAATGCTAGCTTCTACTTTGAGATCAAGAAAGCGGCAGAGGCTAAGCAGGCTAAAGTTCAAAAAGGTGCTGAAATCGCCTACAAAAACGCTGAGAAAAAGATTAATCAGGATTTGGTAAAGAACTTGAGACGGGAGAATGGGGGTGTTTCTAAACTGGAGAGGGAAAAATTCTGGTTTGAATCTTTTTACTGGTTTGTTTCAAGTGAAGGGTATTTGTGTTTGGCGGGTAGAACCAAATCGCAAACCGACATGCTTTATTTCAAATACTTTAGTGATGACGATTTTCTTGTGAGTTCAGAGATCGAAGGATCGTTAAAAGTGTTTGTCAAGAACCCATTAAAAGGCGAGTCAGTGCCGCCATCAACAATTTTGCAAGCGGGGATTTTTGCAATGTCTGCATCGCAGGCTTGGAATGGGAAAGTCAATACTGCGGCTTGGGTGTTGCATGGGAGTGAAGTGTCAAAGTATAGTAGTTCATCGGGAGCTTTACTTCCGCCTGGAGATTTTGAGTACCTTGCGAAAAAGCATTTTCTACCTCCAGCTCAGTTAGTCATGGGGTTTGGGTTGTACTTTTTAGTTGATGAAGAGTCAGCAGAACGATACAAACAGCAGAGGGTTGGAAAGGAGAAGGAGCATGGGTTAGTGAGGGTTTTGGACAACAAAAAACGAGTACTTGAAAATACAAAAGTGACCAATGTGAAGACAGAGGAGGTTTTAGAAGAGCGTGGATCAGAACTTGATGACACAGATTCTGAAATTCAAGATTCCTCAACCACAAAGAGTAAGAGAGCCAAGTCGAAAAAGAATACTTTAAAGTATGATGACTTGGATGAAGAGGAGAAAGAGTTGAGAATGAAGTTGTTGGGGATTGGTAAAAAGAACAAAGAGGTGAAGAGGGAGAGCAAAGTACTGCAAGCACCTAAAACCAAAGGCGATGCCAATGAGGCCAGTAGACAGAAACAAGAGGAAGAAGTACAAGGGTATCTACTTGAAGCAGATGCTTCTAATGAAGCCCTCTCATCATTTTTTGATACGATGGATTACCTAACTCCTAAGCCCGCCGTTGGTGATACTGTTCTTGACGTGGTGCCAGTATTTGCGCCATGGTCCGCGTTGCAAAAATTCAAGTATAAAGCCAAAATTCAGCCGGGATTGGCTAAGAAAGGGAAATCAATTAATGAAATTATCAACTACTTTACAAAAAGACGTTTGGATACCAGCAGGTCAGACCCTGACGTAGACTGGCCAGCTGAGAGAGAGCTTGTCAATGCAGTCAAACCGAATGACTTGATGGGCGTGTTTACTGTGAACAAGATGAGATTAATAGTCCCAAAGAATAAGTAGGTGTGTATGCATAAATTGTAGTATATCCGTCTAAAACTAGCGTATCCGAGAGAATACACTAGTTTATTTTCCTGGGGTTCCTACTCCCGCTACAACTTGCCGTGATGGATCTGGGGGGGAGTGTCATCTCAAAAGAGCATAGAGATTCATTGCACTGCTGTTGCAATCTCCATAAAATCGCCGATCATTTATAGTTTCCAGGTACACAAAGTTGGTTGTGATGATGCAAGATTCGGCACTTTTGGTCCTGAAATTTTGTCTCATCATCATTTCTGCGACATTTTTACTGCATCCAACATCCGCACCGTTTACTTCACCTCCACGCCGCCACAGTTTTGAGCACAAAAATGTCTCTCCTCTAGGATTTATCCGAAATGAAAATGAATTTGCTTTACTTCTCCATACTTTTTTTTAGCAACCCCTCTCACACCAATGCCAAGAAATGAGACGGAAAAAGGGATGTCAATTGACGGCATAAAGAAAATTCTGATTACTCGTAATTCATTTGAAAGATCTTTCTTGTCACTTTCGGTTACGGAGATTTTATTATTTTCTTGTCAATAAGAGATGAGAGAGAGAGAAAGATATGGTTTGTTGGTTTGTTGGTTTGTTGGTTTGAAGCAAAGAAGAGAGTCCCCCTTTCTTCACAAAACGCCCTCTGCATCTCAGCAATGTCGTATACCCACAACAATAGAGAGGAACAAGTAGAGATAAGGATGATTAAGTGATACAAAATGTAAAGAAATCACAGTTGGAAGAAATTTCATTTGTCAATCAATCCAACAACTGGTAAATTTTATTAGCGTACGGCACGAAAAGTGAAACGAAGAAGAAAAATAAAAAAATAAAAAAATAAAAAATAAAAAAATAAAAAATAAAAATGAAAAGTTTTTTTTTTTTTTTATTGATATCCTCCCGCCTGTACCAACAATTTCTTTTTTTTATTTTTTTATTTTTTGTTATTAGTATGTAGTTTTATATTTTGTGTCAAATAATCTGTATCATATATTATTATATTTTTGCTTCGTTTTTGCAATCAATTAATCAATCAATCAATAAATCAATCAAATACTTGTTCCCATTCGGAACAATAGGATGAAAAAAATGATTTACTCTTTGCTTTCCGTAATACCCGGTAATATGCACCTTTTTGTTTCAAATGTAATCGCCTTTCAACGGTATAAGCGGGCTTGCATCTACTGTAAATGGAATGCAAATTAGAAGGCTTTGCATCCACAGTTTCTCCACTCTCTCCCTACCGTTTTGAGATGCAACAAGATTTAGATAAATTTGTAACAATAGAGTGGGAAAGCCACAGATAAGAGTCGTAAATACAAACAATCGCCGTACAAGATATAACCACACAGACACACACATCTACCCATCTACACAGACCTTGATAAATTTCTTCATTATAAAATCAGATCCAAATTCCTCTCTGGGACCCATTTACGATTTTGTCTATCACATACACACACACACACACTCACTCACACACACAGTTTCACTATGTCGTCAGATAGAACTTCCACTTCTTCTGCTGATCATGTTGACCATGAGAAAGCAGCACGCTTGGATGTGGTCACCAATGAACAATCACTTGTCGATGACGACGAATACGACTACGATGATCCCAAAAACTACAGTACCAACTACGTTGATGAGTACAATCCAAGAGGGTTGAGAGTTCCAACCAAATCGGAAGAGGAAACTTTGAGAAGAGTCATTGGTAAGATCAACTACGCCATCTTTCTCATTTGTGTTGTTGAGTTTGCAGAAAGAGCCTCATACTACTCCGTTACTGGTATTTTGACAAACTTTATCCAGAGACCATTGCCAGAGAACTCGCCACATGGATGGGGTGCTCCGCAATCTGACGATGGAAGTGAAAGTGCTGGTGCTTTGAACAGAGGGTTACAAGCTGCAAGTGCTTTGACAAACTTGGTTACATTCTTGGCTTACGTCGTGCCTTTGTTTGGTGGTTATTTGGCCGATACCACTTGGGGTAGGTGGAAAACCATTCAGTGGGGTGTTGTGTTTGGTGGTATTTCTCACGTTTTGTTTATTGTCTCTGCAGCTCCAAGTGTTATTGCTAATGGAAAAGCTGGTTTGGCGCTTTGTATTCTTGCCATCTTTACTTTGGCTTTTGGTTCCGGATTTATCAAGCCTAACCTTTTGCCATTGATGTTGGATCAGTACCCGGAGTCTGGAAACAGGGTCAAGGTTTTGAAAAGCGGGGAAAAAGTTCTTGTTGACAGGGAAAAGACCTTGGATAGTGTCACCTTGATATTCTACTGGGCAATCAACATCGGAGCATTTTTTCAACTAGCAACATCCTACTGTGAAAGACGTGTTGGATTTTGGCTTGCATTTTTTGTGCCTTTGGTACTTTATCTTTTCATGCCAATTGCATTTTGGCTTGTTAAACCAAGATTGGTTTTTGAAAAACCAAGTGGTTCAATTATTGGATTCGTTCTCAAGATCCTTGTTGTATCCTTCTCGGGTAACTTTGTCAAGCGTATATTCAACGGTACATTTTGGGAATATGCAAAGCCATCAGCCATGAGAGCAAGAGGCCGCGAATACTTCAACACCAAGAAACAAACTCCTATCAACTGGACTGATCAACATGTTCTTGACGTCAAGCAAACTTTTGATGCTTGTAAGTTGTTCTTTTACTACATCTTTTTCAATTTGGCCGATAATGGATTAGGTTCAGTGGAAACGTCATTGGCAGGAGCAATGAATTTGAATGGTGTTCCAAATGATTTGTTCAACAACTTTAACCCACTTGCCATCATTGTTGTCATTCCAATCTTGGATTATATCATCTACCCACTTTTGAGAAAGTATAGAATCAATTTCAGACCAATCCACAGAGTCTTTTTGGGTTTTGTCATTGCAGCCATGTCTCAAGTTGCCGGTGCTGTTTTGCAACACCGTGTCTACCAAACTTCTCCATGTGGTAATCACTCAACCAACTGTCCAGACCCATCCCCAATCAGTGCTTGGCAAGCTTCATCCGTCTACATCTTGTCTGGTACATCTGAATGTTTTGCCATGACCACAATCTATGCACTTGCTTATACTAGAGCCGCACCTTCGATGAAGGGACTTACCTCGGCCTTGTTCTTGTTGACGTCGGCAATCAGTGCTGCAATCAGTTTGGCAGTTACCCCTGCATTGCAAGACCCATACTTGGTCATTGTGTTTGCTGTTATTGGTGGAGTTGCATTCTTGGCTGGGTTAGTCGTTCTCGTCCAATTCTTCAATTTGCACAAGACTATGGAAGAAGAAGAAAAGGAGAGAATTGCCTTGGGGGGCTCGGTTGTTCCTGAAAAAATCACACCAAGTGGTGAAGCGTTGGCACCAGTTAGCAGTGTCCACTCTAGGTATCCTTTGGATGCAGTTAGATCTCTTCAATCTAGATAAGGTAGTTTGTAAATATATCATTACACAGAATATTCTTATGTAAAAATTGTTTTGTAGTTGTAAGTGGAAAATTCACTACACAAGCTATACTTTTTTCAAATAATGTTTTGAGTTTCCTTTGGTATTGTGATTTTCTGATGACGGTGTGAAGAAGTGGGTGACAAATTAGAGTTGGACTTGTCCTCGCCGTCACTGATGTCCTGATCAGTGATTTCGAATATCATCTCTTCATTTCCATCTTCGTCGTGGCCAAGCTCCAATTCGTCAACTGGTTGTAATGAAGATGTTGCAGCTAAGCTTGATCCTTTCTCGCCCTTAACGTCCTTCACTTTGGTAGCATTCTGGTCATTGTCACCGCCGTCATTATCGTCATCATCGTCATCATCATCGTCATCATCATCGTCATCTTCATCTTCATCTTCATCTTCATCTTCATCTTCATCTTCATCTTCATCTTCATCTTCATCCTCCTCCTCTTCCTCATCGTCGACGCCTTCGTCATCTCCATCCTCATCGTCTTCTTCCCCTTCCTCCTCAATTGCAGCGCTTCTATCGCTTACCTCCTTACTCTCAGCCTCTATTGCCAATATTCTACGTCTCAATATATCCACCACATCCACCCAGTCCCTCATTCCACCCATTCCAATATCGCCACAAACCAACACTTTCTCAACTGGTTTTAGCACTTCAATTCCAAAGTCAGGCGAACTGATTGTGGCTATCTGTTTCGAGGTCATTGGGTGTGTGTACATGAATGTGTTCATTGCAGGAGCTACAATAATTGGCTTCTTAGTTTGTTGAGACGTTGATGGTGCCCACGATCGAATTATTGATGTAAGCAAGTTGTCGGCAATTCCGTTGGAAATTTTGGCCAATGTGTTTGCCGATAATGGTGCCACCAACATGATATCTGCCCATTTTCGCAATTCATTGTGAAGAATCAACTTGTCAAATGGACTCTTTGGTTTTGTGGATTGATTCTGTGTCTGCGTTGAGCTGATCGTGGTGGCTTCGTTGTAATTTGCCCACTCATCTTCGTCTCGCCATATCTTGACATCAGCATTGATTTTCGAACCTTTCAAAAAATGACTGGCGGCTTTAGTCACAATCAACTGAATCGAAATCTTGGACGTGCCGAATAACTGAAACAACTTGTCAATAATCAAGGGAATTTTGATAGTAGCAACAGATCCAGTACATGCTAACAAGATATGGAACTTTCCGTCGTCCTCTTTGGATAAATACTCTTGAAATGGTACAGGAGGGCCCACTGGAGACGCAACAATAGTCTTACCTGCTTTTTTCAAAGAGTTTCTTCGAGAAGAATTGTTGCTTCCAGTGCCTGTTATCTTTATTGGCACAGCACTGTTTGTGTTTGGTGATAGCGTCGAGGTTGGTGTGTAGTGTTCCGCATGTGTGGGACTTGGGGTGTTGAACCGAGCGGGAACATTTTCGTCAAACTTTGGGGTAGGCTCCCTGATAGGAGCTGCTGATGGCTTTGCGCTAAACGAAAGAGCCTCATTCTCCGCCTTTTTCCTTTTCAAAGATGTTTGTCTGGATGGGGTGTTTGATGGTGGGTGCTGAGGCGGTGCACCACCAGGGTAGTTGTTCTCTTGCGTAGCAGCTACATTTGTAGATGAAGGCTGTGACGAAATAGTGAATCTTCGCAATCTTTCTTGAGATTCAGTTTGATTGAAAGATACGCTCGGATTTCGAGTCGGAACGTTTGAACTTTGGTCCTGTGGCACTGGTTGCTGAATGGTTACGGTTTGCGGTCTATTGTTATTTGTCAATATTTTAGGTGGCGTATCTGCGGCATTTGAAACAGCTGTCCTGAGGGAAGGTGTCCGCCTTGCGGTAGACGTACTTGATGAATCAGCATTTTCTCTCGGTTCTTTGGTCTCTGATGGGCTAGATGTTGATGCCATTTTTTTTTTTGTGCCCTCGTGTAGTCTGTATCAAGAAAGATGATGTATCTTTCACTTTATTTTATATTCCTCTTTTCTCGTTCTTTTTTTTTTTTTTATTTTCTTCAAAGTGTACAGTGAAATTGTGTCTTTCATTTCAAAACACGTTGTCATTTCTAATCAACAAATGAATCTTCGCCAACAAATCACCCAATTCCTATCCCTTGCATATGTCTTTTCATCTGCATTTATGCTATGGAAGACATTGTCGGTAGTGGCGAATCTGCATTCGCCAATTGTTGTCGTGTTATCAGGTTCTATGGAACCAGCTTTCCAAAGAGGTGATATACTATTCTTATGGAACAGAGACCAAAGACAGAAGGTTGGTGATATTGTTGTTTACGAAATTGAAGGAAAAAGTATCCCAATCGTCCATCGTGTATTGAGGGAACATCATAACCTGGAGAAGCAATTGTTGTTGACCAAAGGTGACAACAACGCTGTGGACGATTTGTCACTATATGCCAAAAAGCAAAGCTATCTCAATCAAAAGACTGACTTGGTTGGAACAGTGAAGGCTTACTTGCCATTTATTGGATATATTACTATTCTAATCAGTGAGAATATGTATTTCAAGTTTGGTTTGCTAGGTTTCTTGGGTCTTACTTCGTTAATTAGTGGAGAGTAGAGATGAACAAGTTCAATTGACATCGTTTTGTACAGTAAACTGAAGTCGTATAAGCTCTTGCTGTAGTTTTTCGTCAATGGAAACAACCCCGGAACGGATAAAGGAAACGCCGTACGCGTTGTGTATCGTCTAATCGTTTGACAAAAATGAATTCATTAAACAAAAAAAAAGAAAAAAAAAAATGTAAACAGTAAAAAAACCTGAAACCACTCAATCCAACACATCAAAGCAATGAGAGGTATGTTGAGCAGCTAATACTACTGGCAGTGGCCTTAATACTAACCTGATTCAGATTACAAGATTGTAGTTCTTGGTGCCGGTGGTGTAGGAAAGTCTTCCATAACCGTGCAATTTGTACAGGGAGTGTACATTGAAAGCTATGACCCAACCATTGAGGATTCTTATAGGAAGCAGATAGAAGTTGACGGTCGTGCTTGTGACTTGGAAATATTGGATACTGCCGGGGTGGCGCAATTCACCGCAATGAGAGAGTTGTATATCAAGAGTGGGAAAGGGTTCTTGTTGGTGTACTCAGTCACAGATGAAAACTCGTTGAAGGAGCTTTTAGCATTGCGTGAGCAAGTTTTAAGAATCAAGGACAGCGACAACGTCCCCATGGTGTTGATTGGAAACAAATGCGACTTGGAAGAGGATAGAGTGTTAAGCATAGAGGATGGAGTGAAGGTGAGTCAAGATTGGGGGTTGGTACCATTCTATGAAACGAGCGCCATGTACAAGACAAATGTAGATGAGGCGTTTATCGACGTGGTGAGGCAGATAATGAGAAAGGAAGCAGCAATCAGCGCTGAGAAGAAGCAGCAAAAGGAGAAGCAAAAAGCGGAGCAACCAGTCGTATCACAGCAGCCTGTAGCTGGGCAGCAAAAGACGGTGGAAGCACAGAATGCAAGGGAGAAACAATCTGTCAAAGAGGGTAAGAGTAGCTCAGGTAGCAAATGTTGTACAATAATGTAATTGGTGTGGTTGTCACACAATTTATACGTAGGATAGTTTCAATACAAAGCTCGTTGAGCGTTTTTAATTCGCCCGATTTGTCAGGAAATCTATTGCAATAGGTTTTGAACTTGTTGTGTCTGTATTGTGAAAGCAAGATGGGATGATCTTACTGCAAGTCATACTTGCAAATTTATGGTTATTTTTTTTTTTTGCAGCTATTTAATGCAAATTAACAACAAAATATTGGACTTTTAACGATAAAAATTTTGAAGAGTCACTATAATGGGGGACAACTTTGGGGATACACAAAATGTGAAGCTCGCAAGCAGCTATCCCATGGAGCCAAAATTTGCAAAAACGTTGACAATGTATTGAATAGTTTCAAATTACAATGTCAGTTACTACACCTCCCCATATTGTGCAAGGGACGCCAAGGAACTGGGATAAAAAGCTTTCTCTTGGCATATTACACTACTATAAACCAATTTATCCTGTTTCAAGTAACTTTCGACTTCATTATTATCAAATTCACCGTCAAATTTGGGTTCAAAACAATCAGAAATTTAAGCAATGACTAAAAGAAAAACATAGATTTGTCAACAAATAAGTAGCCGTGGCCGAGCGGTTAAGGCGCCAGGGTAAGGTTACAACTTTACCATACTTTCCTGGTATCTTCGGATGCGCGAGTTCAAATCTCGTCGGCTACATTATTTTTTTCCCCTACTTTCTTTCTTTTTTTTTTGGCTCTCTTCTTCCTGCGAAATATCTCTTGTTCCGCACCAGACCAGACCAGACCAGACCAGACCACGCCAACCGACCCTCTAGCTTTGGAGTGACACGGTCCTTTAGTATCACATGGAGAATGACTAAAGCGAAGCACAACTCCGGCCTTTTTCAAAGCAAAAGCATACGAAGCAATAATACTCAGAGCAGTTGTTGAAAGTGTAATTTACAATAAAATATAACCCCAAGTTTCATTATAAAACATACATAAATCACGTCATCTACCATGAAGATGGTCCAAAAGTCTCTCCTGGTTTCAAAATCTTTCTGATATTTGTTGTCACTTGATAATCAACGGTATTATTGACAACATCGTTTCCCCACCAACTTGGGAAATCAGTTTGTGTCAATCCCAAAGCTAATGAGATAATCAAAAGACTCCAAGCCAACCCAATATCCATACCAGCAGATAATGAATAGTTGTATTTGGTCCACCAGTGGAAGAACTTTCTCTTAACCCACCATCCAAAGAATAAACCAACGAGACAGTACGAGGTGTAGTTGAATGGTGTTGCTGGTGGAATGTATCCGGTACCTGAGAAAAACACTGGCCAGTTCAAGTACTTGATCATACTGTTTGGCCATTTCTTCAAAATCAACCAATTGATAACGGGGAGAACAGCACCAATGATGAAGAAAAACAACAACCCATAGTACAATTGACCATGTGAGAATTGACGTTGTGGTCCAATAACCCCCCAAATTATAGAAGCATTGAAAAACACTTTAGCTCCAGGACAAGTGAATCTTGATTTTTGATCAGGTGTACACAATCCGTCAATGGCACCATACGACCATCTCATAACACCAATTTGGACAAAACAGTTCCAGATAGCAGCAGCAAATTGCGCAAAGAACATATTGCGAGGAGAAATCTTCATATAGTGACCTAATTTCATGTCCTGGGCAAACGTGACAGCTTGGTTGTTGGTGATGTAACCGAAAGTTTTGAAAAACATCATTGCAATTGGTTTTCCTGGTAACATGTAACCGACGATGAATTCAGTCACGACATTCAAGCCAACAGCGATGTTGGTTCTTGCATAAATGACAGCAACTGGAAGTAAAAAGAACATGGCAATGAGGAGAGCCACAATCAAAGCCCAAACTGGCATCTCGGTTTCCCAAGCTCTCACTGTGGCGATTGACATTCCAAAAAATACCAAAAAGGAAATCAAGAACCACCATTCTGGAACGCGCTTGTACCTAGCCATTAAACGATTGTGCACATCAGGCTTCTCTTTGAGTTTGAATTGGTCAATGATTTCTTGTCCATGGAACAAAACTGTGTGAACTATTGTTGCTAATATCGATGCAAATGATAACCCGTACGAGATGGCAAATGTTGTTGATAAGAACAATGGTGAATACTTTTCATATTCTTCCTTATTGAAAGTCAAAGTCTTTGGATCAACAACTCGAGAGACTTGGTATGGCTGTTGCGTATTGTCGAAAGATCCAGAAGACGATATTGGGAGGTAGTCACCATACCAAGTGTTTGTGAATGAAATGGCTGGAACCACAACCCAAAAGATGAGGACCATGGACAAGAAAATGGTTCCAATGGTACTGGCTGGTGGAATCAATGGGGATCCAAAATAGCCAGCAATTTGGTTCCAATCCAAAGCAAATGAGTTTGGAAGCATTCCCAATCCTGAAGACGATCCAAAGATTTGGTTGATGGTGACATTGTTTGGTTTTATCCAACAAATCCATGAGAAATATGACAATGCGCTGAAAATATAACCAGGGAACCAATAGTAGATGAAACCAGCCACAAACACAGTCAAGAAGAATGCAAGACGAGAAATTTTCCAACCATTAGCTGGGTGATTTTCGTTGATGTGCATGTTGGTCAAGAATGTACAGGTGACCAAGTTTTGTGGCCAAACGGCAGATGGTGAGTCAACAACTGCTCTTCTAATCAATCCTCCCATGGAGAACCCAATCATGTTGGTGGCAAGAGTACAGACAAGAGCAAAACCAATACCAAAGTCAACACCGTAAAACTTGTTCATTGAAACCAAGATATCTGTAGAGTAAGCTGGACCACCGTTGAAGGAGGCATTTGCCATGATGGTGATGACTGCATGCTCTTTGATATTGAAAGGTCCTGGATTCAATGGCAAACCGAAAATCTTCCAAGATTTTGGAATGCTCCAAGCCCAAAATCTACCTATTGGGTAAGCCAAAATGGATGTGACCAAGGTTGTGATAGTAATGGTGGGCTGGTGTAGGGAGAAGTACATATTCATTGCTGAACCAATTGTCGTCAAAACCAAACCAATAGTCCAAGCTCTGATGGTGGCTTGTGGCATATCAAAGTCATCAGAACTAGGTACAGCAGCTCTAACTTCCGGGTAGGGTGAGTCATCTTCAACATGCACAGCTGCATAGTCGTCGTGAATAATCTCGTCAACTAAACGTGAAGTCACAGGATCAAACTCTTGGGACTTGGACACCACCAAATCCAAATCGGGAACCTTTCTGTCAGCTTCGAAATCTCCATTAGCTACTTCTTGAGATGCAATCTCAGCGGCTTTTTCGTTCAAATCGTGAGTTGCATGTTCTGTGCCAAGTTCATTTTCAACGATCCGTCCGCCACGGCTAAGCGCATTTCTGATCTTCTCCATGGCTGTAAAATATGTGATATTAAGGTTGATAGTCAAAAAAAAAAAAAAAAGAAAATGAAAGGAAGGGCAGAATATATTCTTGAAGAGTCTTTTTACTTTATAAAGTTCCAGAAATTGGTAGAGATGGGGTAAACTCACTCTCAGTTATCGGAAGGTTCAAAAAACAATAGCGTTATAATAAAACCTTGTTTTTAATTGTTTTTAATTGTTTTTTCTACTTTTTTTTTACTTTTAAGGTGCTGCAAAAGGGCTTAAAGATAAAAATAATAATCAATATCAAAACCTTAATTTTGTGTATTAATTGCCGGTTGTTGCCTTCTGTTGTTGATCGCGTTACAATGGAGGTCAAAACAGCTCTTCTGTCTTTTTTCTTTTTTTTTTTTAAGTGGGATTATGAGCAAAAGTGAGTCAGCTGGAAGTGAAAGGTAAAAAGAGTTTGTGCATTAATAAATCTAATATATGCACCCGCTAAATTTCAACACTACGCAAGGCGAAATGAGGAGAAATCGCGTGACTCCGATGCTGATCATCTGGTTCGTCCGACGTTGCGGGTAGGCCCATATCCTTGATAAGGGGGGGTAGAGAATACTAGTATCTCCAATCTGGTCTCAGTGAGTGAGCTACTTGCCGGTTTTTGAAATGTAGTTATGCGTAGTTTAAAAAAAAATACGGATTATATTAGGCGTCGTTCTTTTTGTATTGGTAATGCTATGTGCTAATCAGTAGCTGTAGCTTACGGCCCAAAGTTTACTTCAAGTTTAACTGCGGTTAGTAAGGCATTTCCCGTTCTCTATTTTTTTTTACGGAAGGTGCAATTTTAAGTCCGATTGCAGTATGGGTAAATATTTATTGCAAAATCTCTCTCTCCCTCCCCTCTCCCCCACGTAGAAACTCATTCAAAGCTTGTTTTGTCCTAATAATTTAGTAGCGCACTGAAAGATTGACGTATTACCTAAAAAGAGAAAGACAGAGAGATGTGTCATTTGAGAGAGCAAGAGAAGCCTTTCAATCGTACGGCACCAAAAAGAAAAAGAAATTTACATACACAATGTGGAAAAACAATACAGACACAAAGCCCAAAACAATAAGTGGTAGAGACATTTCTTTTTTTTTTTTCTCACATCGCACGACATTGTCTTCCTTATCAAAATACACAAAACAGAATTGGTGAAATTTGAAACGCCTTACAGTCTGTCCAATTTAGTAAGTGGCTCCAATGACTCTTTTTGACTGATGCCATACGATGTATAGGCACCAACACAGTCAACACCACCAGTTCCACCTTCAGTTCCAAGCCTCCACCATTTACCGAGGTCTAAATCTTAAAGAACACAAACCGTTCTCTCTGAATGCACGCTTAATTCTTGTCCTCGTTACTTTCATCATTATTCATCAGTAAATTTACATTCTATTGTTGTTCAGAGGACCCTTTTGGTTGCACCTTGTTATTGTTGCTCATTTGCATGATCGTTGTATTGATGCAACCAAGGTTATTTGAGGGTACTGGATCTTGTACCCTGTTTTCTAATAAACAATTGCACGGTTTTTGCTGGTTCCTAAAAAACAAAAACTGTGGCTCCAGTAAATACTCCGTTTTTGTATCTCGAAAATTAGTTTCGGTTTGGTCTAATAAGTCGAAACAACTTGTACTTGCAGTTTCTTTTCTGAAAGTAAGCCAATATTGTTCATATCCAATGATATCTACTTCTCAACTCCATAAAGTATCTTTGATGAAAGCATGACTCGATTTTACATTATATCACACATGCCTGTCGGGTGCTGCCTTTCTCAATCAAACCCGGACCACTCATCCCCATCTCCATCCTCATCGTCTTTTTCATTTTCGTCTTCACAATCTTCAGCACCATCGTTCTTCTTTCTAACAAAGCAAGCAGCAAAAAACCCAATACCTCCATCCTCTTTAGGGTTAGATCGAACACAACCTCCTGCCAACTGTTTGCAAATCTCAGGGTCCCTAGATAACGCAACGAATTCCGACTCAATGCCTCGCCTCTCCCAACTTGGAAGCACTTCGTCCCGGGTAGCCAATTTCCAGCCTTGACTCTGCACTTGCCGATCAGAAAGCAAATCAATCACCACCCTCTCATTCTCTTCAGCATGTATTGAACAAGTGGAGTAGACAACCTTGCTAGCACTGGGAAAAGACAATGCATGTTTCATAATAACCACTTGAAAAGAGGCCAACTTCTCAAGCCTTTGATCATTGTTTTCTTCTTCGTCTGACGCTCTACCAAATATACCAGATCCACTGCACGAAGGATCAACAATGAGACCCGTGATATCAGCAAAATCTTGTGGGTTGGTTTTGGTGAAATCATTATGCAATACTTGTATTAACTTCTTTTTATTTTTCCCAAGGGCCCGTTCACTCATTGTACGAAGTATCTTGACTCTTTTCTCGTCTCTTTCAACTGCGTATACTACAGCATTTTCATCTTGAGGTAAATATGAAGCAGCATGTGAAGTTTTGTTTCCAGGTGCAGCACAAGCATCAATTATTTTGATGTGCTCTTTATTATGGTTTAAAATATGTGCTGGAAAACATGACGCACGGTCTTGTATAATCACCTCACCCAATTTGTAAGCCTCCGTCTGTGAGAGTTTCTCCTTTGGATGGATTCCGAAAAGGTTGGGAATGTGGTCATCTTGGTAGATAAGTCCAGGTTGTGTCAACTCTTGAAACCTATTTACTGGCTGTAGTTTGGAGAAGAATTTGTGTTTTTGATTGAATCGTTCTGGATCAATCTTTACAGTATTGATTCTAAACCACCTCACTGGCGTTTCGTCGTCATTTTCCTTTGTTGGTAGTTGCTCCACTGACTTTACCTTGTGCTTTAGCTTCAACTTGATGAACTCCGCCTGCAATCTGGTCTTGTGGGCTAGAACAGCGTCCTTTATGGGGTGCTTCCCACTCTCGATCCTTCCACGACTACTAAACAACAAGTCGTGTACCAACAATGCCAATAGGGCGTCGCTTATTTTGATTTTCAAGTCGCGTTGGATCCTTGATTTCTTGATTACATGCTCAATGTGATCTTTATACTTTATGGTGGAATACACTAAAGCAAAGACATGTTTTGGATTCGTCAACCTTTTGTCATCAAATATTCGTTTTTGGAGGTTGCCATCGTTGTGTTTGAGATGTCTTTCGGCATCAAAGTATAACTTCATTGATGTGAAGAGGGAAAGGAATTTTGCAGTTAAAAATAATGTGAAGATGAAAAAAAGTTGAAGAGAAGAAAAGAGAAAAGAGAAGAGAAGACGAAAAAAAAATAATACGAAACATCAGTAACAACGAATATCTTGCGCAGTTACTACATATCTCCCGTAAAGCAGCATCACGATGGAGACAACACTGCTCTGTCGTTCATGGATCTCGGTGTAGTTCTCTTATTTCAATATCTTGTAACTTATAAAGGTCCCTTTTAACTGTACAGCCACTAGGATCATTCAATTCTCTGTTTTACTCTCACGCTTTTTTATTTTGTTTTTTCTTGGACGTTTTCGTTAACGTTAGATCATATATTCCGACACATCATTCGAAGAGTCTGTTTTCCTTATAATCTCGTCACTAGACTACAAACAGGAAAGAGAGACAAAGACAGAGACAGAGAGACAAAGACAGAGACAGAGACAGAGACAGAGAGAGTACCATGCCACCTCCACCTCCACCAGATGCATATCAACCAGGGACGAAGCTAGTAGTCGGATCGCACCAAATCTCAATCATCAAGTACATATCCGCAGGTGGTTTCGCCCATGTATATACTTGCCATATCGACCCCCCCTTTCATGGATCCAACACCGCTTGTTTGAAAAGAGTTGTAGTTCCAAGCAAGTGGCAATTGAGTCTCCTCCGTCAAGAAGTGGACGCCATGAGACGGCTACGAGGCAACAAACATATTGTGTCATACATTGATTCCCACGCAGCTAGATTGAACGAGACCAATCATCACCACCAACAACAACGCCAGCAACAACAATATGAAGTGCTATTGCTAATGGAGTATTGCGAAAACAATGGATTAATTGACTTTATGAACACAAGACTCGTCAATAAATTGACCGAGAAGGAAATTGTGGACATTATGTACCAAGTGACAATTGGGGTTGCAATGTGCCATCACTTGCGACCTCCACTTATACATCGGGACATCAAAATAGAAAATGTCTTGATTGATTCCAACCATGTGTTTAAGCTATGCGATTTTGGTTCCTCAGTGAATTACATGGCACCACCGAAAAACCCTCAGGAACTACAGTTGATGAAGGATGATTTGATGCAGCATACAACCCCACAATATAGAGCACCCGAAATGATTGATTTGACGAAAGGGTTCCCAATAGATGACAAGCTGGATATCTGGGCATTGGGAATTTTTCTATACAAATTGTGCTACTACACAACCCCATTTGAACTGTCCCAACAATCCTCATTGCAGGATTTGGAAAGAACGATATTGAACTGCTCGGACAACTTGAGGTTCAAAGACCAACCGGGGCTGATGTTTTCACCAAGATTAAAGAATGTCATTAAAGTTTGTCTACGGGCAGACCCAAGGCGCCGACCAAACGCAGTTCAGTTGTTGGGAGAACTATGTCAAATGAGGGGAGAAACCAAGGTTCCGAATGTAATACCAGCCAGTATTTTACAAGCCGCTTCTACTGAAACAAAGAAGCCAGTGAAACCAGTGAAACCTGTGAAACCAGAAGCTCGAACGTCAGTTAGTCCCAATCCTCCGCCTTCCGTCAAGAGCGAAACTGGGAAAGCCCCAGTTGACCCGTTTGCAGCCATCGATAAAACAAAATTCATGAAGAAGTTGGACACGAAAACCATTTCTTCCCCATTCGAGCTGGAACCGAAACGAACAGTACCACGACCACTCAGCGCCTATTACGATAGTAGCCACAAGCCGAAAATCTACTCACAGGGCAACAAGTCCACGCCATCAATCCAAAACAAGGTCAAGCAGGAACTTGCCAGAGGTTATGAAACTACTGACTTGGGCGAAACCACTGACACTATGGAGTTTTTGAAAAACAGGGAAATCGAAAGCCAAGACAGTGGTATGAAGTCAGCTTGGAACAGTTTGAAACGGATCAGTACCGGTGGAAGCAACACTTTGAGAAGGATCAGCACCGGGGGAAGTATTAGCGCTAACAATACAGGTGCCTCAGACTATGGCAATGGAAGAAAGAGTCTTAAGCAAATATTGACTGGAGGTCGAAGACAATCGGAAGAAAAGATAAAGCCCGAAACTTTTGAGGAAACTGCTGAGAAGGAGAAACTGATTCAGAAACGGATGCAAGCGCTACTTGCTCAAAGTGAGTCTCAACAGATACAAAAGACTGCACTGGGATATGGAAGATTCACTGACAAGAATGTCGTGGACGATATAGACTCTATCAACCAGTCGCCTTATGCCAAGAAACCACCGTCGCAAAAGTTGGCACCTCCAAAAGTTCCAGTCAACTTGTCAAAATCGAGGCAGCACAAGTCTCCTACACCGGAGAAAGCGAAACCCCCTGCTGCTCCAAGTAGGCTGCATACACAGAAGCAAAAATCACATACAGTGCCTGCACTTAAACCAAAGTCGGATAAACTCAAGCATGAGCTTCGCCATGATAAAAAGCCCCCTCCAAGCAAGCCAAAGAAGCCAACTTTTCTCAAGGCAGGACAACAGCAAAGTCGCAGGTTGAGCACCAGCAGCGACTTATCGTTACCCGATATAGACGACTTAGAGAAGCAATTTTCAAAGCGATTCCCCAATTATGTCTAATTTCATGTATGTATAGCTAAAAAAAAGAAAAGAGAAAGAAAAAGAGAAAACCACATTCTTTACAACTTACTATCACCCTTTTTTATAGTGATATCAAAAGGGAAGTCCATTCCAACATCAAACCCATAAACATTCTCAAGATCTCCCTTCAATAATCTACCAACTTCCTGTTCACGTATAGCAGCCTTGTCCCGCTTCAATGCAACTTCAGGGATATGTGGTTTCTCTTTGTCCAATATTTTGTTCCTCTTTGTCAAAAAGTCCTGGACTACGTCAACGATCGTATCTGGCATTTCACCATTAACTAAATGTTCCCCATTTGGGATATCTACAGTGCCGGCCAAATAACTTGGATTGATTGCGCCCCTGACCCAGGGAACACTTTGGGGCGGATTCCATTTCGCTTTGGCTCCAGTTATGTGCAAAAAGGGCACTTTCAAATCGGGCAATGCCAACATGCCTTTAGAAAGAGACATCAATGCCCCCATATAAGTTGCCACTTGAAAATTCTTTGTGCATTTGATTTTGTATACTTCTTTACCTTCTTCATTCTTGGTCCTGTATACTTCATCAGCAATGTAATCTTTCAACACTTCTGGATGATGCGATTTGGTGAAGGAGAGTTTGCCAAAAAAGTCTTGTGCATCTTGTTCAGTGTCAAATGTGTCCATGATTAACCCACCAATCTTTTGAAACAATTTGGTATACAATGCTGAACTGCTTTTGGTACCGTAAATGACAGGCTCAATAGCAATAATGGAATCAAATAAAGTGCTTTCCAAATAGGCGGCATATGTGGCTATATATCCACCCATGGAATGTCCCACCACAACAGTTCTCACATCGCGATCATTCTTCAAATCGCCGGTAGTACGAATCTCGTGCTGCACAACCTCAATCACGTCCCTTGCTCCATCGTCCCATACATACACGGCACCCAACTTGTCAGCATTTGCCAAACTCGAATCTCCATGGTTCACAGCATCAACACTAACAACAGTATCTAAAAACCATGGAACTTGCATCGACTGCGAGAGTTGAAACAATTTCTTAATGTGGTAGTTCCAAACCGATTTGTTGAACCCTGTTCCATGACAAAACACAAGGTTGTAGGTCAATTGTGATTTGGCGTCTGGTCGTGGACAATTGGATTTGTATTTGTTGTATACAATAGTCAAGTTTTGGGCATCTTCGGCTAACAATGTAGATCCCTTTGCCCTAATTGGATGGGCTTTGACCTGTTTCTTCTGGAGTGTGAATGACATTGTTGGAAGGCGGGTTAGTCAGGATTTTGGAAACGGTGTTAGTCAAACTCCTCAGTGGATATTTATAATCGCGAGGTTTATTTTTTTTTTTACTGTATTTTCTTTGTGGGGTGAAAAGTCGTGTGTGCGTGTGTTAACCGAGGGACAAGGCCACAAACGCGGAGAAAGGACTGTGACAGTTTTGGTTAACGGTCTAAGCAGTACAAAGGGAGGAGGGGGCACATTCCGATTACTCGATTGTACCTCGGGTTATCCTTATCAAAGGCGCGGGTAAGGGGGCGAAGGGGAGGGGTCATGCATACGGAGTTTATCTGCCAAATGTCCTAACTTTTACATCAGCTTTAGCTCTATAACTAAGACCCCGAAAAAAAAAAATTATTAATTGAACCTCGGATCGAATCTACGTGAAACAATACAATGCAAAAAATTACTCTAACTCGATACATACATAATCTACTCCTCCGAGCTCGAGTATTCCTCTATGCTATCCAAAATGTTATCAACACCCTCGTCAAACTTTTCATTTATAACATCAAATAGCCCATCCCCTTTAGCTCTCAATACTCTACCAAACTTTCTTCTTGGCCGCTTCAAATCATCTCCACTTGAATCACCAGATGAGCCATTGCTCGAGTTACTCCAGCACGAGTTCAAGTTGCTAGTGAAGATTGTAGAGTTGTGGTAAAACCAATCAACCATACTCTCGTCCATGACTGGATTGATAGGTTTCAATGGCGTTCTATTGACGTAAGCAATGGTGAATTTCACCAAGCTCTTGATATCTGCAGATGGCCGCTTGCTGAACAAGTGCACTATACTTTGGTAGGAGTCACCGAACCCGACAAATACCAATTTCTTTAATTTTGTGAAATATGAAATATAGTTGTCCCAAATGTACAAAAGCACTTCTTGGGCAAAAATGGTTGGATTGTACGACGACTCATGCGATGTCGAAAGCCCCGGGAATGGTAGTTGGAAAGACGGGATGTTGATATCAATGTAGCCAATCTTGTCTTTGTTTTCACTGTCCTTTTCCTTTTCTACTTTGTCCATGATTTGAAACAATGGTTGTTCCAACACTATGGATGAATTACTTTCAATTATACCGGTGGTTGGGTTAATGTTGGCCCATATTTCTGGTGGATCGTGGATAGTCACCACTATAGATGTACAATCGTACACATCTTGGCTGGCAATTACTAGTTCATCAATCAGTTCGGGTAAGTCGCAGGTGAAGCTTGCTGTCTTTTTGTCACCTTTGTCATTATTGATAATCGGCAAGTTAACAAATTGCTTCTTGGAGTAAGCCTCATTGTTTTGATAGGATCGTATTGGGTCAGATATATTGGTCAACTTGTACCTATCTTTGTCAAGGTCAGGTAGATCGTATACGTCATCAAATGAAGTCTGGGGAACTCCTGGTTTCAAACATTTCCAGTACTTGGAATGTATCTTAGTCACCTCGTCAATAACCTCAATGGCGTCACCATGAGGTTGCTTTGGTATGGTATTTTCAGGTGGCTCGCCAAGCAAGACTTTTGCCACTGCTAATGCACTATTACTAATGGAGGTCAAATTGTATCCACCTTCAAGTATAACTGCCAATTTGCCCCTCGCTATAGCCTTCAACAAGTGTGTCATGTATCCATACCCAGCCGGACTCACATGACAAGCACCAATGACATCGCCATCAGCCGCGTCAAACCCGGAACTGACGATAATCAAATCAGGATCGTATTCCAACATGACGGGAATGATTACCTTGTTGAATGCATACACATAATCACCATCGTGCATTCCATGGGATCTCCAAGGAATGTTCAAGTTGAATCCCTCTCCATCACCTTCTCCCACCTGGTCGGCTCCACCGTACTTGGTACCTGGATAAAATTTACCATTTTCATACCTGTGTAGCGAAATATACAAGACTCTAGGGTCATCATAAAAGGCCTTTTGGGTTCCATTACCATGGTGGATATCCCAATCAAGAACAACAATCCTTCGCACTGATTCAGGATAAGACTTTAAGATATTTTTGGCAGCAACTGCAACATTACTAAACAAACAGAATCCACCTGGTGAGTCAGGCTCGGCGTGATGGCCCGGGGGTCTAACAGCAGCTAACGAATTCTTCACTCTTCCTTCAACCACCGCTTTACAAGCCTCAATAGCACCACCACATGACAATTTGGCTGAGAAAAAGGAGTCATTATTGACATAAATGGAGTCACCATTGGCAGTTTCCTTCATTAATTCATCTTTGGTCATTGTTTCAGTAGATTGAATATGTCTCAAGTGTTCTTCAGAATGTACTTCCAAAATCTCATCCTTTGATGCTTCCCTTATGGGGATCTTTTGCATATATGGACCCAACTCATCAATACCGGATAGCGAATAATCTTGAACCAATCCGGCTTCCACCAATTTTTTGTAAATTCGATATATACGACGAGGATCCTCTGGGTGTGGGTCAGTGTATTCAAAGTATGACGTAAAGATCTTGGCGTGGTATCTCATTCTTACGTCGTAAACCAACCCTGTTTTCAAAGGTATGTAGAATAATTCTGGCTTAGTTGGCGGAACAACAACGATTGGACGCAGTTGAGATTTGACAGCGTAAAGTTCATTTTTCTTGGAAGTGGGAGAACTGTTGACTCCAGAGGATCCATTCTGTTGTTCAGTCTCATCTTCTTCAAGTTTAACCTTTTTCAAAGGTGGTTCCTCCTCCTCTTCTGCAATGGTAAGATCGTGTCTCGTCTCAAATTCCTCAATTGGCAAGTCAGTTTCCTGTTTTGGATCAGCCTCCTGTTTGATTGAAACAGCCTCAGCAGCCTCAGCAGCAGCATCGTTTTCAATGGTATCCAACTTGTCACTGTTGCTCATTTTGTCTTGCAACTTTGCATTCAGTGCTTGTTCAGTAGTGGAGAAGTCCAATTTTACGTCAGACGCAAATTCTTTTTTCGACTCGTCAGACATAGCCAGCAGAGCTCTAGAGAAATCAGCTTGAATGTATTGTGTATCTTGCAAGAAAAGAGTGATGGCCAACTGTATGTATGTACCAGAAGATACTGACAAGGTTGTGCCTGTTCGTTTTAGATTGAAAAAAAAAAAAAATAAAAAAAAAAAAAACAAGAAAAAGAAAGACCGAATAGATTATACAGAGACGATAAACTCTGAAGAAAGTTACAAATGGTTGTGAATGAAATGTTTACATTTTATTTTTTTTTAATTTTTTTAATTTTTTTTATTTTATTTTTTTTTATATTTTATTTTATTTTTTCTTCACTCTTTGACAATCTCTCAATCTGTATCTTAGTTTTGGAGGAAGGGTGGTGTTTCTTCACAAAAATGAGCCTCATGTAAATTCCATCAATGTCGTTGTAGTTTTTCATTCAATATCATTTGTTTTCTTATCACGACATTGAAAATTTTCAAAAAACACATCAAAGCCACTACTACTGTTCATGAATCAATGTCGTTGTTGATTCCAAACAGTAACGATTACCACGATGCACATGGTGATCTTGACCAAGATCGCCTTTATCATAGTGTAATTGCCGAGCGATACTCCTCAAACCCCGATCAACGTTATTGGAGATTCTCTGCGCAACAGAGCTTTTTTAAACAATCCAATCCTGACACCAACGACTTGGAGTTTAGATACACAGAGCAAGACTTTGGTATAGAGAAACCATGGGGGTCCATAGTAGATGCATTAAACGAATTGAATGCTTCTGCTCCATCCAATGTTCAGTACAAGTTGATATTCTTTGCCAGACATGGTCAAGGATGGGCCAATGTTGCCGGTCGCAAATACTCAAAGGAGGAGTGGTACAGTAAATGGAGGTTTTTAGGCACAGATGGTGAAATTACGTGGGGGCCTGATGCGGATTTAACCGAGTTGGGAGTCAAGCAAGCACATGAAAATCACAATGCGTGGGCCTCACAGTTGCAGAAGGGCGCACCATATCCGAAGTCCTTCTACGTCTCGCCCCTACAACGTTCCATCAAAACTCACAACATTACTTGGCCCAATACAAAACCTTTGGTGGTGGAGCATTTACGAGAGACAGTTGGTTTGCATTTATGCCACAAACGGTCACCCCGAAGTCAACTTCAATCCAAGTTCCCTAACCTTGTGTTTTCCGAAGACTTTGAGGAGGAAGACAAACTATTTGAACTGTATGTCAATCCAAGAAGAGAGCAATTGCATGAGCAATTTGCAAGAATTCACGACGTGTTGCAAGACATATTTGACAACGACGACAACGACATTATCAGCATAACTTCACACGCGGGCACAATCAGAGCATTTATCACAGTAATCGGACATCGTAAATTTACAATACCTACAGGAGGCATGATTCCTATCGTGATAAAAGGTGTAAAGGAATAACGGCCATCTCGAATATGAGAAAAAAAAAAAAAAGAAAAATTGGTGGAAAAAAAACAAAAAACAAAAAACAAACTGCGCACAAAATGCTGGAAGATCATCGTAGACTTCATAGACTTTGTTAATAGACAAATAGAGACACATTACAGCCCTTCGAAGGTTCCACTAGCACGCCATGTCAGACGTGAAGAGAAAGAATATAGACCACCACAAAACAGCACCTTCCAAGAGATCAAAGACGGTCAGATCTAAAAACCCAGTCAATTCAGATACTCAACTTTCCGAATGCTTTAAAACTGTTTCTTCTTCACTTTACGTTTCCTTGGCTCCTGCATTCAATGATGACCCGGTGTTGGGAATCAAGCAACAACACCTAGATCCATTGGTGATGAGGTTTCATCCGAAGTTGAAAGGTGTCATACTATCCTATTCAGATATAGAATTGGAAACTGAAGCCCAGGATCAAAACCTTGCTAAAATAGAAAACTCCTCGCCATTCACTTTCCTTTGGGTTAATGTACTGTTCTTAATTTGGAGTCCTGGTGTAGGCGATGTTTTGGAAGGTGACATCTTTATCCAAACTCCATCACATTTGGGATTGTTGATTTGCGATGTTTTCAATGCGTCGATTAAAAAGTTCAACATTCCTATGGGGTGGAGCTTTACTAGCAGCCAGCAAGACGAAGTGGTTGGAAATGATGATAAAAAGACCTATGGGTATTGGAGTGACGAAAATGGACAGAAAGTTGATGGGAAATTGAAATTCACCATTAAGAATGTCTACACGACCGGAAGAGTCATTAGCATTGAAGGTACGTTGATTACGCCTGGTGAGGAAAGAAACGCCCAACCAGTTTATGAACAAAAGAGCACTCCAAAGTCCGTGGCTGGCAGTGGAAAGCACAAGAAGTTTGACGATGACGATGGCGATGACGAGGAGGTTGGTGGCGGCGCAGTCACTACGACTGAAATCGCCGAGCCTGATGAAAATGAAGAGTTACCTGTTTACATCAATGAAAGTGAAGATGCAGACGAAAACGAAAACGAAAACGAAGATGGGGAAGTTGTAAACAGGTCTGACTCAGCTGAAGATGAAGTAGAATCCGATTAAATAAACTATTTACAAAAAGAACTAAATAATAATTATAAAAAGAAAAGAACATTATATACTTATCTATTATCCTACTAGTGTCTTGGCCTATCATCGTTAATCATGCGCCATATAACGTCCTTCTCCCGTTTCGTAGGTCTATCAAATTTTTTCCGTTTATATGTACCAGATCCAAAGATTAATCGGCGTAAAAACAGACCGTTTCTTTTAATTGCTGACGAATATGACGCTGCCATATTCATCGAACTATCATTTGTACCCATCATGGTAAGTCTTTGAACCTTGTGCAACTTCTTGAAATTGAACCATGTTATAATTCCTCCTTGTACTAATGAAAACACAACGACTGCAGCAAACCCCAAATTCGAATCCTCAATGTAATTCTTCAAATTCATTCCATAGAATGCTGGAATCAAAGTTGCCACAGTGATGCCCAAAGTGTAAACTGTAACTTTCAACTCAAACAACATGAGCGAGTTTCGATTTGCGTCAAGAATGATGTTGACAATCTCCTCCGTTGCTCGAATGTCATTCAACAAACTGCCTGCTTGTTGAACACATTCATCGCATTGTCTATAATAACTCTCCAAAATCATTTCCAAATCCTCATAACTCTCTTCGTCTTCTTCTTTTCCTGGCACTTTGGGCTTACTCAAATACATCCCCGCCAAATCGTCATCATTCTCCAACAACTCCTCCAACACATCCCTAATCAACAACGCTTTTTGATGGAAGCTAGACAACTGTTTCAGTCGTATCAATAGCTCCTGCAACTTTTTCCGATCAACTTGATTCTCCAACTCACCAAGAATCATCCCACAACTAGAAATATAAGTCTTGATTTCTGCCTCTAAGTAACTCATCACACTAACCAAAATCAGCTCCAAGGCTCTGAACTCATATGGCATAGAGGCGGAATTTGACGAAGACTTCAACTTCATCTCCAAATCATACATCAATATGCCCAATTTCGTCGCAACTTCACTATTAGATGTATCAAACACCATGACGGAATTCTTCCTAATGATGGCTTTTATGTATAGTAAATTGACAAGTATGGCGTTCGACCGCCGTATCATGATTGTTGGAACAACATCAATGGACGAAGTATCAATCTTTCGTAGATCTCTCGGAAACAAATGATTTTCTTTTAAGAATTGCATCTTGGGGTACTTTTTCGAAACGGATGTGATGTTACCTTTCGAGTCAAACACGGTGCATGAAACGTACAAATCGTTTGGCTGTATTGGCTTCAACCTATTCAAAATCCTATGTTGATCCCGGTTTTTGTCTCCTTTATCAAATGCTGGTTCTGAGAGACTTGTGGTCAAGGGAATGTTGTTGCCTTTAGACGATGTTGTTGATGATGGTGACGTCGTTAGCGGTTGCCAAAATATCTTGGGTCTGCGTAGAAAAACACCACATCGCGGTAGATACCGTGGTAATAGTGTATGCATGAATTAAAGGTACAGATTGGTAAATTCTCTAGGCTCAAAGTTTGGTCTACTTATGAAATTTCTTTTTTATCTATTTTTTTTTTTTATTGAGTTGATGTCTGCCGCCGCACTATATAGCAAACGATGGGGGTGGGAGAGAGAGAGAGAGAGAGAGAGAGAGAGAGAGAGAGGGATTCACATTTTTACGTACGGGGAACTGCAGCATACCTGAGAAACATTGACGTGCGGCACTACTGCCGGTATTCTACACTGACCTGTATACTTAACCCTACGTTATCTACTAAACGGTTTTATGCATTTAATTGAGATGTATAAAGAAGTAAAAAAAACTTATTTCAAAATTTAATCGAAAAACTTTCTTGTTGGCGAAGGACCAAACAATTCTAGTCTAATAGCAGGCAACGCTTCTTCTTGTAATATCTTCAATCTCTCTTCCAAAGTGTTGACAACTTCAATCTTGCCAGTACCATTTATAACAATCACTCCACCGGCAATATCCTTGCTCAAGAATTCCTTCTCGTCAACAGTTACATCAACTTTTTGCTTAGCCTTCTCTTCATAGTTCTTGGAGGCTTCCTTTGCGGCTTCTTTCGCAAGTTCAACATCAGCTTCTCTCACTTTGACACTCACCTTACCTTCCAACAAGGTCAAGATCCCTTCTTCAATCAATCCAACCAAGACAGGCTTATACTTGGCCTTGTCCTTGGTGATGTTATGCAACTCTTTCTCAGCTTCCTCAAATATCTGATTCAAAATTTGGTCCTTTTCACCAAGAATCTTCAATCTGGTCTTGTTGCCAATTGTCGATTTAGTAATTTGTTGGGCCAAGCTTGCCTTTTTCAATTTTTGTTCATAGGTGGCATCAATGGCAGACGTTTCCAATCTTACGGTTGACGCTTTTTCAATTTCGTATTCCTCATCCGCTTTCAACCTGATCTCTTTTGCCTTTTCCTTTGCTTCCTTTTCAATGAAGGCTTGCATTTTGGTAAGCTCGGATTTCACCTAGTACAGAAATGAGTTAGTATTTGAGCTTCATGCCATCTGTATAGAGTGATTTAGTTCCCAACATACTTGTTCATCCAGTAATGCCATTGTGAGATAGATGTCTTGTGTTCTGCCAGTTTGATTGACGAATGTGTGATTATTTCGTTCAAGCAATTGAACCGTTTTGATAGTGTGTGTGTATGTCTCGTTGAATTGGAACAACGAGAAAAATTGATAATCGATAGTTTTGGACACCGCGCACGCCTATATCTAAGAGATACCATTTACTCATAAACTCTGTACACACACCACATTATTCAACAAATACACATTTTTTATTACTCTATAGCTTATACGATCTTGTCCAAGGCATTCTTGGCAATTTCAACACCCAAGAATGTGGCAGCATTGGCAGGGAATGATCTAGCCAAGGCAGGACCTACACCAGGGAAGAACGCCTTGACACCACCTTTTGCGTAGATGTTTTTAGTAGTTTGGGCAATTGAGACAGGTACGTTTGATGATTGCTGAGTCGATTTGATCGTGTCGATTGGGAAAACACCCAACCACATGGCAACACCTGCAAAACCACCAGCAGTCATGATTGCAAAAATAGACAAATCCTTACCTGGAGTTGATAATTCCTTCTTCAAATATTCGTAAGTGGCAAAGTACAATGCTGAACCAGGTCCGTCTCTGGCCAAGGTAGCTACAGAACCTTTAAAGATTGATCTAATACCACCTGTCTTGTACATATCAACAATGACACCACCCATACCTTTAGATTTTGCACCTTGTTGAATTTGCATCATGACCTTGACTCTTTCGAATGGCGCAGCAACCAAAGTGGTTGGAATTGCACTGATGAAACCGGCGGTGGAAATGTCTGCAATCGTGAATTGATCAATAGTTTTACCAGTGAATGAACCAACAATCTTTTTACCTACGTCGTAACCCCAGAATGAAACAGCAAACATAGGTGTAACTCCCAATAATGGAGGTAATACACCACGATAAAGACCTCTCAATCCATCTTTGGCAATTGTATCCTTAACACACTGTATGGAAGAGTTGTACAACCCAGTTTGTAATCTAACCTTGACCAAGTCAAATGGGTGTCCAGTCAAGACGGCACAGATACCACCGAATCCACCGGAAGCAAATGATTTAACATTATCTACTAATACTGAGTCGACGTCGTCCATTGTTGTAGGGAATATTTATGATAATTGATTGAGTATTTGTTTTCTCTTTTTTTTTTTCTTTAATGATATAAATCAGTAATACCGAGGCAATTCTATTATGCAAAGGTGAATGTGAAAGTAAATGGATGCGGAAGTAGACAGTGCAACTGAAATAGCAACAGTTAATAAGTCTCAATCAGAAGTTATACAGTCTGAAAGTGGAATTTGAAGACGATATTTATAAGAAAAAAAAAATCAAAAGATTGAAAAGTTTATAGGATATGAACTTTTGTTGAAATGTTTGGAACAAGAGAAAGAAAAAATTACAAAAATATGGGGGGGAGGTGGCTCTTTTGTGTTATCACAAGAGAATTGAGTATAAGAAAAAACAAATGGTCCCAGGGTAAATGCTTGTAGCTGCATTTGAGGATATCTAGGGAGCAACACAGGGTCTGCGCAGACCGGTAGCTATAAAAATCCTATCTCTGATACAGATCTTATATTCATGAGTCCAGGAAGTAAGACTAAGACTCTATTATTGTTGAGATTTCGATTGGTTCTTGTCATAGTCCAATTATTTTTCTTTTTTTTCACCGAGGTTCATGAAGTAATAACTGCTCGGCTGATTGTGTAGCTTTTTGTGTCGTGTTTTCCGTCACAGTTTGCAGAGGTTACACCCGACAGAGATGAGATTCATTAGATGCCACCATTGAACAGTTGGCCCATTAAACCATTCGACCACTCGTAAGCGTTTGTTGTACTTGACGTACTACAGTCACTGTTGATATTGTGAACAGGATAGGTGTAATCTTCCCAGGTAGTCAAATTGTAGACCATTACTTCTCGGATACTTCAAGGTACATGTTTAAAGTGCGAAGAAACGTTCGTGAGCAGAGCTATAATGTGGAGTAAATGTTTATGCGCTTACAAATCCATCCCCATTGCATCGTCGTAAATTTGTTTCAAAATATTTGCAAAAGTTTTACCAATTAAATCAGTGAACATTCAGGAGAGTTGTGAAATACACAGCAAGGAAATTGACCACATTTACCCTCTTCCATCTCAGAGGTCAATGAGGTCATTGAGAAATAAAAAGGATAAATGAGCGTAATGACATGGACGACCAATAACGGTTACGGCGGCTTGAGCTTGATCGCACAAAGTTACCTCGCCAATTAATTCTGTACAGAAAAGGAAAAAAAAAAAAAATGCTAGGACAAGACGCTTCTTCTTTTATATCACTTAGTTACAAATTAACTGAAAATGATTTAATTTGCTCCCACCACGACTGTCATCATGGATCAGATCTTGTGAGAGGATTGCCACAACTGTTACCTAAAATGTGTCCCACCCATAGATGCACCCATAGGTATAAAAATTTCAGGTGCGGGTGACGATAGAATCGCCCTCGTTTACACTTTGCATCAGTATGAATTCAGATCTTGACGAAAAATACATCATTCACACTGCAACCAGAAGAGTTGGCTTTCAAATCTTCCTCAACGCTTTTGGTAGATTACTAAGGGCAAAGTAGCCAATTAATCAGGCTGTGGACACCAACTTGCGCCATCACCAAAACGCACAAATCGAGCACTAAGCTAGACAACTCACGTGCAAATTGAACCTCAAGCTCTATAACTCAATATAGCCAGAGCTAGTTGATGCGTCTCGTTTCCCTTTTCTCTTCATGTTACATTTGATGAAAGGACTTACTATGTTGATAGACAAAAGCAGCGGGACATGGATTCTCCTCATTGGGAGAAGTAGAAAGACAGCATTTTCAAGCGAAAATTCCTCACCTGAGCCTTTCAATGCCGTCTTGTCACTTGCTTCACACACATACCGTATCCCTTCACATGACATTCAGAATTGACAAAGCCGCATGACTTGCCACATTAGTAAACAATAACACAAACAGGTTGAGGTGGTGCTGTTTTTATTTTATTTTATTTTTTATTTTTTTTTCTTTTATTTTTTTCTGTCGGACGAGAGAATGTGTGTGTGTATATGTGTGTGTGGCCATTTTTCTAGACAGACTGATTTTATCCAAATTCACTTCGACAACTATTTTCATCAACGGTGATAGGTCAAGCAGAGGGTCAAATACATCGCTTACAACGGTCATCAATCAGCCAAGCATATACTAAACTATACTGCAACCACCCCGAAACTCCTCACCACCACTTATATCCATTGTTAGATTCAGTTCTACTGCGTGGACCACGAACTTTCATTTTTGCCATCCCCCTACCCCCCCATCTGTTCGTCGATTTTTATTGGACAAAATTCTTTCCAACACTCTTGCACACAACAAGCCAAAAAAAATTTTTTTTTTATTTTTTCTGTTTCGTTTCTATTTTCAAAAAAAATTTTTTTTTTTCATCCACACATCCATACACCAATAGTTAAGGCGCGTCGAGAGTAAATTTTCAACGTCTTTGTTGGAGGGAGAGACCTTTGTTGTGTTTACCCCCCCCCCCCCACCATCGTATCTGACCTAGTGGGTTTACCGGGAACAGTTCTCAGGCGTCCCAGGGAATAGAAGGGTATCCGGTCCTGGCAATGGCTATACCACCAGGAAAGAATGAGAGCAAAGCCAACCACCAACATGCCGCCGCAGGTGCCCGGTTTCGGCAACGAAAAATATCGGTCAAACAGCCTTTGTCCATATACAAACAAAGTGATCTACCGACATTAGACGGTTCTGATTTGGAGCCGAGCCAGATACATCATCTCAATTCGAATAATATAGGGCAGCCTCCTCGAGATGTCCATGCAGTTGAAACAGGTGTCGATAAAAATGAGGAGGAAGAAGTGCATTTGCAGCAAGTGATCAATGCGGCTCAAAAGGCATTGTCGAGTGCAAATGCAGGCAAAACAAATGAGGTGTACATACCGACCCCAGATGCTTCCAAGATATGGCCCGAGGCTGCAAAATATTACCAGGACCAGAAATTCAATGAGCCAGAAACTTATATCAAGTTTAGTGCAACTGTTGAAGACACCATTGGCGTTGAGTATAACATGGACGAAGAAGACGATGCCTTTTATAATGAAGTTCTTTCTAAGATTCAACCAACGGGGAAAAAGAAACAGGATGATCTGGGCAAGTGTACCGAGCTCGAGTTTGAGACCATATGTGACAGATTGGAGAAGACAATTGAGGCTCGACAACCTTTTTTATCCATGGATCCGTCAAATATCTTGTCCTATGAGGAAATGGCAAAATACATCATCGACCAATTTGAAAGCACAGTCAAGACAAGTAATCCATATGTAGAGGCTAGCGGCGGCAATTTGGAATATTTGTCAACAACAACATTAAAAGAACGTCTATCCAAGGAAATCAACTACAAACCATTCACAACCCTATTCGATAGAGACCAGGAGCACACGACCCAAACAAGACCAATACCCAAACTTTTCGAGCTTTTTGGAAAAGTTGTATACGACCATTGGTCGAAGAGGAAAATTGCAAGAAAGGGGAAATCGGTTCATCCGACATTAAGATTCGAGGACCCTAATGCCAATGAGAAAGACAATGAAAACGACCCATACATTTGTTTCAGAAGGCGTGAGTTTAGACAAGCACGTAAAACAAGGAGGGCTGATACAGTTGGGGCTGAGCGTATACGTTTACTACAAAAGTCTCTTCATCGTGCTAGGGACTTGGTTAAGAGCGTTTGTGAACGGGAAATTTTGAGTTTACGAAATTTGCAGGCTGAATTTGATATATTCAAAACTCGTTCTGAAGCCAAACTGGTCAAGAGGGAACTTGGACTCAAGGGTGATGACTATTTGTTCTTTCCACATAAAAAGAGAAAAATCGTCAAGCCCAAAGAGGATGAAGAGGAGAAGGAGAGGAAGAGAGAGAAGCGCAGACAAGAACAAGAACCAGCCGCCAAAGCCCATCAACAACAAAATGTTTTACAGCAGCAAAATGCAAGCCAGCAGAACCAACGCGAAGGAACGTCCACAAACCAACCTTATGTCAAATTACCACCATCAAAAGTTCCTGATATGGATCTTGTTACTGTTTCCCTAGTGTTGAAGGAGAAGAATGATACAATTAGACGTGCGGTGTTGGACAAGCTTCGCAAAAGAAAAGAACAGGATAGAGGTTTTGTCAATGTCACTGACGACCCTTATGAACCGTTTTTTGATATTTCCACAAATGATAAATTGGTTGAATCAGCACACATACCTTACTCGTCAATTGCGGCTACCAATTATCACCAGTTCAACACGTCAAACTATCTTAGTGATCCTTTGAAAACTTTGATTGAGGAGAACAAGCCATTGCCTGGAGTTCGAACCTTCAAAGGTTCCAATGGAGAGTTGATCCCTACAAAGTCATTTCCACATACCTCTGCGCTTTTACAAGAAAAGATCACCAACAACAAGTTCAACTCACCTAGTTATATTGCCCAATTATTGCAAGATATTGAGAATAACAATTATGATCACTACACTCGTGGTTTTGCTAAAGAGAGTATCATTGAAGCCACAAGGGAGGCTGATGAGAACGCGACGTTTTCGGAACCAATATTGAGATTACGAAAGCGAGTTGGTAGAGGTGGTCGTGTTTTTCTTGATAGACGCGGTCAAACTACTTCGGATGTAGTTGACGAGTTTTTGGATTTTTCTAAAATCTGTGACGCCGAGGAAGAAACTCCGAATGTGTATGATAGTAAAGTGGATGAATGGAAGCGATTGAGGTCAAGATGGATGTACGACTCTGATTTACTGGAGTCACAGAAAGGCACACTTGATCCTTTTAGCCTTGATCCTTCTAAACTCAACAATATCAGTGACGACACGCAAGCAATCAGGTTCGGATCGATGCTCCTTTCCAAGTCTTATGGACTTTTGAAAGAATCTATACAACAGAAGCAGCAGTCATTCATGCATCTGGCTCGTATGAGAGCTCTACAACAACAGCAACAACAACTTGCTAATCGACAATCCCAAGCTCAAGCTCAAGCTCAAGCCCAGCAAAAGCAATTGGGCAACCAATCGAATAGCGAACAAGTCCGATCATCTTCTCCTAGCCAGCAGGTACAGAAACGTTCATTGTCAGAACGCAAGAGTACTCCAAACGCAGCGAATAATACGAGACCCCTCTCGCCGGCTCAAAACTCAATTAACAAACTGGCATCACATGTCTGAACATATCAAGACATTCATAATAAATGCATTTAGGTGTATATATCTGTAATATATCAAGTATAAATAGAGAGGCAGACTGTAGTGTGACTGTATTATAACACCGGTATTACCCTTATAGGCTGACACCGATCCAGAAGCTAATTTTTTTTTTTATTTTTTTGAATTTGTTTAATTTTGCTGGGTGATCTTTATTCACTCGGCCGACTTTATATGAAGGTTTTTGCAATGCGGTTTTTGCGCAACTTCGGGTAAAGCAAAAAATGTAAAATAGTGTGGCTGCAACTGTCTCCACCAACTGGGTCTCCTGACCTTTTACTATACATTGAGATTATTGTTTTTTGCTCCTGTTGTTTTCGACTCCAGCATCAACAACTATTGAATATGTCCACCATTGAAAACATGATTATACTCGGAGCTCACGGTAGAGTTGGTCAATATTTGATCAAATTAGTTGCTAAACTGAACATCAAGGCCAGAAGTGAGGAACGGCACAATTAAAAAAATTTCGTCCAATTCGTTAAATATTTCTTCAACAAAATTGGATATTGCAGACGCATCAGTGTCGGATTTAGCTTCCGCTCTCAAGGGTCACGATGCTGTTATTTTAGCCGTTGGCTCTGGTGGAAAGAACTTGTTGCAAGTGGATTTGGATGGTTATGTTGAAGTTTTTGAAGCCAACAGTAGAAGCAAATGTTAGAAGGTTGGTCGTAGTGAGTGCATTGTTTACAGAACATCGTGAAGCTGGTCCTCAACCAGGTCTTACAGACTACTACATTGCAAGACACTACGCAGACCGTATTTTTAATTGATGAGGTGGAACGGAAGTTGGACTACACGATTGTGAAACCTACATGGTTGACAGATGAGTCACCTACGGGAAAGATCAAAGTTTTGAAAGGTATCATTGAAGACCCTGGAACTGTCACGAGAGCTGATGTTGCGCAAGTTCTTTTCGATGTGCTCAACTTTAAGGATACATTTGGCAAGAGCTTCGACATTGCCAATGGAGACAAAAGCAGCAACGATCCTAGAACTTATCAATAGTATTATATCACTAAAACTCTATGAAATCTACATATGGTTACAACACCCACGGGATTTAAAACAATCCTTCAATCTCTCCGTCATCATTAACCTCAACATTCATAAACCCAGCGTGAGTTGGCAATCCAGGAATTGTCATAATCTCGGCAGCTAGAGCATACAAATACCCAGCACCTGCTGAACATCTCACTTCTCTAATTGGCACAGTAAATCCAGTTGGGACACCTTTCAATGCGGGATCGTGGGACAAGGAATATTGCGTTTTAGCGATACATATAGGCAACTTGTCAAATCCTTGTTGAGTATAAGTTTCAATCTGTTGTTTTGCCAACGGCGATAATTCAATGTCCTTGGCTCCATACATCTTTTGAGCGATTTTATTCAACTTATTTTCCACTGAGTCGTTAACATCATACAAGTATTGTTGTTCACCAGATGGAGCTTGTTTAACTGCCTTAACCACGGCTTCTGCTAATGCCTTGGCGCCCAATCCACCTTTGGCCCAATGATTTGATGGAACTGCATAGTCAGCACCAGCTTGTAACGCCAACTTCTTGATCAATTCAATTTCAGCGTCGGAATCTGTTTCAAATTGGTTGATTGCAACCACAACAGGAGCATTGTACTGTTTGATGTTTGAAATTTGTTTTGCCAAGTTTGCGCAGCCTTTCTCCAACAAGCCCAAGTTCTCTGAGACGTATTCCTGGGGTAAGGACTGGCCTGGCTTGACGTCAGGTGCTCCACCATGCAATTTCAATGCCCTGGTAGTAGCCACTAAAACAACAGTATCTGGTTTCAATCCCGAGCTTCTGCATTTGATATTGAAAAAACGTTCTCCACCCATGGTGAAGTCAAATCCAGCTTCAGTTATCACAAAGCCTGAGTGTCCATTGTTAATCGGGTTAGATGGTGAGGTTAGCTTGAGGGCAACTTTGTCAGCCACAACAGAAGATGCTCCAATAGAAATATTAGCAAATGGCCCAGCATGAACAAAAACTGGAGTCCCTTCAACGGTTTGCATCAAATTTGGCTTAATAGCATCTTTCAACAAAGCTGTAATAGCACCCGCAACACCTATATCCTCAGCGGTAATCGCAACACCGGTTTCTTTTTGAGTACCAATCACAAGTTTCCCAACACGTTCTCGTAAATCTTTGAGAGAGTTGGAGAGTGCCAATATCGCCATCAATTCACTTGCAACAGTGATGTCCATACCTGTTTTTCTTGGTGGAAATTTGCTGGCTTCGTTTTTGCCTTCACCAATTGTAATCTCTCTAACAAATCTGTCGTTACAGTCGACCACCCTCTTGATAGTGATAGAGTCCGGGTCAATATTCAATCTTGCAAAACTTTCAATCTCCTCAGTTGTGAGATCATCAGGGTTTGTCTTATTGATTCCCAATTTTTGCAACCTCTTCAACATCGACGGCGTAAAGCTTCTCTTTCCTTTCTTTGCTGGCACCAACCTTTTGTAAAAACCTCCAATGGTCTTTGAGGTAGATTCGTGAAACATTCTAGTATCAACAGCTGCGCAGAGCAAGTTCTGAGCAGCGGAAATCGCGTGAATGTCACCGGTCAAGTGCATATTGAATTCGTCCATGGGGATAACTTGGGCATAGCCACCTCCAGCTGCCCCACCTTTCACACCAAAGGTAGGACCCATAGAAGGCTGTCTAACATTGGCAATAGAGTTGTATCCCAATTGTGCACCAAGAGCTTGGGCCAATCCCATTGTCGTGGTAGATTTTCCCTCCCCCAATGGAGTCGGGGTGATTCCGGCAACCAACACATAGTAACCTTTGTCGTCGGCAGAGCCTTCAACTTGTGCATCTAATCTTTCAATCACTGCTTTGGAGTCGACCTTGGCTTTATAGTGACCGAACGGCTCCAACTCTTTATCCAACAATCCCAATTCTTTTGCAACCCTGGTTATGACTTTTGGTTTCTGAGCTCTCGAAATTTCAATATCAGATGGTACAGGGGTTTTCAAGTCCAATGAAAGAGGTTTAAAGTGATGTTCATGTGCTTTCTTAGCGTGGATGACAGCGGCATCATACACATTCGAGCACAACATTGCCACAGTCATTGGACCAACACCACCTGGAACAGGGGTGATGAAACCTGCCTTTTTAACCACATCATCATAATCAACATCCCCAACTAATTTCCTTCCGTTTTTCGCAGTGGGGTCTTCCTTGTAGTTGATACCAACATCAATGACAACTGCTCCATCTTTCACCCAAGACGATTTGACATACTCGGAAATCCCAACAGCTGCAACCACAACATCCGCCTTAGACACAATTTCGGGCAAATTTTCTGTATGACGATGACAGATTGTGACTGTACAGTCTTCATTTCTCAACATTGTTGCGACTGGAGTTCCAACTATATCTGATCTACCGATGACAACCGCATTCTTACCCCTCAAGTTGATCCCGGTGGTTTTGATCAACTCCATAATTCCATTTGGAGTACATGGCTTGAAATGTGGAACGCCTCCCTTTTTAGATAACTGACCAACATTGTAATGATCAAAACCATCAACATCTTTTTCGGTGACAACCGAGTTTGTGATTAATGTCTCATCAATATGCTTAGGTAAAGGCAATTGTACTAATATAGCATGGATTTGTGGGTCCTTGTTCAATCGGTCAATCTCATCCACTAAATCTTCTTGGCTGATGTCTTCATCCAACTTGAGGAGATTTGCTTTGATGTTGGATTTCTCAGCCGCTTTCAATTTCGAACGTACGTACGCCGACGAGTCTGGCCTAGAACCAACTTGAACTATCGTCAATGAAGGCTTAAATTTAAGCTGATCAAATTGTGTTGTATCGATCCCATAGTGCTCCTTATTATATTGTAAAACTTTTTCAGCAACGTCATTTCGTATTTTGGAAGCTAGTTTGGTTCCAGATACCACAGTCGCATTTAATGCGAGCAATGATTGTGAAAAAAGTCTTTGCTGAGTGAGTCTCAGTCCTAAGAGCCTATGTGTCGACCTCAATCTTAACATTGTTAGTCAATTAGCTGTATTACTCTATGACCTCTGTAGCCCCGATGAGTCTAACTTTGAGAAAAAAAAAAAAAACAAAAAAAAAAAAGAAAAGAAAAAAACTTTCATTACACAAAGCCAACACCTCAACTAAGAAAGGAAGGTACATGATAAGGGTCTCTGCCTCCCTTCAAATCTAAATCATTCTACTACAAGTTGCCACTACCAGTTATCCTATTCCTTTTCTATACCAACCATGTTCTCCTTATTTCCTTCGTCGTTGGGTATCACCAGTGTAAGGTCGTCAGTTGTTCTCAACTGATGCAACATCACCTGTGCCCTTGAAGCACTACTCTCCTTATTTGCTGAGGCCAATCCAAGTGTACTTTTCCTTCTTGTCAATCTTTGCTTGAGATTGCTAACACTTTCGTATTCATACTCCGCCCCGGTAACCGCTTCCAATTCAACAGGTGAGACTTCACTATCAGGTGGATTAGTTGACAACTTGCCTTTTCGATTCTCTCTGAGGATTTTTGAATGGTCAGAAGCAGATCTCAATCTCTCCAATAACGAATCAATAACTGCCGACGATTCTTCAACACTGTCAACAAAATTCTTTTCATCGGCATCTTCAGGTGGGGTTTTATTTGCAGACTCATTCTCAATTTTCCTCTTTCTAGCTTCATATACTCGTTGCTCTTCTTCTCTTTGGATGTTGTCTACATGAGTCTTTTTGAATTCAGCAACAAAAGTGGCAATCTTTTGGAAAAATGTATCTTTGGCTTTTGAATCATTTGGATCTTCTCCAAAGTATACCATCAATGACTTGAAGCTCGACAAAGTTCGTTTCATACGAGATTGCACAAGTGAATTCCTGCTAGTTGCATTTTGCATTGGCTGTGCAATGGTCTCTCTTATCCGATCGCAAGGATGCAAATCCTTTTCTCTACTCAATTTGCCCTTTTCTAGAGAGTTGTTAACGATATCCACCTCTTTATCCATTGCCTTACAATCAACTTCCAATTGTTCAATTGACACATTTTGAATCTCCGTCAACGGCTCCAAATCATCAACAAAAGACCCATACTCCGAAAAGGATTGTCGAATAATCTTTTCAATGTAATGGAGAAAGCTCATTGAATTCAGTTCGTCTTTCATATACTTGAGTCTTTCTAAAGAATCCAACTTGAACCCACGAGCTTGTTTGGTGTGTTCATTCATAAAATTACCCATAATCTTCAACAAATTCAATACACCTTTGAGCCCCTTTGAGTCCTTCACACTTGAAATCCCTTGGTCGATTAAATCCAACTTTTCTTTCAAATGATGAAACTCCCTACTGTATGACTGAGTGAATAACAATGCTTTCGATCTGGCACGCCAATAATGTTTGAGATTAAAACACAATTCAAGATACAATCTGTCGGGTCTATCAAGAACATTGGGATCTTTTTGCGGTTTCTTGCGCGTACGTGGATCACTTGAATAAGGCAAGAAATTCTTTGCCATACTATCGCTAATCTCAAGTAAGGCGTCGTTGTTGAAAAATTCCACAACACTGATATTTTCCAAGATCTCCGGGCTGCACCGCAAAATTTTCAAAACTAAAGCTTCTTCTGGCACTCCAGCAAACATGTGCAAATTTATACCAAACTGTTGCGCCAAATCTCTAGAGAGAAAAGAAACTTTTGCAGCTTTGGCGTCGGAGTTTGGTTTTCTGGACTTTGCTATATCAGACGCATTCTTCAGTGGTTGAGACGCCACAAACACTCTCTCAATCTCATTAAACACCCCTTCAAAAGCAAGTTTGTCTGCGATTGAAGGATCATCAGCTTCGCTCCAAAATGTGTTTTCAATATCGTTGATTTTATTCCAATGCAATTGTTTTAGTTTCACTTTGGGCTTGACAGGAACAAAGACTGGTTCGGAGAGGCTAGTACTGATCCCTCCACTATTTTTGTCCAAAGACCTGGCCGCAGTATTCAGTTTAGCAAAAAGGTCGGCTGGATGTGGTGGTGGAGGTGGAGCCGGCAAGGGCGAGGATATGCGAGTATTATCTGGTGATACTGTTGATGTCGACACATTTCTCGAAGCAAATGTAGATCCGGGAAGCAGAGGAGCTGGTGGCGGAGGAGGCGGAGGAGGCGGTGGTGGCGGTGGTGTTGACGTGGGATTGCTGCCCAAACTTGGCAACGTCTCTTTTGCTTGCAGATTCAGCATAAATGGTGGAAGGGGTGGAGGGGGAGGTCGTGGTATGTTGTTCGAGCCCGTATTAGAAGGCAGGTTAGTACTTGCAATCCCAAGCCCATCCAAAAATGAGGGTAAAGGGGGAGGAGGGGGTGCCCCTGGTATATGCGACTGTGGCGGATTAACAACCCGATATTCAGTATTTTGTGCGCCAACTTGCTCTTCAAGTTGTTGTTCCACGTTGCCATTGGTAGCGGGAGTACTAGAAATAATGTTGTTATTTGGTTTTTGAACTGGTCGTGAATACAAGAGTGGTGGTGTAGGTGGTCCACTCTTAAACTTTCGAGTAGAGGAAACTTCCCCAGATATACTCTCTGTCTTGTTGTCCGTCGAAAATGGACTATCTTTTTGCCCACCAATATCGACATCGCTATCTTCTCGATTGCTAAGGTCTTCAAAGGAGTGATGACCTTTGTTTCGATTCCTCAAAGTTTTGGCTTTGTCCTGCTCAAGTTGCTTTATTTGTCTTTGTAGCAAGCTGATTTGACTTCCGAGTGACTTTATCTCTTGTAAATGTGCCTCATTTTCCGCTGGCAAGTTTGCTTTATTCACCAAGTCAGAATTTCTTAGGAGTGACTCATTCAACTGTCTTTGTCGTTTCAATTCTCTCTTTAGTGTACGGGTTTCCGCAATGGCAGCCCTAGCAACAGCGTCAGATGCTAACGAATCTATCAATCGTTCCAATGTTACGGAGGAAAATGAATCATTCTCATTCAGATCGGACAGTAGATTGGCGCCATTTTCAATCAAGCGATCTAGGAGTACTAATACTTTGTTTATCAATCCATTTGAATCCAGCATACTCTCGAGCGCTAAAATCTTCAGATAAGCTTCTTTTGCAATAGTTGTTTCTTCCCCTTTTGGTAAATATTGCTGCTCAGCTGCATAAGAGCCGATATTAGAATGGCTTGTCCGTAATTTTCTCTTTTGAGACCCAAAAAGACCATATTTGGCTAACTCGTCTTGTTCACTAGAGATAGCAATGGAACTCCTTAGTAATGATTTTGATTTTGATTTTGATTCTGATTCTGATTCTTCATCGGCGATGGGAACTTGGGGTAAGATCTTACTTTCTCTCATCCTCTTTTGTTGCTCATCATCTTTAGCCAATTTTTCATACTTTTGTAGTTCATGGTGAATCCTATCATCTTCAAACTGTCTAATAGTGTCAAATATCGAAAGTAGGTGAGATACTTCCAACTCTTTTCTGATTGCAATTCTCTTACGTGCTGGTCCAGCTGTTTGCACAACGACATTGATCAAGATTAGTGTAATTGTAATGTAGTTTTTCAAGTATGAATGGTCGCTTATTTTACTACCCCAGCTCGCCGTTCTCAATGAGCTCCCAAAGACATCTAGCCAAGCTTCAAAACTTATGAGATTTTTATCATTAAACCTCAAGCTTCGCAAGTGATCAACAATGTCATCGCGTAGTTCCTTCAACCCGCTCTTCATCAAAATGACCAAGATTTCCGTAACTAAAAACCTTGTGCTCATTCGGGTGGACGTTAGTGCACCCATGAGTGATGATAAAATCACGCTTTTGCTAATGGCAGAACCATTGTCGTGTCCAGAGTGTTGGAGATAAGATTGATGCTCTAACGCACTTTTCAAACACTTGACAAGAAGGTATTCGTAGTTATATTCATTGTTCGATTTAATAACCTTTTTACCAACCAGGGATAAATTCACCGCCAAAGCAGTCTCACCCTGTATAGATAGAAAATTCTGGGTCCATGTGATATTCCCCTCAAGCAATTTGTTCTCAGTTAAGTGCCGTTCCAACTTCACCAAGTTTTGAAGATCAATGTCTTTGTTCAAAAGCTTCCACACAAACCAGCTGGGCAAGCCCTCGCTTATCATAGGTTGACGATTGCGCTGTTGCTCTTTCAAATTGTGAGACGACTTTTTTGGCTTCAACAGCGGTAGAAGCCCATCAAGTACTGCTTTCGGGGCGGTGGCGGGGGCGGGGGAGGACTCTTTAGATTTGGAGGCACCACTTTCGTCATTTCCGATCAATGTTGGTGTCGACACGGAAGCGAGCGACATTTTCTTCAAATCGAAGGAGCTATTTGTTTCGTTCTCCGTTAGAAGGAGGTCCCATTTTCGCTCTGTTGATTGATTCCGCAAACTCGCCTTGGCCTTCTCTGGAAATGCCCTTATAGATAGGAGCTTTTCAAATAGTCTTTCAACGACTTGCTTATCAGGCATCTTGTCTTTTCTCATAGACGCTCGCTCGAATGTGTCGGTTGCTTCATTTTGCCCTAGTACAGTTGTCACATGCAATGATTTGGGATTTAGCTTTGACATGTGATCAAGACGTGCTCCCAAACTGTGTAATGTTTGTTGATGTGGTGGTGATATTATCAAGAGAGTTTGCACAGTACGTGGAAATGCAATGAAATTCGAAAACACTCTATCTATCAACCTCCTGACTGGCGTGGCAAAAGGGGGTCCCTCTTCTGGATCAATAAAAATCACAATCTTTTGCTGTATGTCGCATTTCTTGTAATGCCCCTGTGTCGCAAATCAAAACAAACAACCAAAAAATAAAATTGGGACATAACGAAGAAAAGCGCGTTTTCTGTAAATCTCGTTGCATGCAGTACATTTGTAAACAAAAATAAAAACAAACATAAAGAGAAAAGATGAAGGAGCAAAATCTCTCTGCTTCTGCAGCCGCACGTCTTTTTGGCATCGAGCAGTACTTTCTCCAAACCAGAGCTGAACAGATCATCTACTTGCAATTCTCCAAATGTCCTCAAAAAGTAAAAAGAAAAGCTCGTTGGTGCAGCAAAGTATTTTCAGCTTTCATTGCCCTGGTGTTAGCAAAGTAGGGGTTAAGGACAAGCCAAAGCAGCTGCAAAGTAAACTCATATCAAGACAAAATTCTGTCCTAAGTGCGACTGATAATGATGACGGGTTTGGTGATGATACAAGTTTTGATACGTCGATCGATACTAGCATGGAAATTCTGAACTTTAGAGATCCAACATTGGAAAGCATACTTTTGCAGCACCGAGCGAACCTGTCACAGTCATCTCAAAGAACACCAAAAGTTCTTGGTGAGTCTGGTCTGGTCAATACAGAAAAAGACAGGTTTAACTCTCTCAAGAGGAGCAACAGCGATGTATTAAGCTCTTTTGATGGCGGGCAAGCCCAAAAAATTACAAAAACTACAAATAATGTGGCGCGTCTGGTTCCAGAGACCGAGGGGCCCCAATTGAGTGCAGAGCAAAGAGAAGTTATTGACTCGGTTCTCGCCGGCCGCAACGTATTCTATACAGGAAGTGCTGGAACAGGAAAATCGGTGGTTCTTCGTGAATTAGTAAGAATTCTCCAAAGGAAATACGGCAGTAGCATGGGTGTAACTGCACCAACTGGAATGGCTGCCTGTAATATTCAGGGCCAGACCATATTCAAGTTTTTGGAAATTGGTCTTGCCTTGAAACCTGCACAAGAGCTAGCAAACATGATTAGAAAAAAGCATCACAAGTTGGAAAAATGGCTAAGGCTAAGAGTTTTGATTATTGACGAAATATCCATGATTGATGGGACTCTTTTTGACAAGTTGGAACACGTGGCGCGGTTGGTGAGAAAGTCAGATAAGCCATTTGGGGGCATTCAAATTGTTTGCACGGGTGATTTTTACCAGTTGCCACCGGTTTCGAAAAACCGGGCAGCGCTTCTTTGCTTTCAATCAAAGGCATGGCCTAAAGTGATCAACAAGAATATTGTATTGAAACAAATTTTCAGACAAAAGGGTGATCATGATCTTATTGAAATGTTGAACGCATTAAGAACAGGCAAGTTGACTGAAGACATTGTTGCCAAATTCAAGCAACTTTCAAGAATGGTTCGGTATGAGGATGGTATTGAGCCAACTCAACTTTTCCCGACTAGAAGAGAAGTCTCCGAAGCAAATGATTTGCGCTTGCAATTACTTTCAGGAGAATCTTACAAGTTTCAAGCTCAGGACAGCCACAAGGGTGAACAATATAGAGCACAATATGCTCAGTTATTATGCGAGGAAACCTTGCATTTGAAAGAGGGTGCGCAAGTGATGAATATCAAGAATTTCAGTGATCATTTGGTTAATGGAACACTAGGCGTGGTTCTATTTTTTGCCACACAAAGGCTCCATTTAAAGATTTTAGATTTGTATGGTGCAATTGAAGCGATGGATCAGCAAATGATGAAAGAAGTGAAATTGTTGTCTTGGCGCGTGGGTAGTGTATCTGAATGGAGAGACCAGGATAAACAGATACTTCAAGACATACCCCCAGAAAGAAAGTCTCAATTTGAGCTGCTAGTACAAATCGCAGCGAAGGAATCCAAGGCAAAGATGTTGCCAGTGGTATTGTTCAAGCTAAATGGCGAAGACGAAGCAGTACTTGTGGATAGACATGAGTTTGCAATTGAAACTACTAAAGATGGCCCAGAGGGTAACCCATATAGAGCTCAATTACCATTGTTGCTTTCTTGGGCAATGTCGATTCACAAAGCCCAAGGTCAGACCCTTCCTCGTGTTAAGGTTGACTTGAGCAACGTATTTGAGGATGGTCATGCGTATGTGGCGATATCCCGGGCAGTGAGTCGAGAGACTTTGCAAGTGAAACACTTTGATATAAGAAAAGTGAAGGCGTCACCGGTGGTAAAACAATTCTACGAAAGTCTTGAGAAGTGATTAGTAAAGTAGAGATAGTCCAGTGTGTCTCAATGTAGAAGTTGTGTACATCTAGAATCCAACAAAGATAAGTGCTTATCAAGACAACATTCAGTAACATTCTTTGCTGTTTGCTCTAACATTATTCGTGTATCACTCGCGTGATCCACAAAAAATAAAATGTGCAGCAATGAGTTATCTCATGAAAAATACCGGTACACCATCCACACTCACCACAATGAGCCACTGGTCCGAACCAAGTAAAAGAATTTTTGAAACAGCAGATGTAAAGAATTTTGAGAGATCTGTTGCATTTTATGAACTAGTGCAAACTTTGAACAAGGTCATTTTAGCAGTACAGGGAATGGATGTACCCTCGGGACTGCTAAATCCAGCAATCGTGTCAAGAGCCATCAAGACATCAGATGCTAGCCATTCACATACTACAGAGGTGAACGTAACTGCGTATCAAGGGAATGTAATAGTCTTGCTCGGCGTCCTACGAGATCTCGAGATAACAATCGATGATACTCCACCCGTGTCTGGACCTACAAGATTTGGAAATATAGCATTTAGAACCTGGCACGACAAGGTTGGGCACATTTTGGAATCACTATTAAAATTACACGCTCCTGAGGGACTAAAAATCAATGACTTCTTGGTTGAAGCAAGATACTACTTGGCAAATTCATTTGGATCGAGTATTAGAATCGACTACGGCACAGGCCACGAACTTTCATACTTGGCATTCATTGGGGCCTTGATGCGATATGGCATACTTGAATCGCCAAGGGGGGAAGAACTTCTCGTATTATTTTCAAAGTACTATGATCTTGTTCGTCGTTTGATCCTTGTGTACAATTTAGAGCCCGCTGGATCGCATGGTGTTTGGGGATTGGATGATCATTTCCATTTGATATACATTTTGGGTGCTTCACAGTTTTGCGACTATGAAAGAGCCCCGTCTGTTAAGAGTGTTTTGTCGAAAGAGGTACTTGACACTTACAAAACGTCAAACCTTTATGTGAATGCAATTTCGTTTATTTTTAAACTCAAGTCGGGACCATTTAATGAACACAGTCCTATTTTAAATGACATACACGTGTCAGTATACTTGTGGACAAAAGTGAGACAAGGACTTTTGAAAATGTACATGGTGGAAGTTCTTGGTAAATACCCCGTAATTCAGCATTTCTGGTTTGGAGAAATGTTATACCCGTGGGTTGACTATAATACAAGAAAAGAGCTCCCCGTAAACTCCAACGAGGAGGTCAAGAGCGGAAAGAGCGGAAAGAGCGGAAAGAGCGGAAAGAGTGGAAAGAGCCGAAATACAGCTATAGAGAATACGAGTAACGTGGGGACTAATGCTCCGTGGGCCAACCGTAATTACAACAAACCCTATATACGTAAATAAAACAAGTTCTAGCTTCTAGTTTTGAAATTGAATGGCGATCGACACAACGGACACGTTGAATTACCCGAACTCTTGAACCACTTGTACAAGCAGGCAGCATGAAATTTGTTGTTACAGGTTTGACAAGTCTTTGAAGGCAATGATAAATCTTGATGCAAAATGGAATAACAAATTGCACAATCTTCGAATCCTGAGAAGTGGAGATTAATGTTTTTGCAAAATAGTTCAATGGCATCACTTATTGAACCGTTTTGAAGGGATATAAGCTTTTGCGATGCAAGTAACCACGCCTTCCATCTATTCTCCTTCACTCCAACTCTCGAAGGTCCGTCAATAACAACATTTTCCAATGGGTAATGAGGTGGGATTTTCACCACCATCTCAAGCTTTTGCTCGTCGACAAGATACGACGTTTTTATCTCATTTGAAACTCGATTCACTTTTATGGATAAATTGTCCTCTTTTGCTAGAAGCTTCTTTTTTTCCGATTCCACCTGCTCCAACACCTCATTGATCAATGGGGGAGACAAGTATTTGCTTGTGATTCTTTCAACCTTCATTTGAAGTTGCTTGTCTCTGATTTCCTTGAACCAAAGTTGCACTTGAAATCCACAATACTTGAGTAGTTTGTAGTATATGCAAAGTGAAAGGATTTTCAACTCTTCTTCAACACTTGTTCCATTGAATATTTCCTGTACGTCATACGTTGTAACCTCATCTATGTCCAAGGTTGACAAAAACTTGTTATCCAAATCCACATGATCAAATATGTAAAATAAAAGCGTCTGTAAATCTTTACCTTCCAAAACTTGATTCAAATAATCGTTCTTGATCGAAAGGGTGACATCTTTGAAAAAATCGGTGATCAAGAGCCAGGAAAACATGTATCTGAAAACATCAGTAGTGGAGTCAACTTTGAATTGCTGCATTATTTTCATAACTTGTAATGGAAGCTCTGCCTTCTTGCTCTCATCTTTGGAAAGCTGGTATTCAATTACAAAATCGTCTTTTTCTTCTTTAAAAAGTCTTGTCAACTGCATGACACAAAGCTTTTGTCTGATGATAGAGCTGGTCTGGGCAAGTGTTTTCAAAAGCTGGTCTTGTGAACTTTTCACAAGTTTAGTTGATATATTGGAAGTCTGTACAGCTCTTTCTAAAGCAGCATCAACTAATGACACAACATGACCCCGATGTTCATCCTCTGAGGTGAGCAATTCAATTATTTTCTCATCTTGCAACTCAATGCCGCTTAGATTGTACTTCAACAAGCTAGTGTATACCTTTAATGTGTCGTATCTCAAGTCGATCCGATCTTCCGCCATGTCGAGATTATCGCTTAATACCTTGTTTACCAAATCATAGTAGATATCAGGCAAAGCGTCTTCTATGTCAGGTAGATGGCCAAGAAAGATGAACGTTTGAATTCTCACATCGATAAATTCAGGGTCATATGCTGCTGACGTGTCGAACCAATCGTCAATCTGCTTCAATACCATGGATAGTTTAATACCAGGGAATATGTTTTTCAAGTTGGCTTCCTTGTTGATAAATGAGATGAGTATCGTTATCCATTTTAAACCCAAAGTGATGATATCTTCCTCTTTTTTCACTGCCAAAAGCTCCGAAAAGGCGTGGTTTCTAGGACGATCCAATTTCGATGAGCCAAGAAAGTTTTTGATTCCATTAGTTAAAGCCACGCATTTCAATGGATGTTTAAACAACTGAACGTAATTGATTTCCAAAGATTCAAACTGCAGAAGACTTAATTGCTCAGATGCGTTTTCAATAGTCTTTGAAAGACATCTTGCGGCATAAAAGGCAAAAATATCGTCTCCATCGGCTATCAAAGTTAACGGATCATTAGAGTTGTCGCCTATGAGATCCTTTAAATTCACGCTCTCTCTTTGTCTGGAAGCTTTCTCAACGACTTCCATCAAAACTTGTTCCTCCTCTGCATGGATATCTTCTGTGAAAACAAAATCTGACACAATCTCTTTGCAAATTGAAGTCAAGGCTCGCCAGTTGCGCTCCTCGATGTTTAACTCGATTATGAATTTGGCCACAAGAAGTATTTCTTTCAGTAACCTCTTTGGTCCATGGGTGCATAAATAGACTGCCAGTTCTAATGCATTTGCAATTGCGAACTCATATGGTTCTGTGTTGTTGACCGACTCTTTTACATATTGACAAAATCTTTCGAAAAGAAGTGGGCCCTCTCGAAACAAACTGACAACATCGTCCAATCTAGTCTCAATAGAGCATTTCTGGAGATATCCCACTAATGACGAAAAGTAGGCCACATCGTGTTGACTCAATGTTTTTAAAAACTGCAGCAGTTGTTTTGCATTGCCCCAAGCTGATTGTAAAAGTCCATCAATTCCAAGCTCAATCGCATATGCAAGAGAATCGGTTTTCAAAACGGCAGAAATGAAAGCAGGTGACGACTGCTCATCCAAATTGTCAATGACATCACGTAAAGCATTGTCATCTCTAGATGCTAATGATCTTTCCAAATATTCCGGCTCGGCCAGTCCACGTGACGTCTCTTTGAGGTACAGGTAAATTTCAGGATATTCTGACTCAGTAAAATTTGAATCAATCGATTTCACGAAAGCATCTCTTTTTTCTGGATTTGTCAAGGAGAGGTTTGAAAATGACTCATTGATTAAGTTAACCAAAATTTCATCTTCCAACAACTTCTTTGATGTCACATGCTTTATAATTTCGATTAAAGTCTCGTAGTTTCCTTGCAATTGTTGGGGTATCTGTCCAACAAATGATTTCAACAGGGGTGTAATGTCCTCACTTACTGTGAAATACGCAGCAGCGTAGCGAAAAGCTACTGAGACATCAATCTTCTCTGCAGCACACTCCTTTAGTACAGAATCCACCAACTCTGCGCTTTGATCTTTGAGTCCAACCACCTTCAATAATTCATACAATCGGGTCAAGTACTCCTTTGTGTATAATTTATCTCCTGCATTTGCTTTGATGTCTGCAACAATGACAGAAAGTGATTCTTTCAACAATGATTTATTTTCAAAATTTTCAAATTTGGAAGTGATTTCAACGGCGGTTGATCCAAGTCTGTAACTTTTTCCCTCCAACACGCTTTGTATCACTGTCGTTGTGTTCTCGACTTTGTTTGTGTCAAACAAATCCAAAACTTTCAATGTGCACCGTAAACAGGACGGTTTGAATGTTTCCCTATTCTTTTCCATCTGCATCACCAAAGTCTTGGTAAAAAACACCGACTCCTCCGAATCATTGAAATCAACTACATTCTCTCCTTTCAAATCAGTCATCAAAGCACCAGCTAAATCGTAATATACTGGATCCAGGTCACATGGACCTAGACGGGTATAGTTGTGTAGCCTTGTGATAGCTTTGCTGCCCCCTATGTCCCAAATCGATTTATTCAATTGCATACGCTTTGAGAACCTCGTAAGCTGTATCAAAACTTGCCAAAACGGGAGAATCACAGCTGAATAAATGATGGATGGACTATTTTTGGAGTATTTCACTTTCATTATTGCCTTTGAGACCGTTTTGTACAAGGATTTGTAATCCATAGATTCCAAAAGATGGCTTTCAACGGAAAACAAGTTCAATATCAAAGTCAAAATGTACTTAAATAAACCCAAGTTCATCGAGTCGTCTTTCACACTGTTGACTAAACTGTCCCATATGGTGTCCAGTTTCAAAATCAGTTCGATGGATGCGGTATATTCAGACTTTTTGCAAATTTGCAAAAGCATCTCAATACACACACTCAAAACTCGGTCGTATTTGATTTGTATTTCAGACTCAGACACATATCTTGGATCAGACAAGGTTTCTGGAGTTTCTATAGTAACAACCGAGCCGATCAAGTTCAAAATCTGATTTTCAAATATCTCCCACACCTTTTCAAATTTGGACTTGTCTCCCAGAAAGTTCTCGAGCAATAGACTCGATGCTGTCTTGGAAACACCCTTGTCGGGGTCCTTGATACCCAATAACCAAATCGGCATCGTAATTTTCAAGTATTTGCCATATATTTTCGATCCTAGTGTCTTCAAAAGTGTGCCCTGAATTCTGTGAGTCATCGCCCTCACATCTTTGGAGTTATCGAGTGCAATCTTAGGATACATTTTCACCCAACATTCTATATCCAAGTCATTAAATCCCACAGACTCTTTCTCGATGAATGCAAGTAGATCGCCAAGAGCCCTTTCTTTGGTTTTTGGGTCTTTCTTGCTAAGCGATTTGAAGATTATGGCAAGATCTGCATTGGTCACAGACAGAACATCAGGTTGATTTGTGAAATAATTTAATGTAACATCTAATCCCTCGAATCCCAAGTTTCCAGTGAAGCCTTCGCTCATTTGCTTTAGTTTTATAGGTAAAAGAGTCAAAGAGTAACGATTTTACATTAATAAAAAAAAAAAAACAAAAAAAACAAAAAAAAAACGAAATTTGAAAAAAATTTGTATTGCTTTATTGTCGTACTACAAGAACAAAAACTTTCAAGTACGTCATAGAATGTTTTGTTTGTTTGTTTGTTTTTTCTTTTTTCCTTTTGTGCCACTGTCATAAACCTGGATCAAGAAATGGATTACTGCTCAAGTCGCTTTTTGCTTTGAAATAACAGTCTAACTTACTCTGCCCTTCAACAAGAGCAGCTTTCTTCTTTGGCGATACTTTTTTTATTCTTCCTTTTGGTGAGGGTGCACGCTTTGGAGGTGATATTGATGGCTTCAACTCAAACGGTATTGGTTGAGATAGTTCAAATCCAGGTCTCTGCCCCTTTGTAGGGGAATTCTCCAACATATCCAAAGTTGTTTTTTGTGAGGATTTACTGTTCTTTGTGGAAAGTTTATCTTTTTTGCTTTGCTCATACTCGGCAAGTAATTGCTGACAGTACATTTTCACCAAGGATGTGGGAATCCAAATAAAATTGATGGTATCGCCATTCTTGCGCTTTTCAGGTGATTCAATAACTCTCCTGGCTTCGAGTGACATTGGAAACATATTGCGGACATCGCGCTCGTCGTACTTGAGCATCACTTTTTCAACCCCATCCTCAATTTTGTCATTGGTGATTCTCACTAGATTAGAGTAAGACGCCAACTTGAATATGATGAACTTGATTTGCCAATTGTAAGTTTGTGGTATGAAAAGATGCTCACTGCTTTGAACTATCAACGACGTGTCATAGTTGAAATCTATATCCTCAATCTCACTCAGTCGCGTGAGTTCCTCATCGACTACATCACCTAACGTTATTTCGAGATTTATATCTAGCTCTCCCGAACTCAAAGTCCACGGCAAGAATACTGGCAACGTGGTTTGCACCAATGGGAAGAAATACAAAAGCACGTAATATTCATCAAATGTAAATTTCTCCGTGATGGTCACACCCCTTCCAAAAATATCCCGATTCGAAACTTGCAACGACTCGTTTAGAGTCTTCAATAGGCTCGCTAGTAGAATCTCTCTGGTGTGTTTGTCTTTTCTAGCATCCCAGGGTCGTAATGCCACAAAGTCGTTGTCCACAACACAGTGTTCAAGCTCCTCTGAAAAATCTGGTGGTGGCTCAGAGGGTTCCAGATCCAAGCTTCTTGCATCTTTTAGCTCTTGTTTGGTGAGCGACCTGTTGTAGAACTTTCCGAATAGGGTCCCACTTAGGGCTAAGTTTGTGGCATTCACTATGCCCATTCTTTTGACGCCGGAGGAATAATCCCCTCCCCTTAACGTTGCAAGGAATACTAACCTCTCCCGTGTTAATCCCGTTATCTCTTCGATCCTCTTCATTCGGACTGGAGTGACATAATATTTTTGTTTCAAGGTGGCCGGTTTCTTGCTGGGAGAACGTCCAATATCCTCGACAAAACGACTATAATTTCGTAGAACCTGAGTTGCCCCAAATACCAAACTATCAACGTCGTTTGATATCACAAAGTCCACGATACCCAACTTTTGTATGTATGCGCACTGGGCCTCGGCCTCTCCTGCTGCTTGCAAGTACTCAATTTTGTTTACTTGTAAAGCACCTTTTATCTGCTCAACAAATTCGTTTGGCTCAGCAAAGGTACTTGTACGTTGTAGCTTTTCCAATTCTTTTTCGTAATCCAGCGCCACACCTGAACGAGTTTTATCAGGTTTCAATATCCCATCAAAAACCACAATCACTGAAATATTCAACCCTATCAAGGCAAGAATTTTGGACATAAAGTTTTGCATCAAAATGATCTTTTTATCTTCGCTGGGAATCGAGCTATGATCGGAGTGGAAAATGAACATGTATGCATCTATTGCAACTCTTGGCGGTCGGTGATATTCTTTGACATAGTGGTCCACAAGTTCTTCCAAGGTTATTCTTTTGTCAAAGCCGGGTTTCAAAACTTCCCATAGCTCTGGTATTCCCATTGATCAGCAGTTGTAAGGAATTGAAAATGCAGTGATGGCAATCCATTGGGCTTTTGGAAAGAATTACATCAAAAGCGTTTATTGGATTTTTGCGCTACCGGAATGTTGGCAATTTTACCAACTCGGGACGTAGTACAAAAGCTTGAGTGATGTATCAACGTTGACACTTCGCGAGGTGATCTTGCTTGGGTTATAGATAAGGGAGCACAAGCAAAGTTGGATTATAGGCTGATAACTTTGTATTAAGTTGTGGAGATCTGAGCGACCTTGCAAGAATTCCAAAACTGAATCCTACTATGTACGTACAAACCATCTAAATGAACCGCGTCGACTGTGATCACAAAAGAAAAGAACAAAGAAAAAAAAAAAAAAATAAAAACAGAATCTCCACTTCAAAACCCACCAGCGACGCAATAAAAGACAGTCACAGTTTTTTTTTGGACAACAGAAACACGATGTACAGAATGGAGGACAAAGCTGGAGAGCTACTATGTGGAGGGTTTCAAGGTACCAAAGTCACATCACAAGCCTACAAATTAATTGTCGATCACAAAATATCATCCATGATCTTGTCAAGGAAAAACGCCGTAAACGTAGAACAAATGTCCAAGTTGATCAAAGACCTACAATACATTGCATACACGCAGGGGGGATACAAGTACCCGATCATGTTTGCTATTGATCAGGAAGGTGGAATAATGAACTCCTTGTTTGATCCCGACTTCATCACCCAATACCCCAGCGCAATGGCCCTAGCAGCGACAGGTGACCCCAAATTGGTTTACGAAATTTCGAAAGCCATAGCGATAGAGCTTAAAATGATTGGGTTTAGTATCATATTGGGGCCCGTATTGGATGTAGTGACAAAATTATCGCACCAACTAGTTGGAGTGAGGAGTTTCGGCACTACTATTGAAGATGTGCAAAAATATGGACTGATGTGCGCCAGAGGGTTGCGAGATGGAGGATTGTTTACAGTGGGTAAACACTTTCCAGGGATAGGGAATGCAACCGTTGATTCTTTACTTGAATTGCCTATGATGGGCGACACCCTAAGTCAGATTCGGCAGAATAATGCTGCACCATTTGCAAACTTGATCCAAGCTGGTTTGTTGAATGGAGTGAGTGTAGCAGGCTGTGGAGTCCCCAATATCAGCCCCGACGAGACACATGCGTGCTTATCGCCGGTCATCATCAATCAACTATTGCGACTGGAGATGGGGTTTGATGGTGTTGTAATCAGTGAATGTTTGGAAATGGAGGCATTGTACCATTCGATAGGCTTGGGGCAAGGAGTGATATTAGCCATCAATGCAGGATGTGACTTGGTTATGGTATGTCATGACTTGAAACTACAGAACGAAGCCATAGAGTCAATTAAAAAGGGGATTTTGAATGGAAACTTGGATGAGGATACAATCATTTCAAGCTTTGCCAGGATAGAGACTTTACAAAAGCAGCTACCTTTGTGGAAAGAAATATTTCCCGAGGGAATAACGTCTGCCCAAGAAAGTCCAGTCTTGTTCAAGTACAAGTATCCGGATTCCTGGAAGCGACATCAAGAATTAGCGTCATTGGCGTATCAAAAATCAATCACCTTGGTTCGAGACTATGGTGGATTATTACCGTTATCAAAACGTTTCGACCAAGTTTCTGCAACCGAATCAATCTTAGTATTGAGCCCTTTGTTGAGTCCAGTTTCACCAAAACCATCACAAGCAGAAACTCTATTCACGGGGGAAGAAGTTTTCCAAAGCTTTGGTAAATTTTTGTCGCAGCATCCCGTAAACAGAAACAAAAATTATGTTGTGCTACATACCACATATACGGCGAACGGATTAACGCCACTTCATGAATCATTGATTGAAAAGGCAAACATTGTTATTGTGTTTACCAGTGAAGCTTCTAGAAACATGTACCAGATAGGGATTGTGAAATATGTTTCAATTCTCTGCGGAGCCAACCCATCGTCATTTGGAGCGAAGCGGTCAAGGACAGTCAATTCATTGCAAAAGCCGTTGATCGTGGTTGCCACACTGTCTCCATACGATTTCTTTTACGACAAGTTGATGGGGAGTGTCTATATTTGTTGTTATGACTATACAAAGCAAGCTTTGGAGAATGTTGCCGCGTTACTCATGGGTGACTTTGAACCACAAGGATGTATACCAGGCGAGCAACAGCATTCAAGAAAAAGAAGGCATAGTCTTGAAGAGATTAACTGCAAACAAATCAAAAGAAAATGGTTGGTCGATGAGTTTGATATGGCAAGAGATCTTGCAGGTCTAATCAAATTGTGGAAAGACGTCGATGTTGAGGAGGCTGATTCTATTGACATGCGAGACCAGCAATATTGTAAACGTTTAGGAGGGCTCTTGGCCACTTCCAACCAAAAACATTTCGTTGTGCGGAATTCATCATTGAACATTCTCTATGGAGTCGTGTTGACATGGTGCGAGGGGGCTATAGGACACGTACTTTACATTGTTGTGGAGAAATCGAAGCGATTGCACAGCATTGGAAAAAACTTGAGTGCTAGGGCCGAGCGATACTTGACCAAGGAGAAGAATTGTAGCGAAATCAGGTTGGGCTCGGCTTTCCCTCTCATTATGTTCCCTGGAAACATCACTAGTGGAAGCAGCATCTTTTTAAAACGGCTCGGATGGGAGACCGACAGATCTCAAAGGAAATGGATTTTGGAGTTGAATGACTTGAATGGGTGGCTGGTGCCCGAACGCATATTGAAGGAGTTGATGATTGTGGGAGTGAGATTTGACGTGTGCACGGGGCAATCTCAATTGGAAAAATTGGTGCAAAGAGGAGACCTTCCACCAGAATATAAAGCGTATTACAGAGAGGCAAGTAAGAGCATCTCCTCAAGACTGGTTTACGAGGCGAAAATAATCATTGCATTGGAACCAAGCTCGCAGAATGTGATAGGAAGCATAATTCTCTTTACAAACAAGTCTGAGTTCTCCAAGTATTTCCCCTTCATTGACCAATGCATTGATCACGAAGGACAAAATGGGGGCGCCAGTGTGGTGCCAATGATAGGAGGGGTTATTGCCCCCGTAATTGACCAGCTGTATGCCAATTTGGTCGACATTTTCAAGTACGGCTTGATCTGCAGCGCAATTACAAAGTTAAAGAACTCCGCAACCGACGACGAGTTACTAAATCAATGCATAATGTGCGACGTCGTTGACGAGGAAAAGACACTAACAAGTATGCACGATATTGGGTTCGAGAAATGGAGGTACTATTACGATTTTTATGATAGGAGGGCGTGCTAGGGAAGGAGGCAGATTGGAGGATTGTAATACAATGTAAACCGGATAGAATATTTTTTCTTCACGGGGGCCGATGCATCGGATCTTCTCAGTTGAGTAATAGTCGCCCTGACAATTAAAAATTCTACTCCTTTTCTTTTTTTTCTTTTTTTTCTTTTTTTTTTTTTTTTGTTTCGGGTGGGTGGGGGGTCCTAACTATTATAGCAGTCTGCAGCATGCTCTGTGGAATTCCGTGGTAATGCTGACTTTTTTCGATCCTCTGAAAGGACAACCCCTTAACTATATCTTTCCTACCGCGGTTGCACGGTTGCACATCCCGGTGTTGCACGTAACAGAGAACAAAGAAAGAAAAAAAATTTTTAAAAAAAAAGAATATTAAAAATGCGGGGAATGAAAACGCCCTTACCTGTTAGAGTTTAAGCGAAATCGGAGGGAAGCTGATGTTTACCATTACTTTTGGATCAAAATTACATCCTGACTTTGTCATATCACAACGGTCGATCCTTCTCCAACGCATGTAGTCTTTTTCTCAGTCGGCATTGTATTTGAAAACGATCTCATTCATACAGTGAGCAACTCTTTTCTTTTTGCATGTGTTTTGACAACTTACACAAAACACGAGAGATCGGAAAAAGTCGTAACCACTTAGCCCACAAATTTCCGTTGACAAAAACTTTTTTGGAAAATGTTTGGGTAACGGCTAGCGATTGACATGTACACTGCCGGAAATGGAAACCGCACCTTACAAGAACTAATTTGCAGCATCGAAAGTAACGTGTTTTCATGTGTATTTCCCTATATATTGATTATACAAAAAAACCTCACTTAACTTCACATGGAACAGCTTATCATAAGTCAACAGGGGGGCAAGCTGAGCAAGCTGGGTAAGCTCTGTTATCTAGACCTTTTTGTCTTCAACACCCCCCCCCCCCCAGTGCCGTTCGATCCTAGAGACGTGAAAAATCAAAAAGGTTGTGCTTGTTTTCCAGCTTTTGTGTATTACGTTTGGTTGACCTCGGGAAAATTCGTTGTCCCGGCATGGAGGATGTCGGAACTCTGGAACTTCTTACCCCATATTTCGTTGCTTTGGTTATGAGTACACGACCTTTCCCGGTACTGGAAATAGGGCCAGGATAGAGCTCAGTGTGATGAGGACATGGCCAGTAGGAGAAGTGCTATTAGAGGAGAACTCACCAGTTGGAGCCCTAGTAAAACTTACAGATGCTTGAAATCGTCAGTGAAAAAAAAAAAAAAAAGCTAGGGCGTTGTAGTGAACAGCTGACCTTGTTTCTGTCCGTTTTCTTTGTTTTTGCGTTGTTGCATATATTGAAAAAAAAAAAAAATTTTATGTATGGAGAGGAAAAAAGGAAAAAGTGGGTTAATGGAAGTAAAATATTTCAACAAATATTATATACGCAAACAATATAAATAGCATTGAAAATCCACCCTGTTTTCTCTCAGAGATACCTCTCCTTCTCTCTCTTCTCTTAACTTTCAGTAATTTAATTTCATATATATTCATTAAACATGTCACCACCACCAGCTGCCGTTGAATCCACTATCAATTTCGAAGGTCACCCTTCTATCAAGAGCACTCAAGACCCATTGGTCAAAAAGTTGAACTTGACCACCGACACCATTGTTAGACACAATGCTGCTCCACCAACTTTGTACGAAGATGGTTTGTTGGAAAAGGGAACCACCATCTCATCCACTGGTGCTCTTATGGCTTACTCTGGTAAGAAGACCGGTAGATCTCCAAGTGATAAGAGAATTGTTGACGAAGAAACTTCTTCAAACCACATTTGGTGGGGACCTGTCAACAAGCAAGTTGACGAATTAACTTGGAAGATTTCGAGATCAAGAGCTTTGGACTACTTGAGAACCAGAGAAAAGTTGTTTGTTGTTGATGCTTATGCCGGTTGGGATCCAAGATACAGGATCAAGGTTAGAATCATTTGTGCTAGAGCCTACCACGCTTTGTTCATGACCAATATGTTGATTAGACCAACTAAAGAAGAATTGGAAAACTTTGGTGAGCCAGATTTCACCATTTACAACGCCGGTCAATTCCCAGCCAACGTCCACACCAAGGGTATGACTTCATCTACCTCTGTTGAAATCAACTTTAAAGATATGGAAATGGTTATCTTGGGTACTGAATATGCTGGTGAAATGAAGAAGGGTATTTTTACCGTTATGTTCTACTTGATGCCAATCAAGCACAAGGTTTTGACCTTGCACTCTTCGGCCAATCAAGGTGTTGACAAAGGTGACGTCACCTTGTTCTTTGGTTTGTCTGGTACTGGTAAGACCACTTTGTCTGCTGATCCAAACAGAAAGTTGATTGGTGATGATGAACATTGTTGGTCAGATAATGGTGTCTTTAACATTGAAGGTGGTTGTTACGCCAAATGTTTGGACTTGTCTCAAGAAAAGGAACCAGAAATTTTCAACTCCATCAAATTCGGTGCTATTTTGGAAAACGTTGTTTACGACCCAGTCACCAAGGTTGTTGACTACTCTGACTCATCAATCACTGAAAACACTAGATGTGCTTACCCAATTGATTTCATTCCATCAGCCAAGATCCCATGTTTGGCTGACACTCACCCATCAAACATTATCTTGTTGACATGTGATGCTTCTGGTGTCTTGCCTCCAGTATCTAAATTGACCAATGCTCAAGTTATGTACCACTTTATTTCAGGTTACACTTCCAAGATGGCTGGTACTGAGGAAGGTGTTACTGAACCACAAGCTACATTCTCTGCATGTTTCGGTCAACCGTTCTTGGTCTTGCACCCAATGAAGTACGCTCAGCAATTGTCCGACAAGATTTCCGAACACAAGGCCAACGCTTGGTTGTTGAACACTGGTTGGGTTGGTGCTTCGGTTGCTCAGGGTGGAAAGAGATGTTCCTTGAAATACACTAGAGCTATCTTGGATGCCATCCACTCTGGTGAGTTGTCCAAGGTTGAATACGAACAATTCCCAGTCTTTAACTTGAACGTTCCAAAGAGCTGCCCAGGTGTTCCAAGCGAGATCTTGAACCCAACCAAAGCATGGACGGGTGGTGAAGAATCATTCAAGAAGGAAATCCAATCCCTTGGTAAGAAGTTCAATGACAATTTTGTCAAGTATAGCGACCAAGCTACTGCTGAAGTTAAGAAAGCTGGTCCAGTTGTATAATAGCGGATTCCTTTTTTTTAATTACTTTGTATAGTCATTTTTCTATAATTTTATCTGGTTATTGTTAGTTTGGTTTTAACAGATTTGCGATTGTAGACAAATGCTTGTGCATTGGTGGACTTTACTCTTCGCACCGGTCGTGCCACATTTGTAAATGACGTATAATTTGCGACACACCAAATTTTCATCATTATCAACATTTATGTCTACAATTCTTCAAGCAGATTTTTTTGACCTGTGCTGAGTATACGAGAGCTATCATTGTGACTTTTACTAAAGGAAGCAGACGTTTTTTATGCTGTATCAATTTTTTTTTTTTTTTTTTTTTCAAATTCCATGAATATGAATAACATGGAATTTGCAACCATTTACTTACAATTTTTATATTCAAAACGCAATGAGAATGAGAAAAAGCTCCCTCTTATCAAAATGCCACGCGAGCCACGCAGGCCACACAAGTTGCTATTCTCAAGTGGTATAGCAGCGTACCTTTAACTACAAGGGAGTTATTAGAGTGTATTGGCCCTCACAGAATAAATTTGGACTATGATGTACTCCACGATGAAACCTTTAACTCCGCGTTTTCCCAGACGGATCTTTTACAACTCCGCACTTGCCTTTTCCCTTTTGAATTGACTAATTGAATTTTGTTCTGTTTGTTTCCCAAGTGCTAAAATAACAAACCTAATCTTTAGAAACGTATGTACAGCAAGTCATGCTCGACTGGAGTGACAGCTATTATATGCAGGACTCACTTTTGCGCACTATTTCTTCGTAAGAGAGAGAGAGGGGAGGGGGGAAGGGGGAGGAGAGAATTTTTGTGTATTCAAATGTGGGGAAGAAGTATTACGGATGTCAATCATCACATCCGACAAGTTCCAGACCGTCCATACATTCAGTATAAATAAAATCCCTTCGTATTTTTTTGAGAAATGGTAGAGAGTTTTTGAATACTCATCATTCGTTTACGATTACAAAGCACCATGTCTGAGTTTGATATACTTAACTCTGCCACTAAGTGGTATGTTGCTCTTCCTGCGTTGATTCTCCTTTACGTTGCATATAAACAGGTTTATGAGGCATATTTGATGAAGAAGTTGGGAGCAGCTAGAGAAACAAACTGCACCGGAGATGGAACATTTGGCTTTAGACTTCCATTCTGGCTTCTTGAAAATAAGGAAAATGGAACGGTTACCGACTTCACAGCTAACAGGTTCAAGGAGGTTGCGTATCCAAACGTCCCTACATTCTCTGCAAGAATGTTTACTGTCAAGTTCTGGCTCACGAAAGATCCTGAAAACATAAAAGCAATTTTGGCTACTCAGTTCAATGACTTCTGCCTAGGAACAAGGCATGCGCTGTTTGAGCCGTTATTGGGGGATGGAATCTTTACATTGGACAACCAAGGCTGGAAGGAGTCTAGACAAATGTTGCGTCCACAATTTGCTAGAGAACAGATTTCACATGTCAAGATGTTGGAGCCACATATGCAAGTTCTTTTCAAGCATGTGTACAAGAACAAGGGACAAGTGTTTGATTTGCAGGAGTTGTTTTTCAGATTCACAGTTGATTCGTCTACCGAATTCTTGTTTGGAGCATCTGTCGATTCATTGAAGGATGCCAGTATCGGTATGCAAGCTATTTCCAACGAAGTTGAAGGAAAGGAGCAATTCGCAGAGTCATTCAACTTTTCCCAAAACTATTTGGCTTCAAGAGTAGTCTTGCAAAAACTTGCTTGGTTGATGAACTCAAGGAAATTCAAGGAAAGTAATGCTGTTGTCCACAAATTTGCACAGTACTATGTCAAGAGAGCATTGGCATTGTCTCCAGAAGAGTTGGAAAAGCAAGACGGGTATGTTTTCCTTTACGAGTTGGCTAAACACACAAGAGACCCAAAGGTTTTGCAAGATCAATTATTGAATATTTTAGTGGCAGGAAGAGACACAACAGCCGGTTTGTTGTCATTCGTCTTTTTCGAGTTGGCTAGAAACCCGCAAGTGTTGGCCAAGTTGAGAGAGGAAATCGATTCCAGGTTTGGGTTGGGCAAGGAGGCTAGAGTTGAAGAGATCACTTTCGAGTCATTGAAGAACTGTGAGTACTTGAAAGCTGTACTCAACGAATGCTTGCGTTTGTACCCATCGGTACCACAGAATTTCCGTGTTGCCACTAGAAACACAACTCTACCTCGTGGTGGAGGACCAGATGGAATGTCTCCAGTGTTGGTGACTAAGGGCCAAGAAATTCATTACTGTGTCTATGCCACGCACAGAATGGAAGAATATTACGGAAAAGATGCTTGCGATTTCAGACCGGAGAGATGGTTTGAACCAGAAACTAGAAAATTGGGTTGGGCTTTTGTTCCATTCAATGGTGGTCCAAGAATCTGTCTTGGCCAGCAATTTGCATTGACTGAAGCAAGTTATGTCACCACTAGATTGGTGCAAGAATTCGGCACGTTGTGGATGGATCCAAACACTCCGTACCCACCACACAAGAGGTCACATTTGACAATGTCTTTGTATGACGGGGTTAATGTCAAGATGGAGTGATTTACTTTGTCGTTTGTCTTTTTTTAAATATTTATATTTTTTTAAGAGTTTACGTGTATTTGTTCACAGCATTTTGATTTCCGCAGCTTACACACTAGAGTACTATACGGGATAGAGGTCAACCACACATAGACTCTGCCACTGGAATTACTGATGCTCACCAATTTGACTCTTTTTTGAGTTAGGGGAGCCATTTTGAAAAGCTCCCATGTGAGTGAACTTCAAGAATGTGACCACGTAGACTAATTTCTTTGATGTTGAACTCGTTCTATAACTTTCACTTTCAATTTTCTCATAAAAGAAGCCCATAGACGTTGTGAATCTGTTCGAAGAAGCGATGATTGATACATTTGGCTGCATTATGGAATATCCATGCTCTTGTGAGAGCTCTATTTGGGGTCACTGTATTATTGCTGATGGAGTTTGTCCTATCTTTGGTGCAAATGAAGCCACTGCAAAGATTCTCAATAAATTTGTGTTAATTTACGCTTGCATTTTCATTTTGTGTTATATGTCCTCAAACAGCCGACCAAGAGCCGTTAAGTCAAATCAGTTTTATAATGAGAGAGTGTGATAGATGTCAGATATGAGCTTCCTCTAACTTAAGTAGCAAATGCTGTGAGTGACGCCTTTCCACAAAGACGAGAGAGATCAAAGCAGCTCACACTGTTGATTGCAAAAAAAAAAAAAGGAACATCTATCATCTGTTGGGCTATGTATATGATATATAATGCAGTTGAGCGCTGCATAAATTTATATAATGTTTAGTGCGAGCAGCAGCTATTTATATACTTCAAGCACTTATTGCGAGAGAAGCTGCGAGTGTGGCGTCATAGTAGCGTTGAGTACGTTATTTCATAAGCATATACTTAAATCCGCATAGCGGAGATAATGTAGATGTATGTCCCCATTTTCTGAATAAAATACTCCATAACTCAACTTTCTCCGGAGACCAGGCACGTGTTTTGCCAACTGTGGTGTGTCAGGTTCAGACTCTAAACGTGGGAAATTTCACAAAAGCTATTTACAAAGGGAATGTTATATTAGTTTGATATAGACTGCCAATACATTATCGTGTAAAATGTAGTGCACACAACGGAAAACGGAAGATATTAAAATCCTTCCACCATTCTATATGCAGTACACGTCTAATCAAAAAGTGTCAAATAATCGAACTGTGGAGTTTTACAGAAACTACAAATACAACTATTACTCGTTTCTACGTCTAACCCAAGAACATTCATCATTCAGGGGCCTAAGATCCAAATTGCAACTACACTTAGCCAACATGTCAGATTTTGATATTGCTAATTACGCCACTAAGTGGTATGTTTTGGCGCCGGTTTTGATAGCCCTCTATGTCGTGTACAGTAAAATTCAAGAAGCAATCTTGATGAAAAAGTTTGGAGCGGCAAGGGAGGCAAACGCTGAAGGGGACGGATATTGGGGATTTCGACTTCCATTCACATTAATCGCAAAGAAAAAAGAAGGAACTATTGTTGACTTTGGTCTTGAGAGGTGGAATGACCTCACTGACCCACAAATTTTCACTTTTTCAATGAGGATGTTTGGCGTTAAACTCTGGCGTACGAAAGATCCTGAAAACATAAAAGCAATTTTGGCTACTCAGTTCAATGATTTTTCATTAGGTTCAAGGCATCCCAAATTTGAGCCGTTATTGGGAGATGGAATCTTTACATTGGACAACCAAGGCTGGAAGGAGTCTAGACAAATGTTGCGTCCACAATTTGCTAGAGAACAGATTTCACATGTCAAGATGTTGGAGCCACATATGCAAGTTCTTTTCAAGCATGTGTACAAGAACAAGGGACAAGTGTTTGATTTGCAGGAGTTGTTTTTCAGATTCACAGTTGATTCGTCTACCGAATTCTTGTTTGGAGCATCTGTCGATTCATTGAAGGATGCCAGTATCGGTATGCAAGCTATTTCCAATAAAGTTGAAGGAAAGGAGCAATTCGCTGAAGCATTCAACTATTCTCAAAACTATTTGGCTTCGAGAGCAGTTATGCAAGGATTGTATTGGTTGTTAAACTCAAGGAAATTCAAGGAAAGTAATGCTGTTGTCCACAAATTTGCACAGCACTATGTCAAGAGAGCATTGGCATTGTCTCCAGAAGAGTTGGAAAAGCAAGACGGGTACGTTTTCCTTTACGAGTTGGCTAAACACACAAGAGACCCAAAGGTTTTGCAAGATCAATTATTGAATATTTTAGTGGCAGGAAGAGACACAACAGCCGGTTTGTTGTCATTCGTCTTTTTCGAGTTGGCTAGAAACCCGCAAGTGTTGGCCAAGTTGAGAGAGGAAATCGATTCCAGGTTTGGGTTGGGCAAGGAGGCTAGAGTTGAAGAGATCACTTTCGAGTCATTGAAGAACTGTGAGTACTTGAAAGCTGTACTCAACGAATGCTTGCGTTTGTACCCATCTGTGCCAAATAATTTCCGTGTTGCCACTAGAAACACAACTCTACCTCGTGGTGGAGGACCAGACGGAATGTCTCCGGTTTTAATAACTAAAGGTAAAAGTGTTAGTTACTCTGTGTATGCTCTTCACAGAACAGAAGAGTTTTATGGCAAGGATGCTTCCGTATTTAGACCGGAGAGATGGTTTGAACCAGAAACTAGAAAATTGGGTTGGGCCTTTGTTCCATTCAATGGTGGTCCAAGAATCTGTCTTGGCCAGCAATTTGCATTGACTGAAGCAAGTTATGTCACCACTAGATTGGTGCAAGAATTCGGCACGTTGTGGATGGATCCAAACACTCCGTACCCACCACACAAGATGTCTCACTTGACCATGTCTTTGTACGACGGATTGAATGTCAAGATGGAGTAGTCTGTTTTGTTGTTTGCCTTTTTTAGATATTTTTATAAATCTACAATTTGTTGATAACGATTTGATTTCTGTTGTTCAGACACCAACGAACTGGTGGGGATGAATGTCATTTGCATTAAAACTCTAGAAATACTGCTACTAGATGTACAAGAATAAGACTCTATTCTGACATGTTACGACTACTATGGCTTCACCCAAAAAAGTCAATTTTCTAACTTTGTATACAACTTTCATGGCCAGTTTGGTTTTCAAGGCAAACTGACCCTTCAGGGTTCTCTCCATCCTGGACTGCAACGAATGAAGTCAAAGGCATACAATATACAATTCTTGCATTCTCATTAAGAGGTAGAGTCAAGAACAGGAGCTTTCCTTCACACACTCGTTTGCGGCAACACATTCAACTTTCAGCCAGCAAAATAACTTTAGGTGTTGATTTTTGCTTATTACACAAAGTAGTTCACATTACTTATTGCTGGTCACCCGCTGGATTTTCATAAAACTGAACTTACAATTGATTCCGTGCTATGCAAAAGGTCATGTTACTTGAGATCTCAGTATAAAAGCAGAGCTTCGTAGCTGATGAATGATACGAATGACCCGAATTCCATACGTTTGATTCTTCGGGGAGTGATGGCTGTCTTCCGATCTCTTCATGAAACTTGCTCTGGAGGAAATGAATTTTGAGATTTGGGAACCTCACGTGCAGTTAATATGCTCGAATAAGTGATGATTATTAATGGGTACACGACGGAGCATCTGTCGAGGCGTGAGAACACTATTGGAGTCACTGCTGGCGTATTGTTGCTGACAGAGTTTGTGTTGTCATCGGCGCAAATTGTCGGCGGAGTTAATGCAAGGTTGTAGTTTGTTTTGTGTAAATTTCATAAAGTGGGGAAACACCGTGCACTTTTCACTCGGAGTTTGCTTTGGGATTTTGTGCTAAATTCTCCTAAACAGCGAACAGAGAGTCGTTTAAACAAATCGAACTCAGAAACAGAGAGAGTGTGATAAATGACAGAGATACCACCCACACACTTTGGCCTTGTTTTGATGGTCTGGTGGCAACTTTTGCTAGCAAGCAACACCATATCCTCAACAAGGGGACTTCTTTTAGCTTGAACAGCAAATACTGCGGGTGATTCCCCTCTACAGTGAGGAGAGAGAGAGTGAATCATGCAGCTCGCGCTGTGCAATGCAATCACCATAGCTAGCAGACTTAAGTCCGCACTGCGGAGCTAATGAAAGTACATCACCTCTTTTGTCGTATGAATTATTTCACATCTTCACTGTGTCCTGGTCTTGCATGTGATATACAAACTATCTTAGTCTGACTGATGGGTCTAAAGTTGCTGATAATAGTATGGAAGTCCTTCTGGCAAACAAGCTCTTATTGATTCATACGTAGAGTACTAACGATGCTAAAAAAAGAGGAAAAAGCGGAAAATAATCCTCTCGCTATACAATTATTTGTTTATATACAGTACACATCTTGGCATGTGAAATTGGCTGTTCTTGATATAAGAAATGCCAAATATTCAAACTGCGGAGTTTTACAGAAACTACAAATACAACTATTGCTCGTTTTTACGTCTAACCTAAGAACATTCATCATTCAAGGGCCTAAGATCCAAATTGCAACTACACTTAGCCAACATGTCAGATTTTGATATTGCTAATTACGCCACTAAGTGGTATGTTTTGGCGCCGGTTTTGATAGCCCTCTATGTGGTGTACAGTAAAATTCAAGAAGCAGTCTTGAGGAAAAAGTTTGGAGCGGCAAGGGAGGCAAACGCTGAAGGGGACGGATATTGGGGATTTCGACTTCCATTCACATTAATCGCAAAGAAAAAAGACGGCACACTTGTTGACTTCACAGCTGACAGGTGGAGCGAAGTTGATAACCCAGCGGTTTTCACTCTTTCAATGAGAATATTTGGCGTTAAACTCTGGGCTACAAAAGATCCTGAAAACATAAAAGCAATTTTGGCTACTCAATTCAATGATTTTTCACTCGGTACTAGACATCCACAATTCAAGCCGTTATTGGGAGATGGAATCTTTACATTGGACAACCAAGGCTGGAAGGAGTCTAGACAAATGTTGCGTCCACAATTTGCTAGAGAACAGATTTCACACGTCAAGATGTTGGAGCCACATATGCAAGTTCTTTTCAAGCATGTGTACAAGAACAAGGGACAAGTGTTTGATTTGCAGGAGTTGTTTTTCAGATTCACAGTTGATTCGTCTACCGAATTCTTGTTTGGAGCATCTGTCGATTCATTGAAGGATGCCAGTATCGGTATGCAAGCTATTTCCAACGAAGTTGAAGGAAAGGAGCAATTCGCAGAGTCATTCAACTACTCCCAAAACTATTTGGCTTCGAGAGCAGTTATGCAAGGATTGTATTGGTTGTTAAACTCAAGGAAATTCAAGGAAAGTAATGCTGTTGTCCACAAATTTGCACAGCACTATGTCAAGAGAGCATTGGCATTGTCTCCAGAAGAGTTGGAAAAGCAAGACGGGTACGTTTTCCTTTACGAGTTGGCTAAACACACAAGAGACCCAAAGGTTTTGCAAGATCAATTATTGAATATTTTAGTGGCAGGAAGAGACACAACAGCCGGTTTGTTGTCATTCGTCTTTTTCGAGTTGGCTAGAAACCCGCAAGTGTTGGCCAAGTTGAGAGAGGAAATCGATTCCAGGTTTGGGTTGGGCAAGGAGGCTAGAGTTGAAGAGATCACTTTCGAGTCATTGAAGAACTGTGAGTACTTGAAAGCTGTACTCAACGAATGCTTGCGTTTGTACCCATCGGTACCACAGAATTTCCGTGTTGCCACTAGAAACACAACTCTACCTCGTGGTGGAGGACCAGACGGAATGTCTCCGGTTTTAATAACTAAAGGTAAAAGTGTTAGCTACTCTGTGTATGCTCTTCACAGAACAGAAGAGTTTTATGGCAAGGATGCTTCCGTATTTAGACCGGAGAGATGGTTTGAACCAGAAACTAGAAAATTGGGTTGGGCTTTTGTTCCATTCAATGGTGGTCCAAGAATCTGTCTTGGCCAGCAATTTGCATTGACTGAAGCAAGTTATGTCACCACTAGATTGGTGCAAGAATTCGGCACGTTGTGGATGGATCCAAACACTCCGTACCCACCACACAAGATGTCTCACTTGACCATGTCTTTGTACGACGGATTGAATGTCAAGATGGAATAATTTGACAGACACAACTGAAGTTGTATGGTTTTATTTAGGCTGGATAGATTAATGTATTTATTATGCTGGGGGGCAAGGTAGTAGCTTGTGTAGTGGTGGCGTGTTCGATTAGCCGTAAACTCCTCCGTTGCGACCCGTACCAAAATTGTCTCTAGGTATAACTCCTGTACAAGGGTGGCTCTACACTGAAGTAGATTTGTTTACAGTTTGCAGCAGTGACTTTGTCAAGCTTTGGTAGCGTGAGATACCACAGAGAGCGAAGCAAGAAAAAAAAAAAAAAAGAATAGCCATTAGCCATTTTTCACTGCCAATCAGTGCCTCCTACAGAGACAAGACAATTTACTATGCCTCAACATTGGTCGCCCGATTTGTTTGAAGAGATTTATAATGCGATCAAGTTTCAATCTGATGTTGATGTCTCAGCCATTGATTTGACAGCCATATCTGATGATCTTTTAGAGGTATTGAAAACCCCATCACCACTGACTGACTCGAGAAATAAGCTAAATTCTTCACTTAGGTTTACCAATGGCGATGAAGTACAACTCAACCAAGAATTTATTGAGTTGTCAGTTTTGTTATCAACAGAGCTCGATTTGGATGAGGTTTGCACTGCAGAGTTGGTGTTTCATAGTGAGGATGTTAGTTATAGCAAAGGAACTTCGTTAAACGATAGTGCCAAATTGTCATACTTTACCCGTGCTGAATACATTTTGAACATTTTGACATTCCTTATAGGAAATAAGATATTACCGTTGGATCCAAGGAAAGTGTTCGACAATGTTGTGGCCAGCTTTGACAAGGTCTATAAACTAATTGATATTTTGAACGATTTGATCGACAAACAAAAGGTAACTGGGGACTTACTGAGTTTGGTATTTATCAATGGGGTTAATTTCGCAAGGTCTCAATTATTCAAGTTTCACGAGCTATTGGGCACATTGTTGTATGCGTTGAGCAACTCATACTTCAAAGAGGTGGGAACAATTGGCAATTACGAAAAGGTTATCAAAGTTGTGAGACGGTTACAAAATGACGATGTGTTTGTCTTTCATTTCCTTCCATGCATTTTAAATTTTCACGCTAAAGCAAGGGAGAGTAAAGGCTTGATTGACGACTTGTACAATTCCATTACAAAGTCAATTCCTGCGGCTCAAAAGGATGGTTTATTTGACATTTCACAAGCCCAAATTCATGGAATTGAAATAGTGTCAGCATTCATCTTTTTGACGGAATTCATACCTTGGTGCAAACAAAACAACACCACAAAATACGATTTCCGAAAGAATATAATAAGTCACATGGAGCTGTTGATTTCACTTGGAGTAACTGAGTTGCTTTTGAGCTACTGTGCTGAAACCAGTACACCGGAAACGCGACGTGTTTTTGAGTTGTCGGACACTTATGACTTCAGATCGTTGTTGCAGAGAACGGTTCCACCATTTGCTCCAAAAAAGTTTATATATCCAGGCACAGCAGATCTTTTGAACTTGACTAAACAAAGACCTGAGTTTGTTAATGTACTAAAATTGGTTGATGTGGCTTTTTTGAAATTGAATCCCGAGCTTAATGATTCATTATTGGCTCCATTGCTACAAAACTTTTTTGGCACTTTTGTTACGGACGCGGCATTGGTATTGACTTCTTTACGAGATAGTGAAGAGGATTTTGCTTTGTCCTTTCAGGATAAAAGTGAAGAACTGAGCGACGAAGATAGTGACAATGAAGAGCGTGCAAAGACAGAGGTTCCGCAATTATTGGAGCTTGATGAAATAGCTCAGCGTGCTGATTTGGAAAGGTTCTATTTGGCTTTTGCTTACAATTGTAACAACAGACCAGAATTGTGCTCGGCAATTTGGAACGATGAGTCGAACACGACTGAGGTCCTTGGGTTTGTATCTTGGGGATTGAACAACAATACATCCCCTTTGATAGCTGCCAGCTTTAGTGTGCTTTTAGCAGCTTTGTCGTCTGGTGGATCGCATATTGCAAGCAAGATATGGGATATCTTGGCCAATAACACCACGCATGCAAAGAAGAATGATTTTTCGAGAATCTCGATTGACTCAATATTTGACTCATTGAAGTACTACATTGATTCGTTAAACATCAATTTTGAGCAAGATTTGAATGACCAGCTAAGTGTATACCACAAACGTCACGAACTAGTGTTTTCCAACAAGAACTTGGGAAACGTCAGAGAGAGCGATGGGAGTCGAATCGTTATTGAACTTGCCGAGGACTCTATAATTTCAATATCTGGTTTTGTGAGGTTGATCTCATCGATTATGATAAACTTGTCCGGTTCTGAGCGAGCAAATCAGATAAAATCTTTTGCTTTCAATAGGTTTATGCCAATTATAAAGGCATTTCTTGAATTTGACAATTTAATCAATGGTGGGAAAATCTTGCAGGTTGATGTCAACGCACACAACTCGACCTTAAGTTCTAGCTATATAAACTTGCCTGATATCCATGTCAGTGATGATTCAAGAATTGTTTTATTGAACTTGATTTTCCAGTTGTTGGGTAATATTACCGAAAATAATGAGGAATCTTTTGTACGTTACGAGTCGTGGAGATTGTTGGATCGTTGGATGTACCATGGTTTACATTTGAGCCAACCCCAGCTGAGTGATTTTTTTAGCAAGCAGCTGGAAAGAAAAAAGTATACAAGGAAAAGGTCAATTGGAACCATTGAAGTATTTTCAAACAATTTAACACATTATAGTCAAGTCCTCAACTTTGCAGATCTCGTGAAAAAATTGTTGCAACCTTTGAATCCAGAAAGGACCCTGAAATACAGCTTGGCTTTTCCATGTGATTTGGGGTACGGATACAGGCCAAACAACAAAATCGGAATATGGCCGTACATTGAATTTCTTTTGATCGATGTATTCGGCCAATCTGACAGCTTAGAAAATGAGCAGTACAGAGACTCCTTGCAAATGCTCTTACTTCAGTTGTGTGTTGAATCTTTGCACGAAATAGACTGGGAGTTTTTAAGCGAATCTGCGCCGGGCATCATTAGAGATTTGAGGTCTTTTGACTCTATTTTTGACTCATTGATTCCAGGAATGCCTATCAGTTATGAGTTGTTTGTAAAGTTGCACCATTCATTGGCAGTATTTGCATGTTTTTTTGATAGCAGGGCATACACCGCTCTCTTTAAGATTTTGGACCACGGGGTAGAGTCAGTGAATGCTTCTACTGATATAGGAACCTTGGTGAATCAAGCCCTTAATATTTTCAACACCTTGTTGGGAATGCAAGACAATTTCCAGAAACGTTTGTTACCAGTATTGACAAGCAAGAGCGTTCAGTATCAACCAGTCCATAGAAACTCAATCATGAGTATCGGTACATCCATGAGTAAAATGTTGAGTCAGTCCACTTCCATTTTTGACAACATATATTATTCTAAAGTGCTCGGGTTGTCTAGTACCAAAACGTTTTACAATGTCATATTATTCAATTTGTCCTCAGTTGCACATATTGCACTATTTGTCAGTTGCAACAGTTCAATCTCACTTGAGGCAATACAAATTTTGAAAAAATTGGGAACGGCCGATCATTTTAAAAGCAGCAAGTCTGAAGCCGATTCTTTGTTGAGTAGCGATCGGTTACTCACTACGTTTTTGAATATTGATGAATCGGAAAAGATCAAGTTTGCATTCATCAACAAGTTTGAGGAAATTGAGGACTCGTTGAAGATAAAAGTTGAAGTTTTGAATCTTCTTTCTCAATTGCTCGATCCTGTAAAGAGGACACTCAGTATAGCTCATTTTCTACTAGGCTTTGATATCAAAGCAAACTCATTAAGTTTGAGCGATACAGAACACACAACGTTGTTGGATGTCCTTTTGGGAACATTGAGAGAAAGCTTGGATTTGATTTCTGAGTTGGATTTTGGAAACGGTAATCGACATGTTATTGATGTTGGACCTGCAAGATTGTCGTCGTTAATATTGGAAATTTTGATCAAGCTCTGTTCGAACCCATCATCGTCAGTGATAACCATGAGCAGGGTTCGCGATTACAACTTGATTGAAAAGTTGATAAATTTTCAACCAAAATTGGACTTGATGACAAGCTGGTGTGGGTATGAGTTCAATGGTGATCTTGGTACCAGCACCGAAAACTACTTCATCAGCTCTTTACCAAGCATCACGGCGTTCACTGCATTCATTGTCCAACGTGAATTGGCGTTGAAGTTGTTGTCATTAGAACTTTACAGCATTCAATCACCTACACAGAAACAGCATTATTCTGAGCTTTTGATTTCCAAAAACCAGTTCCCCCATGGAACTGCCAAAATCATTGACTTCCTTGATGTCTTGAACTTCAATTTCAAACACTTTGAGGTGGAAAAGTATGATTATTTGAATCGCACGTTCGACGTGGAGGCCATTTTGAAGCATGTTCGAGGACCAAATTATACGTTGGATTATTCAATTTTGGGAAAAATTTATAATATATTGTGCCAAAGCTCAAACATGGTCACGTCAGAGACAAAGCAACAGTACAATGAAGAGGTTATGGCGGAGGGAAGCAAAATGCAGGAGTTTGTGACAAAGTACCTTGTAATGAACAATTCACGCGACGTCCAATTGAAGTTTCTAGTGTCATGGAGCCAATTGGTGTTGGTTTTGCAGGACCAAATTACGTCAAGCGACATCATCCTTGATATTTTCAATTCCATATTACCAAAAGTGCCCATCTACCTTGAGTCCGATGTAATCTTTTCGGAAGAATTGGTTTCGTTGTGTGCTTCATTATTCGACATTTCCATGGATAAATTTTCCAACTTTGAGAACAACAGGCAAGCACAGTTGGTAATCGAACAGCTTCTGCCATTATTTCAGACATGCATAGCCGGAATAATCAACTCTCATGCAAGTCCGAGCTTGAGATCAGAGTTTTACTCCATCATAAACAAATTTATGCTAAAGATATTTCAAAACAAATTGGTATCCACTAATTTCCTAGAATTGCTAAAGTCGATTCACAAGAAGCTTTTACCGATATTATCCAATGATGCGTTGTACTCCGAGGGACTTTCGCGCATCAATTCAATTTTCTTGATTGAATCGCTTCTTAAGTTGGAGAGTCTTGGCGAAGTGGGCTTTGTATCACAATACTTTGTCAAACAAAGTTTCTTATTGGAAGTTACTCGAGCATTGAGACGGACTGACCTAGTGATTAAACTAGCTACTTCTCCCACTTCTGAATTGACTTTCAATGAGCTTTTCGTTGAGCTTACCGCGTTTAAAGCAAACGTCTATCTTCTCATTAGGGTTGCACAGTCTCAAAAGGGGGCATTGCAGTTGGTGCAAAGTGAATTGTTTGCAACTTTGACAAGCTTGAGGTTCTTGAAGATTGACCCTGATTTGGGATTGATATTGAATGTGCATGAAGTTCAGGATTTCAAGAATATCAGCATTAAGGTGCTTTTAGATACTCCTTTGTCGTTGTCTGACTTGGTCAATCCAGATTCCAAGACTGAGGATACGGTTTCATTGAATGAGTTGATAGTGCCTATTTTCGAATTGGTTGCGAGTGTGTTGCTTTCCATGGGCCCCAGTTACAAACCTGGGGTGATACAATGCAAGGAGTTCATGAAAACTGTGAACGAATTGGTAATGGGCGTCTTGAAAAGAGATTATTTATTGGAAAGGGGACAAGTAAGTAAGGCGCTTTACTCCAAAGAGAGTGATGAGATCCACTTGTTGCAAAAATTAGTACGATTATTTACTGTGATAGATTCAATAGTTGGTTCATCGATTTAGACATATTACACGACCGTTCTTTTTTTTTTCTTTTTCTTTTTCTTTTGTTTACGAATTTGCACATTTAGTTTTATGCATCACCATTGACATTGGATCTACACTGCAACCTTTGAATCAAATGTCAGATCCTGGACTTGGTAGAACAGACCCATCCAAATTCCTTGGTGAACTAATAGGCTCTCCGGTGAGAGTTAAGTTATACAGCGGAGTTGAATATCGTGGCGATTTGCAAACAATTGACGGTTACATGAATGTTGTGTTGGAAAATGGCAAGGAGTTTATACATGGAAACGTGACGAGAGACTATGGAGATATATTTCTTAGAGGCAACACTGGTATGTTTACGAGATGGAGATGAAGTTTACTGAATGAATGAGTTCATACTAACACATATGGTCTAGTTTTGTACATTACTGAAAATTGAGCAACGACGACAAGCATAGGTGGGGAAAACGGTGCTCAAGAGTGAACTCAGTGATTATATTGGTATGAGAGGATCGGAGTATCTTCCAATGAGTCAAGTTCCTGTGTAACGACTTCTTTAGAGAAGACAGCAGAGACGAATCTTTTCTTAAAACAATTTTCTACATGGTAGCATAGAATATCTGTATGATTAAATAGTATAACGAGACAGTTACAGAGACAAGGATCATCTCCGTGGTTGCTGATTCTTAAAACCTTGTAGAGAGCATATAGTGTAGTCGTGTGGAATGCACAATTATGTGCAAAGCTTTCGTCAAATAGAATCAACGTAAACCGAAAAAAAAAAAAAACAGAAGGAAAAAAAATTGGATTCTCAATTCCAACAGAAGACGCTTCATAACATTACACTATCAGTCATGTCATTTGTTATTAGGAGACAATTGTCGTCATTGATTCCACCAAAGATTGCTTCTGCTAAGGTATGTGCAATTTGCGGGCCATGTGATTGGGAAAGAGATGAGGAGGGAAGATGCACACAAACACACACACACACACACACACTATGGCAAGTTGAATGCTGGAATTGCCTAATAGCGTTAATTTAAGAGATAGGCAAGACACCCGCGTCTACAATCACTTGAAAGAAGGCATTCCATGGGAACTCTGTGGACAACGCCATCATGTCTTTGCTTGCTTGATATATCAATGTCAGGGGACAGAATTCATCGCCTTAGCTCTCCTTCTTTCTCGCAGTTCTGTGCCTATGGGATTCGCATTTGAATGCTTCAATGTCATCACATTGAATGAGTCATATACTAACCCGTCTTTTAGAACCTTGGCTCAGCTCCAAATGCCAAAAGAATGCAAGAAGTTGTTTCTTTCTACAAGAAGTTACCTCAAGGTCCTGCGCCAGCAGCCAAGAAGCCAACCAACCCATTAGCAAGATACAGAGCTGCTTACTTTGATGGTGATAATGCTTCAGGTAAACCATTGCTTCACTTGGCCCTTGTTGTACTTATTTTTGGATACTCCTTGGAATATCAACATTTGAAAGCTCACCACTAAGGGGTCGACTTTATAGAGGATACAGAGGCGGTTACCAGCTGTTACTATTCTATATACTATAAATGTATAAAAAGTCAAACTATATTCAGACTTGTATTCGTAGCTGTGTAGTGGTCCATGTTCTCCTGTATTGTGAATCTCGCACGACCTTTGTAACTCCTCGCAAGATAACCTTGGACATGAAGCTTGGTATAAATTGCTCGATGCTTTTATTATCAAAGACACACAGTCATCTGGACATTACACTTACCAAGCAGTTCCGCCACAGAATCCTCTCGCTACTATTCTAAGCCTTGTTCGTAGTGAAAATCCCGCAACAGAAGGAAAAGAATGTGTGAGAGACAAAAGGTCGATTGATTCGGTCCCTGGCTTTTCTTTTTTTTCTTCTTCCAGTTCACTCTCTCGCGCTTTCTAATTCCTCACTTAAAATTTAGTAATAAGCCAGAGATTTGGATAAGCAATCCTCAATTGGCCAACTGTGATAGATACATTTGAGACTGGTAGCCACACACAGTGACAATCTGAAATCAAAGTATCACCTAAAATTTTATTTGCGGTCAATAATTCGTTACATAAAAGTGTTTCACTGATAGCGACCAAAGGAGGCAAAGTCAAAACAATACGCATCGACCGCATCTGCATGGACAGAACAAAGTTGTGTATTTATCAGCAATTGCATTGAGCTCAACGAATACGTCATCATCTAAGATGGAAGCAGATCAACCTTTCACTCAAAGGGACATAAGCAAGAGTCAATTACCGGACGCCAACCTGGCAAGTACTCCCCTCACTTCACATCCAGCAACTCCTCGCATGTTGCGAAGTGGCAGTGGAAATGTAAAGATGAGTTCAGATGCGGCTGCCACCAAGCTGAATGATAGGAGCCAGGATGCACAGTTGTTGCCACCATTGTCCATCCCTTCACCAGCAGCAACCCCCGTGGGTGCTGTGGATGCAGAGGTGATCAAGAGTGGTTCCAAACCACTTCCCAAGCCTCGGGAGATGACGTCACAGGTACAGAGCCCATCACACCAGATGAACCGAACCCCACTGACCCCAAACCAGTACTCCCACTCACAACCACATCAGCGACAACTGACTCCACAAAGACAACCTCAATACGAGTCTTCACGGCCATCATCTTTGCAACCACAGCAACAGCAACCACAGCAACAGCAACAACAACAACAACAACAATTTCATAGGAAGTCCATTGGTGACTGGAATTTCGTGAAGACCATTGGGGCTGGCTCTATGGGAAAAGTGAAGTTGGCCCAGCATAACACAACACACGAAATTTGTGCCGTCAAGATTATACCACGAGCAGCTAAGCTTTATCAAAGAGCCCATGCCCATGACCCACCACCTCAGACTTCCCAAGAAGCAGCTCAGAGACACAAAGAGTTTGAGAAGGAATTGGCACGGGACAAACGTACAATACGAGAAGGTGCGCTTGGCAGATTACTTTTCCATCCATTTATTTGTCGATTGTATGAAATGGTACCTATGACAAACCATTATTACATGTTGTTTGAATATATTGAAGGGGGGCAAATGTTGGATTACATTGTTGCTCACGGATCTTTGAAAGAGAAGCACGCTAGGAAGTTTGCTCGAGGTATAGCTTCTGCATTGGACTATTGCCATAGAAACAATGTGGTGCACAGAGATCTCAAGATTGAAAACATCATGATCAATGAAAAAGGAGATGTCAAAATTATCGATTTCGGATTGTCAAACTTGTACTCTCCAAAGAGTTTATTAAAGACTTATTGCGGCTCGCTTTATTTCGCGGCACCTGAGCTACTTAGTGCGAAGCCGTATATTGGTCCAGAGGTTGACATTTGGTCTTTTGGAGTGGTGCTTTACGTGTTGGTTTGTGGGAAAGTGCCTTTTGATGACCAATCGGTTTCTGTATTGCACGAAAAGATTAAAAAAGGTAGTGTTGAGTATCCAAACTTTCTCTCCAAAGAGTGCATTAATTTATTGTCGAGAATGTTGGTTGTTGATCCTAATCGAAGGGCATCTCTTTACGAAATTTGCTCGCACCCGTGGATGAACAAAGGTTATGATCATAAGGTTTCAAATTATCTTCCGCGGAGAGAACCCTTGCGTTTGCCATTGGACCCGGATGTTATTAAACAAATCGCAGCTTTTGATTTGGGGTCAGCACAGTCAGTAGCTGAAGAGCTAACTACATTGCTCACAAGTGTCGAGTATCAAATGAGTAGTGAAAACTGGTATAATATCACCAGACAAGGCAAGGAATACGCATCGGCTCTGAATTCCAATATTCTTCCCGATCCTACTGGTGGGTTTCATCCATTGATATCGATTTACTATTTGGTGCTTGAAATGAGAAAAAGGAAAAGGGCCAAGGAAGAGGCTATTAAGGCACAACTTGCGCAACAAGAGCAACAAAAGCATTACCAACAGCAAAAGCTATTGCAACAGCAACAGCAGGCTTATGCATCCTTGCCCACACCAAAGGAGGATTTCAGATCTCAACCTGTCAAGGCTGGTGATACACAAGCAGAAGCTAAACCTTCTCAATACACTCACGAAATTGCTACACAAGTTCCTATAGTTGGACAGTACAACCCATCTCAGGAAGCACCCAAAACACCACAACCTAGAATAGTTGAAACTTTTGCTGGTTCGCCTTCAAAAACATTGGACCCAAAGCGCGACCAATCACCAAAGCCTGCGCCACCATCAGCGACGCAAACACCTGTCATTTCGATTCCAGAACAAGCTCACACTTCAGCTGTTCCTTCCACTTTTGAAAATCCACCCATTGTATCTGTTACTGGAAATGATCAAATTGCGATTCCCGAGCAGCAACCAAAAAGTCCTCGAAGTACAACTCCAATTGATTCGTTGGACCCAACGAGGGGTGCTGGTGCAGGCGCCGGTGGAGCTGGCATCAACAACTTGTTTCGAAAACTTTCCAGCAAGAAATCAAAAGGAACTGCATCACCAAAGATTGTTTCACCACCAGGACATGACACGGGTTCCACAAGAGGTGGTCTGCCTCAGTCTTCACAAAGCACTTTGGATCCTTTGGTTCGCCGTGGTGTAAGTATGAAGGTGACGGCGAAAGAAAAGGAGTCTGGAGTAAAAACATCTCCTACAAGGCCAGAAAGAAAGGAAAGAAAACAGGATACCGCTACGCATGCGCACTCTGCATCGACCTCGACACCCAGCAGACCGCATGGGTTCATACCCGTGGAGTACTTACCACCATTGCCTAATTATGATCCCAGCACCAATACTGTTACTCAGAACACGTCAACCAAGCAGCAGACGCTTGCTGTCCCATCGCGCAAATTACATCCTACTGCACGAGCTAAATCAGTCGGTGGCCAAATTAGAAAAGATGCTTATGGCCGTGGTAGAAGTAATACGGCTACTCACAATACTGCCAATGTGGAGCTTGCTCATTCAACCAGTCCACACCACACTGAATTGTCATTTGACGAGAGTGCTACCGGTGCCTTATTTGATGATGTTGCATTGGACGATATGGAAGTACAGGAGGTGCCTCAACTTACGGAAGATGAGATTATCAAACAATACGATGAAGCCAAGCCAGGGTCTATGCCTTCGATTGAGCATTGCAAGACTTTGTTCTTGAAAGGGTTCTTTAGTGTCCAAACCACGTCTACTAAACCATTACCGGTTATACGGTACAATATTATTAGCGTATTGAGCCGATTGGGGGTTCGATTTCAAGAGGTGAAGGGCGGATTCATTTGTGTGCATACGCCATCGGTACAACAGCAAGCGCAGCCTCAACTACCAGCAACCTCATTACAGCATGAGGATGATGCCGAGGATCAGATATTAGATGCATATGTCAACGACGACGACGAGAATGAAGAAGAGAATGAATTGTATGGAGATGCGTTTAGACTGAAGTCATCAACGTTGAAATCGTCGTCATTTGATGATCCAAAGGTGGAGGTTATATCTGAAGGAGCAAGAACTCCAAGTCGTCAATGCTCGGTTAATTTGCGATCGGGAGGAACATTATCCCCATCGACATCCCAATCAAAACCACAAAGGTCATTAACTGTCAGTGGTGGTGGGGCTCAAGGACATCGTCGAAAAGTTTCCATCGGCAACGCATTCCTCAATACATATAGAAAGAAGAACAATTCGCAAGTGCAAATGCCACCAAACACCCCAGCTACTGCACGCACCATTCGTGGCATGTATGGAGGTCACGATGGAGACGACGACTTTGACGATAAAGAGGATGGAAGTGGCGGTAATGGATCCAATCGTACTGAAGTTGATTTTGCCAATGATACGCTTGACCTTGACAATTCAGCGGATTCATTGAGTGGGTACGCCGGCGGCAGCGATATGTTGATTTCGTCCAAGATTGAGCATCGCGCTAGTCATCAACGCACAACTAGTAGCATTAGTAATTCGAGCCAGCACCAGCATCAACAACACCAGCATCGTCGAAGCGTTGGTGGTGGTGGTGGTGGTGCCGGTGGAGTGGGTGCTGGTTCGGGTCCAAGTGGGTCCAAGTCTCCATTAAAATTTGAGATTCATATTGTCAAGGTTCCGTTGGTTGGATTGTACGGTGTCCAATTCAAGAAGTTGTTGGGTAATACTTGGAATTATAAAACTTTGGCTGGTCAGATCTTGAATGAGATGAATTTGTAAGTGGTTAGGAGGGAAGAGATTTTTTTTCGGGGATAGAGTGTAGGAGGCTGTGTGTATTTGGCTATACGGTAAATGCGAGCTTTATTTTTATTTATAATTGAGTTCAAAAGGGTACTAAGTATTGGTTTCCTTGACGAAGCGTAAACAGAGTACTCAGTAGGTGACGAGTATGAAGATTGATTATACGCAAATTATACATCATGGGAAAGATTTACTTACCACCGATTGTGTCTTTGCTGTCTTCTTTCGAAGCGCCTTTGACTATCCAATTTCGGGTCGGGAGTTTCACGTCCATTACTTACATCACGAAGGCGGCGTTCTCCACTAACACGCACATTGTCACCACCACCTTCACCATGCAGATTCGACAGCTGCAGTTGCAGCAGTTGTACTTGTTGTTGGCGTAGTAATTTTTCACGTTCTTGTCTAGCTTCCAAACGCGATGATCTTTTCCTCACTGCCAATAACCCTGCCAACTGCACCTCCTTCTTCCTACTAGCGATGAATTTCCGTTTTTTGATCTCATTGTTGAAAATAGAGTCAATTAATTTCGATCTGGTTAATTTGGAAATCAAAACACGAGGTGATGTCGTGAATCGATTCAGTTTTAATTTGGTCAAGTAGGTATTCAATTCAAAGATGTTTTTCGCAATCAATTCAAATTGGATTTGTGATTTAGAAACGTCAAATTTGGAAGCTGGGTAATGGTCCTGGGGGAACTCGGGTGAGTTTTTACGTTTTTTGGGGATTTCGAGGTCGGGGTAACCGATGGTGCGTTTGTATAGACGGGCATTGTCAAAGAGCAAGAGCCATTGTGAATGTGAAGCTTCTTTTGTGGTTTTGTTGGAAATGTATGTGTTTTCGGTGACAAATATTGGGTCAACACGAGAGAATTCTGGCTGGTTTGGCGCTTGGCGATCGATCCAGTCTTTGAATTTGTAGCTGGTGGCGATGTAGGATATGACAATGTACAAGACTTCGATCTTGTCTTCAATTAATAGGTAGTCAAATTGGGGTAAGATGGCATCATTGGATGATGGCGCGGTGTCTATACCAGCTACATCTTGCTCTTGCTGCTCTTGATGTTGCTGTTGTTGCTTCTCTTGCTCAGGTGCTTCCTTTTCCACATCTCCTTCTTCGATGTCATCTCCATCCTCCTTAATCTCAACAGATTCCTCAGCAACACCACCTAACGGTGTGCTTATGCCAAAATTCTGCCTCACAACTTGCTCAAAGCTCAATTCTGGGTTCTTATTCCCCATCAAAAAATGCATCAAGCTCAATTTCAACCTATTAATAAACAACATTGAAGCACCAGATGCAGGATACGGTGGTGGAGAGGAAGAGTAGCGCCCCGTCGCTCCCACATCATAATTATCATAAAGTGTAGCTGGATCAGGAAAATAATTCAACAATTCCAATTCGAAAATATCAACATCGAAAAACTCCAGTTGTAATTTCAAAAACCCCCGGAAGTTGCACAACCAATTCATGACAAAAGTGTAATTGTAACTACACCGTAATGCTTGTAGTGTTTCGGCATACGGCTGGTCGGGTAATTGGTTGGGCAAGACTAGCGGTGCGTGTTTTGAGAGTGCAGTGATTTGGTCGGGAGTGCCAATGGTTAGTGACTCGAGTGATGGTTGTGGTTGTGAGGAGGAGGAGGAGGAGGAGTGTGTTGGGTCCTGTGTTGGGGTGGGTGTCAGTTCTGAACTTGAGTCACTAATTATGCGGTTAGATGGCATATTCGAACGGTGATGGAATAGAAGTTAAGCAATGTGATGAACAAAAACGGGCAGCCGCGTATGGTTTGAAAAAAAAAAAATACTTCAAAAGTGAAAGAAGTGAAAGTGAGATAAAATTTTCTTTAATGTCGTAAAAGAAACGCGACACTCTACTAACACTTGTTACGTTTGAATCGATTTTCCACTCTTTTACAACTGTATTCCCCCATGAAAAAGGTCTAGATATTGTAATATATACATATATAGCATCCCTAATCTTTAACAAATAACTCTATCACTTGCAATAAATAAACAAAAAAAATAGATGAATAAAAAAAAAAAAGAAAAACTGAATTGAAATAAAAGGACACCCACCACACACAAACGCAGAGTCCTCCATACCAAAGCTTTTACAAAGCAACAGCACCGCCCTCCAACAACTTTCTCAAGCCATCATTCAACAGCTTGATCAAAATCATCTCATTACTAATACGCATCAACGCACCATGTTTGGATAAATTCGGCAACCCTTCTTTGTTGACTCTAGCGCGCTTCGTCTTGCGTTCAGCTTCATTCAATTCGGGTAATTTGGCAAATGCTTCCAAGTCGATGATCTGTTCAAGGCATCGTTGGTAGGCTTGTTTGCACAATTGACGACGTTTCTGTTCTGAGTGGGAATGGTTTAATCGTTTCTGGGCGAGTGAGAGGAGTGGTTTAGTGGATGAGCGTTTGCGTTTCTTGAGTTGTCTTTGAATCGAGCTGGAAGATGAGGTGGCCGTGGTGGTAGTGGTGGTGGTGCTGCTGCTCTGGTTGCTGTCGGAATCGTATTCGTCGTCATCTTCCTCTTCCTCTTCTTCGGCTGGTGAACTCTGTCTCTTTTTACTCTCATCGCCAGATGTAGGTGGTGTGATCAATTGTAAGTTTGAAGATGCTGCTGATTTAGATTCCTGTTTTGCATCAGCCTTGATATCTTTTTTGACATGTTTGGGGTTTTGTTTTTGATTTGATGCATTCTTTGGCAATGATGTGTCTGATTTTGTCTGTTCTACTTGTTTGACTTGTTTTTCAAGTGGCGGTGAAGAAAATGGTGATTTTGCAGGAACAGAAAAAGCTTCAGCCAACTCATTTCTGAGACTAAGATGGTCTTGCACATCTTGCTGTTGCTGTTGCTGCTGCTGCTGCTGCTGTTGTTGTTGTTGTTGAAACTGTGTCTGCATTGCATTTGAATGGGTTGTCATTCCTGAATTTGCTGGCAAAGAAGATGAATGGAATTGAGAATCAGTTGGATAAAAAGGTTGTGGTTGGTGTATGCGGGGCGCTTGGAGATTATGCAACTGATGGTGACTTTGCTGTTGCTGTTGCTGCCGCTGCTGTTGCTGTTGCTGTTGCTGTGGTTGTGGCACCTGTTTCTGTTGTTGCTTATACAAAGGTATACTCATTGTACGCATTTCAAAATTGAAGTCAATTCCCAAATCATTGCCATTTCTAGGCGGAGATCGATTATTGTTGTTATTTTGGTAAAATTGTAATGGATCAGCAGCTGCTTTTGGATTGGCCAAACTATCCAAAAACTTTTCAAGAGCGTTTGATTCTGTGTTTGTGAAGAAATGATCAAAATCTTCCTCTTCATTTAGACTTCCTTGCTCCTGATTTGCCAGTTGTTGTTGCTGAATTGCTTCTTCTTCCTTGTGCTGCTCCTGTTGTCCTTGTTGTTCGTGTTGTTGGGGATGGTTTTGAAGATAGTGGTGTCCTCCGTTCAATATCTGCTGTCTAGAGTCAGCAAACTCATCGTGTGGCAAATCGGAAGATATACTTGAATAGTGTTGTTGTTGTTGTTGTTGTTGCTGTTGTTGTTGCTGTTGTTGTTGGTGTGGGTGAGGTGGTGGAGTAGGCAAATTGGTAGTATACTGCGAATTCAACATTTGCACCTTGTTTAACTCTTCAAATGAACCAATAGCTGACTTCTGTTGCAATGTGTTGTACATAGAATAAGCCTGTTCAAAATCCATATCAGTTGAAAAGATATCCAAGAAGTTTTCAAATCCATTGTTGTTGAGGCCAGATGCATCGGAATCTAGTAGATGAAGCTGTTGCTGATGTTGCTGATGTTGCTGATGTTGCTGATGTGGTTGTGGTTGTTGCGCAGACATCATCATCATCATCAGTAAGCCCAGTGGTGTACTGATGCTGTTGTTGTTGTGGTGGTGGTGGCTGTTATCTGCTTGCATTGACGAGTGATTCATTATATGGGAAAGTTGCGTTACGGATCACACAATATTTAGTGTGAAGTGAAATTTATTGCGTGTGCGTGTGTGTGTGTGTAAGATTGCGTGATATATCACAGGAAGTTCTAGATAAAGCGATTGGTGCTGGGATAGCAGGGTATGAGTATGGTGTATGAGTATGGTGTATGAGTATGGTGTATGAGTATAGGGTATTAGTATAGTGTATATGTATGAAATATCTTGTGAATATATTATTAATGATGGGGTTAAATAGTAGATATATATAAAATTGGTGTTAAAGTGTGTGTGTGTGCTTAACTTAAACGCAATGTGAGTGAGAGAGTGATTTGTTTAGTAGTAATATTATATTTACATATACATTATATATTACTACTAGCCTATATACAGGTTAACTCCGTCTAAACATTACATCACTAATACAATAGGATTACAATGTTTGTGTAAAATCCCCCAATACAGCAAAAGAAGAAGACTGATAATAGCAATGACAAATAATAATAACAACAAGCAATAGGGGTAGTGTAGAAGTGTACAAAAGCGTACATATATATATATACACACACTATACTTTAAGTTATTGTGCATTAACTCCTACAAACCTTTTAAGTTCTTTAGTCTTCAACATCCTTTATATGCGCCACCCCCTCTCTCCTCTCTCTCTCTCCCCTTTCAGTTTACAACGGAGTTTTATTATTATTATGAGTATTTCTTTTTTTTTTTCTTTTTTTTCTTTTATTTTTTTTTGGTTCTTTTTGGTTTTTGCGGAGAAGTTGAAATCTACGCCTGTAGAACCCTCTAATACGTGTTTGCGTGCAATGCTCACTGTGAGTAAAAAGTTATAGACAAATTAATGTACTTGTGCAATCGAAGCGAAAAGAATTGAAAGAAAAAGTATTTTTACAAAATAAGTAATAACGATGGGAAAAAGAATTCTTTCTATTCTTCTTTTAGTGTTTCTTTTTTTTTGTTTGTTTTTTTTTCGGCAAATGAACCCGTGTTATTGGACCAGAAAGACTTCCCTCATATCCACAATGCTTAAAGTACTGTTGGGCCCAGGAACTCTAAACACCATCTCTTCACTAACTTCCCAGACTTCCGACCCCTACATGCTTCTCTTGTGTGTTGTAGATCCCTGTATGCGTACACAATTTTATGTTGTCTCCGCCTCAAGTATTACACCTTCGTGTTTTTTTTTTCCTCACTCCCCCGCGACTCGAAATGCAATTCGCTTATGTGTATGATGTTACACACACAGACTATGTGTAGAAACAAAATTTAAAGCAAATAAGATTGTCATCAATTTCTCTTGGGTGACCACAATGACGTATTATTATCCACTTAATAAGGTTGTTAGAGGCATAAAATAAAACGTTTACTAAAGATATACATTTATATAGTTAGATAGATAGATAGATAAATATATTGGATGTTATTGTAATGTTTACCAAGAAATTTTCATATTTCTTGTTTCTTTTCTTCATTCTTTTGCTGCCAAGTTATTCTTCCACCAGTTTGGATATCAGTCAGGTACACACACACACACACACACACACACACACACACACACACACACACACACATGTCTTTCTTGAGGTTTCTTCTATGTATTCTTTTATATATTTATATATATATATATGTATTTTGAGGTAGGGCTACTAACTTCAATGCCTTTAGAGAAAAGTGGGGTTTCGTTATTACAGTACACTAAAGTTTATTTATATTTTTAATGATGAGAATGTAGGGAGTGTGGCTCATAACCAGCAACAAAGAAGTCTACCACTATAGCCAATACGAAATATATTGATTTTTAGACAAGTGTTTGTAAAATAATAAATAAATAAATTTAAAAAAAAAAAAAAAACAAGTAAGGGAAATCTTATAAAAACCTTAAAAATGACAATTACTTCTTCAATTGGAAATTGTCTTCTTCTCGCCATCACTGTTGTTTATGATATATCTATACATCTTTCCATAACAAATTTTGAAATGGGGAACGCTTTAAACATTGGCTAACTTGCTTTACCCGTTTGACAATTAAATTTGAAAACAGTCGTATTTAGTCGTTTTCAGTCGTTTTCAGTCGTTTTGTTTTCTACCGTAGTACAAACCACATCACAACTTTGGCTTTTGTTAGAGTTGAAACTTGGGTCTATGGCCCCCTCTTTAAGCCAGCTTTGCTTGGACAAGAGTGCACAAATTTGCTTTTGTGAGAGAGAGGGAGAGGGAGAGGGAGATACAGATCGGTTCTTATTTTGATGCATTGTTGAGCGGTAAACGGGTTGTGACTTGGCCTTGTTCTATTGTTTTTACTATTGCGTACTCTCTGCTTTGCATAAACTCCGGCTAAAGTTTGTGTCTGTTCTCATTTAGTTTTTTTCAATATCGTGAAAGGACTTTTTGCGACACTGACACAGCTTGAATAACGGTCGCGTATTCAAAACACGTTAACTATATCAATGCGATCCTGAAAAAAAAAGAATAATAACAATCACTATGAACTCCATTGCTAAACGCCAACTCCCGATGCCACTTAAGTCACTACTAGCTAATCATCTACCAGCAAATGAACTATTCAAATACATATATATCCAATCCAAACCAACCTACATCAAATCCCCAATAAATTTTCCCAAACATGCACACCACAAGAATCAACATCCAGATACTATCAAAATACGACATTTCTTTACATTGATTGATGGAGATGTCATTGTTTTGGGAATTGAGGTGTTTGTGTACTTATTAGTATATGAGGAGAAAGATACTGTTGATCAATATGTATTTGTTTCCAAGTGTGATACCACGGGGTTAAAGAAATTGGAGGGGTATCGTGTAGGTGATGTTGTGGAGCTGGTGTTGCTGTATATTGTGAATTATGATGTTGGGCGATACAAAGTGAAGTTGAGACGGCGGAAACAAGAGCAGGAGCAGCAGCAAGAAGAGGGCTCGTCAATGGGTGAACATGGAGGACTAAATGGCAGGCAACAAGAAAACGGAAGTGCTTCATTCATCAATGAAACTACTGCAAGGATTCATAAATTACAAACCAAACTATTAGCAGATCCCACCTACCTCAATACCCTTCCATACTATGGCATCCACAACCACAAGAATACTCACCATTTCATCAAGCCTACTAAATCCGAACAATTACGTACCCTCCCACGCAGAATCAACACACATATCTGTCTATTCACCAAAACGGCACCACAGTACATGTTTCCCAACTCTTCAGGCAACAAATACAAGCATTTGGGTAATGGACAAGTATTGCTCAGTTGGTGGTTAAAGATTATAGAATCGGTGTGCGTGGGAAACGATAGTGGGACTTGGCAAATCAAGAGATTACTCATTCCCGGGTCGGATGAATTTGCCATGCGCAAGTTTATTGCAACATTGCCAAATTGGTCAATTGGGCATATTTTCAGCGGTGATCACAGCGACAACCAAACTAAATACATAAGCAAAAGTATCACTCACAATAGCGAAGCTGATGGAACTGTAGCCAATGAAGAAAAGAGTGAAAGAGATGCTGATGCTAGCAAAGTGCTGAAGTTGGCGGTATACAATATTCCTCTATTCCCTGACGACCCCAAGGGTCGATTTTTGGAGCATTTGATTGTGGAGAATCGATACTCCAATGTGTCCGTTGATCGATTCTATCAAGAGTTGGGGTTCAGACAAGAGTTTAGATTGGGTGATTGTGTGGGGTTGATTGGATGTACCCGATTTGCAAGTGATGATATACTTGAGGATGGGGAAAGATCCGTAGACAAAGATGATGACGTGGTTGTCGTTTCGATTCATGAGTATAAACTGTTTATCAATAATATCATCAAACTGATCAATTTTGATAAATTGGTTGACGTTGAGTACTTGACCCAAGTCCAAATCCCCACTTTTTTTAAAGAGAGGTTGGGTATGGATGAGTTTCAATATGGGGAAGTTGTTGGTGTGATGGAGAAGAAGACAAAGAAGGAGTTGGTGAAGGGAGGTGCCAAAGAAGGAATTGAGAAGGAAAAGAGCGGGCAAGGTTCTGCGCGCTCTGAACTAAGGGTGTCTGATGGGAGTGGAGTCAAGAGAGTGGCTAATGATCTCACTGGGTTGATCAAGAGAAAGAAGCGATAGTCAGAGAACAGAGAAGTGTTCTCGTGGGGTTGATATCGGAGTAGGTTTTTCTTGACCATATTTTTTTTCTGGTGTTGGTTTGCAACATATCAAGAAACAATTGCAAAATACAAAAAAAGAATAGAAAAAAAAACAACTGGAAATACAAGTTCTTGAAATACAAGTTGCCTTCAAGTATACAGTTTCAGCATATCTATTATTTTGTATTCCAATCATTATCCACCACAAGTTTAGTCAGTTATTGATTTTTCGTTTCAACGGAAACACCACATACCCACCACTATCAAACCATGATGAAGTTGCAATACGCCATCACGTGGGTGTTTTATTTATCGTCATCATTCAGTTATGCATCGGAGTATTCCAAAAGGTTGAGTGCCAAGATATCGTCGGTGATCTCACCCAAATTCTACAGCGGCAAAGACCACAGAGGTGTGAGTGGTGCTGGCACTGGTGGTCCCGATAGCAGAGTGTTTGATGGTTATGTTTATGGACAAACTCCCGATTTCCATGTTCAACGACAAATGCAGCAACAAGTGAGCCATGCTGAGCAAGCAAACGCAAATGCAAACGCAAATGCAAACGCACATGCCCTTCCGCCAATCCCAAACCCATTTGCTCCTAAAGCTCCCACTCCAGTGCCCGTTTCCAAACAACATGAACTCCCGCCGTCGCCCATGATCTACCCGCCGAAACTACCCTTCCCACAATGGCTAACTGACTTTACAGGATTGCACGAATGGCCCGGGTTGGATCCACCCTACATCCCGCTCGACTTTATTGATTTTAACAAGATTGTCCCTGTGCCCCTCCACCCACAGGCCAGCTGTTCTGCCATGACATTACGATCACCCTCGCTGTGTTCATTTGACTGTTTCAACTGTGTTGAAGTAGATGACGTGTACACGTGCCCCAAACTTTCGCAAACATTTGACGATGGACCTAGCCCCTATACTTTGAAATTACTTGATGCATTGAATTTGACACATACGCAAACGACGTTTTTCACATTGGGAGTCAATATCGTCCGCTTTCCTGAGGTTTACCAGTTGGCGATGCGGTCCGGACACATTATGGGGTCGCATACGTGGTCGCACAAGTTTTTACCAGGGTTGAGCAACGAGGGCATAATTGCCCAGATTGAGTGGCTGATTTGGAGCATGAATGCCACGGGACACCATTTGCCGAAATGGTTTAGGCCACCTTATGGTGGGATTGATAATCGGGTGCGGCTGATTTTGCGCCAGTTTGGCATGCAGGCGGTGTTGTGGGATTTTGATACGTTTGATTGGAAGATGCTTGATCATTCGAATATGAGGAACGAAGAGGATGTGTATAATGACGTGAGAAAGTTTAAGCAGGAGCGAATGCGGGGGAGAGGAGGCGCAGGAGCTGGTGGAGTTAGTGGTGGTGGTAATGGAGGCTCTGCTGGAGGACTAATTTTGGAGCATGATGCTATTCAACGGACTGTGGATGTGGGGATTGAGATATTGAAGAATGTGGTTGGTGGTGGCAAGGATCACCAGTTGACTGTGCCCAAGTGTGTTGGTGGGATAGATTATATAAAGTCGTTCAAGAGGGATTGAGGGGACGAGAGTTTTAACGTGATGAATGAATTAGGTTGTTAGCTCTATATCAAGCATACACATATAAATAGGGTTTGCAGTAATTGGTGACATTTCAAATGACCACAACTTGGCTAAAGCTGTAGTTTTCTGGTTTTAGTTTACATCCCATGTCTAAAAGTACTAAGAGCATATAGAAATGTGCAATGATTGAAACGATGGAGATACTGGCAGAAAAAAAAGCCCGGCATAGTTGATAATTTGCTTAGTGAACGCAAGAAGTGAGAATGAGTTAGAATTTGTATATATGTGGGTATGTGTATAATATCGAAAAATCGTGCACAAAAGGGCATACGTATATACTACTTGATCCCATTCTTGCAACTGTTTATATTTCTTTAAAAATCACCTCAACCCTCTAGTGTGCACCAACAAAGTTATCCTCCTCTTCTAATGTACAGAGACACAGCGATAACATCCTTCTTCAAATCAATCAATCAATCAATCAATCAAAAAAAAAAAAAAAAAGAAGAAGAAAATATGATGTGTGTGTATATTATGGTATATTTCTCCCTTAGTTTGCAGGAACAGGGACAGAGTTATTCTTCAACAAATCATCCTTTCTATTATTTAACTCAGCAGCAGCTCCATTCAACTTTGGCTCAATCTTGTCTCTAGTCTCCTTGATAAATGACTCGGCATTTTTTCTTCCATTTGACACAAACTCTTGAGTTTGATTCTTCAAGGGAACAATATAATCGTCATTAATCGTCTTGACGGTTTTAACTCCAGTATTGTAACTAGCAGTCAAATTTTTTTCCAAAGTGGATTTATCCTTGGAAGTAGCCTTCAATTCTTGATTGAAAGTAGATACAATGTGCAGTTGAATTTCATTTGCATTAGAGTATGCGACGCTGGTGGCATTCAACACAATCAGTTTCAAAGTGTAGTAAATCTGGAAAAGGGAATCTTCAGCTTCATTTTCGACTGGCTTCAAAAACTGATTATTGATGTGGATAATGTGTTGGTTAATAGGTTTGATAAAGTTATTGACAATCAAGCTAATGAAATAATTTGGCAACTCAATGAAAAAATAGTCGAAAATGCCCAATGCGTAAAGACTCAATCCGTCAAATAAACCAGCAACTTCGTAAATTGGCGAAATCGTCAAAATGTTAGTAATGAGAAAATTGTAAATTGGCACGACAAGTTGTTGGTGGATAACTTGAACAAGGGAAATTGATAAAACCAACTGTTCAATGTCTTTAACTAAAGGGTAGCTGTTGATGTGTTGAATAGTTTTGGAGTCAAATTGCTTAGCTTTGGTGCCACTCTTTGGCAAAGATTGCTTAATATTTTGTTTAATTTGGTTGATGTCAGACATAGTGATGGGTATAGTTTGTGTGTGTAATGTATGTGGCGCACGTGCTTAGATTATGAGGAATAAAACGAAAAAACAAAAAAACAAAAAAACTCAGGGGGGGGAAGGGGGAGGAGTGTTTTGAATTTATAGAAATATTTTTTTTTTTTCCGTTTGTGTTTGTTTGCTGTTGTTGTTGTTGTTGTTGTTGTTATTATTATTATAGATAACAAAAAAAAAACTGTGTAGATGTGTGTGTAAACAACTGTGGATTTTACTTTGTAAAGATAAGAAGACTTGACAAAGAAGGTATGTAATGTAAATTTAACAGTGACTAAGCTGTTTGATGAAGGGTTGTTGCTGCTGTTGTTGTGAGAAGGGAAGAAGTAATAAGAGAAGAAAGAAATAAAGAAAGAAGAGGTTGTGAATATTGAGGGAATTTAGTTGTGCTTTTATAGTCTTTTACAGTCTTTTACCATTGAACTCCTATTGTACATGGATATATGTGTATATTTGACTCTGTTGTTGTTATCTCTGTCTCTCCCTCTCTCTTGTGAAAAAGGATGAATTGAAAGAGTGTGTTATAGGTAACAATAACACATCACACATCACACACATCACACACAAAACACAAAACTCACATAGACTAAAGCTAAAGGGTTAAAACACAAACAATATTATTTAACACAGTATGCATCTACGTATGTATGTATGTATGTATGTATGTATGTATATGTATAAGTATATGTATTACATGGGTGTGTATGTAAAGGTATGTCAATAAAGAAAGAAGAAGAAGACGAAGCTGATGATGATGAGATGGCAAAACATATTTATATTGTCACATGCTACAAGGAGTAAGACTAATGTTACAGTTACTACGAAAGTATAGTATTATTAAATAGTATGTACTAAAGCAGTGAGTAAAGTATAATATGGTATTGATAAGATGTCATATGATGTAATCATATCAAACTACACCTCTATGTAAGTCTATATATATATATTTATGTATATACATATATATATATATATACGTTTACGTTTTTTTTTTTGGTTCACTCTACAATATGTATTTCTATAAATATTTACATTAGCATGTGATATTTTACACTGCTATCTCATTTTAATTATTGTGTCTATTGTGTAACAAAAGTGTGGCTAAGAGATGAAACCACAAATACAAACACAGACACCAAAGATAAAATAAAATAAAATAAAATAAAATAAAATAAAATAAAAAAAAAATTGCTTTTTTTCTTTGCTCTATTGTTGTATACTCACCTTAACAATCACAAAGATCAACCACAACCACTTTTGATACCCATCGATATATGCGTATTAGAGTATCGCATGGTAGTGTATGTTGTATGTTGTATGTTGTATGCTAGTTTGGTCTACAACCACATCGATGTGTCTACTATTGCTTATTCTCAATCTAAATTATGAAGAACTTGCTAAAAAAAAACTTATTTTAAGCAGGAGAGACATAATGAATATCAAGAGAAGTTTGCATCCACCCCCCTTTGCTTATGTGCTTACTTGTTTTATTATTATTTATTACGTCGGCTTTGTATGTCTTTTCTTCTTTGGTGTCTTGATAGCATAGCCTGGTGCTACCAAATACTACTAATTTCACTACTTTGCAACGTTGCCTAAGTACTGTTGTTCTGAGTCAACAAAATAACATTTTATGCAGAAATCAGGTATAAAATCTTAATATTTATAATACATGCCAAACGTTTGTTAAATGTCTCAACCAATCAAATTGCAGAGCTTTGATCAAGGCGAAAACTCTAAAACTAAAAACACAATCTATCTTTCACTTAGTACATGTTATATTTGTATATATACATATACATATATTATATACACATATCATATACACATATTAGATCAAACGTTCTAAGGATCGTCATATTTAATGTGCATGGTGGAAATGAGTCTAGATTCACATGCAATTCTTACAAAACAACGCATGTGTGCATATACTCACACAGTAGTAATGTTATAGAATCAAGCGATAGTAGTTTGCAACCTTACACACTTTCTGATTCCTCAAAGTGTTACTAAAAACAAAATTATACATTCTCGTAAATTGACCACTGTAAAATTTCATTGCAAAAAGTTTCACAATTTGCATTGGGAAGCTCATCTTTACAAATTGTATCTTTCCTATTATTTTACTGCTGGTTAAAGAATAATGATCGCCTGTAGGGCATTTGTTTTGTGGTGAACTCATCCCGAAATGGCCAAGATTGTTACGAATTGAGCTAAAATTTCCTCTTCTTTGCTTTCTTGATGAATTTTTTATCATGCATTTATGCCGAGGGAAAAAAACAAAACAAAACAAATGCAAACACCTCACAAAAGCTTCATTCACTCACTAAAAGACATGATGAATTGATCGTATTTACCAAGAGAATTGGTTTCAGATTCTTTCATGTCTTCTCTTCTTCGTACACGTGCATCGCCGTAGTTGCTATGATTGTTGCCCCTATCTTTTTCTCGACCACGTTCTTTCCAAAGAAAACAAAAATAAACAAAAAGAAAAAAAAAGAAAATCTCACCCTATTGTCCTTTCATCGGAAATAAGGCCCCACAATCTAGACTATAGATTATGGGTTATGGATTGGATTATCCAAAAGAACGTTTTTCAATTTCCACCAAAACTTTGCTAAACTTTTGGTGCCTTGCCCCTCCTAACGCCCCTCATGGTCCTCCCCCTTTGCTCGGTTTTGCTCGGTTAAAACACGTTTTGTCCCTCGTCTTCCTTAAGTGCCCCACAAGTGCCCCACTTGTTCATCTGCCGGTCCCTCTATGTCCTTTGTCTTTGTCATTACTGTCTTTTGTGTCGTTGGTTGCTTTTGTTCTCTGGGCTTTTGTGCATTTATATGCTTTGTGTATGTCTATATCACTCACCCACTATATACAGATCTTCTCTGTGTGATGTGATGGGTGGCGAGGGGACAACCTCAGGATCGAATGAATGAAATGTTATATTGTAGCTGCCCTTCTACTACCACTTTGCTTCGATTGATTGTGCATTCCTGCAGCAACGAAAATTACAAAGCATCGTCCTTTTTTATCAACAACTGCATTCAATTCTCCTACGTTCACGTTCACGATAACCCTTTCAAAGTTTGTATTCACAACTATTCAACAAATGTACACACACACACACACACACGCACGCACGCACGCACGCACACACACACACATAGTCAGCTTCTCATCCCTCCAATTATTGTTGCTTACACTCAGCTGGTGGCTGTTTTTCTTGTCCAGCTTCACCACCATCCTCATCATCATCCTCGTCTTCGTCTTCACCATCTTCATCAGAAAACTCGTCCTCTTCATCACCGTCAAACTCATCAGGGTATGCGAAATCAACAGCATCACCGGTAAACCAATCAACTGCTCTTGGAATCAACCGGTCCTTGATTTCTTCACCCAATTGGTAATCCAACTCCAATCTAGCTTCTAAATCCTCATCTTCTTCATCTTCATCCTCTTCATCGCCATTGTCTTTGTCCCGCTCCTCATCATCTTCACCTTGACCATTTGAACCTTTTTCACCGTGGCCAACTTTTGGTGGTTTTGGTGGATCAAAGAAATTGAAAAATGATTCAGTTGGAGTAATCTTCTCAATAGTTCTAGTTTGCTTAGTGGTTTTATTTCTTTGTTTCCTTCTTTCAATATTGATAGTTGGGTTCTTCTCTTTCGACTTCCAATTGATTTCACACCCGGTTGCATGATCGTAAACGAAATCACCACTGTATCCCAACTCAGCTTGGTAATGATAAGTCTTGGTCAAGGTTGAATTGGACAAGTATTCATTCTCGCCAAACTCGAAAATCAATTCAAACCCCGGTGTCGACAAGTATTGCATACGAATATCAATCAAATGCTCCAATATTTCTGAATCCCTATCGGTAATGGTTTCCGATACTGTGGATAAGTTCTCCAATGCAGTCAACCAGAATCCAGGGATACCCTTGGCATCTTTACCAACTGTCCCTTCAGCATCCTCTTGCTCCTCATCATCATCATCTTGTTCCTCCTCGTCCTCATCCTTCTCTTCAAGTGCTTTTCCTTCTTCAATCTCCTGCTCACTGGGCTCAACATCCCCCACAATAACCTGCTTCCTCTTCGCATAAAGCGGTTCATACTTCTTGAAATACCTCTTCTCCAACTCCAACAACTCCCTCTGAAACTCAGCCTCTAGCTTCATCTGCTGCTGTTGTATCGACTTCAACCCATAAACACGATCCTTAACCGCTGGTGGCAAGTTAGCCACATATCCGCTGCTCTTACCCACCAAATCACCCAATTTGCCCTGGATCATGGACAACAAAACGGGATTGTTGGCTAATGTTTGATTGATTTTGTTCTCGTTGCCTTCTTCAATGGTGGGCACCGTGGGTGGTTGCGACTTCAAGTAGGAGCTTGTGACGCTCGCTGGGGTATTCTGTGGGGTGGGGGCTTTGGAAATGTCTCCGTTCTTTTTCTTGATTGGTTCGGACATGATGGAATAGGTGTGATTTATGTTGGTGGTTTATTTGAAAGGAGAGATTTGGATAGAAGGAATGGAAACTTGAAGTTTTTTTTTTTTGTTTTCTGTCTGTCTGGCCTCTCTTTCTTCGATTTTTTTTTTTTTTTTCTTCTTCTTCTGTGGTGAATTTCTTTTTTTATGCGAGATGTTGTTGTCCGAAGAGAATTAAAGTACGACACGTGCAACAAACCACACGCGAAGAACAGTTCCACTTTCATTTCGCTTTCATTTCCAATCATTTTCTACTACAAAAGCTACATACTTCTTTCTCTATCTATCTAGGCACCCCCGACTTTGATCTTTTCCTCCGAAAAATCAATTGAACTCTCCATTCCAATATCATTGAACTTCCCATCCAAATAATCATTGATTTCATCTTTCCTCTTTTCCCATTTCGTCACTTGACTAAGTTTTTCTTCAATTTCAGTAATTTCATTATCTATAGTCTTTAAATTCTCCTCACTAGTCAAGTCATGTAGTTTCCAAGTACCCTCCTCTTCAATTTCCAAAATATAATCATGATACTTCATCAACAATGGTCTATGAGACAACGTAATGAATGGAATCTTTTTCAGCTTCAAAAGTTCAAAAAGATAATCTTCAACATCGGTACTGACGGCATTGGTACTTTCGTCAAGAACCACCAACTTGGGGTTCTTGAACAACACACGAGCAATACTAACACGTTGTTTCTCACCACCACTGAAAACATCCTTCCAATCCTTAACAACATTGAAACTACCCTCTCTCTTCAAAAGGTACTCCAACTTCACTTCACGAAGAATATGGTACAAGTAATCATCGTTGTAACCCATTTCCAACATCTCAACATACGAGTGTGGGTATATGATCTGGTCTCGTAAATTACCAGTTGTGAAATACGTCTTTTGTGGGAGGTAAAAAATATCGTCATCATTGGGTTTCGATAAAAGACCACTGTATAATGGCCACAACCCAGCAATAATTCTCGCGATTGAAGTCTTCCCCGATCCATTCAGTCCTAAAATTAACATATTCCTCAGCTTAATGTGGAAATTCAAATCTTCAACCAAGGGAACGTATTCGGAACCTTCTGGAGTAGGGATGATTACTGGAATATGTTCAAATCTCAACCCATTGGGGTAATTGTTTTGAATAGTGCCATGAATATCAGCAATTCCTCGTTTATCACCATAATCAAATCGAGGCGAATGCACACGATGCAACTGCGTCAACAAGTCAAAGACTCGGTCAGTATACCCAGTCAATGTGTTGACGTCTTTGATGGAATACATCAATCTCGAACCAGCATCCGCAAGAGACAACAATAATCTCTTGTTGGTGATAAACTGCCTCATATTCTTACGTTCGCTCGCAGCACTTGCAGCAGCATCCAGCGACACATCTTTCTTCTTGTCTTCTGCAGGCCACAATTCGTCCAAAAATACCGGCAATCCAGCAAAAATGTACCCCCATGCCGACCAAGTATATTTCAAAACGTAATCTTCCAACGTTGCATACCAAAAACTTGTATTGATCTCCTTTTTGACATGATTCATCAACTTGTTGAAATTTTCACGAAGCTTGGCCTTTTCAATGAGTGAACCTTTGTAAAACCCAATTTCCTCGCAATTGGTCATGAAATTTAAATGCTGATTGAAATACACCCCTTCGAGGTGGGCTCCCTGTGCCGATAATTTACCGAATGATGGCGTGGCCTTCTTCAACATGACCGCCGTGAGAAAATAGTTGGCAAATATTCCAAGTATAGCACCGCTTCCCAAATTATCTCTCAAGTACACCGCGAAAAAAATCATATCAATAAATGGCTTACCCATTGATGAGAACAACGACGATAACGAAGAGCAAAACTTGGTCACATCATCAGTGATGTATTGGTCAATGTTTTGTAAAGCTGACGCACCCAAGTCAATCTTGTAATACGCCATTGTTTGGTCGAGATACATGTCATGGATATACCTCGTCAAATTAGTCCTGAAACCTAGAGCTAGTCTCTGGTCCAAGTACTTGATAGCAGCATTGGTATATGAAGCCGGAAACGCAATCAACAACCAGTAGATCAAGTCACGCGAAAACTTTTTCCCATTTGCCGCAATCAAGTTTTTCACAATTTGACCATCTAACTTGGCAACTAGCAACGATAACCATGTTCGAAATATTAGAAAGAAACATTGTGATAGCAACAACGACGTGTTTTTGCAGTAGAATTTAGGAATCAATATTCTCCAAATGATAGCCAACTGATTAAGAAACTTGGAGTTGAACAAGACTCCCTTCTTTTGCAGCAAGAGACGTTGATTGATCACAAAGTCCTTGTACAAGTACTTATCAGCAGCATACAAGTCGTTATTAGGCTTGGGTATGATGATGCGTTTGATTGAGTCCTTGCCGCTAGGTATAAACACCTCTCTCGTTCCATTCTTGAGCATATTTGACGACTGGCGAATAAGACTGGGCCGTCTCAATTTTTTGGCCAACACGTACTCATTGTACTTGCTAACTGCTCCACGTATCGAGAAGTACAAACCAAACCCAGCGGTGGCTATTAGTGTGGTGAAGAACAAAACCACGGGCCGTGATTGGTAGTTCAATGTAACCTTGTTGTGCTTGTAAGTAACGACAAACTCGTGCAACAACAAAAGGATGTTTTTGATATCCTGCTTGTTGTAGCCGGCTAGTTTTGAGATGGTCACCATGATTTGGTCATGCGGTGTTAATGGAGCCTCTCTCTCTCTCTGTGTGTGTGTGTGTGTGTGTGTGTGTGTGCGTGTAAAATAGATGAGCTCTGAGTTGTGATGGAACTGAAGGGGCGGGGGGATATCATTGATACAACGATTTTTTTTTTTCCCTCCCTCTGTTTCAATTTCTTGTGACAGCAAAAAAAAAAAAAAATTGCGGAGTGAAGACACATGGCTACACGTGACAGGCAAAGAATATACATTGTTGAGGAGTTTTCACATTGTGGAAGAGTTTATACATTGCTATACAGAACAACGCTGAGCATGAGGCGGGGAATACATATTGCCCCTTGTCAAACGCTCTCTCTCCAACGAGACGTGTAATCGCAACAGCCTCGTCGGTAGCCAGACTTGTGTCAGATGATGCTCTTTTCACACTATTTGCAGAACCTACCAGTGGTAGCTTTATATAGCACGACAAAGAACAGGGAATGCTGTAAAAGACACCCACGATGCAGAAACGGTATACAGTGAGGGGCTCCATTCCTGACGAGCTCAAATTCCTGGCGCGCATTCCAATAGTGAACCACATGTAGCTACTGCTTTGCCATCTTTTCGGTGACGCAGGCTTTGAACCTTTGAAATTCTTGCTCACAATCACCCTTTTTTATAGTTTGATATTTCAAAAGCACACAGTTCCCGTATTCAGCACCGTGTTTTGCGCAGCCTCCAGCAGCATTCATCAATCGCTTTGCGGGTCTGATTTTGGTAGCATTGCTCATAGTGAAGATGTCGTTGCAAGATGAAGAAGTATTTGGAATATTTCTGGTTCTCTTATTTTATTTTAATTTATTTTATTTTACTTTATTTTTTTCTCTTTTTTTTTCTTCTGCGTGTCGCATGTATAAACTGATCCACACTGTCGCAAGATAAAGAAAGATGCAGTACTGTACACTATCGGCACCAGATCTACTGTAGCTTAGGTTTTTGCACAGATTCTATCGTTATGTAGCGTTTCACAAATGTCTACTGAGTGCCAAAATTGCCTGCGCTTCTGCAAGTCTTTTAAAGATAAAGTTTAGTTTTCTTATCAGAGCGAATGACTAATCCCCATATCCGAAATTATAGAACTCAATAATCCACAATTTTATTGTACTGTTCTTCGTCTCTTGTAAGCGCAGTCAACAAAGGGAAAGAAGAAAAAAAAAAAAAAAAAAAAAAATTTCTACCGCGGAAAAATGTGACCCACCTTTCCCTCTTTTACTACCTTTAAGATCTAGAATAATCTGTACCTTACAAGGGGAGCAGGGGAAGTTTTCTCAAACGTTTAATTTACCATTTACGAAGTGTAAAAATACTCGAACATAACCACAGACTGCATAATTATTTCCCAGGCAGAGTCTCACCCCCACGCATCAGTCCCTTGACACTAATTCATAATGGACCCCACAAACGACCCTAATTTCACACCTCCGTCCAGAAACAAAAACATTGAACCCACTGCACCACTGCATGCTATACCGCAGAATGTCCCAATCCAGCCTTTTGTGATGGAAGATTTAGGAGAAGCGTTGGATGATCCAGCGCCACACCCAGCCTCTTCCTCAGCAAAGCCTTCAGTGATCCGAGGCAAATCATACGAGAGCAGTGGAGAATCTGAGTCCCGGTATCACTCCAAGATTCCTCGTAAGCATACTGAGTTAACAAACTCATCATCAGATGAGGAAGAGGAGATAATTATTGATGTTTCCGAACCACAAGAAGAAAAGACTAGAAAGGAGATTCTCCCACCTTCTATCCAGGTACGTTCGTCGCAAATTGCTGATTTGGAAGAGGTGCCTCATGGGATACAGCGGCAGGCAACTGAATTATCAGAGTACAACTTTCCAACTCATAGATTGGCTACTACATTGACCGACGAATCAAAATCGCCATTGGTTATTGTTGCTTGTGGAAGTTACTCGCCCATAACTTATTTGCATTTGAGAATGTTTGAAATGGCATTGGATGCGGTAATTGAACAAACGCGATTTGAGGTTATTGGTGGATACTACAGTCCGGTATCTTCAAATTACAAGAAACAAGGGTTGGCCCCTGCTCATCATAGGGTTAGAATGTGTGAATTGGCGTGTGAACGTACTTCATCATGGCTTATGGTTGATGCATGGGAATCTTTACAACCAAAATACACAAGAACAGCATTGGTTTTGGATCATTTCAATGAGGAAATCAACATTAAACGAGGAGGAATCATGACAAAGTCGGGTAAGAGAAGAGGAGTCAAGATTATGTTGCTAGCAGGTGGGGATTTGATTGAGTCAATGGGAGAGCCCGATGTATGGGCAGACCAGGATTTGCATCACATTCTTGGGAAATATGGTTGTTTGATTGTGGAAAGGACAGGCTCAGATGTGAGGAGTTTCCTCTTGAGTCATGATATTATGTATGAACACAGGAAAAACATCTTGGTTATCAAGCAATTGATCTACAATGATATTTCGTCAACGAAAATACGATTGTTTATTAGAAGAGGCATGTCTGTGCAGTACTTGTTGCCCAATTCGGTCATCAGGTATATTCAACAGCACAATCTTTATGGAGATTCAGAACCTGTGAAACAAGTCATGTCAGAGCGTGCAGATTAGAGATTGTATAGTATTAACTTTAATTTGATATAAATAATTAGATATTCTGTAATAAATTATACGTCGTTCACCATTCTTGAGTTTTCAAACCATACTTGCTCTTCTTGGCACCCTTAACAGGGGTAATCAATTTGGACCCACCCTCCAAAAATGAAAAAGTGTCCCTTCTTTTCTCCTCAAAAGCTTTGATATACTCTTCCTTTTGCAATGTCAATCCAATGTCATCTAATCCATTGAGCAAACAGTGCTTCCTAAACTCTTCCACTTCGAAATGTTCAACCAAAACCTCGTCAGTTTCACCATCTCTAATTTGTTGAGTTGGCAAATCAATGGTCAACTTGTGTCCGGCTTCAATCACCGGTATAAGCTTTGACTCAATAACCTCTTGAGGTAATCTAATTGGAAGCAAAAAGTTCTTGAACGAGTTGTTGTAGAAAATGTCACCAAACGATGGAGCTATTATAGACTTGATTCCGAAGTCCTTCAATGCCCATGGCGCGTGTTCTCGAGAAGAACCACATCCAAAGTTGTCACCGGTCACCACCAAGATTTCAGCCTTTCTATATGGCTCCCGATTCAACACAAAATCAGTCTCAACGTCTTTACCGTTTTCCTTGACAAACCTTGCTTCATAAAACAAACCATCCTTCAAACCAGTTCTTTTGATTGTTTTTAAAAACTGTTTTGGAATAATGGCATCGGTGTCGACATTAGCCTTGAATAACGGAGCTGCAATACCAGTCAACACGGTGAATTTGTCCAAACCACTAGCAACATCAGGTGATGGCTTCGATTTCTTTGGTGATGGTTGTGGTATATCCTTAAGTCTGTCATCTTCAACAGCTTGTGACACATCCATTGGCACTTTTTCGTGCTCGTAAACTGCATCTTGCAACTCTTGGTCTTCTTCACCCAGCTCAATTGCCACCTCGGGTTCATCGGTGTGATTGTGCTCAAACTCCCTGATGTCGGTAAAATGTCCCTTGATAGCAGCAGCGGCAGCCATTGCTGGCGACATCAAATGTGTTCTTGACCTTGCTCCCTGACGACCTTCAAAGTTTCTGTTTGATGTCGAAGCACATCTCTCTTCAGGGCTCAAAATATCAGGATTCATTCCCAAACACATTGAACAACCAGCTTCTCTCCAAGTGAAGCCAGCAGCCTCAAAAATCTTATCGAGTCCTTCCTTCTCAGCTTGTCTCTTGATTAAACCAGAACCAGGCACTACCAAAACTTCCTTGACGTTATCGGCTTTCTTGTGTCCTTTTGCTACTTTTGCAGCAGCTCTCAAATCCTCAATTCTTGAGTTTGTACATGAGCCAATGAATGCTTTGTCAATTTTGATGTCTTTTAATGGAGTATTTGGAGTCAATCCTTGATACTTTAATGCCCTAAGCATACCCTCCTTCTTGATTGGATCGCTCACTTCGGCTGGATCAGGAACCTTGGCAGTAATTGGCAAAGCATCTTGTGGAGAATTACCCCAAGTTATAGTTGGGACAATATCCTTCGCAGCAATCTTGATATCGTAATCAAATTTTGCACCAGGGTCTGAGTGTAATGTCTTCCAGTATTTGACAGCTTTGTCCCATTCTGCTCCCTTTGGTGCCAATGGTCTTCCTTTGATATACTTGAATGTAGTTTCGTCTGGCTTGATCATACCGGCCCTGGCACCAGCTTCGATTGACATATTACATATCGACATTCTAGCTTCCATAGACAAATCTTCAATAGCTTTACCAGCAAACTCAATAACACATCCAGTACCACCAGCAGTACCAATAACTCCAATAACATGCAAGATCAAATCTTTGGAAGTGATTCCTTCACTCAAGGATCCATCAACAAAAATTCTCATGTTTTTTGATTTGGTTTGAATGATTGTTTGTGTTGCAAGAACATGCTCAACTTCTGAAGTACCGATACCAAATGCCAAAGCACCAAACGCACCGTGTGTGGAAGTGTGTGAATCACCACAAACAACAGTGGTACCAGGTAAAGTGAATCCTTGCTCTGGACCAACAATGTGAACAATACCCTGTCTGCTATCACTCATACCGAAATAAGCTACATCAAAATCCTTGACATTTTGTTCCAAGGTCTTGACTTGCAACTTGGAATCACTCTGTTTAATAAATGAATCAACGTCTTTGAAGTTGTTTCTAGGAGTGGTAGGGATATTGTGATCAACAGTAGCCAATGTACAGTCAGTTCTTCTAACCGATCTATGTGCATTCCTCAATCCTTCAAAGGCTTGCGGGGATGTAACCTCATGTACCAAGTGTCTGTCAATGTACAATAAACACGAATCGGAGTCGTCTTTGTAAACAATGTGGTCTTCAAATATCTTGTCGTATAATGTCTTTGGGGCCATGATTAGTTTCGTTAGTATTCGTTGCAAATGTGCATTCAAAAACAGAAGAGTATGGACCGATTCGCTGGGTATATATAGCATTTTCTTTTCTTTTTTTTTTTTTTTTTTCAAAACAAATGCGTCATGAGAATGTGCGGGCCGGAGAAGGAGCGGTTTCGGAGTGATTTCTTTTTGTTTTGTTATTTTCTTAAACCAATTAGATTCTTAGTAATCATAAGCGTTTCGTGGGGAAAATAACAGAAGCCCTACTAAAACCGAAAGGAGATGATAAAAAGAATATGTTGTTAAGCCCTTAAAAACCGATTTATTCTCTGTAAACATGCCTCAGGTCTGCAAAGAGGGGACGTAATTACGATTGATTGAATCTAAACTCCTAGCTTCTAAGTGTGTTTTTGGTATTTTTGTTGAATTTTGTTGCTAAATTTAGCAAATTTGTAAATGAAGGAAATACTTACAGAGGGGGACAAACTTCTCAGTAATAGAAGGTTAAGTCAGTATTATCAAACATTAGTAAAAACGATGTTTGGGAGCGTAATGCCGCTTACAATTCCATAGCTTGACAAAATTAAGCATTAATGAAAAGTGAACTAACGATTCTTCATTTGTTTTTCTGGAATTCTCGATAGGTATTGACTCTAAGACAGTGTAGTAACTATGGTTCTCCTAATGCAGGGGGTAATTATTGCTCCTCCCCCAGTTGTCTTTCGTGGGCTTATCTAGATTTAAGCGGGGTCTTGGAGATTGAGCACAACAATAAACCTTCACAGGCGAGATCTCGGAGATAAAGAATAAGGTTTTCTCTTCAATCTTTACAACCACGCCCCACGCAAGACAACGCCTTTTACAAATGACTGAGTATAAAACCAGAGCCAATTTTCAACTCTTGCGGGATTGATCATGTTCTTTGCAAACCCGGACTACAATGAGTTATTCCCCACAAAAGAGACAAAAAATACGCAGTTATCACAGGCGCATCTTCAGGTATTGGGTATGAACTTGTCAAAGTCTTCAGCAGAGCAGGATACAAGGTTATCGGAGCTTCCCCACAATCTGTGTTGCATTTGCAAGATCCACTCGTTGCCGAGCATGGACTCATTTCAGTCCCTTGCGACATTGCCAACCTTGATGATTTGAAAAAGTTGAAGGACGTTGTATTTAAGGAGACTGGTGGATATGTTGACATCTTGTACAACAACGCTGGTATTGCGATTGGTGGACCGGCGGCGGAGATGGACGAAAGCAAGGTCAACAAGATCTTCCAAGTGAATGTGATTGGTCATATCAACGCCACAAAACAGCTTGCTCCATATGTGGTCAATGCCAAAGGATCGATCGTTTTTACAAGTTCAGTTGCAGCAAGAGTGCCACTTGCGTGGACTAGCATATACAGTGCCACCAAGGCTGCGATTGATTCATACGCACAAACATTGCACGGTGAGATGGAGCCTTTTGGAGTCAAGGTGCATAGTGTTATCACGGGAGGTGTGGATACAGAAATAGGTGCAAAAGCGGACGTTGATGAGGAGAAGGAACTCGAGCACTCTTTGTATAATGTTGAAGGTGCACGTGAGAGTGCATTAGCTTCAAAGGACATGACTAAGGTTGGGGTAAGTGCTGAACTGTACGCCAAAGACGTTGGTCGCAAAGTGTTGAAAAAGCTGTCCAAATTCAACTTGTACGGAGGAGCAAAGGGTTACACGTTACATTTTATTGGAAGATATTATCCCTTGTGGTTGGTGGAATTTATTATGCAATGGTTCTTCAAACAGCTTAAGCCATTTAGAAATATCAGGAAATTGAGGAAGTAGAGTAGATTTCTTAGGGAATTGAGATAATAAATAAGCTTTTACGTACATGGAGATGTGTAACAAGTATGTGATTGGAGCAAGAACATTACAATTCCCAATTTTAAGTTGCAACAGGGTTAGATGTGAACAAGACACCACCACGAGAGGACACGATGCCGTTGTAGTCGCCTTGCATTTCGTTCAATAGCTGTGAGATGTAGAAAACACTATGTACTTGGTGAAGAACTCCGCGTATTTTTCCATGCAATTAACTCCGTCCCATCTATATCCGCTGACACCGAATTGGTACGCCTTTGATTCCATTAAACCCGCCCCCCGCCCCCCTCACTTCTACCACCACTCTTTAACGTACCAGGATATATAAAATACTGCAATAATCTATCTTATTTTTTGATGAATGAAATATGAGCCTATCATATTTTGCGTGTATCAAGAGAGACCGTCATTAACCTCGAGCTCATGAGTGAATCAAAATTACACAGACCAAGTCAAAAGTACGCTTTGATTACTGGGGCTTCATCAGGTATTGGGTATGAGCTTGCTAGAGAATTTTCCAGAAAAGGTTTTAAAGTTATCGGAGCTTCCCCACAATCTGTGTTGCATTTGCAAGATCCACTCGTTGCCGAGCATGGACTCATTTCAGTCCCTTGCGACATTACCAACCTTGATGATTTGAAAAAGTTGAAGGACGTTGTACTTAAGGAGACTGGTGGATATGTTGACATCTTGTACAACAATGCAGGAATTGCTGTCAATGGCCCTGCAATCGAAATGGATGAGAGAAAAGTTGAAAAGATATATCAGGTGAACGTTACTGGACACATCAGTGTCACCAAACATCTTGCTCCATATGTAATCAACGCCAAAGGATCGATTGTTTTTACCAGCTCAGTTGCAGCAAGAGTGCCGCTCGCGTGGTCAAGCATATATTGCTCTACGAAAGCCGCTATTGATACGTATGCGCAAACACTACACGGTGAGATGGAGCCTTTCGGAGTCAAGGTGCATAGTGTTATCACTGGTGGGGTGGACACGGAAATTGGTGTAAGAGAGAGTAATGCCGAATACGAGAATACCTTCAAGAACTCCTTGTACAATGTCGATGGGGCAATCGAAAGTGCTATTGCTACTAAAAAGATGAGTGAGGATAATGGTGTTAGTCCTGAAAAATATGCTAAAGATATTGTTGGAAAAGTTTTGAGAAAACTGACAAGGTTCAATTTGTACGGTGGAACCAGTGGTTACACCTTGCATTTTATCAGTAGATACATGCCTTTGTGGTTTGTAGAGTTTTGCATGCAATGGTTCTTCAAACAACTCAAAGTTTTTGGGAATATAAGAAGATCAAGAAAGTAGAGTGTCTACTTGTCTGGTGGCTAATCAGAATACGTATAGATAGTTCAAGTTAGATTCGGAAAGTGTGTCTGTGAAGTGGATCTTCAGTTACAAAACTCACAAAATGTGGTTCGTAAGCCCTTCTGTTGATTGAAGGTACCTTCTTCTCTCTTATCCTGTTGACCACAGCCATTGGCACAGTGTAATATTCCTACCATGTATGAAGCGTTGGCCAAGAGCTTTATATGCGTTGTTACACAAAACAACTCTCTCGATTTTGATGAGGTCGCACTACTCTTTGATTTCATTTTCCATCTTTCGTACTGCCACCAAACCTTTGGTAACGCCATCGACAAAACATAGAAAGGATGATTCCTGCCGGAGCTAGAAGATCTAAAATCAGGCCGCCAAGAAAGTCGTTAATTAGCGCGTCATCGTCATTGGAGGATCCTCCCGCTGACCCCGCTGCTGATTTTGAAAAGAATTGGTCCGTTTTGCAAAATGCAATAACTCAAATCCAGAACAAAAATGTCTCAAGCCTATCCTACGAGCAGCTATACCGCAAAGCGTATGTTTTAGTTTTGAGAAAATTTGGAGGACGGTTGTACGACAAAGTTGCCGATACAGTAAGGAGCCATTTGCTAGAGCAAAGATCTATATTGGTAAGCCTTGGCTCAAGCCCCGAACAGTTTATGCGCGTACTTATCCAAGAGTGGGACGAACATTTACAAAGCATGAAGTTTATCAGTGATGTGTTGATGTACCTCAACCGTGTATACGTCAAGGAGCACAAAAAACTTCTCATCTATGATTTGGGTGTTCAATTGTTCAAGGAAAACGTGGTGATGTACAACAACAACGAAATCGGATCTCGGATGATCAACATTGTGCTTGAAGAGATAAGTAAAAGTAGAAGAGGAGTTGTCGTTACTTCAACAATGTACATCACAAAGATCATACAAATGATGGAACTGTTGACCGAAAGCAACTTGTCGTCGGAGATGCAATACGGTGACAACTACTATCAAACTGTATTTGAACCCATGTTTTTGAAAAATTCAGAGAGTTTTTTCCAAGATTTGTCGCAAGGCTTCATGGCGTATAGTAGTGGCTCAAAGTATCTACATGCCACTTCGCAGTTCATTAGCGACGAGGAAAAACGTATACAATTTTTCCTACCTCAAACTACCCATTTAAAGGTGTCCACTTTGATGGATAACATACTCATCAAGGATAAAATCGACAAGGTTATCTTACTGCAGCAGGAGGGACTAAACTACTGGCTTCACCCTGTTATAGCAAGCGTCACTGGCGAGCAAATTTCTCAACCCCCCAATTTCCAAGCAGAATTACGACTACTATATCGCCTCATAGGTAGGATAGATGACGAGTTCCAACTTTTGAGGTTAAGGTTGAGAGAAGTGATTGTGGCTCAAGGGACTTCTATCCCAGACATCATTCGCTCCACAGCTGAAGCCAATGGGTCTGAAAAAAGGGGAAGCTCGTCCTCTCAAACCACATTTGCACTCAAATGGGTGGACGCAGTTCTTCGTTATCGAATGTCTATGCTTGATATTTGGAGAGCGTCGTTTGATGAGAATTTGATTATCGAACAAACCTTGACCTATGCAATGAGGGACTTTATAAATGGCTCAAAAGGGAAAGGTTCCACCACAAGCATCAATGCGCCGGATCTTCTTTCTGTGTACATGGACCATCACATCAAACAAGCGAGCAAAGGTTTAGCAAGTAAAGAGTTGACCCATCAATCAGGAGATCAAACGGAGAATCTAATCAACAACTCTGTGCAGTTACTAAGATTTATCAAGGACAAAGATGCATTCGAAGCTTACTATGCCAACCATTTTGCAAAGAGATTTTTGAATGCAAAAACATCTTCTGGTGGTGCCGTGAAGAGCGTTGATGTTGAGGAAATGGTTCTTTCTAAATTGTGTGAAGAGTTGGGGTCTTCCTCTTTAGATAAGGTGATAAAGATGAACAAAGACATCAAGATCTCGCGTGATACCACTCGCGAATGGAAAACTTATTTGAGTACAGCAAAGGCATCGTCTTCAAGCTTGATTGAACTAGACTTGAAAATTTGCAATGTATCGGTGTGGCCAAAGTCTTTGACCAAGGACTACAAGGACACGAAAGAGGACCGTGACGGTGCTACTTTTAAATGGCCAAGGCAGTTGAGAGGTACAATACGAGAGTTTGAGGAATTTTGGCTTTCAGGAAAAAGAAATGACAACAAGTCGTTGTATTGGTCGCCAAAGTTTGGATCTGTTGATTTGAGAATAACATACCCTTCAAAGACATACGAAATCAATATGTCTGTATATGCCGCAATAATTGTGCTACTATTTGCTCCGAGCCTGTCTTTGGATGATGAGCTGGGACTGGCTTTTGAAGAGAGAAAAGAATACTCCTACCGCGATATCGTCGAGTTGACAGGTATCCCCGATTTAGAGCTTAAGCGTCACTTGCAGTCAATCGCAGTTGCGCCAAAACTGAGATTATTAGTAAAGATTCCGATGAGCAAGGACGTTAAGGAGGATGACGTTTTCCGTTTGAATGATAAATTCAAATCTTCAACGGTGAAAATTAAGGTTCCAACAGTTTCATTGGCCTCTTCTGCCGGTAGTGGTAAGGGGAAGAAAACAAAGGACGAGGAAGAGGTTGACGCAGTGAATGCAAACATATCAGAAGGACGAAAGATTGAGATTAATGCTGCCATTGTGAGAATCTTAAAGTCGAGACGGAGTGTCAAGCATAACGAATTAATCGAAGGATTGATAAAGCAGTTGAGTAATAGGTTTCAACCACTGGTGGTACAGATCAAACAGCAAATTGAGGATCTCATTGATAAGGAGTATTTAGAGAGAGATGCCAGTGACAGGAATTTATACCATTATATAGCATAGAGTTTTTGATAGTGTGTCGGTAGCGCTGTAATGTACAGATAGAAGAAAAAAAAAAAATTTGGCCGATTTCAATTCCGATACGCTTTGCAAAAGCTTTTGTTTAGAGACAGACTCTGTACTGACAGCAAGGAACTAAAATCCGTGATGTCCGCAAACGACGTTTTAGATGTGCTTGAAATTCAACGAGATGATGTCCCTGCTCGCAAAAAACAAAAGATGTCTCCGTCGGTGCCGGATGGTGGTGGCCAACTGAAACCTCTCACTGGAATGGCTCGAGAGTTGTACAATCTTATGGGACCAAACACACCGTCACTCGGGTTAACACCAACTTCAAATACCAAGGATCGAAAAGGGTTTAGACCAAGCCCATGGACTAGACTTGCATTCAAAGCAAAAGAGGATGGGATTGAATTGCAACACTGGGTTAAAGGTGCAGAGAGTTTACATGCTCTGATTGAGGAGTCTCTGAAGCCTTATTTTTTTGACAAATTCAATGTTGATATAGATATTCCAGAACTAGTTGATGAAGAGACATACAACGAGATAATTAAGGAGCTCACTGAAGAGAAAAGCAGCAAGATCGACGAGGAGCCAGAACTGGAGCGATTAAAACACACAGAAAACGAGGAACCATTGAAAGAGAAGGAAGAGGAGGAAAAGGAGGAGGAAAAGGAGGCAGAACGTCCAAAAGACGATGCGAGTACAAGGAAGAAAAACGAAGGGAGTTCTGATGAGGTGACTGCGAATGGGTCTAAAAACAATACATTGTCACATGCTGACACAGAAGCAACACAAGGAGAAAAGGACGAGGGTATAGAACTGTTACCCAAGATTAAGGAATGGAATTACCAAGAAACAAAAACTTTATTCGATCTTTGCAAATCGTTTGAACTTAAGTGGCCGATTATACAAGATAGATTCCCAGTTAGCGGTGTTGCAGTTGAAATACTCAAGGAACATTTTTACAACGTTTGTGAGAAGATTCTCTCTCGACAAGAAATTAAGAACCAGAATCTCCTAAACGCCCTCAAGTCCTATTCAAAAGAGAAGGAGATTGAAAGGAAAAAGTATCTAGAAAATCTTCTTCTCCGAACCCCAGCAGAAATAGCCGAAGAGGAATCATTGGTCATTGAAGCAAGAAGATTTGAATTAGCCGCGAAAAAAATGCTCTTGGAAAGGTCCAATTTGTTGGCACTTTTGGACTCTCCTCAGTCTACTCAAAATGTCGCCCAATTTCAATCGTCTCAGGGGATTGCCAACTTGTACAATAATCTTATGATTTACGACAAGCACCAGAAGAAGAAACAACAGCAACAGAAGGTTGTCCAACAGGAGCCTGTTCCACCACCGATTCCGTTGGCCGCGTCATCTTCTTACAAACGAGATCGTGGTTTCCAAACTCATCTACAGCAATATCTTTCAAGTTTATTGAAACAAAACTACCATACAAGTTCGGCGATCAAGCAAGACGCAAACGCTATCCACCAGTTGTTGTTGAAAAGGCTCACCCAAAAAGAGGAAGAGGCCTATGGTTTGCACTATCATGGTACGGAAAAATTGACACCCGGTGTCACTCTAAGGTCTCAGCAAAGATTGCTGGGTTTACAACAGAAACAATCAGTCTTGAAAATGGCAGCAGCTCTTATGCAAGAGTTAGACATTCCTACTGCTGGCGGCAGTGCCATAAAACCTATTATGCCCACACGAAAAACAATGGCAAAATTTGATGAACTTTTGAGAGCAGTGGTCACTTTATTGGATGTGAAGAAGGCAAAAGATAAACTAGAGTCGGAAATTTCATTGATTAAGAGCCAAAGAGGACTTCAATAGGCGTATATTTAGAACTGAAGTTCAAACTCGGTATATAATTCGTCGGTAGTAGCTTCATCTGCCAAGAACGTTCGATTAAACTCTATTCTAAGCTTCTGGTGGAGATCGGCCCTCACATTGTGGTCACCATCCTCTAGTGTTTGCTGGCGGGTTACAAACGGAAACCTTCCAACAAGTTGATCCTTATACTCATTGAACAATGCCAAAAACTCCGATGGTAATTGATACCCCTCATATAATATGTGGTGGATATCTCCTAACAAAGCGCAGATCTTTGTACAAACGCGAAGCCCATAATTTTCAGCTTCAGATTCAGCAATACCGCGTGTCTCAATTTCTTTCAATAACATCTTGATCACTCCCAAAAAATGAGGATTTGTAAACTCCAACCGGTGCTCAAAAATACTGCAATTGAAGCTGTCTAATGCCTCAAGTACATAATTCCAAATTCCAACGGAGTTTTCTGCAAACAAGCTCTGAAAGGTAAAATAGTAGTCATCCACGTCATTGAAAGACGACACATTAACCTTTGTTCGACACAGTTGCTCGAGTGGTTCCATATCGTCGTCGAAGTCGTAGGTTTGTTCGAGTGACGCGTCTCTTGTTGCCTCTGATTTGACACCCACCAAAGATTGAAACTCTTTCAAAAGCTTTTCGTTCTTCTCGTCAAGGTCATACCGTTGCAATTCTTTGACTAAAGAAATGCAAAATTGCTTGTACTTATCATTGCTCAAGTTGCCACTGTCTCTTTTTACAGTTCTTACCGCCTCATGGACTATCATATTGAATTCACCATGCGAATCGCTGGAGTTAGCCCTATTAAGCATATTGGCTAATATTCCAAACTTAGTACTTGTCAAATCATACTCGGACACACTCCGTAACTTATGGAAAGAAAACAAAGCCCACCCTAGATCACTCAATCGATTTATAAACTCAATCAATCTAGAGGGGACTATGAAGGAGGTCAAACCTCTCGCTATGTTGATCAAGACAGCCTGTTTGCAGTTACTCAAATTGTAGAACCTTGAAACCTCAACATAGAAGTGGAAAACATATTTGTCTCGTGACATATCCTCTCCTATAAATGGGTACGTTTGTAGTACTAGCTTGTCCCAGTTTCCTCCCGAAAGGTGAGTTGCGGCAACCCAGATTTTTATACAAGTGGAAATCAACTCTTCAACATCTTTAGATCTACTGGCAATTGCAGCATGTTTAAGCATATAAGAATTAACAACATCGAGCGAGATCTCCCTCACAGAATCGATGACTTTCATTCTGGATGCGTTGCTCATTTCCGATTTTGCAACAAGAAGTTTCTCCACAAAAAATGTGCATAATCTGGCGATATCAAGATTGATGCTTGTGGGTAACTCAGCTTTAATTTGTTTTATCGACAATAATAGCTGAATCATACCGGAAGTTTCAGCCATGGAGGATTTAAGTAGTGATTGCAAAGATTGCAAAAATTTTCTCCATAGCTTTGTTGCCCCATGTACCGTAAATGCCAACGAAGCCAACTTGCTTGTCATTATTTCCACTGCTTCTACCGGAAACTTGTTTTTCTTGGACACAGCAATATCAGCTACAGCAATTAGACCCTCAACTGCTCTTTTGAGAAACGGCAAGTGAGTAACTTCATTGATGGACGACAAAAGAATCTCTACTTGCGCTCGCAAATCCGTTTTCGAGATCAGGCTCAACATTATCAATAGGTTGAATTTATTGCTAAACATTATCTGCTGCTCTGTTGTATCCCCATGCTGCGTAGAATTAAATGAAAGCAACTTCGTGACTAGTCTCTTAACGTGGGAAACATCCGTAAGGGAAGAAAAGTGCCAAAACAAAACTTGCAAAAACTTGTCAAAGAAGGATTCTCCTGGTATATCGAACCGAGTCCTCACTTGTGGTAATATTTTGGGAACAGAATCTTCCTCTAGTAAATTAGCAAACCTTCGTGATGTTATATTCCCATACATTTGTAATATCAATTTTTCATCAAATTGCAAATTTTTGATGCGGCTTATGCTGAATATGATCTCGATATAGCGAGAATAAACTTCCGCACCAGTTCTTTCGTTGAACTTTTGAAAAATCAAACATAATGGTTCCCAAGTCAGCGGCAGTTTCTTAGTTATGCAATATAGGTAATACGTGCCATCTAAAAGCCGAAAAAGATCATACGTCTCACAGCTCTGTGTAGCCAAACAAATTGATGGCCACCAATTTCCCTGTAATTCCAATATTTTGCACATGATATAAAAGGATTCCGCTTGCTTACTCAAAGACTCGCGGCGAAGGTCCAACATTTCAAACTGAACAGTATCCGTAATGGCAAAGAACCAAGACCAGTATGTCGCTCCGTAAAAGGTGAGGTTTGGTCTCCTGATAACACCTTCATTTATTCGACCCATAATGAGCATAATATATTGAAGTAGCATCAAATAAGGGAGACAAAAGAACTTGTCGCTTAGTTTGATGTTGGTATTATCCCGCACAGTGTTGATCAATTTCTCTACCCAGCTCCATTCTGTCTCTGTTGGTGATCGCTGCAAAATCAAACACCAAGATATCAATCCACGCATACATTCATAAAAGTCTCTTTTTCGCATGGTGCCCTTAACGAACTCTAAATTTAAAAGCTTGTATAGCGTCTCGGCGTGTTCTCTGGAGCTATCAATTTCAATCAAAGACAAATTAAATTGCGTATCCTTAAACACCACGGTAACAGGGTCCTTGAATCGATGAAAACTCTTACCATCCCCAGTCTTGTTGAGTTGTGTTAATTTAAGATCACTTAGTATACAACCCACAGCAAACAGCGGATCGTGAGATAATTGTAATTGTCCACTCACGTGGGGATTGAAAAACTTTGGTCGTTTTAGTGTGTGTTGCTTCCAGTGGTGAGAAGTTTCAGCCTCGATATCCACAGATGCATATATTGGCGCTCGACTGTGTCGGTTTTGAGCTCTTGCATTATGAGGTTCGAAATAGTTTTCAATGTGTACTTGTTGACGTTCAACTTTACTCCTCCTTTTTTTGAGGGTTTTCTTATTGTGAGCCAGATTGGATCTTGTCAAGGTCGTACGAGGTGTCCGTTGCAGTCCCACAACACGTGTAGTTGCTTCTTTCTCACGGCGAGTATCATCGTTCGTCGATGTTGCCTCTGCAAAATTGTCGTCCATCTCTTCACCAGCCGATATGATACTATCAACTGTAATGTACCTCGTATGTTTGCCACTACTGATTGCATCGTGTCTTTTCTTTCTAGCATAATTGGATCTCGGTTTTCGCGTGATGGAAGCAGGAGAACGCCCACCCGAGCGAACAGATCTTTGACGACTTACGTTTGAACCTCTACCATGAGATCCCATCAGTAACGTCCTCTTCGATGTGGGCTGTCCAATTTTTCGACTTGTTGTAAGCATGTGGTCTATCGCATCACTCTCAAGAGCCTCGCCCTCGAAGCTAGGGGAGACATCTCGGTTTCTAAACGGGAATAAATCCAGATCGGTGTCAGAGTCAGTATCAATGTCCGTGACCGAAATATCAGACATGTTAAGCTCCGAGAATTCGTCAGCAACAGGTGGTGACTGTGCTACATCACGGCCATCCTCCAAGAAGTTGTCTATAACGTAATTCTCCGGCGAAACTTCTTCCTCTTCATCATCATTCAAAAAATTTTCTTCGAGTTCATCATTGACTCTTCTTGATCGTATTCTGCTCACTGACTTCTTTATGGCAATCCCCTTCTTGACCTCGCGCTGGGGCTTTACCATTTGCGGTCCTCTGGTCGCTCTCGATTTGTATATGGATAGGTGCTTTGCTGATTCAGGCAATACGCCTCGCAATGCGTTTTTTTCCTTTCTATACCGACCACCAACCCGAACATACAAGTTCTCCTTCTCTTCCTCGTTATCGACACTCGAGTCCAGATCGGTATTAGTATCAAGGCCAGAACCTGATACATAGCCATGAATTTCGTAAGGCTCATCATCCAGAATCTGAGATGATTCCAACCGTTGCTCCAACGTGGGAGATTCCGAATTGACATCAAAGTTCGCGAGGTCGTCATCATCACCACTCGCGCCCAAAGTTTCATCGTTTAATTCGTTTTCTTGTTCCTCCCGTTGGGCGTTTTTCGACTGCTTTCCTATTATGGCATAAAAGCTCTTGTGTTTGAATTTTTCATCCTTGGGATACTTGCTTTTCAACTTTAAATAATTGTAATTCAAGAGTTTTACAACATCTTCAAGATTTTGGTCGTTCTGTTCATAGACTGTATTCAACTCTTGCGCATCGGCAAGACCCAAGTACGATGCTTGGTCTGACAAGTATGGATGTGTACTGGCAAAATTCCGCCTTCTCAAATTCCTCTCCGAAACGAATGTCTGATATTTCGAGTTTATGTAAGCTTGAAGGTGACTTGCATTCTCTTCATTCTCGACCTGCACAGGTGAAGTATGTGGTGCGGCACGGGGGGTTGGTGTGAGTTCCAGTACATTTTGGACCTCCATCAGGATATCATTGTCGCTATCCTCAACGACTTCTTCTTCTTCTTCTTCTTCTTCTTCTTCTTCTTCTTCCGGTAATGCATTGAGGTGAGCTGGTCTGGAAAACTTTTCTATAACATTTTCAATCTCCTGTCGCTTCCCACTCGGTAGATATGACAATTTTCTTTGAAGAGCTGCTTTCGATAGTAGGGACAAATCGAGAGATCCCTTCTCTTCTTCGTCTGAATCCGAAACGTCACTCATCGTGCTAGTGTTTTGATACGATATCACAGTTGTGCAGTATTTCGTATCTTGACTATTTTCTTCTTGATGGTGCTATACATGAACCGTGACGGTAAGGGTAATATTGCGCAATATTGATATGAAATGTGGGAGGTTGAAAATGAAGGATTGATCTCAAGTTTCTTTCTGCAGTCGCGTAAACAAAATGTGTAAATATATTATAACGCGCCACCTGCTGATGGTCACGTGAGATGCACGTACATTATAAATGAAATCAAAATCTATACAAATTGACTGTATCTAGTCATCATGAGCAGCCAAGGATACACCGTGTTTATCTAGCGCCTCTTGCGACAAGGCTAAAGTATTGGAAAATAGGTGGTCATCGACATAGTCTCTGAAGGTCAAATATCCTTCCACCTTGTGCGTATAAAAATGCTCTCGATGGTACAAGTCCAACTTCTTGTTTGATCTGAGCCTCTCTATAAGATCTGGATTGGATGTAAACGGCCTTGAGAACCCAATCAATGTACGCTCATCCGCATTGACGTCTTTTATCAAAGAGGAATAGTGTTTTATCTGACCATCTGTAATCTCCAAATTGGGATTGTTGGACGCAATACGACTGGGGTCCCCCTTGTAGTCTGTTGCGTACCCTCCAGCTCTGATCACAATACCCGACCAAATCAGTAGCAAGGCTGCATTTGATCTACCTGAAGGATTTTGATCTACTGAGCCAGAAACACGAGGCTCTTGAATCGAAACGTAGGCGACTTCCTCACCAGAGAGCCTGCACTTCTCCAAGAATGACATCATATGCGCACAATAAAGAAATGGTGGAAATGTTTCATCCATGGAGTATTCGTCCTCTGGGTATTCCATTCCAAAGTGTGTCGACCAAGCACTAAGTCTAACGCCAAATTTTGCGCTTCCGATCTCGGGGTGTCTAATGAACATCTCAATAATTTCCTTCAAAAATCGGCATCTATTTTCAACCGATCCGCCATATTCATCGGTCCTTAAATTGGATATCGGCGAAAGAAATTGTTCAATTAAGAATCCCGAACTTCCATGAAGTTCAACCATATCGAAACCTGCAATCGGCAAACAATTTACAGCTGCAGTCACAAAGTCTTGCTGCATGTTATGTATTTGCTCGACTGTTAGCTCCTGCAACGGATAATTCAAGTCTTTTGCTGCTTTTGCTTGATCTGACGAATGGTATATTGATGTGGGAGCGAGAAGGGGAAGTCCTTTTTCTTTCAATAAAGCTATGTTTGATGTTCTCCCTGGGGCAAAAATCTGACATGACACGTAGGAGCCATTTGCGTGTATTTTGTCCGTGATCAACTTCAAGGCTTTGCACTGTGGGCGACTCCATACTCCAGACTTGTACGGCAGCAATCCACTTCTTGGTGAGACCAAGCACGACTCAAAAATGATCAATGAGCCACTGACCTTACTTCTGGAATCGTAATACTCCAACATCAAATCGGTGGGAAAATTTTCTCCGTCATTGGTCGATCTTGATCTGGATGTAGGAAGATGAACCACTCTATGATTCAATTGTGCATTGTGTCCAACTACTATTGGTCTGAACAAATTGGTGTCCTGTAGCTGCGTTGACATCGGTCGGTATTCATAATAGATTCCACGACAAGCTCTGAGTTTCGATGATAGCACCATTTTATATGTTTGAATAAATTGGGCATTTCCTCTATAATTTTTCGCAACGGTCGGGTACTCTCGCTGCGAAATCGGATCGATTTTTTTTTTTTTTTTTTTGAAAGCTCGACAGTGTATTCCGTTGTGAAGTTTTCAACTAAAGAAGATGCGATTGAATTCATAGAGGCGATAGCGCGTTAAACAACATGTCCTCTATATAGTCGAAGGGGTTGCAATTGTGCCACACAAGTGAAATATCATCTAAGCGAGTATGCAAACTTGAAAAGGTCCGATATTCAAGTTCCTGTGTTCTTCCCATATACCCAAATCGATTCAAGCTTGGCCATTGATATATGCCGTTTCCATAAACAGGTGAAAGGAAAGGTAAATCTCCTCCTCTAATGACTGTTGATTTAAAGCTACACACAGTCAAATGGATTCTCGCCAAATTTCGATTTCAATTGAGCGAAAGATATTCCGAAAGCAATGAAGAGAAAAAAAAAAAAAAAAAAAAAAGTGAAAAAAAGTTGCAACTTTGCCGAGGGAACGGGCCAAGTTGACACATTCTTTCATATCCAGATACAGTCGAAACGTACTTGAACGACAATTTTAATGTCACTAGAAGCANAAAAAAAAAAAAAAAAAAAAAAAAAAAAAAAAAAAAAAAAAAAAAAAAAAAAAAAGTGAAATAAAGTTGCAACTTTGCCGAGGGAACGGGCCAAGTTGACACATTCTTTCATATCCAGATACAGTCGAAACGTACTTGAACGACAATTTTAATGTCACTAGAAGCAAGCTCGCAATACTCCGAACTCAATAATGAAGCAAACAGTAGCAATCATGTTCCACATTCACACAACCATCCGACATTGCAAAAGGTGGAGTTTGAAGGTGAAATCCTCACCATAGATACGAATAACTGGAGACACTCCAAACTTTTACAAACCCAGATTATCTCATCGTACCTTGTGTTTATATTGTTTGGTTTGAATGAACAAACTGTTGGAACATTGATTCCAAAGCTACAGGAGCATTACCACCTCAGTGATCTACATGTTAGTTTTATTTTTTTCAGCTCTGTTTTGGGGTACTTGACAATGGCATTGGTGAACAACAAAACCCATGACCAATTAGGCATTAGAGGAGTGGCAGTATTGGGGGCATCTGCTATGTGCTTGGGCAACTTGTGCGGTTCTTTTAGACCGCCATTTCTAATTTTTCTCATTTGCTATTTCTCAAATGGAGTTGGCCTTGGAGCTTTAGATGCGTCATTAAATGCGTGGATGGGTAACCTTGTTGACTCAAATCAATTGTTGGGGATCTTGCACGGTTGCTATGGTATTGGAAGCTTAATCTCACCGAGTTTGATTACTTATCTTTTGGAAAAACTGGACAACCCATGGCAATGGAACAGCTATTACCTTTTAGTTGCATCCTTCGGTGCAACTGTGCTTATACTAGTTGGCTATACTTTCAGGTTTGAAACTCCAAAGAAGTACAAGTACATGGCCCAACTAAGGCACCAAAAGTCCAAACAGAGGAGGCCGCATGACGACAACGATGTGAATGAGTTCGAGCTAAACGACATGAACAAGACCAATTTTGATGTAGAGGAGGATGCGGAAGCGGAAGAGGAAGAAGAGCATTCAGCTACATTTATGCAGGCGGTGAAACTGCCTCTCGTATGGGGCTTTGCAGGAATTCTCTTTATTTACGTGGGTGGTGAGGTTGCCTTTGGGGCTTGGTTGGTAACATACTTGTTAAGGATAAAGGACTGGACATACAAAGCGTCATCCCATATGGCAACTACGTTCTGGTTAGGATTAACTGTGGGTAGATGCACACTTGGCTTTGTAACTGCTCATTATTTTAGCAATGAGTTAACTGCAAATCTTGCCTACATTGTGGGCTCTTTACTTGGTTACGTTTTTTTCTGGTTTCTTTCATTCACGCAGCAAGTGGTATTTCTATTCATTATTGTGTTTGTGACTGGGGCAATGGTGGGGCCAATCTTTCCCACCACTATTGTTGCTCTGGTCAACATCTTACCTGCAAAATATCAAACTGTCGGCATTGGCTTTATTTGTGCATTTGGTGGTGGAGGAGCTGCCGGTATCCCATTTTTGGTTGGCCTATTGGCGGATTCAAGTGAGGGCGGGTTGAAGGCATATCCAGTGATGGTGATTATAATATTTGCAATACTATTGGTGCTGTGGATGGTGATTATTAAAAAGCACGCCAGAGGGTACAAAAGGAATACGATTTGAGAGAAAGGTACATGTTGTATGCGGGAAATACAAAGAACGGTGAAAATTAACACACCATTGATCTAACTTATCTCTACAATGATAGATTCGCAAAAGATTTATATTAGATGCAAAATTCCTACTCTAAATTCTAGCTAGCATATTTCATGAGAAATCACTCTCTATATCTTCCCACCAAGTTCCTTCCATTCGCTAGGTGTGTAACCTTTCTGAGTAAACGCATGAATTGAAGCAATCTCATCTCGTAGTTGGCTGTTGACCAATCTGTGTCGTGCTAGTTTATTCTTGCCTTCAAATACTGATGATACAATCACAACTGCAAATGCCTGTCCGCAACCACCTGACATGTCTTCAACTTGAACAAGATCCGCATTTAGCCGTTCTTGGATAACTTGTTTTAGTGAGTCTGATGTAAGTGCCGTCATGAAGAATAAATAGAGTGCACTCCGGAGACACTGTTGAGGATCTTCAGCTGCATAATGAGATGAATAATCCAGCACAAGATTATGAGAGAGAGAAAAAAAAAAAACAAAAAAAAACAAAAAAAGAATAGTCAAGATTTTTATTGTCGCAGAAAAACAGTTTGCGACACTAAATTGTTTTGATCTCATTTTTAATATTACATTATGTGCACTATAGCTAGTTTGCGCTATTTTCCTTCAAAACAGCTTCGATCTGGTTCAAGATCTCTTTCGACGACAAGTCCTTCTCCACTCCATCGAACCCACATGCGCTGAAAACTTTCATCAACTCTGGGGGGATAATACTTAAGTCTTCATGTTGCTCAATCAATTGATTCACAACCTCAATAGCCAAGAAGTATGAATCCCCAGTTTGTTCTTGCTGTCCTTGTGACTGCTTAGATATGAGAATGTTTGGTGCTAGAACCGTGGCCAAATTGTGGGCATCCATCTTGGACCCAGTATCCTTATCTACTTCGGAAAATGACGCCACCCAGCTGAAGAAATATAACAAGACCTCAAGAAGGTTTCGATGATCACGAGGTAGCAAACAATAAGTTAGTTGTAAAATCTTGGTCTTTCGGTCGGGTATCTGCTCCAACTGAGAAGAGATCCACAAATCGTAGTAGTTGAATGTTAGCAATGGGGTAGGCAACTCACGCAACCATTTCTTCATCAATGCAGCTAGTTGAACCGCGGTATGAACGCTAAAATCGGGTGACTTATGAGGACTCTTGTTGATTTGCTCGGTCAACTCGCGAAGCTTTTTGATATTACCATTCAATCTGAAGATGCCTTCCACTGACATATCTTTTTGCTTTAAAGCGTTGATTACGTCATCAATAACAATGGGAATTCTCAATTTCGAAGGTCCCACACCAAGATCAGAGTCAACGCCATATTTCTTGGTCAAAATACTCAACTCAGTTCCAAATACTGCATTTCCTTTATCTTTTGACGAGCCGCCACCGCCTCCTCCGCCAAATTTCAATTTGTCCCAAAACGTTGGTGGCTTCTTCAGCTGGATCAAAGCTACCAACTCATCCTTGTTGTATTTTTCATGGTTCATTTGACACAAATGTACAATCGCAACATGTCGCATGACAAAATGTTCACGCTTAGTCAATTCTGAGTAGAATTTTTGCTTTGTCGTCTTTTGCGGGCCGCTGCCAGGAACCGTAGTATTCAAAATGTGATCCAATGCACTGCTTGGCGTAGTTTGTATGGGGCTGTGCCCACTTCCTTTCAATTTATGAGATCCAGTTCTTTGGTATGATTTACTTTGGTGTTTGAATGCGTTCGGTCTTTGATCGCGCGCTTGCTCAGCGGCGACGATTCTCGGAATATCATCTAAAGTCAATGATTTCTCATTTTTCAACAAATCAGAGGTACGATCGAGATGCGTGGCTGTCATTTGTCTCTGTGGCTCATCTCTGATCTGTAACTGCCTCTTGACTGACAATTCTTCCTTACCTTCAAACGAAAGTTGCGAGCCACTACTAGATTTCCTGCCAAATTGAGGTTGCTGAGCCTCGATAGCCAAGTCACCCAAATTTTCAGAAAGGATGTTTTCTCCAACTTTTGCTTTATCCACATCATCCTCGCGAGCTTTATCAGCTTCAGGAGCTGTGATAATCACAGATTTCCGTGCCTTCTTCTTCACAGACTGCGACAATTTCTGACTTTGTCTCTTGCTTCTTAGACTGGTTACGTCATCTAAAGTCTTGGTGTAATCATCGTGCTCATGGTTTATCTCTGGGGCTTGCAAAAGCTCGGTATCTTTTTTTGTTACCGGTGTTGGACTGTCAAAATCGATGTTCATTACTGATCTTGACCTTAGCAAGGCAATTTTCAAAAGATAAACTAATTGAGACAAATCTGACACAACTTCAAAATCGGTAATCCCACTGCCGTCGTAACAATTAGAGCAAGTGATGCACTGGCGCGCAATATTAAAGCGTGTCTGGCTTACTTCGGATTCATCAATTCGGCGATGGCATCTGGCGCACACAAAACATTTCCAGTGCCACCTATGATCGCCAAGTTTGACACATGATTTTTCAATACTTTTCGAGCAAGCGGTACAGGCATCAGTGGAACTTTGCGGCACAGTCAATTTCGCTTTAAACTCTTCCAATCTTTCCCTGGTATCAAGTTTATTTGATTCAACGGATTCATACCTAGAGACTAGATCCAAAAAATGATCCAGTGCATCGGTGGTTCCATTTAGCTTGTTCAACTTTAGCGCGTTGTACAACCCAATTCGTATCAATAGCTTCAAATAATGAGCAGATCCAGTGATCACCGACAAAAGCTCGGCTGACAATGTTCCTGATTTGGATATACTGGCAGACTTACGCAATATCGCCAAGTAGCTCATTATTTTCCCAGTTATGTTTCTGGGTTCTTTCTTTACGAATTGAAAATATTCATTCTCAGTAGCAGACGAGTCCAGGTTTTCCAATTCAGGCAGTTCCGGCTTCACCAACATTCTTGCTGCAATTTTACACTCCAGAAGAACAAGATCCAATGCCCGAAATAAAATCTCCACATTCAAAATTAGCTTTCCAGTGACTATCAACCCATTGTATTTGTTTCCCGTGCAAGCGTTAAGAAGCATGTCGGAAATGCACGCAGCTGTGCTCTGTTCATAACCTGATAGCATGAGCCAGCAATTCATCACCACATGTTCAATATGTTGCTCTATGCCCACTAGCCTTTCTGAATTAAGGCTTGTGTCCGACATTTTGATTGCTCTCAAGTCAGCTAGTTTGTCATCTGGTAATCCGTATGATTTTTGCAATCCAACAGAATCAGCTGTAATGCACACATTCCAAAACTTGTGTACCATAAAACATTCTGGGTGCCAATGCTGGGTCCTCCCCCCTCTGTACAATTCCACAAATTGTTTCAAGATTGATGATTGACACCCTTCGCAATGGGACGCATACAATTTTGAATAATGGTAATGACAAAAGATATCATTCTCGTGTTCAAAATAGCTTTCATCTGAATCGAAAACATGCTGGCAAACCGAACATTTGAAATGCTCCAAGTGGTACTTGTTGCCCAACGCAGTTATATAAGGTCCTCGCAAGGCATTGTTGCAACTAAAACAAATCAAATCAAGCTTTTTAAAGTAATCGTATTCACAAAGTGCAACCTGCGTAGACTTGCCATTTTGCTTGACCTCAAACGGGAAAAACTTTGCGGAACACTGTTTACCACATTCATGGCAAGTAAAGCAGTCAACATGATATGCACTTTGAAGAGCGCGAACAAATTGGCCGGTTATCTCAAGTCCACATCTCTGACATATTTTTCGACTTTTCTTCTTGGTTCTGGTTCTAGTGGCAACATTCGATTGCTGCTTGGGTGGGTCCGGGGGGTCATTATCAACAAGATATTTTTCTTCAGCAACTTGTTTTTCAGGTGTTGGTGATATAGCAATTGAATGTCTCTGCGATGGGTCAAGATTTGATCGCCGTGACGCACTTCCTTCAATTGGTGCTTGTCTAATAGCCTCTGGAGTGTGATATCCATTGCTTGAAACCGGCTGATTGTGTTGTTGTTGTTGCTGCTGCTGCTTCGGTTGCGGTGGCGTGTTTACAAAGTTCGTGTTTGCTTCCCTTGGTGTTTCATTCAATGGAGTAATTAACATTGACCAGTTTGGTTGAGCATCATTGGGTCTGATTAAATGATCATGCTGCCAGGCACTTTTGCTGGCACTTGGTTGCTGTTGTCGCCTCATCTGCGGTGACGGCGGTGGAGCAGACGAAGGTTTGGGCGACGATACGTTCATGGGATACGCAGGGTATTGCAGATATGCGTTGTGGCTAACCGGGTGAAATAAGCGGTGTTTTGGATTTTTGTGATCTGAGTTGTGTGAGTGTGATCGCGAATGTCTACTGTGCCCCAGTCTCCGATCTGAAGGGGGTGCTGTGTTGGGGATTTGATGAGTTTCTGGGTGACGTGTATAGTAGTAATTTTGCATGTCATCGTTTCTGGTCACTGCTTGCATCGGAGACGCCAATTCGACAGGCCGTTGACTTGGTGTAGATCTGTCAACCAGGCCGGTTGGATTGAAGTCATTTGGAACTTTGCTCATGGTTTTATGTAGTGTGATTTGACCCGGTCTTGTCGCCTGTGGGGAGGGAAGGAAAGAATCTAATAGTTGGGTAATAGTCTACAAATGGAAAATGGGGTTGGCCTTTGGCTGACGTTCAGCACTAAAGTGAAATTGCTTGGAAGTGTTTAAAGAATGACGAAAAGTTGGATTGAATTAGATCAGGGGGCGGTTCAGTAAAAAGCACACCGTCTTAACACTGTACTGTGAGTAGTTGGAAACGAAAAGTAGTTTTGAATCACAGTGACTTTCTTTTTTGTCTTTTTGGTTGATAGATTGTGTATACTGTGTGATTATTTCAGTGTAAGTATTAGTGATGATGTGCAGAGTGTTTGAACGTCTTTGATAAAGTATGGTTTCTTATACTTGACAGGTTTTCTTATGTGTGTTTTCCCTCTGTCTGCTTTATTTTTTTTATTTTTTTTTTTTCGTTTCTGTTGATTTTCTGTTTTGGGGTTTATCTTGTTTTCTCTCTCTCTCTTTGTTGTTTTTGTTTTGATTTCGATGTTGTTGTATGCAGTATATGTCGTATTTTGAATGCGAAAGCCTCTTGTCTGATGTGTGTGGTCTTATTCCTTCTAAGACAAAAACCGCAAAGTATATAAGATGGCCATGACCACAGAGTTCCAACCCTCTCTCTCCCCCCCCCCCTCCACCAAATCACGTGTTAATTAGTAAAATTGTGTTTGTGGACTACATGCAATTAAGTTGGAGAGCAAAGAAAATGGGCACCAACTTCTTGGGGTAACTACTGCGAAGAGAACCCAGTGTGAAACGCCGAAGTCTTTACTAGCTTTTTTTATTTTTTTTTGACTCGGCAATGAGGAGGCCTGAAGTGATTTTAAGTCTCTTTGCTTAGCTCGTCTCTTTACCGAATTCTTGATACACTTATGACATTTCGACAACTTCGGTACTCGTCCTAGCAAGCTAAACACTCCCACCAGGGTGAAAACGAATTACTCCTATGCTAATTCAAACTCTATTCACGGGGTTAAATTTGTTTATACTCTGGTCTAGGGTAAAGACAAGTCTAAGAACCGTCCCTCAATGTCGCGTAATATTTGTCACATTTTACTTTTCAGTTTTAAACGAGGAAACAAAAATTAACAAGCTATGGCGAGGATGCTAACAATAGAGAAGATAACACTTTAACACGTCCAACATAATGCAGGTTGCAATGACAGACAGATCAAAGATATATTTTGCGTACTAACATTGGAGAGAAAGATTTAAACTCTGAGTTATCAGCCTGCTAGCCTCTGTTGGCTGCTAACGTGCCGTAAGTCTTTAAGGAGAAATCTAGACACCAAAGACATCAAATAGCAGCCGAATTATTGGCTGACGAACTTTGTGCGGCTACGTGTCAAAGCAGGGATTATTTTCACGTGACTGCGTGCGCCATTCACGAACAATAAAAATGCGTTTACATTTAAAACCTCTTACTAAGGCATTTCCTTATTTGTTTTTTGCAGCTGAGTCAACTGATTTCCCTCCTTGTGCTAGAACATGTGGCTAAAATTCTCCATGAGATAATATTATTACATTTCGCTCTTTCGTTCCAGACTTTTGAGCCAATTTTGCATTCAAATATTGTAAATATATTTTTGAGAGAAAACATTTACTAAGAGGTACGCATCACCTTTGCAAAAACCATATTGTTCAAATCTTATATACTGCCAAGCAGCAGTGTCTAGAAGGTGATTAGAGCAAGTGAAAATGTGTTTGTCGGTTCGGCACAATAAGGTAGCCACATTTGGAGGTTGTTCAAAAAGCAATTGGTAATTCAACAAAAACGGAGTGGCGCAGAGTAATACACTCCACTGCTGTGTCCTTACGAGTATACCTTTAGTCACGCGTCTCAAAATTTATCGTTGCAATTACATACTCGTTGAGTCAAAATCTCCAAATAGATGCCAAAAAAAAAAAAAAAAAAAACGGCAATGTGATTTTCCCTTTCCGGGCCGTCAGGAGCGGCAATTCCTATACGTTTGCATGTCCTAATAACCGCAGTCTTGTTTACATTCACTCGCAAGTCTTTTCATTGTCATGCAGAATGGACCAACTTCTCCTCTTGCCTTTTAGCTCAGTTTACACATATTGTGCTATTTGCGGGGTAAGCATTGCTAAAATAGAGCGACCTCCATTACATAATGTATCACGGTTAGTTTACCTATTTTCTCGTTGTAATATTGCCTCACTTGCAGGAGACTGAACCAACCCCATTTAGCATAATGTGGAAACTAGGTATACAACCGTACATAATCGCAATATGAGAACACTTGAAACAAATACAATGCAAAGTGGCATCATTAAAGTACTGGCTTTACCTATCTTGATCAAACCTTTCTTTTTCGAGGAGAAAATAGAAGCTGGCAAAAAGATGTTAAAAGCTCTTACAAACAAACTGCTGATGCTAGGCTCGTAATTTAATTTTATGTAGTAGCACAAAACCGCCTATCGCCGAGCAATAATAAGCATATTTTTTGACACTCCCAAGAGATATATCACTGGCTAGTGGTTTTTCTTGAGGGATGAGGGGAGAAGGGGGGGGGGGGAGGTGAGGACTGAGTACAACTTTAACGGGATAAAAAAGTTTCCTTCCTCTGGCCCTATCCCAAGGTGGCATTCCATCCAGAAAAACCAAAATTTTGGAAGATTAGATGCGTTCCGCAACGTCAAACTTGGATCAATATTTTGTCGATCACACTTGACCGTACGGCACGAAAAAAATAAAAGAAACTGATAAATAAATTACACAAAATGTAAATAAAAAAAATGTAACCACAGTTTATCACACAATGCACCGCCAAACAAGAGGCATCAAAACAATAGGATTTGCTTATCATCCAGTAAGATTGCGAGAAAATAACATTACCACATTAGAAATAGCACATTGCACAGTTCAGAGTATAACTGTGAACAGCCTTTATGTATGGATTGACTTACGACGACGTTCATGTTGTGTAGTCAAACACGAGGCGTAACTTACGGGGTAAAATTCTTCATTTCATTTTGCTCATTTCGAGCTCACTTTGTCTTATCAATTAGGCGCCACAAAAAAAATAGGCTTTTAATCTTAATGACGATCCGCCTTCTGTGCCGTGCGAACTTAAACTTGTTCTGTTTGCAAAGTTGTATGAGAAATAAGAGCGAGCGCATTTAAAAATTGGTCAACACTTATGTGGTTTATAGAAGTTGATATTGTGCAACAAAACTTTAAGCATATCTGTGATAAATACTCTTCATCGCATGATAATATACCCGCCCACGAGTAGGTACCAATACAAATTAGGGTACCAATCTCTAACCGCATGATCAACTGTTGCCCCATGCTCGCAAAATCCTGGATCATACTGTCCGATTTAAACAGATCATGTTTTTACCACCACATTGAACCCTTGACAAGAAAAGCAGAAAAAGTTAAGGAAAGAGAGTTTTCTTTCTTTTTTTTTTTGGCCAAATTTTCAAATCCGATCGTCCTGTCAAAAAATTTCTTAGTTTCCAAGAAAAATATGGCTTGAAATTGGAAATGCACAGGATATAAAATATTTAATTCGAAACTGTGGATTTACTTGAAAAAAAAAAAAAAAAAAGAAGACGGATGATGCCGCTTGCTCCCATGTGAGGTTCCACCTTCGAGCCCATCTTTACACGGTAGGTATAATTGCTCACTCGTGAGAGTTCACCACAACCGGCATTTGAGTGCCTTCAAGGATCAATAGGAAGGTTATGAACTCAGGGATATCTAATCATTATCCGGTATTTTTTCTAACCGTGATAGATACGTGTTTTGTGTCATTTAATTGTGGATTGCGAAATGAAATTCAAAAAGATATGTGAGGCGTCAATTAAAGTTAAATTGCATACACCTTTTTGCATATTAAGATTGAGGTGTGGTCACTGAAAATGTAGGTTATCTTTGGTAATAATTTTCCTAAAGTGAATAAATTTTGTTGGTGCCGTACGGTCATTGTTATCTGTGGTAGCGGTAATACAATTAGTGATATGATCACAACGATAGACATTTTCCTTAAACCCTAACAAAACGGAAGAGTTTGTTTCGCTGCGTTATAAATAGGGAAGTCCTTTCCTGTCTTTCTTGGTACATTACGAGACGCTAGTGTTATCATCCTTTCCTCAATACCATGAGCAGCGAGAAACACCTTCACCCAGATGCTGCAGCTGCAGCCCCTATAACATCAGTCCACAGTGTTGGTAGTCATTTAGAAACACAAGATCACGAGGTGA